ACCTCCAGGCCTTTCTGTGTGGAGTTTGCATGTTCTCTCTGTGTCTTCTCCGGTTTCCCCCATGTGCTCCGGTTTACACTACCGCTAAAAACATGTACAATAGGTCCGGTATGAGCCTCCTGCACTGGTGACCTCGCTCCCATGTGTGGAGTGAGAGGAAAAATGCCTAAAAAACAATTGTAAAGCGCTTTGTGACTGAGGTCTGTGAAAGACGCTATGAAAATAAGTATTACTTATTTATGGAAAATCATAGAGAATACAAATGCAAAAAATACACCATAACTTTGTATAGCCCTGCATTGGTGAACGTTTATAGTTTGATTATGTATTGACCCAAATCATTCAAGATCGTGTGTTAAATTCTTAAATCCTTTTGGAGGTGGCGAGCTGCTGGTGCCATGTGACGTCTGTGCCTCCGCCTCGATTATCACCAATGACATCGAGGGGCAGCATGGTTTGGTCTCATTTGCTCACACAAAGTTGTACTTTTACGACAGACATTTTCTGTTGGAACTAACAAAAAAGTATTATTTTGTAGCGATAAGAGAACGTTTATTCATCCCACAGTGGGGAAATTTCAAGTTTGCAGCACACAGTAGTAATAGCACGCAGGGAACACACAAAATATACAATATAAGTAGCTATGTTTTTTATTGTTTTGTAGAATAAGTCACTTTAAGTCACTAATGCACTATGACTGAAAAACCTGCACTGCTATTGCCACTCTTTTATTTCCACTTTTTTATTGTACATAATTACACCCAGCACAGACTATATTTTTAACTTTAAACGTATTTGCACAATCTGAGCACAATCTATCCATGCCAAATGTGACCTGTACATTTCTCCAGTGTGAGATCAATAAAGTGTATCTTATCTATTTTTGCTAGCTGTAAATGATTCAATATGAATATATTCAATATGAATATAATCTCAATATATTCATATTGAATATATTCATATTCAATATGAATATATTGAGATTATATATATATATATATATATATATATATATATATATATACTGCAAAGTTGAATCCATATAGGGCAGGATAAGTGGATACGTAGCATTAGTTTACATCTAGCAAAGAAACAGCAGCTACACATTTGAGCACAAAGACAGAACATTGTAAAGCATGTATCCAAATGTCTTCAAATAGATAGATTAAAATTAGACATTTCGACAACAAAACATATATGGCAATGTAAGACAAAATTATGGATTAAGAAAAAGGTTGTGTTTAGACGTCACATTCACTTCAGAAAATGTTTTGCATAGTTTTATTCATCAGGAGAAACCGGCTCAAATCCATAAATTATATTAATCAATGTAAATCAAATGTAAAAATAAGTACCTTTTCAACTCTCCTACACATGTTTTTGCGGTGGAGAAACTACTAAGGATCAATAATTGTATATATTATCATATTTAATCGCTCTGTAGACCCGCTCACACCAGTTTACAGCAGCGTAGATGCAGAGTGTGGCTTTGAGCTGGAGGCCGTTGGTCCCCGTGCATCCATCCAGCACCACGTACACGGCCGTTTGTCCCACTCTGCTGAGCTCATTCAACAAACAAGACGTTATGCACTGTGCAGGAAGGTAATAGATTTAAATATTAGTCATGGGAAGTCGGCGAGGTAATGAAGTGTGGAAATCGCACAAAAATGTGTCAGGTGGATGGATGGTCACATGACTGTGTTGGCTCTATCCTGAATTCACTGCTTTTATCATGCCATTCTTTCTAGTGTTATTGCTTAGGCTTTTTCATATCAAAACAAGCAAATATGTGTTTTATTATCGTGTAATCTTGTTTTCTTTTTCTGGTGGTGTGTTTTTTTTATTTTTTTATTGTTTTTTTCATTCTATGTTCAGAAGAAATCATAACTTCTGGCCTCTTAACCAAAGTAACTAGGACTGAAAAGGATTAATCAAATTTAATTCATTTTAAAACGCTCTGATTACAAATTAATTTCTCTATAATTGAAACTTTAGCACTCAGAATTGCATTTCTTGATCCACACAAAGCTGAGTTTTCTGAACGTGACTTATACAGAAATTAACAACATTAACAAGACCGCTTTTACCTTTTTAAGAAATGTTTGTTGTAGCTTTGCTTTTGGCTGAGAGCTGATTGGCCGAGTGAGGGTGTGGTCCTCACTTTTTTATTTTTCTGAGACTCAAATAGAGCAATTATTACACAGAGAATGAAGCAGGCTACTTCAGCTTTATCAGTCTCCAATGTCGATACAGTTTGATATCTGCGTTCCAATCAACCAATACATTCATCTGTAGAATAATTGTTAGGTTTGTTGAAGTGGCTTTTTGGTTAAAGAACAAAAGCCTTACCAGAACCACACTGTATAGACATATCACTGTATACATCAGAGCATCTGTTACAGAGAATCATCTACTTCCATCACGGCTGAGAAAAATATCAGTCGTGCAGAAGGAGACAAAAGCCCGCAGCAGAAGTCGACGAGGACAAACCGATTTGCCGCCTCACAAATCTTTCATAGCGGATCCGTCCCCCACGTGTCTCCTTTTGCAGCACGTGGGGAGGACCTGGCTGTGTTTGGGCGGACCCCCCACACACACACACACACACACCCCACACACACCGAGCACTGCAGCCCGCCTCTGTCCTGGGATCTCTGCAGCGTTGAATAATTCATACCACCAGAGGAGCGCAGAGAGAAAGACCCCACCCCCAGAACAAGCCGACATGAAACTCTCATCCGGCTTGAGCATCGGGCTTGTCACGCGCTCTCTCTCATTACGTCATGTTTCGTGCGTCTGTAAAGCGGCGTTTTATTAGGTGACAAACGAATATGCAAATCACTGCATGCTGAATGAGGTTGCCGTCTTAAGCAATGTATGTGTAATGCTTTTTTTTATTGGTGAGAAGCGATACCTTTATTGTGTTGTAGGGGGAGAAAAACTAAATTTTTCTTTTTAAGTGTTTGTATACCGTAGAAATGCATCAGCAAAAAGGAGTGGCAGCTGATGCATATTCTACGGAACTGAAAGAAAGGAGCTTAGGGCAAATTTTACACTGGTCAAATCCAACTGATGCAATAGTTTTTCAATAGGCATTTCAAAACGGATTGATACATTCTGTGTCATTCTGCAGCATTATCAAAACTGATTTTTGATGTGCACGCTCACACGCAGAGAAGATTGAAACCGTCTTAGTAAACCTCAGTCAATACTATACTTTTTCACATTATGATTGTTTTATGTGCAATTTTATTAACAGAATAATAGAGGAATGCGTTTTTTTGTGTGCACATTTCCCCCAGATTCTCATACGCGTATCAGCAGCGTGATTTCACCTCCATGCATATTCTACAGAACCGATGGCAGCAATGGGTCCTCAGGGACAAATTTATGACGTACAGTAGAGTACAAATCAAATGAAACTGATCCAAGACTGTCTGTTTTTGCGGCAAGTTGATAGAGTTGTCCATCCGATGTGTACAGGGCAAATATTTAACAATTCTTTGAAAACAATTATAATTATTTCTGGATTGGATTTTGCTCTACTCTCTTTGCTCTTTTCCCTGCTTGGGACCATTACATACAGTAGACTTGAATTGATTATGGCTGATTCTCAATGTTTTTTTTTCTACCCATGCTCAAAGCTTGCGTTTTCAGTCACAGAGAAGATTGAAATTATTGTACTAAACCTGAACAAAAAATCCTATTACTTTTCAAAATATCGATTTCACCCATTATAGCCTTCATCAGATATTCTTTCTTTGATTGTATATCATTTTTTGTGATTTTATCAACAGAAGGCTAGAGAAATATGCTTTTTTTGTATGTGGACATTCCCTTAGATCCTGTCAAACCCATCAGCAGCTGCACGATATCGCCTCTTGACTTCATGTCGCCGTCTTTGTTGCCGTGAGGGTGGGGCAGAGGAGCCTGGATGCACCGTTACATAAGGGGCCACTTGCATGTGCTGGAAGCTGCAGACCGGAACAAAGGCTCTGGTCGGTTGTTTTGAGGGCACCGGGTTTGTCTGAGGAGCCGGGGCGACGCTCACGATGCTGGGTGTAATAAAGGCGTGGCCGGTGCGAGGCCGTGGAGATTGCAGATGTGGGGGTGGGGGTGGGAGGGGGTGTGCAAGGTGGAAGGGATGAAATCGATGCTGTTGATCTGCAGCGTGTGGCAGGCTCGGAGTGCGGGATTCTCTCACAAATAAATGCAAGTCAGGGGGAATCAAACTTTGTAAAATGGACTTGTTTTGTAGTGTGTTTAAAGCTGGGGTGTCTAACTTTCAAACCAGCATTTGTCTAATACAAAAATCCATCTAAACAATTTCCTTGATTTAGTCATAATTTTTACATGTATGTATTTTTGGCTTCTGTCACATATTTAAATCAGCTTTTTCAGACAGAGAGGACCACGCGTAGAGCACAGTCCTCTGCCAAAAATCTGTTTAATTCTTTTAGCCACATACTCTGAGTAAAAGGCTCCGGTGGTGTATAAATGTATATGTGGTGTAAAGCATGTGAACCCCTGTTCCAAGACCAATATATTTAAGACAATAAATTTGTATATTTTCTTTTTTGCTTTCCCATGTTCTTCTCTTTTGCTTTTCCTGAAATACGTATGGTTTGCATAAGGTCATAAACATGTCCAAACTGTGATCTCCACAAACCAGACTTACAGATACAATCAATCACAACGCTTCTTTTACTTCTGGTTAGATTACTGATTAGTTCATCTCAATATGGATATTTTTATTATAAAAATTGAATGCATCTGGTGTAGTTTTTCCTCTCAGTTTTAACTCTGCCCCAAATCAGTCATTGTTACGTGATTGTTTTTTTGTTTAGTTTAAGAATAATAACCTAAATGACCTAATGTCAGTCTCCTTTTCCTTCAATAAACTAAATAACACTTTTTTGTTTTGAGTAATATAATTTGTGACTCACCAAAAGGCTTGCGTTTGTGGGTACACTAACTACAATATAATTTCATTTTTTTAGGACCGCAAGTTGTCTAAAATGGAACGTCAGCGCTTCAAGGAGGAGGCGGAGATGCTGAAGGGGCTGCAGCATCCCAACATCGTTCGCTTCTACGACTTCTGGGAGTGTCCTCTCAAAGGGAAGAAATGCATCGTGTTGGTGACGGAACTCATGACGTCTGGAACGCTCAAAACGTCAGTATTTCATTATTGACACTTATTGCATCTTCTGTGGACAGCGGTTATCTGTCCTTTTTCCTCCTGAAGGTATCTCAAGCGTTTTAAAGTGATGAAGCCCAAAGTTTTGCGGAGCTGGTGTCGTCAGATTCTGAAAGGCTTGCATTTCCTCCACACGCGGACCCCTCCCATCATCCACAGGGACCTGAAGTGCGACAACATCTTCATCACTGGCCCCACCGGCTCCGTGAAGATCGGAGACTTGGGACTGGCTACGCTAAAAGCAGCTTCATTTGCCAAAAGTGTCATAGGTGGGTATTTATGTTGGCACTATACTGCAATCTCTAATTCAATATGAGGAAAATACTCCACAGCAATATACTATTTTTATACTTTCAATGCCCTTTTTGGACAATAACTCATTTTAACTCGATGTACTTTTCATGGGGCGGTCAGGTTTTATACGAGGTCTTCTGACAGAATAGAAAATGATCATCCATTTATTTCTGTTACATATTAGGGGTGGGAACCTCAGAGTACCTCACGATACGATACGATGTGCGATACAAAGCTCACAATTCAATTCAATTCTTTTATTTACAAAACTTATAGCCATATAGGTTATACACTTTTTTACAATGTAGGGTTGGTTGGTGTTTTGTAAAAAAACTCCCAGGAAGCTGCATTAGCTTATAGACGGGGCCCCTAAAACAACACAGCAGAACAATAACGATTATCTCACGATACTGTATGACGATGCAGCGATTATCAATATATTGGTCAGTCGAGTAGAGGGAAGTTTTACTGAAATCACCAGTCTCAGACAAAAAGAGGCGCAACAAGTGCATCTTGTTTTCAATACAGCAAGAGGCAGTGCTGCTGCCACCTGCTGGCTCCATAAAATATGCTCTAAAACTAATCCCCATACATTTTAGATTTAATAGACATCTGGGAACATGAAAATAGTAATTCGTCAATGGCAGACAATGATATCGATACTTAGCAAAAGCATATCGATAATCGATTGCGTGAGAAGGTATCATATCGATATGATTACTCCTATTACATATTGTGAATACAAATTGATGTCATGTTTTTTTTCATTTTGATGATTATGGCTTACAGTCCATTGTAAAAATATTCTGATTGTATAATTCTTTTTTACAAGCTGTGAGCCAATTATCAACATTAAGATAAGATATTCCCTTATTTGTCCCACAGTGGGGAAATAAGACAGACAGACACTAACAGAGTCTATTGTTTAAGATAATAGACAATAGAATTCAAATAAAAAGATGGTAAAATAGAGTAAAATACAATTATACTAAATGGGCATGGCGAGTTTATTTGTATAGCACAGTTCATGCACAAGGAAACTCAAAAAGTATGGGTTGGAATCCAACAAAAGGCTTGCTATATCTCACATATATTAGTTTCACATTGTAAGTTGAAATACGGAAGTAAATGTATTCGTACTAGTTTTGTATATTCTATACTTTTGACAACCCCAGTAGCTAAAAACGCTTCTTCTTCAAGTGTAAATTAAAGGATGGTTTCTGTTTCAGGCACTCCAGAGTTCATGGCCCCAGAGATGTACGAGGAGCACTATGACGAAGCAGTGGACGTGTACGCGTTCGGGATGTGCATGCTGGAGATGGCCACGTCAGAATACCCTTATGCAGAGTGCCAAAACGCTGCCCAGATTTATCGCAAAGTCACCAGCGTAAGTCCCGGTCCTGCCTCCTACAGAGCCACTGGAGCATCCGATGTATTTGCATTAACCATGGCTGAATAACTTTATAGCAGTACTTATTAGATGGGTAAAAAAATATTATGATAAGGCAAGTTATGACAAGGCAAGTTTGTTTATTTTCACAGTGCAAACAATGAGTTGCCTTGAAAACTAGTTATAAGTCTCAAAACACACATATATTCATCATGATGTTATTGTGAGTCATTTGTGTTATTGGACCTCATTTCTCTTAAAGTTGGGGTTCCTAACTTAAAAACACAAGCATGTAACTGTAATAAACTGTAGTTCTAACTTCTATGTGGCTTTCATGTGCATTTAGCTTTGGCCTCTGTTACATCTTTAGATCAGCTGTTTTCAGACAATCGAGAGAACCACACTCACTCAGTTAAAGATACAGTCAGTGATTTTTTTTCTAGACGCTTTTCTAAAAATATTGTGGGAAAACGTCCCTAAACCCTAAAAGTAGTCGAGTTATCACGTGTTTTCAAATAGTATTGGAATTGACCAGATGCCTGTCGTCTCCAAAAATTTATAAAAAATATTTTGGAGCGGACCGATAAAAATAAACCAATGGGATTCGTTAACCTCCTTCACCCTCTTCCTGTTTCTCGCGAGTGCATCTGAATTATCAAATTATTTTCTAAAACCTAAAAGGGCTGACCATAAAAAGCCAATTTCACGTTTGCCACCCACTCTCTCTGTTGTGACAAAGAAAAGATAATGCTGGATGTTTGGTTCGGTGGAGAGCCGAGGGGAGGGAGTGGTTTTGAGTTGGTGCTACGGCTAAGCTAACATCGCTAACTGCATCTTCAATCTTAAAATACTCCCCAGGTATAGCCCGGCCTTATACGAACACTGTATATTTGTAGACATTTAGATCAGTTTAGATTCGTTTAGATTAGATTCAACTTTATTGTAATTATGAAATCAGAACAATGCAACAAAATGCAGTTTAACCAGTAGAGCAATAATGCAAGTATAGGATAATATTTACAACACTGATAAATATATTTGCATGTATGAGAGACTGTACAAGCTGCTATTGCTAGTTCATACATTAATAATATTAGTTAGAACAATTATAATTTTCAATATTGAATGAATGAACAAATGTTATATACATAAATATTTAAGGGTTTTGAAAAAAATCAGTATGACAGACAAGTTTCCTTTCACTTTTGAAGCAGTCATGTAATATTACTTGGAAGAGAAATTGATTTCCGCTCATGTCTCTGGTTGAAATTTGAGCTGTGTCTTATGTGCTCTTTAACAGACAAGTAAATGGCCAGAGGCAATCTGTGAAACTCTCCCCAGATACTTTTTGTTTATTGACATTACATTACCTTTAAAGGACCGTAACAATGGCACACAGAATGCATCTCTGTTTATGTAACACCCTCACACTGCAGCATGGTTCACACTGGTAAGTAACTGATGGATTTAGAAAAGGCTTTCAGCGATGGATAAACAACTTGCTGATGTAAAGGGCAACAATATTTACAGTACATAGCATATTAAGCCGTGGTAGCTTTCATATCTGCGCGCCTTAATTGATTTGTACTTTTCCACAGGGAGTGAAGCCAGCCAGCTACAACAAGGTCAAGGATCCAGAAATAAAGGAGATTATTGGGGAGTGCATCTGTCAAAAGAAGGAGGAGCGGTGAGTGTTTGGGTTGTTTTAAAGCAGCGTGTGACTGTTTAGTTTCACCGTCTCTGCTTCACTGCTCCGACAGCTACTGCTCTGCAACATCACTTTTCCTTTTTATCTGCAGGACAAGTCTCTGTTCAGTTACATAAGTGCAAGGAAATAAGGAATAAGCACTTAGGTTATTGATGATTTTTTTTAATAGAGATTTTGGGCACGTTCCCATCTCATTTACCCCTTGCTTGTTTTTAGGGAAATTCATGAGTAGTGTATTTTAAGCTAGTGCCTTAGCGGCCATAAAATAATGTTTTTTTTTTTATTGATTTCAGTAGTTTACGATATACATTACATTTTCAGGAGGAATATAGACACACACACACACACACACACACACACACGTACACACAACCCTAACTTATGTATATACAATCATCATTCGTCTGATAACACAATGAAAGCATTATTGAAGGGAGTCAAAAATGACTTTTGAAATGGTTATACTAAAGAAAAAATAATTCTGAGATCTAAGAATAGCCTTCATTAAAACCATGTTGCTGCTAATATTGGGTAAAGGGGAAGAGTGCAGAACAATACGGAATATAGAAGTGCATCAAGTTTATTATCATTACATCAGTTAAGATCAATATTGATATTTGTTTCTGCAACATTGAAACGTTTCTGCTGTAAACTTTAGCCGTGTCCTTTGCTTTCTAAATGAAACTCTTTCTAAAACTTTTTTTTTTCTGTTCCTTTGTCAGGTACACAATCAAAGAGCTTCTGAATCACGCATTTTTTGCCGAGGACACAGGTGTGCGAGTGGAGCTGGCAGAAGAGGATGATGGGAAAAAGGCATCGATCGCTCTGAAGCTGTGGGTCGAGGACCACAAAAAACTCAAAGGGAAATACAAAGAAACCGGAGCCATCGAGTTCTCCTTCGATCTGGAGAAAGAAGTTCCTGAAGTTGTAGCACAAGAGATGGTGAGTGAAATATGGAAAGAATTATATTTATTGAGAGACTTTGAATAATAAACGTGTAGGGCAACTTCTCAATCGACTAAAAATCACAACTTCAGGCGACCAAATTAGCAAATCACAAAGACTACAATTATTTATGTTTCTTGCATAAAGAAAAACTGCGCACAAAGACAAGAAATGGCCTTTTCTTAGTGGAAATGTTCTTTTGCTTGTTCCAATCTGATATTTTATATATATATATGTATATTTTATTGTAGTGTTAAAAATAAAAAAGGGAAACAAAATAGAACTCTCATCACCAAACAAATCTGACTTAGTGTAAAAACTAATATGTATTGTATTTTAACCCTTTACAAGTTGTTTAAAAGTAAGCATGTTTTAATCAAACACACACATGCTGCAATTTGCAATCGCTGTATTAATCATCAAAATCTTACTTGTATATTCTTCTAAATTCCCTTTTGCTCAGAGACTTGTACTAAAAAGTCTCTCACTGTAGACGTCTTTATACTGTGCTTTGCTGTGTCGCGTCGTCAGATACAGTTATAGATTTTCAAGAGGGTCCTTTAAACTCTCACATGTGCACCATCATGGGTCCTTCTTTTCCTTCTTCCTCTGGTTCTCCACCTGAGACAGCTGACTCTCCTCTCTGCTTTTGCATCTCACACCTGTCCCATTTCCTCCTCTACTGCCTTTCATTTAATGGCTCAGCGCAGGGTTCATATAGAGTGTGCATGTAGAATGAACCACTTACAAAAAGGAGATGACAGGAGCTGAGTTAAGAGTCGTGTGATGTGCTTTAGGTCTAATACACACTTCTGTCTCTCCCTCTCTCTCTGATGCCTTCTGAGCAGCGGGTCTGGGCCAAAAGTGGGGGGTCATGCACAAGTGGAGAGCATGTTTTACTGCTTAGGTTAGGGATAGTACACATTGATCAACATGTCTCCATCCAAATACACCAGACCATGAAGGCTAGTTACCTGTAGTCTGTAGTCTCATGGCAGGATGATGTTACAGCCTTCACCAAACAAACTGTCATTGAAAGCCACATACAAACATAAAAACATGAAAAGCAGGTGAGTAAAAACAGCAAAAACAATAAGCATAAGAGCGTTGCACAGTGCAGGACATTACAAAGCTTAGAACACAGACAATAAGTAAGTAATCTCTATTTATATAGTGCCTTTCTCAGACCAGATTCATACAAGAAGCGCATGCCAGACCAGTACAGGTTTGTAGTGGTAGGGGAAACCGGAGCACCCAGAGGGAACCTACGCAGACACGGCGAGAACATGCAAACTCCACTCAGAAAGGTCCTGTTCTGACCGGGATTCGAACCCAGGACCTTCTTGCTGAGAAGCGAACGTGCTAACCGCTCAGGACAATAACAAAGACATCCACAAAATGCACAAATTATTAGTCCACACTTTGGCTGCAGCTTTGATTTGTTTATGAACCACAGTTTGAGAAACGGTCTCGGTGTTCTCATGTGAGCTCGGACAGTTGAAAGACAAACCTAAGCAGAAAAAAGTCTAGAGCAGACAACATGAACGTCCTTGTACATGTGTAGAGTGGTCAATGGTGAAAATAAAAATACAATACATCCCAGGACATTCTGCTTGCTAATGTATTCCTGGTAACTGCTGATTTTCTGCCTTTCTTTCCTATTTGCCGCTTTATCATTTCCTGATAGAAGCTGCTGACAGAGGCAATACTTCAAGACAATCCCCTAAATAGATTTCTTCCCCCTCTTATTTGGTTTCTCCTGTCTTGATCTCTCCTGTCTTGATCTCTCCTGATCGCGTTAAACAACCGTCCCGTTCATAAATCACATTACTATGATTGCTCTTCATCAGGTGGAGTCGGGCTTCTTCCATGAGAGTGATGTGAAGACCGTGGGGAAGTCGCTTCGTGACCGAGTGGCTCTGATCAAATGGAGACGAGAGAGGAGCGTGTCTGTGTCTCTGAGGCAGGACCGAGCTCAGGGCTCCACCAGAACCGAACCAGAAGAACTAGACCCGGACCACAACCGCCTCTGCAACCTGCCGACCAGCACCACATCGGTCACATGTGAGAGAAGGCTGCGTTTGATTTTGTATTCGACAAGTTAGACGTGACTACATAATACACAGGGATGCCTTAATCCAGTGTTCCCAAACCTTTATGAGCCGTGGCCCACCTTTGTCATTGCTAAATTTCACATGGCACACCACCAACTGAATTTGATACTAAATTGAAACCTTTATTCACAAAGCAAAGTCATTCTCGTTAGCAAATCAAACAAGCACAACAATTTTTTCTGATCATCATTCGTTTCTTAGGGGCGGGTGCTATGTGACTTGGGTGCAGCTCTGATTGCCACCCCCCGATCCAAAAATGGATTAAGGGGTAGAAAATGGATGGATGGATGGCATTAATTTCTTTTCACATGATTTTGATCAAACAGGTGATATTGGACTGTTTTGAAGGCACGCTAATAAAAACGTGACATGGCCCACTGGTTGAAAAACACAGCCTTAACCTGCCTTTTCACAGTGTAGAAACATTTTTCTTTTTTTTCTATTTGGGGGCATATTCACACACAAGAAACTAGGAAAGATGACCATAAACTTAAACCATATATGGAATACTGGCCAAACTTTGAAGCTCCTGGAACACTGACCTTTATGAAGCATTGTTTGATTGTTTTCATTCTTACATTTTAACAGTTCAAACCTGTACATAGATTATCTCGACAAAACAAAAACATATACTGTCCATATTCTGTAAATGGTAGAATTCTGTTTAATCATTTTTGACCGCCAACTGAATATAAAATCTTATTCTTATTAAATACAGTGTAATGCAGATATAGAGGACTGGGTGGTTCCTCTAGTTCCACTGCCAAAATGGGGTATGGTAGGGATTAGTTCTTGGTGTTGGTATATGAAACGACAATTAAGGCCTCACTATTGGGGAAACAAACTTCAGCAAAGAGGCATGTAATAATGGTCATTGTATGGAGTTAAAGAAGAGTCTATAAAGTCCTGCTGTATGTGTGTGTGTGTGTGTGTGTGTGTGTGTGTGTGTGTGTGTGACAGCTGACAGCACACTGGACAGTGGAACAGGATCTACAGTGTACTCCGACTCGCACAGCAGTCAGCAGAGCGTCCTCTACCAGTCGCTGGTGGAGCCCACGATGACCACGCAGCAGGTCTGTGTCCACACTCTGAACTTGATTATTCTTAACTTTTCACTTGCAGCACTTGCTTAGACAGATTTTGGTTTTGAAGGCTAGATTTGTAGTTTATTAAATCTGGGGTACCTAACTTTAGACCTCCTACATTATAACTATCTCGTTTAAATCATTAGTTATTACAAATGTATATCATTTGATCAGGCTTTTCAAACAGATAAGTTACTCGCCTCAGCCCAAAGAGTTAATTTTCAAACACTTTCTTGGGATCAGCAACATGTATTATTCCTGAAGCAAAAAAGTTAGTTACTCCAGCTTTAAGGTTAGGTCCTGGTTTGAGCATTTATGATATTTTTCTCCTTAATCTTCATTATGTAATCGAGATGTGACTTGATCTGTTTGAAATGCTTGAAAACCACTTCCTCATCATGTCACATTAGTATATTTACACGTCTTATGTTTTGCATGTCGGGCATCAGCCTGGTCAGTTCCCAGTCCGACCTCGCTCCTGTAACAAAGGCGACGTCTGGAGACCCACCCTGAGCCCCGAGATCCGGACTCACTTGGGGGCCGTCACCAGGAGGGGCAGCGCTCCCGTTATAGACACATACAGGGCCAATCACGCCGCTCAATTTAACGGACTCACTCAATCTCAGAAGCCAGTGAGCCCCACCCCTGTCGTCTTTGAGAGCCAAGCTGAGTTGAGTCCCACAGAGCTGGAAGTGGAAGACGGATTTCTCCCCCGTACCATCCTGCATCTTCTATCTCCAGAACGGCGTCTCAGTGACACCAGTGTGAGAGCTTCTTCTGAAACAGCCTATCAGAACATGGCCTCTCCAGCTCTCGGGGGACGCAGGCACTCTGACCTCAGCAGTCTTATTAGCCTCGCCTCTCATTATAATCACTTACTGTCCATGCACAGAGGACACACATGCCAGGCCTGCTTGTCTTTGCTCTACATGAGTAACCGCTTGGCCTTATCGAACGGCGGAAATGACCTTCAAACCCCCACCGCAGCCACAGCGACAACGCCAGGGTTTGGACGCCTCCAGAAGATTGCCAACGACTCTTCTGATTTCTCCCTGCTCCAGAAGAACCTTTTCAACATCATCAGCGGCAAATCGTCAAACTGCCCCAGCTTTAACTCTCAAAACGCGCACAGGACAGCGCGCAGTGATGGAGACAGCACTCTGAAGTCACAGCTCTTGTCTTGTAGTGGGGACGTGGAAAGGTCTGGAGAGTGCGTGCCTGGACACTGGGGTGAAGATCCAGTGACCAGGGGTATAGGAGTGGTATGTTTCCAGTAAATTATTTCAGCTCTCTATAACAAGGTCTTGACTGCTTACCTAACCACGTGTCTACGCCTTAACCAGTAGAAGTAAAGCCTGCATGGAGGTTCTTGTTTGCCTTTTCTGAGGCCTGTGGTCTCTGAGAATGAGGGTGGACGGTGCCAATGTCTATGCTTTTTCCTGTTCGTTCAACTCTTCCAGCCCTTCTCGAGTGATGAAAATTCTAATATCTCTATTCCCTGATTACAGCTCACTTTTACAGCTTTCCGTACTGTTGGGTTAAGAAATAATGTTGCTACTTGCAGTGTGGCTAACTAATGCTATCCTATTGTGATTAACCACTGTGTGTTTTACCATGCTCTTGTTGTTTCATCTTAAAGGGGACATAACATGCAAACTACACGTCTGACCTTATTATTAGTTTTTTCCCTTGTCATTCACAAACTGCAACAGACTCTAGAATCATATTTAATGTCTTATAATGAGACTTTGCTAATAGTAAATTCACTCTGGGCACATTATTTTCCAAAGATACTTTTTTGCAGTGTAGTAAATGCATAGTTAAAAAAAAAAAAAAAAAACACCAGGAAAGGCACGCTCAAAACGATCCCACTTTTGTAACCGGACCCTAGAAGTTGAGAACCATTGTTTTAGAATAATATCAATCTTCCACTTCATATGACGTCTCTTTTTCATTATCCGGAGACAAATAGATCCTTTATTCGTCCCACAGTGGGGAAATTTCAGTGTTGCATCACAAGTTATAGAACAGTAGGAATGAGAATCACACAGCACAAGATAAGTGAACAGCTTTACTAATTAAAATAAAACAAAATTTCTTACTCTAGCATCAAAGAAACGAGATATTATTACGTAATATCCAACAGAAGCTTGTTATGTCCTCTGTAAAGATGAATATACCTTGTGCAACGGTCGCGGAAGCTTCTCTTCATCTTGAAATAATAATATACAGCTATGATAATCCTGATTTCTGATCTTTGTGGACGACAGTTTTCTCATTTTTCTTTTTGTTTCAGGCTGGCTCTGTGGACCACCAGTATCCATCTCTTCAGGGCATGTCTAGCACCTCTCTCCAATGCCTCCAGTCGGGGCATAACCTCAGTTCTCTCCCCAACGCCGCTGGTTACGCACCGACAAACGTACAGCAGGCCACAGCACAGTACATCGCACAGGGATACCAAACACAAGGTCAACAGCCTCAGCATCCAGCCAATTCAGGATATTTTTCCATGCAACAGAGCTATCCAAACTGCGTGGCTGCCAAGCAAATGCCAACCCCAGCCACGGCCGAAATGTACAATCAACATGTGACCAATCAGCAGGAGCACCATGTTCTACAGCAGAAAGCTTTATTACCACAAACCCAGGACTATGCACATATGACCATGAACGGACCTCCGCAGCTCCCGGCGCCAGTTCAGTATTCTCAAACGTTTGTGGAGGACGACCAAAGCTTGCTCGTGCATAAAACCCAGGTGAGAATAGAAAATGTGAATGTTGACTTTATTCATATTGCAAATTTACAACAACACCAGCTACGTAAGGTGATTTACATGCACAAAAGTTATTCAAACAAGAGCAACAAGATAAGGAAAAACTGAAAAACATGTCAAATCCGGTTTATTATTGTACAGTCCTAAATCACAACAGTTGTTATCTTGGCTAACGCACCAACGCAGATCAGAGAATGAAACGGTTCAAACACAGGAAATGCAATGATGAAAAAAACACATAAAAGGCAGATGACCAATGTCAATATATGATGAAGCAACAGCCAAGACCCGGTCTCCATGGGTTTTGAGACTGGACCTGGGCTTGTTCAACAAAAACTTGTATTCTGACCTCATTAATCTGACAGGAAACTATACCAGTGAGACCAGCACCAGGATTATGTGCTCTCTCTTACGTGTCCCTGTGAGCGAGCGAGAATCAGCATCCTGGACCTGCTGAAGGTGCTTTGTTTCAGACTACAGAGTACAATGAGTTAAAATAATCAAAATGTGAAGAAATAAAAGAAGAATAAGTCTAAAAGTCATACAATGGAATATGTATTAAATTTGCAGAAAACTTTGAATTGAGGTTCATATGAAATAGTGAAGTAATTTAGTAAAACCAAGACCACCACAAACCGGCTTCGATCTACCATACAAAGTTACAGATGAAATTACTGATACTTATTTTAATACATGAAACGCTTGTATAAAACATTAAGAAGGGGCCGCCCTACATGAAGACTGAATTTTGTAGCTGGATTTGGTCAATATTTTACCTTTACAAGAATATTTCTGTTTTATTTATGAAAACAAAGCTATAATTATAATCGACTTGCTCCAAATGAAAAAAATGTATTTAAAAAACTGCCATTTATATCCACGCAGACCTTTACTGTCTGCCTTTTATCACAACGTAAGCAATTTTAGACTCTGCCTCTTTAGTCAGATTAGATATAAAACATTTTTGGATTTTTTGCCGACGCTGACCTTTCCTTCGGTTACGTGTGGCTCGCGGTTTCATATTAGATTAGATATGACGGCTCCTCAGCCCATTGTCGCTTGTTGTGCGTCCTAGCGTTTGCAGCCAGTTGGTCAAATATCAGATTTGAGTTTGTCAGTGAAGGAAGTTCTGCAAAAGGGTCTTATCTTATTCGTCTGCTATTGTTGTCGAATTCAATTGTAGGAAATGTGGCTTTTCAAAATTGGGTGATACTATTCTCGCTAACATCCTCTCACCTCGTTTCCTTTCCTAATAGGTCAATGTAAGCTAATACTGTTTGTTTCTTGAATGGAAAAAAATATGTGTATAATGTGACTCTATGTGTGTAACTATATTTGACTGTGATTTACAGACTCCAGCTCATCCTCTTCAGCCCCTGCAGATCTCAACTTCCCTCCATCCTACACATCCTTGCCAGGTAGAGATTATGTTTTGTCTTGTGCTACTTTAAAGTCATAAACGGGGAAAAAAATCCTGACATTTTATTTGTCAATCGCCATCTCCAGTGCAGTAACACACAGTAGGCACAATCTACCCTTTTAAGCTGTTAACCAAGTTTCAACATTATTCCTTCATCAAAAGTGTCTAGAGTCTGTGATATTTTCTCCAATTCTTTGATCTGGGCTGTACTTAAAGCTAGGGTACGCAAATTTTCTTTTTTTTAAATGGCACTTAGAATTTGGTAAACAAATCAGACAACAACATGGTGTCTTTCTTTTGCAAGGTCTTTTGCATACTTGTAAGAAAGAGCCCTGTTAGTCCCGATTTGAGACTTTTGGCTGAGAGCTGATTGGCTGAGTGATAGTGGTCCTCTCTTTTTCTCCTTTTTTTCTCTTTTTTGTCTATCAAAGCTGGTCTTGATATGTGAAATAGTCCAAATAATGCATGCGAGGGAAAACCATTGAGAAGTAAAGAGCTAGAAGTAGTTTTTAGACGTTTTTTTTTTTTTTATCGGTAGGTGCGAGAAATTACATTGTGCTTTTTTTAGTAAACCTCAACCATGGTGAGATCTTATTGAAGTGGAAAATGGGCGTCATGATGTAAGGATTTTTGAGGCGTGCCAAGTTAAAGATGGACGCAGAAGCAGCAAATGTTTTTGTTGAGGGGAAAATAAATGTATATTCTAAAAAGAAACAATGAAACCAGATAATGTAAATATATAAATGATACCTATAAAGATAATTTCCCTTTATGATAAATTGCATAGTGTTTGAATTCCTTCTCAGCTTTTATATAGTCCTTTATATCACGGAGGATTTCACAGATAAAGAAAGTATGAATTTCGTTGGAGGAGACCAAACATGTGTATATTGTTGAGTAGTTCAAGTCTTTTCGAACAGTTCCTAAGACACAAAAACGGCTGCATTTGATCTAAAGCGAACCGTCTCTGTGAATTCACCCTTTTCCTGATTTAGGCAATAATCCTCTGCACTGTTCTTGATTTTCCTTCTTTCCTTCTTTCCTTTTTCCTCCCACTCTTGTCTTTCACCTTAGTTCCCTCTGCAGCTCCCCACAGTGCAGGTGCTGGCCGACTGTGACCCCGCCCCCTCCTCCTCCTGCACCTCCTCCGCTCCTCCTCTTCTTCTTCCTCCTCAAATCTCTCCATCTCCCAGCCCCATGTTCCTCTGTCCCCGGCCGGCCCACCCCTCGGCCTCCCCCTCCGTCTCCCCCCTCTCCCCCCTGATGGTGGAGAACATGTTGTGTCCGAACATGACGCTCTTGCCTTCTCCCAGCCCCGCGTCTCTCCTGCCCTCTCCCACTCCCACTCCCACCCCGACGCTGACAAAGCTAGCTCCCACCTCCCCACTGCACCTTCCCCAACCCGTATTTACCTCCGCATTAAACGCATTACACCCGATTCTGGCTCACAGCAGCTCTGGTCAGAATGCACAGCCCCCAAATGGCAGCTCTCTGATGCAGGTAAATGTCCCATGCTTGTGGTCATGCTGTTGCTTCCTCATCAGCCTTTAAATGACGTGCGTGCGTTTTGATCCATGTGTTCGTTTTAGATGCACCTCGGTTTTATGTTTGAGAAAATGGCAAATGAAAATGGCACCAAAAGTGGGGTTTTTTTCTGTCTGGGTGCATACATTTTAGAAAGACGTGCAGAAGTACAAGGGCTGCAAATATCAATCTATTCACATTTTTACTTTCCATTCAACACTCTTAAATGCCTATAGCTTGTTCATGATTAGATAAAGGTGTGATTCATAGTTTAGAGAAGAAAGAATCGGAATCAGTTCATTGCCATTTGCAGAAAAAGACGACATTGGGAAATGAGATTTTAATGGTATTTGTAGTTTGCATTCAGTGCACTGTGGCGTCCTTCGAGAAAAAGAGCACAATTAGTTCAAGGCTCTCAGCGCTCTACAGTTTTACACGGTTTAACCCTTTAATACTTTCCTCATCCATTTGATAGATCACATTTTAAGTCCCTATATTTACTGAAGCCTGGACTGAAATCTACCTCTTTGTTACATCTCACTTGGTTTAAGTCACTTTTACGTCAAACTGCTTCTCAACCATTTGGTAAAGGCCTACAACAAAATGATAATGGTAAAAAAAAAAACCTAAGAAGTTATTACTGCTTCTAGATCTTAGAAAATCCAAAATGACATTGCTTCTTCAAGGAGGTAAAGGGTTAGTCATTTACAGATTTAATAAAGGAAGTAAATACTAATCAAACTTCCTTTTTTAATCAAGCAATTTTATTTGATTAATCGTTCCCGTCATGCTACGTAAAATGATGACGCTGTGTTGCCCTGGAAACATGAAACTTAATTGTCCTGTGCTGTGTTTGTAAAGACTTTTTGTGTGTTATGATGGTCAGGGGCTTCGATGTGTGTCTGCCGTCTCGCTTCTGTCATCACAAATGTGGAGTGAATAGAATATCTCTGTACACCAAAATTGCAAAGCTTTGTGTGGCCTTGGTCTGTGAAATGCGCTGTATAATTAAATATGACTTGCAAATCATACAGTATGTCCATGTGTGTATGAATATTGCATTGCACCAGTGGAGACTGACTGGTTATAATTGATCATTTGATCATTTGCTTTTGCTATCTTATTCTTGCAATCCTTCCAAACATTGACACTTCTGTAAATCTGATCAATTTATTTTGTATCGTAACAGAATCGTCGTCTCGAAGGACATTACAGAATTGTCATTTCGCCAACAACAGATCAGAGAATAAAATGATGATAAACATTTCAAACTGATAAGAAGCCTTCTGTTTTTTTCCTGTTCTTTCCTAATAAAATCCTGTAAAATAAATCATATTCTGAACCGACAAATAGTCAGAATCCATTGACACGTTTAACTAAATGACTGCAGACATTAAACACTACTTTTTTTTATATGCCAATTTTAGATTCATGAATGTTACTTCCTCCTCCATCAGGTCCCTCCGCAGACTCACATGGTCCACCCTGGAGTGGTCCCGTCACAGCTGGTGCAGCCTGGTCCTCTCCCTCAGCCTTCAGCTTCACCTGTGCACAGCGGCTCTATCCAGAGCTTCTCCGCAGACGACGGTGTGTTTCACCCACATGTGCAGACGGATTCCCAAAGAGCCACCTGTGACAGTGGCAGTCTGCCCCAGCACAAAGCACATGTCTCTGCTCACGCACCAGTGGGACAGGGGCCTACAGCAGCGGTCCTGGAGGTAAGAAAAAACTGCCACAAAATCAATACTGTCGGGATGGAAAAAATCCTCAAATCAAGATGAAAAGTATTCATGGTCACCCTTAAAAGTAGAATTGCTACATTAGCGTCTGAGGCCAGGAAATTTTCTACACGGCAAAATGGCTTCCCACAAACCTTTTACTACATTTAATTTATTTCTGTAGCAATATGTAAGGTTTTCAATTTTCATGTCACAACATCATTAATTGGTCTTAATATGTCAAAAAGCATGAATAAACTATGCTCTTTTTGAATACTTGAAATTGAGAACAGTAGTTCAGAGATATTTCAAATTATATATTAGTTTTACAGCCCCTAAGTTTTACCAATCAGAAATGGCAACCCAAATCACCGGGTTGCCAGAACTCACCGCATCAATCTAAGAAGGTCTTGTCATGATTCTCAAATAATTCACAGCAAAAATACGAATAGAACCAGAATTTCTATAGGGGAAAAGGTGTTGGTCGTAGATTTGTTGTTGACAAATCTCTTGTCTATTCAGATATTATGGTCCCAGCTGGATTAGTCTCCATATCTGGCAACCTGAGTCAGGGAGAGTGAGAGAGGCTGCAGTACCACTTTTGGCCAGATTTTTACGTACTGCTCCTTTAAGAGATGGAGTCATTAAGCACTGGTTTTTGTAGTCCTCCAACTTGTGTCTAATTTCTTCAGAAATTTGAAGTGAAAACTGATGGGTTAATTCTAGTAGTTAAGTTTTTCAACCCCAAAAATCATGCATACAAATACAAAACACAACTTGCAAGTCATTACACTCACTTTTCTTCTCTATTTGTCTTTCTAGGACCAAACCTACGAAAAACCAACTTCTGGCCAAAGCTATGACAGGTTTGCTTTCTCTTCTACTCAAATGTCAAGCTCCAATTTGCGAGTGTTATTTTGAACTCATGCAGTTGTAAAGTATGTGTAGCCGCTGGTATAATCTTTCTACATCCAAAAAGTGAATGAATGAATGAACGAAAAATACCCTTTATTAGATAGATTGATATGTACTATATTAATCCCCTGTAAGAAAAATTCAATTGTCCAGTAGCAGCAGAAACACATGCATCCATACAAACAATAAAAATGAACATAAATATTCTAAAAAATAATCCCAAATTGAGGATATCACAGACCTTTACACGGCTCTTAAGAAGCATTTGTTCTGCCTCCAGCGTCAACTCCGATGCCACGTCAGGTAAAGAGATGAGCGACGGCTGCGAAGGGACCCACGGGGGTAAATGTGACGGAAAAGTCAGAAAACACCATCGCAAGACTTCACGGACTCGCTCCAGACAGGAGAGGATCGGCAAACCCAAACTCAGCATGCTCAACGTAGGTCCTTCAAATGTCTATGTCCAAAGCTGTTTTTAACCTGCGCAGGTCCTCATCGGTTCTGCTCGCTCCTCCAGGTGTGCAACACGGGGGACAAGATGGTGGAGTGTCAGCTGGAGACGCACAATCACAAGATGGTCACGTTTAAATTCGATCTGGACGGAGACGCGCCAGAAGAAATTGCAACTTACATGGTACGTTGTGAGTTACAGCCGCTACATTCACTAAAAGATCGGCGTGTGGATGTTGGATTAGATTAAGAAATTCACCTCTTTTGGCGTTTGAGGAAGTAAAGCTGGGAAGTTTTTCCGCATGAACACTACTTTAATTTGTCCCAACAGAAAGTCTCGTAATAGTAACAATTGAGGCAATAACATGCTGTAAAAATCTTTTGAGAAAATGTTATATCTTGCGTACTTGTTGTTTTGGTTTTTTTTTTTTTTTTTGGGCTGAAGAAAACATGTAAAACTGTGACAGAGGCTAAAATTGCATACAACATACAACTTACATGCATGTTCAAACTAGATGTAACCAAGCCATTTTGAGAGCTATAGATACACTAGACAGGAGATGACTTTAGTTTTTTCAATCCTCTCTGAATGTGTTTTCATGTATGTCTCTCTGGTTTGGACCTTTTACATTTGTGCCCGAAATAAAGTATTGAATTGAAATGTTGGAACAAGGTAGAAGAATTGAATTACATGGTTACATTTTTCTGTGTCTTTGCTTTGAGTCATCCCTGTACGACTGAGAGCTTACACAAACTTGAGGTTCAAAAGTCAGGTACCCCAGCTTTAAAGATGACGTCAGCTCCTTTAATTGTATTTCATGTTTAAAAGAATGTATATTTCTGATTATAGGACACTGCACTATTATGTAAAGTAAATATTTTTCAACAATGATATATTCAGAATGGTTATTCCACTTAAGGCAGAAGTACAACCCGTAAGATTCACTGGAGGAGAACGGTTTAACCAATGATAAAGGCTTCAAGGATTTGGATTAAGGTTGACCAATCAGGAAGCTGTGGAGGTGTCTCAACAAGTTCAAAAGGTGTAGATTCAGATTTAGAAAACGTTATCCTAAAGGACAATTCATTTGCAGCAGTACACACATACTCTACACAAACACACAATGAGTCAGGCCTCACAGCGCACACAGCAGCAGGTTACAATACAAAATGTACGAAAAGGTTTCTGTCTTATCATAATTAAGTAACTGGAAAGTACTTAAGAAAAGCAACTGACTTTCTCTTTAACGTTAAGCAGTCAAGTTTACATTTAAGTTATTTTGACGAAAGTAAATATTACCGATCAATCAGTCCTTCTCTGTCCTTCCCTCTCTCCTGAATGTACTCAATTGAAACATGTTTGATCTTTTTTTAGGTGGACAACGATTTTATTCTGCTGCTGGAGAAGGAGATGTTCATTGAGCAGCTGAAGGACATCGTGGAGAAGGCGGAGGACATGTTGAGTGAGGACACAGAGCTGGAGAATGACACAGATGTGCGAGGGAGCCCCAAACAGAACAGCACAGACGTTCCCACGGAAACGGAGGTGAGACATCTGCTGCTGTCACATGTAGCATACCAATCAGAAAAAATGTTTATTAGACATGTTTTTTTGGAGAAATGTATTGTGAAATAGACAAAAGGTTAAACCATGTAACTTGATAAAAGATAGAGGACTAATTTACTCATTAATGAAAATACATAATGTGAGAATATACATAATGAGAATGTATGAACAATTTTGGGAGACATTATGTTAAAGGCAAGTCGCTTAAGAGCTTGTGTACTAATTCGGCTACTTTTGCACCTCAAGGTTTAAATGAAGGTTTGTTTGTTTTTTCTGACAAGCTTTAAGATTATATTTGAGCTATTGAAGCATAAGAACCCCACATCCAAACTTTTAACCTCTATTGGATGCTCTTGTACAAATACTCTATTAGTATTTTTGATCAAATCTGACTGTATATGTGAAAGATTAGAATAACTGTGTCCCTATTATTTAGAGTAAAATGAAACATTCTGGGAGGAACCTGGACCAGTTTGAACCCCAAACTCCCAGAAAAATGATTGTGATTCAGAAAGAGGTGTTTATACATGGGTTCAATTTTCTTGAGTTTTTTCCTCTTTAATACAAGTAAAATCTAAATACTATTCCCAGTGACATTTGCCTCAGCTGTGAAAGGGGAATTGTTAAAACCCAAATTTTGCAGTCAAATCGATTCTTTCCCCAAGCCCCAGCTATATCCTCCTTTTACAGGTGAAATTCGGTAAATGCAAAGTGAGATCATTGTAAATTAAAGTACAGAAATATATTAACTTTTGAATTATATTATAATTTTCCGTATTTCCCCTGTATACTTTGCAGGAACAATTTCAGCAGACTTAGGAGTTTGATCTTTCTCTGGGCAGAGATTGTAAGTGTGAGTAAATCAGAGGCCAAAACTAAAGGGCCTCAGGTTCGCCATAGAGTGCAGCCAATTACGTTCCAAAGGGTTTTCAGACAGATTTGGTTAAAATTGGTACCACATTTTGGAAGCATTTTATCCAATAAGGGTTTCATTTCAAACTTGAGCATGAGATCTTTTGTGTAAATAATTTCTTGTTTTTTTTATAGTCGTCTTCATATTTTTCCCCTTTTTTGCTTTGGAACACAGTGTACAAAGAGCAATGTTGTTATTTACACTAAAAAACATTGGTCATCTCGCTTTGATAGTTTCACCAACTTTAAACTAATGTGTTAAGGATACATTAATATAATTTCTTGTTTTACGTTCATAAAGGAAGTTCTATTAAGTTAAATGATGAATACTTTTTTCCCATTCTTATGCTTCAGTTGTTCAAAAAGGAAAGTCTTAAATCGAACTCGTTGCTTGTCTATTTTTGCCACGTGTAAAAGTAAAATCGCAAATAATCGACACAAATCCAACAATCAAAATGCAAGACAATTATCTACTCTGAATAATTTTAACTTTAGTGCATTCCAAATTTCACAATAGTTTTTTTTGTTTTATTGTTTTGTCCCTCAGCGTGTGGCCCGTGATGGAACCAGTTCGGACTCCCATCACTTTTAGCATTTGACTTTCTTTTTATCGGATCATTAATGTTGCTTGAGTTCCTACTTTTATTTATTTTTGTTTTATTTGTTAGGGTTCCACAACTGTTATATTCCCCAGCAGTCCTCAGCTTGTTTACCAGCAGAATGGTGAGTGGCTTATGTCTTTGATTAAAAAGCGTGAAATAGACTGGTGCTGTGATCAGAAGAATAACTGATGTGTGTGTTTTGTCCTGGAAAGTCCTGCACACGGGAAAACGCTGGTTCATCATCTGCCCAGTGGCTGAAATCCCCAACGCAGACACGGACAAAACATCTCTGACCTCTGCAGATCTCGGTAGGCGGCAACATATGATAATTCTGCACAATTCTGCTTTATTACGTAATCTCACTTTGCAGACGGTTAAAAACTTCTGCAATATTATTACTTTTATTGAAAGGAGTGGCTCTTAATGTGAATGTGCTGCGTTGTGAATTAAAAAGTAGAAGTTTTTTCCACTTTTTTTTATTTTTATTTTTTATTTTTTTTAAAGCTGGTGTACCTGACTTTCAAAACACAATAATTCAACAATGTATTAAGATTTGTCTGACTAGTCCCTAGCTCAAAACAGTCTGGTTCCGTCCTATGATTTTTACATCCATTTTATTTTCCAGACAGAAAAGTGAAGGATGACCACCCGCACTTAGCCAATCAGCTCACAGCGTCAAATAGTGACTCTTACGGCTCTTTCTCACAAATATGCAACAGATGAATGTTTTCTAATAAAATGTGGTGGTCTGATTTGTTCTTCTATTGTTTGGTACTCCACCTTTTTGAAATGTTTGCACCACAATGAATCACGTGGTAATTTTGTTCAACTAATGTTATTTTATCGATTTATATTTTCAAATCATGAAAACTAGGAAAACCAACTTTTTCCCCATAAATACATATGGTTTGTCCCAATTTAAAATGTGACAAATGAACAAAGCTGACCACAACATGCTGTTTTCATCTTATAAGAAAATAAACATGTATTTTGCCAATTATAATAAAGAACAATGGAAGTCACAATTTGATGCTTTGGGATGAGAGCTGATTGGCTGAGCGAGTGCGGTCCTCTCAGTCCCATATTTTATCAAAGATCAGCTTTTCTGACAAAATGAAGAAGATGCAAAAAGTATATGCGTGTGAAACCTAGAGATGGTGACAAACTGTTTTGAGAGAGGGGAACTAGTTTGATGGATTTGATCACATACAGTACTTATTTTGCTGTGGTTTGAAAGTTAGGTACCCCAGCTTTAAGCCCCAATGCATTATAAAGTTGTTATTCTCGTGGTTGTCCATGCAGTAATGCTTGTGGTTGGTTACATAACCGTGATTCTGCAGTGGGTCGAAGCAGAAATGTAGAGTAGAATTGACTCAAGTGCTGACAACGCCTTATGGTGATTCCGGTGACATAATGGTGTATGAGCACTCAGGATTTGGGATTTACTCAGAGAAGCAATATGAAACTACTAATGTATGCTTTCGCTTTAATTATCTCCCTTCCCAGAATCGGAAAACTCGTCCGTCAAGCCCAGTACCACCAGTGCTGCAGTGTCTACTCACACTGCATCTTCATCCAGTCCAACCGTCTCCACCCTGCCCCCCGCTGACAAAACAGCGTCATTACAAGCACAGGACCAAAACAAGAGCAATGCCCAGATACAGCAGCCGCAGGCCAGCGTGCCAAAGCCTCCCCTCCCTCCCGCTCCTCTCAACCACTCATTCCCCGTCGAGGATCCGTGCGTCTCTCTGGTAACGGAGATGCCATGCTGTGCCATAGTGCCGCCCATTTCGCTGGAAGTGAACGCCAATGACAAAATGGCACTTACAAATGCGTTGCCGTCTCAAAAAGCCCAAAGTAAAATAAGTCCAGGGGGAGATATTGCTTCCCAGCAGTCTGTAGTATTGCAACAACCTTTCTCTTCGTCGCTGCCATCTGGAGCGGTGACGTCACAGCCGGAGAGTCCCGCACACCAAGCGTCCAGTGGCCACCAGGGGGAGTCAGACAGCGAGGGGCCGCGGAGAGTGGAGTTTGTGGATCGGACAATTAAGACTTTAGATGAGAAACTGAGGAATCTTCTCTATCAGGAGCATGGGCCGTCTCAGTCCTGCAACATGTCGGATCAGCAGGCGTCCAGCGCGGAGGACATCAGCTCTACTCCGGGGTCGGACGGGCAAAGTACAGAGGGGGGGCCTTCCAAGAAGAAGGGGGAGCCCATGGTAAATATGAATCCAATCTTTTCAGCAGGAGAAACACTTTTAAAGGACACGTATTATGCTAACGTCTCCTTTGAGTTTTTAACCATAGTACAACTTTCAGACATGGAGTTGTTTTGATCTCCATCCATGTTGATAAGAGGAACTGTTTGATGCCTTTTTATTTTAAACACAAAAGAACAGCCTCTAAATTAGTTAAGGCAATATTTCAAGTCAAATGAGGTTCCTTACAACTGCATGCCTTCAACATTGAAGTCTGTAAGATAGCTGAATTTAAGATCCCACTTTAACCACTTTATTACTCAAGATTGTAACAACAAGATTGTATTTTTACTTTAGAAATATCACATTGATGTCATAAAATGTGAATGTCCTTTAAACATGTAAATATTGTTAAGGACAATAAGGAACAAAAATAATGCATAATAAGTGTTCTTTAATGTTCACTGTTCTATCAAACATCCATGTGACGACTCTTTTATTATGTTGAATTAAAGTGGTATTAAAAATATTCACTCAAAGGTACAGATACGTTTGTATTTGTTGCATCACTGCCACTTCTACTTCTAACTTCAATCAGAGGTTATTAGACAAGTGTCCCAGATACCAGTCACAATTATTTTACTTGCTGCCAGAATATATGTAATATGTAAATTATGTAACAAAAATAAACATCATTTTTCAGCCGCAGATTCCAGAGCATGCAGATGTGAATGCAGACAACTCTACAGGGACAAGTAAGTGTCTTGTGTTATTTTGAAACAATTTAAAAATACATTTTTAAATTCTAAATTGTATTTGTTTTAGGCGCTAAGCATCTAAACGGAAAAGGCTCCAAAGGCCGCTTTCAAGTAAGCAAACTACATTTAATGCCACCAATTATTTGAATAACTATTTGAAGCATGATTTTGATGCTTTTGCCTTTTTTTTCTTCTCAGGTCCTTCCTACCCCTGCTGATGCCATTTGCAACATGGAGAAATGCAAGACAAGTCCAAGCATTTGTAGCTCTGCAGCTCCTTCTAGAGGTTTGAATGGTCCTCACAGCCACGTCAAGAGCTTAGCCAAGTCCAAGGGCCAAGATGATGGCAACACCTCAGAACCCTCCAAGTCAAATACAAACCGATACTCCGCCCCACCAGGCTTGTACCAGGCCACTCCGGTGTCCAGCCCCAACAGCACGCCACAGCATATTCCAAGAGCCAAAACAATGGAATCTTCCACTCATCAGCAGTATTCCGATTCGGCGGATGAGGAGAGCAGTAGTTTGGCCCCTCCCATGTCGCACCCGGCTCCGCCCACACACGCTCTGTCTGAACACAGTGGGAGTGACCTCATGAAACGGGCAGTGGCGTTCTTGAGGCGCAGTGGGCGGAGCAAAAGCGAGCACAGCGCAGATTCGGCAAACCGTCACTGCGTTGCCATGAACGGACACGTCCCCTCGCCCTCTCCGGGTCACACCCAGTCGTCGTACATCAGCAGTGACAACGACTCGGAGTTTGAGGACGCTGACATGAAGAGAGAGCTGCAGAAGCTGAGGGAAAAGTAAAATGACACCCACTATTTTTATTTTCTTGTTCTGGTTTCATTTGGTAGGATGATGCTGGTTGTAGATATTACATTATAGTTTTGCACCAATCTATTTTGTGGAAAATCATACAGGAATTCAAACCAGGAAGAAAAATACGAGCTTCATTCACACACATTTCCAAGTTGTTCGAACAAAAGGCACTTTGAAATGACAAATCTCTCATGAAGTTCCTTACTCATGTCTCATGCGGAATGAGATAATAATACCTGACAACAAGACACAATATACTTCCTTGAGTGAATATACTTCCTTGAATTGGGGAAATGTTTCTTTCTCTTGTTTTTTGTTTGCAAGTTGCAACTTCAAAATGTGTAATTTCTATAAGATCGCAATTAATCTTACTGCCCTACATTTACCTACAGGTAAATCCCACTGAGATCGCGAAATCTATTTTTCAGAAGAGTCTTAGCCGCAGAGTAGGAGGATGGGAGTTAGATTGGGGGGCTTTACGAGGGACTATTATACATGTTATTAGTGGTATGGTAATGGGAGCACCTGGAGGAAACCTACACAGGTAGAACATGCAAACTCCACAAAGAAAGGCTTGAAGGTGAAATCAAACTAAGGACCTTCTTGCTGTGAAGCGTATGCACATCTAATGCACCACCCTACTATTTAGTACTTTAGTTAACTTTAAAACTGTAACATCTCAGGTTGCATTGGTATTTAATGTGTATTTATTTATGCGTGCTGTTTGCCTGTGATATAGGTAACACTTCTTTCCATCTCTTCAGACACATGAAGGAGATCTCAGAGCTGCAGGCTTTCCAGAGGAATGAGATCGAGCGCCTGTATAAGGATCTGGGGAAAACACTGCCCCCTAGTGTCGGCCTTCTTCACGCTGTTCCTCCCAGCGGCAGGAGACGCAGGACCAGCAAACACAAGCTGAAGGCCGGGAAACTGCAGAACCCCATGGTGCAGCAGCTCAGGAACAATGTCACTGTTTCTCCTACTGACAGAAAAGGTTTGTGGGGACAGATATGAGAGTTTTATTTGTCTACTTTATAGCTCGAGAATGAAACTATTGCATGTCACTCAACAGCTCCACATCTGAAAAACTGTTGTATCAGTCTGGTGTCTGTATCACTGGGGGATCAGATTCATGCAAACATATGAATTGAAACATCCCTTAGATTCTGTCTTTTATTGACGTGCATGATTTTATTTGACGCTGGTTCATTCTACAACATGAATACTCCTCCTTTTAGGGGACAGCGCGGTCAGTTCGTCCGACTCTCCGGCCAAAAGCTCCCTGTTGTCTGAGGGCTCCACAGTGTCCAGTGTGAGCTCTGGATCCAGTGCTCCTCCCAGACCTGGTCCAGTCCCGGTCCAGACCCAGCAGCCATGTTCCCTGAAAGGCTCCATCTCCTCTGACAACATCTACAGTGGAGCGCACAGTGACCGGACACAAGCTGCTCAAGGTACGCACAATAAAACACACTGTATTCACTGTGGTTTAACCTTTAGTTTGATTATACAACATTAGGACTTTGGTATATTACACACAATTATCTATTTTATTCAATTATATCAACATTTTTAGATGACTGTATATGATGATGATTTTTGGGTAAATGTACGATAAAAATGTGATTTCTATGTGTGTGTATGTGTATGTAGATAGGTAGGGAAGTGCGTACATTATTGATGATGAAAATGATGATAATAGTAATACAATTCTGTTAATGGTTTATGGCTGCAGTGTATTGGAATTGAGTGTGTTATGCAAAAGCAGTGACAAGGACTGAGATAACAAATACATTGTCAGATTTTATATCCCCTCCAAAAAAAGAATTTCCATAAACCAAACAAAATGTTGCACTACTAGTAATTCCACATTTCATTCTGCTCCTTCTCCTTGTCGCTCATCTTGTACTCTCCTGTTAAGAGAGTCTGTTATTGGTCAAAGTGCAATTACATAATCCCAAATTATTGAGATGTTATTTAGATAAAGAACTATGCAGTTAAAGGGGCGCTCCTCGACGGTCCTGGTGGTGGCTCCGCTTTTTTTCTGGGTTCATCTGCCATTGTAAAAATTAAAGAATACACATGTTTTAAAACTAAGTGAGCGGCATTTCAATCAAAGCAATATTTTTCACATATATATTTAGCCAACACTGGACGCTAAATGTAATGTACAAGCCACACATGTCTAGTTGGGAATTTTGATCAGTAGTCCCTGAGTAGAGGCAAAGTGACAACAAGTCTACAGTGTGGAAAGGATAAATGAAATGGCCTAAGAATGCATGTAAAATATAACACGGTTAATGATATATTTGTGATAAGAAGCAGGTATCGGACTACTTCACAAAAAGGCGGTCACCAGCAGGACAGTTGAGGAATGCCACTTTAAATAACTACGCTAACATAAATCATTGCCATCTGCTTATACTCTGCTGGTATTTTTGGCTATGGATAGATTCTGGGTTTCTCATACCATTCCCTGTGCACTTTCACATGATGTCTTTCTTTGTTTCTTCTCTTCTTCCTTTTATACTCATCTTCACAGGCTGGAGCGTTTACCACCAAACAACAGAGAGAGTCACCTATAAATCTAGTAGCAAACCTCGCGCTAGATTCCTCAGTGGACCTGTGTCTCTGTCCATCTGTTTGTATTTGTTTTTTTCTATTTCCTATCTTTCACTCCCATCCCTTGATTTCAAACACTGTCATTTCCATTTGGCCAGTATTCCAAACTTTTCACCCAATAAATGCTACTGGACTGACGCTGCCAAAAGCATTTGTGCTATGGGACAGTTTATGCAATCAAATTTTTTTGTTTTTTTCAACTCTAGAATTAAATAAGACCCACAATGAGTGTGTTTACAAAGCTTTCGGAAATCGAACCCCAGTTTAACTAGATTGATACAGATTAATTTAATCCTGTGCACGCCAAGTGAGGTGTGACAAATCAGGAGCTGGTGTACGCCGATTCTAATACAGTTAAGCTGCATGTATACGCGTCAATCGGATCAGAACGAAACTATGAGACGTGATGCATTTGAGACCAAGGGTAAAGGCTTTTTTAATATTCAGTTATATTAGAAATGTATGTATTTGGCAGACCTAGACAACTTATCTTGTTTGGGGTTTTGTTTTGTGGAGCAAAGCAAAAGAACAACAACAAAACGTAACAGGAATCATGGTGCTTTCAAGAACGCAGCGAAAATTGCATTACTTGCGCTGCAGCAGTTAAGCATGTGTGAAAATCTAATGCCCAAAGTCAACACAATAATGTTGTGTGATTACATTTTCAGAACATGTGCTGATAATGTATGTATGATAGCCACTTTGGTTACAATTACACATACAAAGTTTAAGTAATAAGAGAAAGTCACGAGATGTCTTCGAAAGCATCCAAAAGTTCGGGAGGTCTGAGCTGCGTCTCCACAGCCTGTTTGATAATCTTATCTAATTTATTGCGGTTTTTGAACATACTCCATGTTCTTATGCTTTGTAAATGCACTCATTTAGTACCTTGTGTTAGCCTTGTTGCCATATTGTTGTGAGGATGGCTCTCTCTGGGCTTCATTTGGATGAAGAAGACTGCATGGTCCAGGCAGGGCACTGACGGACACTTGGTCGCCAATTTAAGGGCTGTATACCACATACAGTAAATAATACATTTATCCCCTCCACCTTTGAGTTACCTGCATGCCTTGGATTTTATGGCTTTCATTTTCAAGTTTTTTGTGCCCACTGTGAGTTAATTTTGTATCACTTACTCACTATATTGTATGTTTGAGGCAGGGATATTTTAAGACTTTTTTTTAGATTGAAGTAAATTTACTCTCCTTACAAGTTCATCTTGTCTGAACAACAAAGAACACATAGATACTGGCTGCATCTGAATTCTCAAGATATCTCCTTCCTTATCCATCCTTGTTCTTTTTATTGACCTGAATTTGACCATCGTGGCATTATGAAAATGTTGGATTTCATATCTCATATCTGAAGAAATATTAAGCTGGCCAGAAAGTATGGTTTTCTTATATATTATTATATTTGTTATATTTTTGTATTCTTTACATTACAAGATCTTTTGACACAAGATATGTATTCTATTTAACATGAGTTTGGATGTTTTCTGGTATATTTTATTTTACTGTTTACCTCGGATTTGGTTTAAAATGAACAAAAATTGCTTTTTCAACAAAAAACAAAAAAAATACATGACATGCACACATACACACCCAGGTCCAGGACATAAAAATCAATGAAATTATAGATAAATTCTAATTATTACTTCTTAAGCCTATCCACGTTGATGCCTCTTTAGTATTAACATGATGTTGACTTACCATTTGAGCCAGGCGAGCCATATTAACATGGTGTGTTTGTTTCCATGGTAATCATTTCAGGGGACACTAAAAAATGGTCTCTGGGACGGATTTGTTCTGTGAAACCTGTCCTAAATGGTCATTTTAAAAGCACAAGAAAGGCTTTGGAAGGAGGTGTTTTTTTCTGAATTCTGATGCAGCCACTGACTCTCACACAGGCATGACACCCCTCCTCACCTTTTCTTCCCCTAAATGTTTTTATAGATCAATTTGAAGATATTTGTCCGCTGTTTAGTGTGTTTTGGCCTAACTATTTCTGTCCTGTGTTGTTCTACCTTTTTAGGGTCTACTCTGAAACGACTTTGTCTAGGCAAAGAGCGCAGTAGTAGTAACTATCTTATTTCTTCTCTATTCTATGTCTTCCTCTGTCCACACCTTCAAACACGTATCACAATTGTATGCATTTTATATATTGGATTGTGTAATCCAGTGTGTTTTTATTCTTGGTTAATTGAATCATTGTTCTTACTTTTTGTCGCATGGCAATTTTGCAACATTGCTTGCATTTTGTTTTATTTGTATTTTGATTACACTTAATCTGTTGGCTGTAGCTCTGTAATAATTGACCACAACAGATGCATACAGTTACCTACAGCCAATAGATAAAAATGTCAAACAAGTTCTAATTTGTATTTGTTTTTTCAGGGTCCTCCCTCAGCACTGCTGCAGCCCAGCCACCCCCTCTGACCACACCTTCACCCACTCCGCAGCCACTCCCGCGACTCGCTCAGGTCCAAACCAACAACAGCAACAACAAAAAAGGCACTTTCACAGAGGACCTTCACAAACTGGTAGATGACTGGACAAAGGAAACATTGTCTCTCTCTCATAAAACCCGCCCCACACTCAACCAAATGAAACATGAACGACGGCAACAAGAACTGCAAGGCAAAGGCCCCCCCTTCCGACCTGCTGCACACGAGGTATTTAGGACGGACCGCTTTCAATGATGACTCTGGATCACCCCTAGCTTCAGCCTTTGACATTCAATATGAAGCTAGTTTGATTTGTGCCATTTGTAAACTCTGTTCCTTTCCAGATAAAATGCCATGCCAATGTTGGTTGCAGCCAGTTCCGTCTGCCTCTTTCCTGCCCCCTGTCTGCTGCTTTAAGACCTGGTTTCCCCTCAAACTACAATCCCAGCTCCTCTGTCCTACTTCCTACTGCGTATGACATTCCGTTAGGATGTTATGGCTCTCGGGAAGCCGTTTCTCTCTGCTCTCAGTTTCCTGGGACGCCTGCTCCTCTGGTGGGTTCCAGTTCTGCCGTTGATCTGCTTGGTGCTGCAAGAACCACGCCATATGTTGCAATGACAAACCCGGGGATGAAAGCCTATCCTGTGGTCATGCTCTCAGCTGACGGCGCATGTCCGAAAATCACAAGAACTAAATAATCAACTGTTTGAACAAGGAATTGGACTTTCTACGCTTGAGGGGGGACATGGTGTTAAGATATTCTTGATACAACATCTCTGTGTAGTGTATGTGCGCGTGTGTGTGTGAGTGGCATTTGTGGAAAGCGAGGAATCATGTGTTCATAATGTATGTCTGAAATACGTTCGGTTCCAGCCCAATGTCTGTTTAATACATTTGGCATTGGTTCATGACATTTGGGTCATGACATTTTTTGGGGTGATAATAAACGGTAATTAATGTTGTAATGTGCACAAGCTACATTGGTTTGGGACATTCAAACAAATTTTGGGGTAATGTTGTGCCTTGGACTTTTTCTTTTTGGGAATCCAATCATGTTTGCAAACAAATAATTTTTCACTCAAAGTACTGATGGATAACTTCAGTGCATTTGGTCTTTTTATTTTTTAAATATTATTTTCATAAATGTCCTTGCTACACTGCACTTTTTCAACATATGCTCTTAATTGAATAAAATGTTGTATTTCTGTTTTTTCACATTGTGACTGATGGTAATTCCTAATAATGAAATGTACAGTTGCCTTGTAAAAACATTTGAATTATGAATACAATTGCAAAGATATCTTACAACGCCAGCAGCCAAAATCACTTCTTCAGGTTGAATGGTTCAGTGGGACTCTGCCTCTTTGGATAGCTCCTGCTGCAGGCTTCTACTGAGAGGAAAGACTGATAACAGAGCCAGGTATGTTGTACATAGTAATTATATACCTGACTCTGGTACAGCCTTAATCAGAATGTAGCTATTAATACATGCAGGTTTGAGGCTTAAAAGTGCAATTTCTTCTCTCCACAAAGCTTTGATAGTGGCCTTGCCACAAGCCTTAAAGATGCCACCTGTAAAGTAGATAAAGATGAGTCATGTAGGTTCCATGTTGAGTAACAAGAAAACCGTCGTAGAATAAAAACTGGTAAATGTTTTTCCTTTCATCTCTGCTGCACTACAGCACCCACTATAGATTTTGTGTGCAATCAATTATTTTACAATAGTATTTTTAAATGGTATTTTATGTTTGGAGCTCAATTTTCTGTGTGTTTCTTATGCTGCTATTTTGAGGAAACCCCACTGTATAGTTTCCACCAATTGTATGGTACTTAAATAAAGAACCCTCTTAAATTAAGTTTGACTTATTTATTATTATTTAATCTTTAATTCAGACACAAAGGGTCCATATAAAACAAAAGAGACAAAAAACACACATTCATTGTTTATCTGGTAAACTGGTACCAGATACGGTACCAGTTTATTGATGGACTTTTTACGCCATGTTGTTCAGTGCTCCCCGAGGGGGGCGTGACTGTTTACATCCGAGGCCTCTCGGCCCCCACTACCACCTTCCTCCTCCACTCCAGCACCGGGTGAGTACTGTGGTGCAAACACTGACCCCTGTCCGTCTGGCAGTGTAACGACAGTCCTGCCATTGAACGGTGCTTACTCAGCCATGCATCTGGAACTTAACAAAGTAAAACAGAGTTCACTTTTTAAACCAATAGAGACTGTGTGTGTTCCTCGCACCGGCTCAGAAATGTGTTTTAATTTGAATAAACACAAATATAACAGAAGGACAGCAGTTAGACGGTCCAACTCAGGAAATCTAATTCCAATTCTTTGTAGTCAATCAACTAAACCCACTGACACTGACATTATTTTTAACCTTGCTCTGCTTAATGTCAGATCACTATGCAATAAATCCTTTTTAATTAATAATTTTATCTGTTCTTATGATCTTGACTTTATGTTTATGACTGAAACTTGGCTTGACCATAATACAGAAAATGCAGTTTTAATAGAAACAACACCACCAAATTTCAAATTTGAATCAGAAATTCGAGAAAATAAAAGAGGAGGAGGCACAGCAGCAGTTTTTAAAGATTGTATTGTCTCCCATAGAGTACCTCTTGGGAAATTTTCCTCATTTGAGTATGTCTCTTTTAAAATAGAACAAAAACAATCTTCTATTCTTATTATTGTTGTGTACAAGCCGCCACAGTCATGTCATAGTTTCACTGATCATTTCACCGAGTTGCTTTCAGTTGTGTGCACAGACTTTGATAGTTTAGTCGTCATAGGTGATTTTAATATACATGTAGATAACATTAATGATAGATACGCGAAAGAGCTGAGCTCTGTGCTGGAAACCTTTGGTCTCACTCAGCATGTGAGTGGCCCCACCCATAGCAGAGGACACACTCTCGATCTGCTAATTACTAAAGGGGTTAATATCTCAAATGTAAATGTGGCCAATGTTGCTCTGTCAGATCATTTCTGTGTATTTTTTGATATGTGTCTCAATAGTAAAGCACGAGCTGAATCCTCAATTGTTAGAAGAAGAAGACACATAAACAAAAATACAGGTGAACTTTTCATGGGGATGATAAACTTTGATAACACGTTGTGTTCTACGGTGGATGAATTACTTAACTCTGTCACCTCTAGTGTTTTGGATGTTCTGGACACGATTGCTCCTGTAAAGGTCAAAATTGTTACAAATAAGCAAAAGGCGCCATGGACAAAAGCAGACTCTGTCAGGGCACAGAAGAGAGAGTGCCGGAGAGCCGAGCGGAAGTGGCGAAAGTCAAATCTCCAAGTTGACCATGAGATCTTCAAAGATGCATTGTGCAAGTTCAACAGTGTGCTACGTAGAACGAGGGAAACTTATTTTTCCGAAACAATCGAAGGTTGTAGTGGCAATCTACGCGTTCTGTTCTCAACGGTAAATAAATTGACAAATCCCCCTGTTAAGATGCCATCAGAGCTTACCTCCAAAACCAAATGTAATGAGTTGCAGAGTTTTTTAATGACAAAGTCCAAGGCATCAAAAATGCCATCACCTCCACAGTAGAAATTACAATCCACAACAGCCAGTGAAGCTTTTTGGGCTGACACACTTTACACCAGTACAAAATGAAACTGTCCAAATGATAATTACAAGTCTGAGTTCTTCTACATGTAGCCTGGATGTATTACCTCCTAGATTTCTTAAATCTGTTCTGAGCAGTCTTTTACCTTCACTCACGCATATAGTAAATATGTCTCTTGAATCTGGAACATTCCCAATGGCCCTGAAAACGGCAGTCATCAGACCCCTCCTAAAAAAGAGGAGTCTGGATGCCTTGGCACTTAAAAGTTATCGGCCCATTTCAAATCTGCCTTTCATGGGTAAAATTCTAGAAAAAGTTGTCTATCAACAACTTACAGAATTTTTAATAATCAATCACTCTTTTGATATGTTCCAGTCTGGTTTTAGACCCCACCACAGCACAGAGACCGCTCTAGTGAAGGTAACAAATGACATCAGACTTAACACTGACGCAGGAAAAGTCTCAGTTCTTATCCTGTTAGATTTGAGTGCTGCTTTCGACACTGTCGATCATGGTATCCTCATTCAGAGACTTGAGGACTGGGTTGGTGTTTCTGGAACAGCCCTAAGCTGGTTTATATCCTACCTACAGGACAGAAAGTATTTTGTGGAGATCGGAAACTGTGTCTCAGACCATCTGGCCCTGACCTGCGGAGTGCCACAGGGCTCAATCCTGGGGCCTCTCCTGTTTAATATTTACATGCTGCCTCTGGGTAGGTTAATACACAGTAATAACGTGTCCTATCACAATTACGCTGACGATACTCAGGTCTATGTGTCCCTGACAGCAGGAGAACATGGACCAGTGGACTCGCTCCTTCACTGTATCCAACAGATCAGTGATTGGATGCAAAATAACTTTCTCCAGCTAAACACAGAAAAAACTGAAATTATTGTTTTCGGACCTCAGAAACAAAGAGAGAGCGTTATCTGCCACCTCCAGTCTCTCTCCCTGAAACCCTCAACTCAGGTCAGAAATCTAGGAGTAATAATGGACTCAGACTTGAATTTCAATAGCCACATATCATCTGTGACATCATCAGCTTACTTCCACCTAAGAAACATTGCTAAAATTAAAAACATTGTGTCTAAAGCAGACTTGGAGATTCTTATCCACGCATTTGTCTCCAGTCGATTGGACTACTGCAATGGCTTGTTCACAGGTCTCTCTAAACAAGCGGTAAAACAGCTGCAGTACATCCAAAATGCTGCAGCTCGAGTCCTGACTAGAACCAGGAAGTACGACCACATTAGTCCGGTCCTCAGGTCTCTGCACTGGCTTCCTGTGGCTCAGAGAATAGATTTTAAAGTAGCTTTACTTGTGTACAAGTCTCTCCATGGCCTCGCACCAGGGTACATCCGCGACATGTTGGTGCCATATGAACCAACTCGGGCTCTGAGGAGCACAGGGACTGGACTTCTGTTAGTGCCAAGAGTCGGAACTAGACATGGGGAGGCTGCGTTTCAGATTCATGCAGCTAGAGTCTGGAACCGTCTTCCCGAGAGTGTGAGACAGGCGTCTACTCTAGCAGTTTTTAAAACTGAACTGAAAACAGTTCTTTTTAGCTGTGCATACAAGTGAATGATTTTACATTTGTTTTTATCTTTAATCTTTTTAATGCGCTATGATTATTTATGATTATTTATGATTGTAATCCCTTGTGTGATTTTAATTTTTTACGGTTTTTAACTACTTGTGTGATTTTATATATCTTGTGCTCTTAATCTGTCTTTTTATGTTTACTTAAATTCTAATGTTTGATGATTTATGCATGATGTTATATGGGTTGTGAGGCGCTTTGCGTTGCCTTGTGTAGGAAAGGCGCTCTATAAATAAACGTTGATTGATTGATTGATTGATCTTATCTTCTAACAAGATTATCATTTTATAAAATGAATACATGTGCCACATGTTGAATAAATCTATCAATCAGCATAGAGCCCATCATAAATATACAACTATATCATAAAGAAAACTGATTTATTTTTTTAATGAGCCTTAGCTGACCGCGGTAAAGTGGGCCGCATCTTTCACCTCCGAAGTAAAACGGCCCGCATCGAGAGAAAAGCAGTGCGCGTTTTGTTGACTGCTTACGGTAATAGCAGAACAGCCTTTCGCAGTCAGCTTTTCTCCTCGAACAGAAAGCGCGCTTAGGAGACTCGTTTAGTGAATAAACCCTTATTTGGAAAAGCATGTAAAAACTTAAAAAGTTCAACATTTAATTTGGTCAAAAAGTGAAATTTTCAGCTGCTGTCCATTTTTACAGTAGAGACTTGAGTATCTTATTCCACTGGGTGTATGACCTCACCACTGCCTTCACCGCTGTGCCTACAACCACAAACCTTTACTTTGGAAATTGTGGGTAAAATTGAGACAAATTACACGTTTTAGTCCAAAATACACAAAACTAAGAAAATTCCCACCTTTGATCTACTGTAACGTTTTTACTGTAAAAAGGTGTGAGACTAATTTCACTGGATTCATGACCTCAACATTGCCCTCTACCACTGTACCAAAGACCAGGAACTTTTACTGTAGAAATATTGAGAAATATTGAGGTAAAGTAGCCATTTTGGTCCAAAATACCTCCAAAATAGTCAAAACATGTCACTTTTGATCTACTGTATCCTCTTACTGTAAAAAGGTGTGCGACTAATTTCACTGGATTCATGACCTCAACATTGCCCTCTACCACTGTACCAAAGACCAGACACTTTTACTGTAGAAATATTGAGAAATATTGATTTAAAGTAGTCATTTTGGTCCAAAATAGCCTAAAAATGGTCAAAACATGTCACTTTTGATCACCTTTTTACAGTAAGAAGATACAGTAGATCAAAAATGACATGTTTTGACTATTTGAGGTATTTTGGACCAAAATGGCTACTTTACCTCAATATTTCTCAATATTTCTACAGTAAAAGTTTCTGGTCTTTGGTACAGTGGTAGAGGGCAATGTTGAGGTCATGAATCCAGTGAAATTAGTCGCACACCTTTTTACAGTAAGAAGATACAGTAGCTCAAAAGTGACATGTTTTGACCATTTTTAGGCTATTTTGGACCAAAATGACTACTTTAAATCAATATTTCTCAATATTTCTACAGTAAAAGTGTCTGGTCTTTGGTACAGTGGTAGAGGGCAATGTTGAGGTCATGAATCCAGTGAAATTAGTCGCACACCTTTTTACAGTAAAAAGTTACAGTAGATCAAAAGTGACATGTTTTGACTATTTTGGAGGTATTTTGGACCAAAATGGCTACTTTACCTCAATATTTCTCAATATTTCTACAGTAAAAGTTTCTGGTCTTTGGTACAGTGGTAGAGGGCAATAATAAGGTCATGAGTCAAGTGAAATTAGTCGCACACCTTATTCCAGTAAATAGTTACAATACTTGAAAATTGCACTAGCGGACCAAATTGTGTACTTTATATATGTAAACAATAGAGTGGCTATCCTCCTGAGGACTCACAATCTGCAGGAGGAATCGTAGGGGGCTGGTGCTATGTGTGCCGGGTGGCATCTCTATAAGGTTTTAATCACAAAAACGTGTCTCCCTGACCCCAGCGCGCTTTCTGTTCGATAAAAATGGGTGACTCCGAAAGGACGTTCCGCTGTTACCGTAAGTTCTCAACAAAACGCGCACCGTCTTTTCCCCGATGCGGGCCGCATGTTCATAGAGCTGAAAGATGCGGGCCACTTTACCGCGGTCCTTAGCTGCAATGCTACCATTGTCCACCAGGAGGTCTGTGACATTGTATCAAAAAACGGTGGACGGTGAAATGGTGTGTCAGGGATTAAGCAGACCTGCAGCTTTGTACATCTCGTATTCAAATACTTGAGGCCGATCAGACAGCAGTAAAAGCATAGATGTGCAATGAAGATTGGGCAGCAGCCTGGAAGTCCACTGCTGTGCGGCAACAACATGGCCACAGCGCGCTACAACATGAGTGGCGAATGTGCGGGCAGATACGTACATTATATATTTAGTGAACGATAAGATACAAAACATAAATTGAAGTAGTAATAAAATAGTATGTGTTATGATGTATGAATAACTTAATTGTATTTAGAATAAAAAACGAAGACAATGAATTTCTCGAATCTGCGAAGCACTACATTCTACGTGACGCTTTGAACGCCACAGCAATGGACGCCCCTTTTGTCCAGAGGAGTTCCTGAATTCCTCCCATCACAATGGAATAATTGGGTTATTATTTTTGTTTAGTACACATTTCAGTACATGTGCCCCTGCTGTGATATATTATGAGGTGAACCGATGGATTAAAATCGACTGGATAATGTTATATGTGGCGTGAAAGCTCTCCCGGGGCACATTCTTGAAGAACGTGTAGTAAGTGTTTATAATGCTACACACAACAGCGAGCTGCTCTTGCTCTTCTTTCACCAACCGAGTCTATTTTACTTTGTGAATTGTGACGATAAGATGAATTATGGACATGCGTTTGGACATTCTGCCTGTGTGCTGAAATACAGAGAGCAAAGTTACCGAGCATGTAGCTCTTTTAGGCTTTTCGTTCTTTCACAAATAAAGTAGATTGTTCACTGATTATTCCAACACTTTTAGTAGTTTTTTCAGAAACATTTTGAGCCTTTATTTACAATAGTTTACACTAGAATTATATTGGCAAGCATCGGCCCTGTTCTCTGCCTGAATACATTAATTGTGGAGGGAAACTAGCATGTGTAGATGTCTTGGTTGTGTCTTCAAGGCTTATCTTTTTTAATTGAATGTGTTGCCTCCATACATTATTTAATCTGAGACGGCACCAAAAATGTTAGAGCTATTGTATAATAACTTTTTTCCTCTAAGTCTGTTTCTGGAGTGTTTGCAAACATTCTGAAATATAAAATATATTGTTGTTGCCCCACTAACTGCTACATGTATATGGGGTTAAACTAAGCATCACATTTTGGCCAAATATCCATGGTCTAATGATTCATTTCATATTTTTCAGATGGAAGATTAGGTACATCTGTCCCAGCCGTGGCTGTTGGCACAATGGGACTGGACTTTGATGTTAAGACTTACTGTCACAATCTAAGAGCCTCAAAGCCTCCATATGAATGTCCTGTGGAGTCTTGCAAAAAGGTTTACAGGAGCTACAGTGGCATTGAGTACCATCTTTACCATTATGATCATGATAACCCAACTCCTACACCAACCATCCCACAGAAGAAGCGGAAAGGCAGGCCTCCCCGCATGCCTCTGCTTGGCTCAGGCGAACTTGATGATAGTGGAGGTATAGGAGGAGGTCTTGGGCCTGAAGGCGACAGTCCAGGAAGTCCAAGTAGATCTGAGCCTTCTCACTCTCCAAGCAGAGACACTATGACCTATGCTCAAGCTCAACGCTTGGTGGAATTGGAAATTCAGGGTCGGGTTCATCGCATTAGCATCTTTGATAATATTGATGTTGTGTCTGAGGATGACAGCGATGCAGATGATGCTCCAGCGTCTGGGGCTGGGGGAAGCGGTGGAGGCGTCTGTAATGGAAGTGATGGCGGAGCTGGCGGGAGTGAAATGGGAAGTAGTAGTAAGGAACGCAGTGACATTCAGTCTTCAAATGGCGGCAAAGCAACTCCAAAGTCTGGTAAACATAAAAGTAAAGAAAAGAAGCGAGAGTCTTCATCACACTATCACAGTGCTCAATCTGGGCCAGCTGTGAAGCTCCCTGAAGCAGTCTTTCGAGAATTGGACCAAGACAGACCAGATGCCCCTCCGCGACCATGTTCGTACTACAGGTATATAAGCATGATCTCCTGCAACATAAGGATCCATCTCTGATCTCTGGATTCTTATATTTCGTTTTTTACTTTCTTATTTAGGTACATTGAAAAGTCAGTGGAAGAGCTGGATGAAGAAGTAGAGTATGACATTGATGAAGAGGATTACATTTGGCTCGACATCATGAACGACAAGCGCAGACGAGACGGTGTTACTCCAATTCCTCAGGAAGTGTTTGAGTACCTTATGGATCGCTTGGAGAAAGAATCTTATTTTGAAAGCCACAATAAAGTAATTAAATAGTTGAAATTATTGTACAGACACTCACTGCCTCCTGCAACATATGATCTTTTCTTTTTCTTTCTAGGCAGATCCGAGTACCTTGATTGATGAGGATGCTGTCTGCTGCATCTGTAATGATGGCGAGTGTCAGAACAGCAATGTAATCCTCTTCTGTGACATGTGTAACTTGGCTGTACATCAGGAATGCTACGGCGTCCCCTACATTCCAGAAGGACAGTGGTTGTGCCGACGCTGCCTGCAGTCTCCGAGCAGAGCGGTGGACTGTGCGCTGTGTCCCAATAAAGGAGGGGCCTTTAAACAAACTGATGATGCGCGCTGGGCACATGTCGTTTGTGCTCTCTGGATTCCGGAGGTATAATTAACATATTTAATTATTGACGCAAAGATGCAAATGCATTCTGCCGTGTTGAAGTAAAACACAGTAAAATATTTACTGTTTAGCAAAGAAATATGTCACAGTATAACCGGCATCACTTTGGTTTTTTTTAAAGCCCAGGTGATAAGCCATATCTCCTTGATATAATGTATGCAATAGATGAGTTATTGCTGTTTTTGAAATGTCGCTTTAAATTGAGGAATGTAAAACATGTACATTCCTCAATTATGGAAGATTTTTGTACTTAAGAAACTGCATTCCTACCACTCCACAGAAAGAAAAGATTAATGACCTTTGAAATGACTTAGCAAAATGACAACATTCAGATGAACCCAAGCAGAAAGCGGATCCGCCAAAGGGACAGTTGAGCGGTTGTTCTTTTAGATAAGCAAAATCTATATAACGCATTTTGATTGTGCTTGTATTTCAGGTCTGTTTTGCAAACACTGTGTTTCTGGAGCCTATAGACAGCATTGAGCACATCCCTCCTGCTCGCTGGAAACTCACTTGTTATATTTGTAAGCAGCGTGGTTCTGGAGCTTGTATCCAGTGCCACAAAGCCAACTGTTACACCGCGTTCCACGTCACCTGTGCCCAGCAGGCCGGCCTCTATATGAAAATGGAACCTGTCCGAGAAACTGGCGCTAATGGCACTTCTTTCAGCGTCCGAAAAACGGCCTACTGTGACATTCACACTCCCCCAGGATCAGCTTTACCTTTGGGGGGTGGTGGTCCTGGCAGCGCTGGGTCCTCTAACAGCGAAGGAGAACTGGAGGAGGATGATGAGCCCAGTATTGGCCCAGATGAGGACTCGAAAGGCTGGAGCTCTGAAAGAGCCAAGAGGGCAAAAGCAAAATCAAGGATTAAGATGAAGAGGGCAAGGAAGATTTTAGCCGAGAGGAGAGCAGCTGCGCCGGTGGTTTCTGTGCCCTGCATACCTCCTCATAGGTTGGTATATAGTAGCACAACTTAATCAATTACTTAATTAGCCATGAAATAATTTAGATTCTACATTTTTTCAATTTAACATGGACTTACCCATGCTGAGAAGAGCTTTTATGACCAAGATCATTCTATAATATTTACAGAATGAAATAAATGAGTAAACAAACTATTTGTAGATGTTCTACAGGGGCATCACTTTGGGGCAGAACTTTGTGTTGATCAAATGAATGAAAAATCCCAACAACAAAATATTGATGAATCGAAAGAACTAGACCTAAAAACAAAGACAATGAAAGGCTAACTTACAGCCCTAGTTTCAACCAAGATTGTCCTCTTAATTTGTCTACTGATACTTACTACGCACTATTGGATTATACACAAGGTTTCACAAAGTTTGCACTGTTTTGTATCAACTTTTTTATCTATGTTTTAAAGGCTGAGCAAAATTACCAGCAACTTGACGGTACCACGTAAAAGTCAGTTCATGCAGCGACTTCATAGCTACTGGACCCTGAAGAGACAAAGTCGTAATGGAGTTCCTCTGCTTCGGAGACTTCAAACTCACCTGCAGTCCCAGCGCCATGTAGAACCTACACCCCCACAACCACCACCACAGCTCCCACCTGTAAATCAACTACTGTAACGCCTAAGCAAGTGTCTTACTGTGTGTTACTCACAAGTGTATTTTTGTTTTTCTGACACAGGTTTTACAACGGGACACGGGGGAGAATCAAGGGGAATTAAAGGAACAGCTGAAAGCCTGGCAAAGACTGCGACATGACCTGGAGCGGGCCAGACTCCTGGTGGAACTCATACGAAAAAGAGAGAAACATAAAAGGGAAACTGTAAGAAACTGCTTAAGATGTATTTCATGCATCTATTTTAGTCAATGTATTAATCATCAGTTTCTTTTTCTCTAGATTAAAGTCCAACAGATGGCACTGGAGATGCAGCTCACTCCCTTCGTTGTTCTTCTGAGGAGCACATTGGAACAGTTACAAGACCGAGACACCAATAACTTTTTTACTGAGCCTGTTCCTCTGGCAGAGGTGAGTACCTAGATGTTTTTGAAATCCTATGTATTGAGCATCACTCAAAGATTAATGTTCTTTATTTCCAGGTTCCTGACTATCTGGATCATATTGACACTCCAATGGACTTTCAGACTATGTGGAATCTCTTGGAGTCTCATCGCTACCTCACTTTTGAGGCCTTTGAAGGGGACTTTGGACTCATTGTGAACAACTGCCTCAAGTACAACGCCAAGGACACCGTGTTTTACCGCGCAGCCTTAAAGCTCAGAGAGATGGGAGCCTTTGTTTTAAAAGCTGCAAGGCGACAAGCAGAGCGCATCGGCTTCGACTATGAGACCGGACTGCACCTGCCACGAGACTTAAGCCCAGAGAGTCAGCGAGAACTGGAACGAGACCAAGAAAGAGCCAGGGAGCGCGAGAGGGCACGGGAAGCAGAGCGCCTCGCCTCAAATGAAGAGGGTGAGTGATATGAGGGTATCTTATCACATTTATTTTTACACTGTGCTGTCCAAATTATACAAACTAAACCTCATTGTCTTCTCTATCCACAGATATGATTTTGTCCGATAACAGGCGGCGTTTGCCTCTTGAAGAGCAGCTGCATTATCTCCAGGCTCGACTTGACGAGGTCAACTCTGGGAAGCACAGTATTGGGCAATCCCGCCGCTCCAAAGCCCTGAGAAAAGAGATCAGCGTCATCAAGAGGAAAGTGGCCCAGAGAGAAGGCAGCTCGCTTTTAGGAGGGCGAGACTCGCTAGGCGGCAGTGAAAGAGGCTCTCTTACGCATCACGTCTCTGGAGGAGGGCACCACGATGAGGGCGGAGAGAGCAGCAGTCAGGAAATTGGAGGGAAAGGTCTGTATCCTGATCTAATGAACACAGAATTAATGCACAGTGAGCTGTTAATAGTTTTGCAAGTAACAGTTGTACTACAATCAAGTTCAGGGGAACCTACATCTTTTTGTTTCATAAATTATACATGTTTTTTTTCCTAAAGAAAGACTTTAGTAAAAGATATTTTTTGTGAACAAATCAGACCACATCTTGAACAACAGTTAGTTTCATTTTTTCTGGTTTGAAATGTAGGTACCCCAGCTTTAATATTGAAAATGTTTTTGTTTTTTTTAAATGGTAAAAGTTACAATTACAAAGAATTTAGATTACCAATTTAGATTAAATTTGTGATAAACAAAACATTCAAGACTAATTTGAGGTAATTTGTTGAACTTATTCTAGCTCCTGAGGTGGGTCGGCGAACCTCTGTGCTTTTCTCAAAGAAAAACCCAAGAATGCCTCCTAAAAGACCAGGTCGACCTCCAAAGAACCGGGACGCTGGTTATGCTGGGGCAGGTGTGAGCCCAAGTTCAATCGGCCCTCCACAGCTGCCTCTACTTTCCCCGTCCAGGGCCCGCAAGAGGCCCCGCAGCCCCCACACCAGCTCCAGCTCAGACAGCGACAGCGACAATGATGACCTACTTCCAGGTTATTGTGCCAATGTTATTTTAATTTCTTTAGTCAATTATAAACTTCATTCCCACTTTGCAAATACACACCCTTTCCTTACACACTGAGGGAACATGGGCTGGGGTGTCAAAACAACTCTGCATTTTTGACCTACTCTTTTTTTGCCAAGGCCAAGCCCACGGCAATCAAAGATGGCGGCGTATTCAAATTATTGGCTTGTGCTCAGTAACGCCTGGACACCGAAAGCATAGCGGAACTGCTGATCAGAGTGGCGCAAGAACAGGAAGACAACGAGTTTGTTGCATTAAAGTGTGGATTTAGAGAAAACCAATGAATTTAACAAGAAAAGAAGTTCAGGATGACAAGAGACACTAAAATCCCCACATAATCCGGCCTTTATGAAAGCTGTCGTTTCCCTCTCAGCTGAGATCGAGCTGTTTTAGTTTACATTGAGTTCTACTGTGGGAAGCACATGGGTCCTCAGATATAAGTTAGTAATACCCTATCCAGTTATTATTATATATCCATGGCCAAAGCTGTCTATACAGACAAGTCTGAATATTTTTTAGATTGAAACAAGCGGCAAGTCCACTGGAGCACCCGAAGGAAACCTATGCAGATGTGAGAAGAACGTAAAAACTTCACTCAGAAAGGCCCATTTCCTGGGGTTTCTGAGAAACTAGAGTGCTAACTATTCTCCTTCCATGTCACCCAGCGTATTAAACCAAACTGTTTTATATCCCATTGTGTACATGTGGGTCTTGTGAAGAAGGTTATAAAACAACACACAAGTCACACAAGGGACAATGCTTTGCATAATGACTTTGTAACAAGCCGTGTATCAAGAGTGTCGCTCTTACAGTCTTTTTGACACAGCATTTCAACAGGTGTCCAAAATACAGGGGAACAGGCCTATATTGTGTGTGTTCCTGCTGGCTGTTTTTAAATCGAGATATAATTTGACTCAGACGCTCATTTGTTATTTTGCTACTGTAGGGCTGCCTAGTAATGGCTTTGATGGAGGAAACCAGCCGGTCACAGAGAGCTTCAGAGTGTACAGAAATGAGCGCTGCCTCCCACGGTCCAGCTCTGACTCTGAGTCCACCACCAGCAGCAGCAGCAGTGCCGCCTCCGACAGAACAAGGTCGGTCTCAAATATATTCCTGTGTAACAAGGGTGTTACTTTTTGTGGTTACTGACTGTGTTTGTATACTTTCAGTACAACCCCTTCAAAGCAGGGCAGAGGGAAAGCATCATTCCCTCGTTCGGCTTTTCCGGAGGACAGCAGCGAAGAAACATCCGGCACAGAAAACGATTCGTATTCTGTTGGAGGATCGCGCAGTGTTTCCCATTGTATGTGCTTGTAATACAGTCAGAATATAGCATAGTGGAAGAATGTACACGTTTGGTAAAAGTAGGTTCTCTTCCTTACATCTCTCAGTGGTGCGAGGTCGGGCCAGGTCTTCCTGTTGGATGAGTTCTGATGATTATTCCTCTCTAGAAGCTCTGGACCTGGTCTGGGCCAAGTGCAGAGGATACCCATCATACCCAGCTCTGGTAATACACAGTTTCTTTAGGTAGAAATATGATGCGTTACTAATTTTGGCCATTGTAAATTATAATTAAACTATCTACTTTGGCTTGCATATGTCTTAGAAAGTGAAACAATATCTTTAGTAGAAAATATGTTGTGAATCACGGATGAATGGTTCCAAAAAAATATCACCTGTAACTACCTATGCTGCCACCAGAGGGAGTAGTTGAACCCTTGTTGATTTTTTCCAAATTCTAATATTATTATTATTATTATCATGCTATCGCAGGACTGAGACAGCTTTTAGACTGAAGTGGTGGAGTTAGATGTTTGTGCCAGAAGTTCCAGATATAAGCATGGATGGATCTAAAAACAGATCTGTTCTTGATTAGGAACCCTTGGTTCGAATCCCGGTCGGAGCAGGAGTGGAGTGGAGTTTGCATGTTCTCCCGTGTCTGCGTTGGTTTCCTCCGAGTGCTCCGGTTTTCCCTACCACTAAAAACATGCACAATAAGTGAGAACGTAACGAGTGAGTGATTGGATGGTGTTGGTTGGTTGGTTTGTTTGGCGTCTCGCTTCCGTCATCACCGTGTGAGGAGTGAATGAAACAATATCTGAACTCTGAACATTGAACAGCGCTTTGGTTGACCTTGGTCTGTAAAATGTGCTGTATAGATAAAGAATACTGTTGTAACATGGTTAAAAGTACATTTTGCGTAGGATGTCTCCTTTAAACTAAACAGACTCTGCTTGTTATTTTAATTATTCCTAAACCCTCTTTTCCTCTTGCAGATAATTGACCCAAAGATGCCGCGGGAGGGGGTTTTCCATCGAGGCGTCCCGATTCCTGTGCCTCCGTTGGATGTGCTGAAACTCGGTGAACAGATGACCCAGGAGGCGCGGGAGCATCTGTTCCTGGTCTTGTTCTTTGACAACAAAAGAACCTGGTGCGTCATTTTAGTGCTAAAGGAGAAAGGGGTGTCACAAAAACGATATATATCGCGATAGAGACGTGTTCGATATCAATAGAATAGAATAGACAAATAGACTTTTTGATAGTTACTCCGTTTGAAAAAACAGGAAGAAAACACAGGAAGTAAAGTCGAGTCATAAGCGCGCGGCATTCTGGGGGACGTAGCAGAAGCTTCTTGACCTATCACTGCCGAGCATGAACTGTAAATAATTCTGGCAAAAAAAAATCACAACAGTCTATGGCCGCACCATGCGCAGCGTCCATGGATCTATAGATTGTGTTTAAATGCCGTGTCAATGGTTATGCACGTCCATGAGAGGAATACCATGTGCGGCGCGGTAGAGGCAGTGGGCAAAGTGACTTGATGCATGCTGCAAAAGCAAGAGATGAACTTTTTCCACTGGAACCATGTGCGGCTATCAGAGAGCCGCACAGAGCCGTCACGGGGAGACAAGACACTAGAAAATAGCTATACCAGGACCAAACCAGGATCATACCAGGACTAACAATGGGGGACACAGTAAACATATGCCTCCAGCCTGAGTTCTCACTCCCCCATGACTGTAAACAAGGGCTGATAACATGACAAATGTGTTTTATTTGTTTAAAACCAAAACAAAAAAACAATCAATAATTACCGAATCGACCAATATGAATCACTTATATTGTCATATAGTTTTCAGTCGTATCGCCCTGCCCTAGGGTGTACGTAGTCTGTGCTAAAGAAACCACAAGCATATCTGAAGCATCAGTGAGTCACTAGTGCTCGAAGCACTTGATGCTTAACTGCATCAGAAAAAGTAAGCACAACTGTACACATTGTGATTTTTTTTTTAAACCTGTCACGACTTACCTGGGTTCATCTTTATTTATTCACCTCAATTACAGCAGAATACTGATAAATGAATAAAAACTCCCACCCCATCTGCTCTCATTGAAATTTGAAAATGCCCTTTATTGGGTTTTGGCAAAAAATATGCCACATCTTTCAACCATTGTGTATTAATAACTAATCATCACTAATTGTCTTAACTAATTTTCATTGAAATTGTCTTTTTGCAATTTTCTTTCCTGAAATAGTTATCCTGCCATGAGGTCATTATTCATGCCATGAGGGGGCGACAGTAGCTCAGTTGGTAGAGCATTGGCCTTTGGGCCTGAAGGTCGTGGGTTCAAGCCCACCATAAGACCTACTTCACGACTCCCACTGATGACTGCTGTTGTTGTGTCCTTGGGCAAGACACTAAACCCCACTTTGCCTGAAGCTCCCACTGAAAGATCTCAGCTCCTGTGGACTCACCACCTGCAGGAGGATCAGTGAGGGGCTGGTGCTAAGTGGACTGGGTGCAGCTCTGACTGCCACCCCCCCGACCCAGAAATGGATTAAGGGGAAGAAAATGAATGGATGAATGGATGGAGGTCATTATTCTAAAAATTAAACTTCGATGGCATGTTCAATCATGAAGAACCTGTCATTTTAAAATTATTACATATTTTGTGCCACTAATCTAATATAAAGTATGAAGACTTTTGGAAATTAGTTTCACAATACTTTTTAACAATATTCTCATCATCCAAGTACTTGGACAATGTGTCTCTGAAAATTGTCAAAGCAGGTTGAGGACCATAATAACTTAAATTTGATTTTTTTTTGCTGGCAGGAGATCATATTCTGTTGTGCTTTACTTGTCACTAATACTTTATCATTAAGTGGCTTCTAATCATGAATATACCCACAGATTTAATCCATTGGGAAATGGCTTGGGCAGCTAAGTGGCACAGTGGTTAGCGCTTGTCCCAGGTTTAAGATAAGAGAACCTGTATTCATCCCACAGTGGGGGAAATGTCAGTGTTGCAGGGCACATACAGGACAGTAGTAAGTAAAAGAAGCACACACAACATACGTAGATAAGTTTCTGTAAATGCTTCTTTAATTTCCACCTCCAGACAGAGCTCCCTGTGTGGAGTTTGAATGTTCTCCCTGTGTCTGCGTAGGTTTCCTCCAGGCTTGCTTCGTGTGACCTCGGTCTGAATAACTCACTTACAAAATTGCTAGTTTATGTTATTGTTAAGCTTGCATTTTCTCTATAGTCAACACATTTCTGTTTAAGCCCCTTTACTGTGGTTGTTGGTGGAAGCAAAACAGTCATTTAACGCAAAAAAAATAAAACTAGGGCAGGTGTGGTTTTTCTGAGAGAGCTGACTGGGAAAATATGATCAGTGTTGTGTCACTCCTCCCCTGAAATATGATGACAACAGTGAATTGTGCTCATTCTAACTGAACCAGGTGGGCTGTTGTGAAATAATGCCTGGAGACAGAGTTGTTTCGGGCCTGGACAAGAGCTTTTCTCGTTACTACCCTTATTGAGTGCATTGGTCTTTACATATTCAAATTATCAACAGTGTTAGATCTTATGAAGAAGCCATATTCCTCTTCAAATTCCTATTGAATGAAAACATGTATATTGCCTTTTACTTTTTTCCATTCAAAAAATATTAAAATTAATACTGCAGAAGTAAATTACTTTATTTGATTAGTTTCAAATGTGAAAAAAAAGTCTTTCAAAGATCTCAAATGGAGGAAAATATTAAAAATAAATTACTTCACTTGCTGTCAATTGAATTGTTTTATGTAAAGTGTCTTTTGTGAAAACTACAGAAGTTTTAAACGCAATCTGCGGCTTCATCTGTGTAAAACTATTATTTATATTTACAAGTGCCATTCTACTAGGAAAAGTCCAAATGAAAAGTGTCAAAAGCTTGTCAAAAGTATCAGATATGAATGAATCACTAAGGTAACAAGACTAAACATAGGATTTCTTTGTTTTCTTCTCATCAACAGGCAGTGGCTCCCTCGCTCCAAACTTGTACCGCTCGGAGTGGATCAGGATCTGGACAAAGAGAAGATGCTGGAGGGACGCAAATCCAACATCCGCAAGTCTGTGCAAGTGGCGTACCATCGAGCTATGCAACACCGCAGCAAGGTCCAGGGCGACCCCAGCAGTGAGACCAGCGACAGTGACTGAGCCCAAGTCATAGCGGACTTTATCATAGAGTGTGTTCATTTAGCGGGTCAATTAGGGAGGTCCAGCCTGACGTCACTATAGCAACAGAATCATGCAAATCCTGTTCACCACAACGGCCCCAAAAACCCCATTCTTGATGCACAGTAATGTTTTTAAATCAGGCATGTAAAATATTGTAATTAAGAGAAAACTAAGGTGTTGATAATGATGACGCAAACATGTCAGTTGAGAATCATGGTTTAGTAATTGTCTGTTGGAGGTATTGTGATTTAAAATATGGGTTGGACCAGTGATTCTCAAAGAGCAGGAGGGCAAAGTTTTGATCATACATAAAAAGCGGCAGAAGTATTTGAAAATTAAACTCCATTCAATCTGTAACTGTTCACACTCACCATTTTGGCTTCAAAATCAGGGTTTAATGTACTGCATTATCCTGGTGTTTTTTATTCTTATACTGTCTTTTAGAGCGAGATATAACTGATAATAACTGACCAACCAAATTTTAGCTATTGATTATACCTTGAGCATAAACTGAGCAGCACCGCTCTCTTCTCATGCTAGGTAGTTGCTAACTGAGAATTTGGTACCAGATTCCTGCCTATTGGAGATGCTTATCGACTTCTTCCAGGGTGAGCCAGACTAGCAGCACTCAGTTGGTCCACTTTACTTTCTATTATCCTACATAATAAATAATAGTAATAGTCCAGATATGAACCCGGATGAAACTATATTTAAAAAAGAAAAAAGAAATGGAAGAAAGTTTAACAAAAAATGAATCTAAAGACATTCTGTTTGAGAATCACTGGTCTACTATCAAACTTCTGTCTCCTCCGGAGTCATAAAATGCATTATGTGGTCATTCATGTAACAAGGAATTGTTATTTATAAACATTCAAATGTCTGCTCTCCACTGTCGGGTCACATTGAGCAGAATGAAAGACGACCCTCGCCAATACAATTCAAAACACCATATTTATTCTTTCCATGTTGTACCAGGTGCAAGCAGGCTTCCATCAGCACAAACTTCTATCACTCCAGACACAATAACCAACATGTGTGGTTTATTTGTGTTTATCATGTCTATTCTTTTTACTGTTGTATTTATCAATGGTTATTAATGAGAACGTACTGAATCGCTGGTCTGACTGTTGGCTGTAGGAATTTTTATATATAAACTAAATCAAAATAGACATTTAATTAAAAAAAACACTTTTTAAAAATATTTGTGTGTGTGTGATATGTTGCTAGTTTTTGTATATTCCCTTGAAATGATAAGTATCTCTTGTATGAATCTACCTTTTGAAAATATTTAATCACAAGTGGGTAACTAGCAATACATCAAAGTTCATAATCTCAAAGTTGGGGTCACTTCCAGAAAGATTTTTATGTATTACTAATGTCAAACTTCAGTCACCACCACAGCCTCCAGTTGATCTTATTGGAAACATATTTGACGTCTTAAAACCCACATGTCTGCATTTAGCCCAATCACTCATCAGGGGGTTTTCAGAAAATATATATTTGCAAATGTTGTTCAGACATATGAGAATGGAAATGTCCTGTTTCAGCTGAAAGCATTGGTTACAACAGCTTTGTACAGTGCATTTACATCTTGGAACCACAGTACAAACAGCTTGAGTTGAGGTTTTAAAGTTGTATGGTCATGAGCCTTTGAGCAAACTTGCGTTTCCACAAACCTGACTGAATATTTTGGCTGTAATCTTCCATACATTTGACACGTTTCCAAAGTTCTATTCTTAAACAAATACTTAATTAGTTATTAACAACCTCCAGAATGTTAAAGTGTTGCTTTAATTATTGTGTATAAGAATAATTGTATCAGTTGTGTATAGCGCTCTTTGAGACATTCTAAACTTCACATAGCGATGCTTACTCCGTACACAGTAGTGATAATGTACTAGTATAGCCACAGCTGCCCTGGGGCTTACTGACAAAACCAATGCATTTAGTTTGTATCATTGGCACCTCTGCCATTAATGCATACACCAGATTAAAACAATAGTGAAAAAGTGTCTTGCCAAACAAAGGACGCTGCAACAATTTGGCACTTTGTAGCTACCACAAAGTGGCACCTGGTGTTCCCAGATATATCCCATGGTACACCGCGATACCAGATATTGTCAGGCTTATCTTTTGTGATTAGCCCGTATCAGGATTTAACATGCAAGTGGCGTCACTTGTAAAATATTCCATGATTGTCATTTGTCATGAATCATCTCTTTCAAAGTCTTGAGAAATCCTGGTTGAACAAAGGATTGCATTTCCATCACTTCAGGTACACCCAGACAACTACACCTTATTTTCACAAAGAACTTCCTGAAAGTAGACATGAAAGTAACCAATACCATTATTTGGACTGTATTAGTTTTCTGTTCCGGACACCTTATAGAAATTCGATGGTTAAAAAAGATACGCCCCTTGAAAACACAATTGTATAGAAGTTTGTAAACAACAGCATTATGTGAGAAAACCATAGCTCCATGGAGAAAAGTCATTCAAGAAGAACGACACCCACACAGCGCTCTCTGACTGTGGAGAGGAGGCGGAGCGTTGTTATGTCTAAGCTCAAACATTACCACATTTTGCCCTCTCTAAAGATAATCAGTGACTTATTCGTTACAGCTGTGTCGCCATGTTCTCGGCGGGCAACCGGAATGCTGCTCCGCCGTCGCCCTGAAACTACAATCACGATGTATATTCTTATTTTGAGGACATTTTGAGATTAAATTGTGGATATATTTGATTTTTCTCAGTGGAATGAAGGCGCTATGGCCGGGGCCGCGTTGGCTTTTGTGGTCTCTGTTTCTGTGTTTACGCTGCCACAGTCCGACGCTTACGTAAGTCTGAGATTAATAACAAGGAAGTGCGCACGTTTTATTGCGCCTATTAAATACTTAAAAAGTTATTAACAGGTTTTTGATTTTGCACGAGTTGTATTTTTTAATTTCGTTTAATTTATTTCTCCTTGTATAGGTCCAGTGTCCACCAGGTGAGTTTCACTCAAACACGTGTTGATAGATTTATAAACTTTTATTGTTATGAATCACGCTAAAGAAATGTCTGAGAAAGAAACATAAGCTATTTAGTTGATTCAAAATTTGATATGCTATGTAGATTATTCTTATCTTTAAACTTTCAAAAAAGGGCTAGGGTTAGAAAATATTGAATTCTATTTATGTTTAATAATCCATTAATCACATCTGCAGTAGTCTCGGAGGACTTTATAAAGTTGAAGACTCACCAACAACAGATCAGAGAATCAAACAGTTCGAATACAGAAAAAGCTAAGAAGCATTTATGAAGCATATTTATCCCGTTCATTGGGAACGGGATAAATGTTCATAGAAAAATGAACAATGTGACTTTCTCAAAGCTTTTTAGATCTATTTTGATCTATCAGAAGCACAAGCGTAAACGCATGTATTGTTTTCTAAAAATTCTCAATTTATTGTTAACATATGAGCCACTGCATCTCAGTGGCTAATGGGGATCTTAATAAAATAAACTAATTGTTCCAAAAAGAGAATTTTAAAATCCATTACTTGTGTGTTCATTATTAAAAAAAATGTTTTCAAACGTTTTTCTTCTGAACCTGCCTTTTACATGTAATTTACACAATACTGGGGTCAGAATGAGCTATTGTTTGAAAAATGTGTTTATGAACATAAACTTAAATGGACATTGCTTCCATTGGATCAAATGTGTTGTCTGTATTCGAATAATTTGATTCTCTGTTCTGTTGCTGGTAAGCCGACAACTTTGTAAGTAGTAGTGTTTCTAAAGCATGAATCTTTTTATTAATTTGTTTGTATTCTCTAGGACTTACCTTCCCAAAGTTCAACTACACGTTAAATGCCTCTGCCAAAACTGTTGCCATCCATGTGGAACCAGGAGCACCCGTGCATGCAGACTTCTTATACAAAAAATGGCTGCAAAATAACAGAACGCAGATAAACGGTAGAAGATCTGGCCGCAGAGTTATTGTAAGAACCAATTTTAAATGTGTTCAGTTCATTATAGTTTCAAGTCCATCCTGAAATCATGATTTCTCTTTAGGTTAATCCGGCTGTGTCTCAAACACATGTTTTAAGAGTTGATTACTGGTTGCCTTGTCTTTGTGTTGAGGTATGGTGCTTTCTAGCCAAAATATTGGAACATTCTCAAATGGTGTTGATAATGTTCTTTGTCTGGCTCATTCAAAGGTTTACTACACCTGCACGGACAGCACTAGATCACTCAATTGTGTTTTGACAAAATCAGGTATGCTAGGTAAGTCAAGTCATCCACATCTTTTTAGATCCTGCTGTGTTGTGTGCATAGACAGTATTTAATAGTTACTTAATGTAACTTAAGTTCTACGAATAGGTGCGTAGTCCCTTAGGACTTCGCTAGTGGGATATCACTCGTGACCCCCAGGTCACACGCCAGAGAGATCAAAATAATTTGCTCCAATCACCAGCCACCTTCCTCTATAAATGCCCCTGCACAAGGCCGCACCCCCTCTTGAACTCTGCCATGCCGGGCTGGCCTGATGGGCTCGTAGCTAAGGGACTACGCACCTATTCGTAGAACTTAAGTTACATTAAGTAACTATTAATTCTACGTCATGGTGCTACGTCCCTTAGGACTTCGCTAGTGGGACACAACGCGGAGGCCGTAGGAAAATGTACTCCCAACAGGCCAGCGAAGGGTGATTGGAGCTCCGCCCGAGCAAGACCCTCACAAAGTGAGAGGACTCAGGGCAGAAGAAACAATGCGTGTTACAGGGCCACTCCTACCAAGGATACCCCCACGTAACACAGATATAGGTCATCCGTAGTCACAGGACGCCTCTCCCAAGGGCTCCTGACGTGGACTACCAGACCGACCAAAACACACATATATGTACCGCACCTGTAGGATGCCTCTCCCAAGAGCTCCTGAATCAGGGCGGAAAGTAAACCGAAGGCCCCCTCAGAGGAGGGACCTAACGGTCTAACTCAGTCCACTGCACTCAGCACGGAATGGGCCACCGCCCGGTCCGACACATCCAAAGATAAGACCGGACGAAAGAGGAGGACGAAGCCCAAGAAACCGCACGGCATACGTCCTCGACCGACACCCCCCCTGAGAAGGGCCGTAGAGGCCGCCATCCCACGCGTGGAATGCGACCTGAAGCCCACCGGGAGGGCCAGACCCTGCGTCTGATACGCCCGCCGCACAGCCGTGGCAACCCAGTGCGCCAGCCGCTGAGCCGACAGCGGGGCGCCCCTGTTCTTGGGGCCCAGACACACAACAGCTGGCCACCCAACCTGAATGACGACGTCATGGCCAGGTAATGCCTCAGCATTCTGACAGGACACAGAAGGTGCCGCCGCTCCTCCTCGGGGGAGGCATGCGGTGGCGGATAGAAAGCCCTAATCCTGATGACTCTCGACCTAAAGGCCGACGTGATGACCTTGGGGAGAAAGGCCGGATTGGGCCACAATACCACCATGCCGTCGCCCTCTCCAAGGACAGGCAAGACGCATGGACAGAGAGCGCACCCAAGTCGCCCGCCCTCTTAGCAGACGCCAACGCCAACGCCAACAAGAGGGCCGTCTTAAAGCGACACACTCGGGACTCGCCTCCGCCGCCGGTTCAAAAGGCGGACCCGACAGCCCCCTAAGGACCACCCTGAGGTCCCAAACCGGGGCGTTCTCTGGAGCGGGGGCCTCCTCCTGCGTGCCCCCCGCAGAAAACGTTTAACCAACGGATGAGAGCGGGCTGTGAACCCCCCCGAATCCGTTGTGACCCGAAGTAATGGCTGCCGCGAACACCGCCAAGGTGGCGACAGCCCTCCCCTTGTCAAAGAGCTCCTGTAGGAATCCCAGGACCCCCTCCAGCGGGCAACGCCTGGGATCCCAGGAACGAAAACCGCACCAGTCGCTAAAGAGCCTCCACCTCGTGGCGTAGGCCCTCACAGTGGACGGCGCCCTCGCCCCCTGAGTGGTCTCCACCACCGCAGGGGGAAGACCCAGGTCTACGAGGTTCCGCCTCTCAGCCTCCAACCCAGAGCCTGCGGCCGATTATCGGGCGTGAAAACAGGGCTCCTCCCCCCCTGGACTAGAGCCCCCGGCTCGTCCGGGAGGGCCCAGGGCTCCATCACCGCCATGCCCCTCAGGAAGGGGAACCACCGAGCATGCGGACTGTCCGGCGCCACCAGGATCACCGACCTCCTCTCCTGTTCGATCCTCCGCAGCAGGACCGGCAGGAGACGCACTGGTGGGGAACGCGTACAGCAGGCCCCCTGGCCAGGGGTAATGAGCCAGAGCGTCCACGTCTAAAGGCGGCTGGTCCGCGGCCCTTGAGGCGAACCAGGACGGGCACTGTGCGTTTCCTGCACTGGCGAAAAAAGGTCGACCACTGGACGGCCGAACCTCCGCCAGATCTCCGCAGCCACCCCTGGGGCCAGGCCCCACTCGTCCTGGAGTGGGCCCCCCCCCCCTGGACATCCTGTCGGCCCCCACGTTCCGGACCCCCGGGACGTGGCGCGCCCTGAGAGACAGGAGGTGAAGCGCCGCCCACAGCAGCGTCACCTTTGCCATGCGATGGAGAGCGGGGGACCTGGTGCTCCCCTGCCTGTTCAGATAGGAGACCACTGTGGTGTTGTCTGAGCGCACCATCACGTGTCCCCTGCAGCTGAGGAGCAAAGTGCAGCAGTACCCTGTGCACTGCCTCCATCTCCAGCAGGTTGATGTGACGGGCTGAGTCCGACCAGCAGCCTCCTACAGAACTCTGGCCGAGGACCCCGCCCCATCCTTCGAGCGACGCGTCCGTGAACATCTCCACGTGAGACACGGCGCCGGCCAGAGTCACTCCGTCCCGTAGAAGACCCGGAGTGAGCCAGAACCTGATGTTCGATGCTGCCACTTGGGGAACCCAGATCAGCCTCCCCCCGTCCCGGGAGGGGTGAAGCCTGAGGCGTGAGAACCACCTCTGAAAATTCCTCATGTGGAGAAGGCCTAGCCGCACCACAGCATGAGCCGCCGCCATCATTCCCAGCAGGGACCTGAGGCGCCGAGCGGGGACTCTGGGGCCCGCCAGAACCTCCCCGGGCAGACGGGTAGTGTTCATCCGTCTGTCCACTGACCATGCAGCACGGAATGTCACAGAGTCTAGCTGCAGACCGAGATAGATCATGCGCTGAGCCGGTTGCAGCCTGCTTCTACGTCCTGGTGCTACGTCCCCTAGCGGGCTTCGCTAGTGGGATATCACGTGCACCTATTCGTAGAACTTAAGTTACAAAGGTAACTGTTAATTTTCTCCCTGTTAACCACAAAGCCCAGGCGCTGTATGTGGGGCAGGACCCAGTGCGTATGACTCACGGCCACTTCCCTGGATGAGGCCAGAATTAACCCGACGTCTATGTAGATTAATTCTTACCCCTGCTCCACGGCGCGAGTGCGTAGCCCAAGGGGAAAACGACAGTACTCGTAATTCCTCTCTCCCACTGCGAAGCGCAGAACCTCCTGTGTTCCGGTACTATCGGCACGTGGAAGTACGCATCTGTCAGGTCTATGGAGCACATCCAGTCTCCTTCCCTGACACACTCGAGGAGCTGCCCTGTGGACAGCATCCGAAACTGCCGTTTGGAAATGCACTCGTTGAACACGCGCAGATCCAGAATGGGACGCACCCCGCCTGATTTCTTTGGCACTAAGAAGTAAGGGGAGTACAGCCCCCTGGTGGCGTCCTGCGGGTCTACCTCCACTGCTGCGCCTCGACTCAGCAGAGAGGAGACCTCCGCTTGTAGTGCCTCTGTCGATCCCCGTACCTGAGAGCGTACTGCCCGTACGCCTCGGAATGGTGGTGGCTTTCGGAAAAATTGCAGTGCGTAACCTCTGCGCAGAGTTTTCTCCAGCCAAATATCTGTCAGTAGGCCCTGCTCCCTCCAGATGTTGTATAAATCTGTGAGGGGCGGAACGGGAGATGGAACACGAGACGTCACGGCCCCGCCCTCTCCTGGTGTTCCTAGCAGGGAGGGGGGGTGGACGAAAGGGCCGGGGGGCCCCCTGCGTCACACCGTGAGCGCCGGGGGCGGTCACGTGTCCTGCAGGCCCGACGTCATAAGTACGGGACTGCTCACCACACGTGACTCGGCTGCTGTGCCCCCCCCTGGCTCTTGCCTCATGGAGGGGGGGGGCGAGCCCCTGGAGTGGGAAACCCCGTGTTAGCCCTGTAGCTCAGAAATGCTAACACGCGTTCGGCCGAAGCACACACATATCACTCACCAGATCCCTCCGCCTGACCTCTCTCTGGGAGGGCATAGTATGAATCAGAGAAACCGTAGTTCGCGTAGTGCACTGCACGCCCCTCTCTGGGGCTGCAGGCCTAGCGAAGCAACGTTATGTGCCCGGGAAGTAACACAATCAGAATTCACAATATTTGACATGTTACATACCCCCAAATGAGACTCAGAAAAGTAAAGGAAATGCAGGTCGGCCTTTATTGAAGGAAACATTTTTCCACCCCGGCCTCCTCTACCATAGGGAGGTCGGTGGTGGGTGCGTTGCTCCCGCGAGCCACCCATGGGTCTGTCTGGACCCGGGGGCCTCGTCAAGGGGGGACGATGGATAACAGAGCGCGGATACGGGTCAGGATGCCTCCCGGGCCAACGCTCTCTGCCTCTGTCCCGGCTCCGTAATGGCTGGTGGGCCTCGCGCCTCGGTGCTAGGTGCGGGGCTAGCCTAGCCGAGTCTTTAGCTGCAGACTCCAGTCTCGCCACCCAGGCCTGCATGTCCGGGCCGAAGAGGGACATCTGAGAGGTGGGCAAGTCCAGCAGCTGCCTCCTCTCCGCCTCCCTGATATTAGCCAGCCCAAGCCAAAGGTGCCTGGCCCGACTTGGGCTGCTGCCATGGAGCGGCCACCATCCACAGCTAGCGTCTGGCACATGCGCAGAGTCGCCGCCGAGGTGGTCCTTGTCTGTGACAGGAGGTCTCCACTGAGCGCCTGGTCAGAGGAGAGCAACATATCCAGGGCCCCCGTGATGAATGCCATGTAGTTAGTCAATACGAGGACCTGTGCTGCAATGGCATAACATCTATCCGGCATCGCCAAGACATCCTGTCTCGCTCGGAGGGAAGGAGAGGTCTGGTGCCGGGCCACACGAATGCGGAGGGCTGCAGGGCCATGCGGACTGAATCCTCGGTGTCCTGGCCACCATCCACGGCTAGCGTCTGGCACATGCGCAGGAACGCCGCCGAGGTGGTCCTCGCCTGTGACAGGAGGTCTCCACTGAGCGCCTGGCCAGAGGAGAGCGCCCTATCCAGGGCCCCCGTGATGAAAACCATGTTGTTAGCCAATGTGACGACCTGTGCCGCATTGGCATAATATCTATCCAGCCTCGGCAAGACATCCTGTCCCGCTCGGAGAGAAGGAGAGGTCTGGTGCCGGGCCACACGGATGCGGAGGGCTGCAGGGCCATGCGGACTGAATCCTCGATCACCGGTCCAGGACCAGTCCTGCCCGCTGCAGTATATGTCGTACCCCAGAGCAGGCCTCTTGGCTGCTAGGGGCTTAGGCCACTCACGTGTCGCGTAATGGACGAACGGGTCCATCCGCGGGCACAACGTGGGTTTTATCCTCCTCCTCCCTCGAGTAGTGGCGCCCACAGAGGTGAAGTCCTCCACCGTCTGGATCCAGTGACGACGTCCGACGCCGGAGGGCGAAGGGAACTCGGACGAACAAGGAAGACATCTCAGAATGAAGTAAGTACTGTGGTAGATCTCGAACGGCGCCAGAGTGAAAGAGGGGGTGCGGCCTTGTGCAGGGGCATTTATAGAGGAAGGTGGGTGGTGATTGGAGCAAATTATTTTGATCTCTCTGGCGTGTGACCTGGGGGTCACGAGTGATATCCCACTAGCGAAGTCCTAAGGGACGTAGCACCATGACGTAGAACTAACCATGAATGTATAGTAGTGTTGGGAGTATCTTACTACTTTAACATGGTGCAGTAATATTCTTTTGAGTGCAAATATTTTAGTGAGACAATCTAGTCTCTTCCAGATGTGAATGATGTCTGGAGCTCCTCAGCGGTGAAACTGCAATCAAACAGTTTATCAATGACATATCGGTGTGGTTTTGATGCTACTAATGCAGAGATATCTACTGCCCTCTGTTGGAAACATGGGCGCTACTGCACTGTTGTGTTTGACCTCTCTTTGGTGAAACTAAAGCATGAGGTAAAACGAGTATGTTATGTATGTTCTTAATACATGTTTACATTAACTCTATGATTATTCAGGAATATAACCTTTCAGCCGTTGACAAACACCCCCATATGTGTGTAAAGGTGAGAAAAATATTGTAGACTTTTGCAAATTATAATTTATTCCCAATACAACTTCACTTCTTTATATGTAGCGGTCATTACGGGGAAACCACAATATTACATGCCACTTTAAATCTGGTGAGTTAAAAAGTTTAGCAGCGCACTTATTTGTTTTGAAATGTAATTTTAACATTTCTCTTTTTTAGGAATGTCTTCATGGATGTTTGATATTGATCTACGGAATCGCAGCATATTTATTAACATCAACTCTACTGCCCCAGCCAAATTCTCAGTTCAGTTGTGTAAGCTGAATCAGAATACTTGTGCATCAATGGGACCCATTATATCCCTAAATACAGTAAGACTTTACATGGAAGTTCACATGTGTTTGTCATCATTCACATTTTTTTTTTTTTTTACAGAAGCTGTCAATAGCAACTATTCAACTCCCAGTTTTGTCCCTGGAGGAGAAGCCATGTGTTCAGGTGACGTTTATAGTGCTGACTCATACATTTGTTATTTTAAGTATTGTATAGGGGTGGGCGATGTATATCGTAGACGATAATATCGTGAAAGTGAATTTGATGATATGCTTTTTCTCATCGCCAATTTAATTTTTTTTTTTTTTAACATATCTTTAATACATATTACAATTGGATCAGGCAAGATGCCCATTAGTCAAATGCGTGCCTATAAAGCCAATCACTGCTTTATTTGTGCATTTCAGTAAATATGAAGCCTTTTTGGATGTGTTCTTCCCGTGTTACTTTCATTTGATTTTTAATGTTAATATATGTTTGCATGTTTTGCAAAGATGTGCGAAGCACTTTACAAATAAAAAGCTGCTATTTTGATCTACATTGTCTCTATCCATAGATGCCCAGGCAAGCAAAACATTGCAGATCATTATCACCCATTCTAGTCTTGTAACATATTGTATATTGTCTGTTGCAGGTATGGCAGTCGGAGCCAGCTCTTTATGGGAGACGAATTATCTGCCCTGACTGTGAGTTGGATGTCTTTATTCTCAGTGAAGCCTCACTCTAAACCTCAACTATCCTCTTTTCAGATATGAGGCGAAGATACGGCCTTTATGCTGTGGCTGTTTTAGTATGTGTGATGAGTGTTACTACGATGGGGATCTGCTTTCACCTTTTGACCAACAAGGGTACTGCAGGTAAGTGTTTATCCTCTTCTTCTATATGATTATTCCAACAACCAATCGCACTCTGGGTATATCTGTAAATGAGTTTTCACAAAGTGATAAAATGATACATACTTACGCCTATGTCGGGCAAAGGAAAGTCCAGGCACAACACATCTTTTGACCCAGCATTGAGGGACATTTACTCATATCATTCAGTTGAAAGCAACAGTTTTATTTATTTCATTGTGCCGAGAACACAATAAATAATATATTTGTATTATAATTATTATTTTATGACCCTGGACAAGAATGAGTTTGAACCCTGGGGCACATAAAACCCTTTCCCCCTAAACATTTTGGTGACGGGTACATGGAGAAGAAAGGTTGAGAACCACTTCTCTAGCACCATTAGTCTTGTTTGTCTCTGTCAATCAAAGTCAATTAGAATAACACGAGTATAAGAAAGGCATGCATTGCTTTAGAATAGTTTATTTCAAGCTTGCATAAACAGACCAACTTTGAGTGTCCCTCGTTTTTTAACATTTGTATTTCTATCTTCTTAGGTTGGCTTTACATCCAAAGACCCATATTGCTTGTGTGCACATCTGAAGACGCCATCCACATCTCTACAGTTTGTTCACTGGCCTCCATTTTGCAAGGGGAGCTGGATGCCACTGTACATTTGGCATTATGGGGCCAGCGTGGGACTCGTGTGGTGGACGTGGGACCACAGCCATGGTTGTACGGTCAATGGGACACCGTGATCAAAGCACAAGGAATTATACTGATTATGTGGAGTCTAAATGCTAAGATGACGTACAAACAGTGGTGGAGTGAAAGAGACTGTATTAAAAGCTCACACCAAAAGGATTTTACCTCACTTATGCATCATAAAATAGAAGATTCAATACTGACTGAAAAGTATGAAACCAAAAAAACAGGAAAACATGCAGCTCCAACAGAGGCTGTTTCAGAGACCTGCACTGTAATCACACCAGTATTCAAAGCCGCTCTTACCTGCCTCATGGGGGCACTGCAGGAAAATAAAGTCCAGAGAGTGGCGTTTCTCTCTTTGCATGGATCTAATGGCAGCCATGACATACCGAAGGCCTTCAGGGGAATTCCACGTTACTGTTTACCTCATCAGTTCAGTGGACTCCTACAAGAACTCGGAGTGAAGACAAGACGAGAAAACTCCAAATTTCATTGTTTGACCCAGCTGCTATCGAAAGTGCTGTCTTTTTGGTTGGCTAAACAGATGTCAGAGAGATTCAAAGCCACTTTTCGAGTTATTTGACGGAACAAATAGAAGGCAGGTGTCAAGTGGACCAGGGTGTCTTTGCTTTGGGCATTCTTAGCCTTCAGTCTGACCCAGTGTAAACGCATTCTTAAATCAATAACACAAAAACTCAAAGTGGTAATAGTACATTACATCATTACAATGTCTCCAGATCCTAATGTCCTCAAGTTATTTAATTGAAATGTCATTGTTTTTAAACTTGTATTGCTTTATGAAAAAGGTGATTTCAACAAACATCACTTTTGAAGCAGTAGAACTTTAGAGAGAGATGTTATGTAATAACATAATATTTGCAGTTCAACTGTCAAGATCAGAAGGTGATAGTGATAATAAACCCTGAACAGAAGCTCTCAAATGTTGACTCTTGAAGAAATATGATGCCACTTTTGTGACATGTGGGATATAAAAACCAGGAAGTTATTAAAAGCGTTTCCGGATTTGCATACCCCTTCACGTCCCAAAACACACACAATCTCTTTGTTTTCTCTAACAGCCTACTTCATGAAAATCCATTTGCAAATGTTAAACTTTTTAGTGAGTGTTTTGTACAACAATATCAAACCTTGTCATTTCAGTGCTAAGGTTTTATTTATCTTGTGCAAAAAAGTCTACTTTGACGAAGTGATACCCCAACATCCTCCTGTAACCAAAACATGCAAAAAGGTTATGAACAGAAATGCTCTAATATACTACTTGATTTACAGTGTACCATGACTTCCTTGTTGTCTGAACTGTTTGCCAATATCACAATAATCATCATGCACATTCTTCAACTCAGAGGAAACATGTGAGTTCATGTGCTGGCTGCGTGCCTCTGGCTGTTTTAATCTAGTGATGTGAAGGAGTGTGGAGCTGGAAACCTGAGCAGGACTGTGTGCAGGGCGGAGCCCTCCTCCACGATGACATGATCCGGGACAGGGCAAAGTGTGGGGCCCGAGTGTGGAGAGGTTTCCTCAGACGTGGGCACCATGCCACGCACAGGGGAAGGGTCTCGGCACAGTTTGGGTATGAAGGCAGAAAACAGCATGTAATTGGACAAAGATGACGCAAGAAGATATGGCGCATCGAAGGATCAGGTTTCCAGAAAAGCATTTGTTTTTTATGTTTGTTTCACTGCTGCATTTCTGTTGGAGAAGTCCATGGACTAAAGCACTGGATGTGATTGAGGACTCACCTGAACTCACCTGCAGCCTGGTAAGATCGACGACAGCAAACCAAGGAGCACTGTTTGTTGTTTCTCTGTGTTTTGGGGCTTCAGGGTCTGAACTGTAATGACTGAACTCTATTTAATGAATTTAGAAAAGTATTTATGACACATATGTAAGGGTCGCTAAACAATGCTGTATAGACTGATGGGACAAAGGATAATAGAATTAAATAGTAGGTTCACTCTCTATTTTCTCATGTGGCCGTCATGATGTGTCATCCAGACCATTCCATAGCAACTCCTCTGATGTTCATCTACAATCTTTTCTACTAAGATTGGTTCCTATTAGATAAAAGTGAGTCTTCCTAGTTTTTAACCTTTCCTGTAGACATTTTGGGACATTTGGATAGTAGACATTGTACATAAAAATGGCTGTTTTATGATCAACTAGATCGTGTAATTTTATGTATTTGATTGTGTAATCTACACAATTTAATATTCCGATTGCTTGCTTTTGCAGTAGAAAGATGGGTTGAGTTATTGTTTTATGGTTATTCACCCCATATTTCCAGACAATAATGCAGGTGTGGCAGTATTAGGGAATTTTATAATAAATGTAAGTTAAGTTTTTAATCTTACACTACAGGCCAATGGTTTAAGATATTTTGACTTTCAAGTACTCTATATGCATTTTCCAATTTAGTTTTTCTTACAACCACCTCTGAGGTCTATGTGAGTTTAATGTGCATTACTTATTTACGACAGTGACATCTCACTCCAGAGCTCAGTTTCCAACTTTGGAGAAGACTGTGAGCAGTGTGCTGCTGAGTGTAATGATGACATACAAAAACCACATGACCATAGTTTGCCAAGTAAACTTATATCTGCCTCAATCTGCAATCAAACCTGGCAAAAGACGTCCATAGGACATACGCAAACAAATTCTACATTGGTGCGGATTCTTGACAAACCTGAACTCCAAACAGGGAAAATGAATGTGCTCACCTGCCTTGTCCTGTCTTGTTTTGATTGTACTTGTTTTTTCCAGATCCTCTCATATGCTCTGGTTAGGAAATGAGTCATTTGTGTTTGGATTGTTTTTTTCTACAAATATTCTGAAAGGTCCTTTTAATGTATTTTTGTCTGCAGGGATTGCAGGACTGTAAAATCTTTTCAGGTAAGTCGAGTTGTAAAATTATAAAAGCAACTTAGCAGTTATTTCACTATGAACTGAACTTTTCAGTACTGTATTTTCCCCAAAATACAGTCAAATGTGTATAACTAAATATTTATTCGGTAAGTGACAAATAGCCTCATGGCCTATTTAGCTTGACATTTAGGCTTCAAATGGCATGATGTGTGGGGGGATTATCAATATCCAAATGTAGATCCAAAGTTGGTCAGTATTCTGTACTTCTCACTACTCTCACTTGTTGGTCTGGTTCACTTGGGGAAGAAATGCTTCACAGATCTGATATGTTCACTTGTTGGATGGTTTTTACATCCATAAATGCTTTCACTTGGAGCAAAATACTTTTTCCCACAAGTAACCAAACCAACAAGCACTACAATAAAAAAATTAAAAACGTTTTCTTTATAACAAGGGATTGGATTGACTGAACTACAAATGAGCCTTAACCATAGACTTTAAATATTAATCTTGACAAACAGGAAAACGTTCATGAACACGTTTGCTTGAAAAGAGTGCGTGTGTTTGTAGAGTCCGTGTATGAAGCGGATCCCGGGAGTCTGGTCGGAGTGTCAGAGGTGGATGTGAGAGCTGCTCTCTGCTGCTCCAGGGCACGGCTCTGTGGGCCCTGTCTGCAGGTCTCCGTCAGCCTCACAGGTAACGGTCCCCACATGCTTCAGTGACTTATGGGAAGGCCTTTCAGGGTAACTACTGTTATACATTCCTCACTTCTTCACTTTCTTTCAGCACTTCCCATCCCGTGTTTTGGTTTATATTTAATCAGTGTAACGTGATTTTTGATGTTGGGGGGCCTCAGGGGATCTTTCGATTGGGTGTGGGCTGCGGTGCTCCAGACTTTGGGAACCTCTGTACAAGATATATTTTAGTGGGGAAAAGACTGAAAATAAATAAAATGGATTCAAGATTTTAAAAAATATATATATTGTGTGACATGGGTCTGCACAATGACAGCAAAATATCAAAAAAGGGGAAATATTGCACTTTTGTTTTCAAAACGTACTGATCAGTGTGGACAAACCTTACAGCTCTGTTTAGGGCAAATTTGGATGAGCCCATGTCTAAGAAGAGTTACCAAACTATAAACTTTCATTATATATAAAGAAAAAAAAAGGAGTATTTTGAAATTCCAGTCTTTGTCGTTAGTAAAAGTAAAAAAGTAAGAGTTTTGAACTGCCTTTGTTGACAATCAAACAAACTTGTATCTTCAGAGGCAATGGATGACTTGGAGCAGTCTGGAGACACCAGCCTGCACAAGGCAGTGGAGACGAGTGGACTTTCTATGTATCAAGAGGGTAAAGACAAAAATGATGTATCATAACTATGTTGATCATATTTATTTCATATCTCAAACTTCTGGTGTGTATGCAGAACTGGTCAAAATCTGTTTCAGTTCTCCGGGCTTTGGAGACTTGTGCAAGAGAGTACAGTTTACTTTCTCCAGAACAAATGTCTCGACTTCCACATATGAGGTGATGCATCCTGGTCTTTGCCTTCTCTGACAGTGGCTTCTATCAGGCAACAGCAGGGGAACGTCCTTATCAATAACCCATGCTTTTTATTGCCCAATTCTCAGTATTAAAGTTGGGGTATCTACTTTTCATTTAAATCCATATTATTTGGGGTCTCTTTTACAATGGGATCAACTTTTTCTGACAAAAAAACAATACAAAACAAAAATAGATGACACACAACATATCAGCTGCCGGCCCAAAGAGTGAAACAGTGACTCACAGAACAAAACTATGCTAAAGTTAACAGATTTTCTGATTAAATTATAACATTTACATTTGTTTCCAACATTTTACAAACTCCTTCTGTTATGACAAACAAACAAATGATATATTGGAAAAATTGTTAGGTACCCATGTATGCTTATACCTAGTTTATCAATATTTATGTCTCATTTTGCATTTTTCTAGTTACTGTTAACAGAAAAGGCAACTTTCGGTTCTCCGATTTTAGTGCGTGTCCTGGCAGCTTTGAGGGAGCACAGGTGCAATATCACTGTTCCATCTTTAGAAGAAGGTCAAATTATCATATTTTATTTGCATATATTTTTACTAAGTCCCTGAATTCATTCATTCATTGTTTTTTTTTCTTACAGTTTGTTTTTCACATCCGGAAAGAAAAAAAATTGAAGATTGTCAAAGTAAGATAAATAATCATTAACCAAAGTTTGGAACAGTTTTACCATGTATTTCTTTTTCATAAATGGATATGTTTTATAGTCCCCAGTCTTCAAATTGTGACTGATCAGAAAAAAGCGATCATTCGGCTTAAACAGGAGGACAACGAGAGCAACAAGACTCTGATGTGCCAGATGACGTGGGACGAGGCTCCAGGAGAAATGATCCCAAAGGTAATCTGCAAATAAGATCCTAATGAAACACGGATTAGAGCAATTCACTTTTTCATTATTTTAGTGTGAAAACAGACAAGAAATTGTGATATCATTGAAATCTGCAGCACCGTGCTTGTGCTTCCAAGTAAGATTTTTATGTTTTAACAAATATTTTAGCATACAAAATATTTAGTTGGTTTAAATGTTTGTTCACAGGTTTGGTGGAAAGACCACAAAATACGGAGACAATATTGTCCATTCAGGAATCATTCAGGTACAAAACGTGTCTCCTGAGCAGAACTGTGTGGTAACAATGTCTTGTGCATCGTTCCTTCCACCCCTTACCACGATAGTCCTCGGAAAATGATGAGTTTTTGAAACAGGGACTGTATGCCATAATCATCAAAATTATAACAACATTTGTCACTTTTCTATATCATAATGATTTTGAATTGAGTTGAACTACAGAAATAAATGAGCTTTTGAATGCTGATTTTTTTAAGCTCACCTGATGTAAATATTTTCTTTGAAGTCTATTGAAACAGAGTATAAGCAGAGGGCCACAATGCTATAATTCAAGGTATCGAGACCACCATACTGATACAGTCTTATAACAATAGTGTGAGGGGCATCGTTCCACAGTGCTTTTTAGTAATAATATTGAATCTTTTTTAAAGTACTTCTTGGTATCATGTGGGGCAATGCATCTGCAAGCCTCAGGGACAAGAAAGTATGGGCCGCAATTAGTCCCTGGGCCATAGTTTGGACACACCTGTTTGAGATTGCCATCGTATAAAATGGCAATATGTTTTCATGCTTGATTTTATTTTATCTGTGTGTATATATGATGAGTTTCTCTTCAGCTGATTCAGATTCAGCTGTCATGGAGAGGATGGTGCACAGTGTGTCCTTGGCTTTGATGGAGTCTGCGAGAGGAGGGCGATCTGTGCTCTTCTGGAACGTGAGCGCCCCCTGTAGGCTGAAGGGGGATGTGTGGCTGTGCAAGAAGGAAGTGGTCAGTGGAGATTGCCAGGAGGTGACAGGGTCCAGACAAAACCTGGACGGACAAGCCGGGTGGGTTGCGACACAAAGAGAACACTGGGTAAAATCCTCGCTTATTATCAATATAAATGTGTAGCAAAGTATTTAAGTAAATTTCTTTATGTATTTACCATTGTAGAAAACTGGAGTGTTCAATTTCTCGTCACACCCTCTATTCTGTCTTCAGGTAAAATATTTTTGAATACTGAACTTTTGTCTTAGCATTTTTATTAATTATTGCCCATTTTAGATCATTATTGATGGAATACAGTCTCCCTTGGACCCCTATTGTCCATTTACAGGTGACTAGATACAGTATACAAACTTGTCAAGCTATACATTTATTGTTTACAGTCTAATTGAAGATTTTTTTAAATGCCCTTTCCAGTATCTCAATGGCGCTGGACTGTTTTACTACTTGTTGCCTTGTTGTTGCTTTCAACCATCGGAGCTTGTTGCATACAGGGAGCTATTAAAGGTCAGTTTGATTTAAACAAAGTAAGCATTTTATCTCTTAAACTGTTTCTCCATTTTTACCATAGGATTTGCACAAAGAGGGTCAAAAGAGGAGGATGTCAAAGGTAAGGAATAGTCTCGATCGATGTACAGCAGTGTAAATGACTGAACATGGCTTCGTTTTAGGGGCTGTCGGCGGTGGTCACGTGGTCCTGCTGTATCCGCCTGATGATGAACAAGCCTTACCAGGTCTGATGTGCCACTTGGGGTCATCTCTCCAAGCGCTGGGCTGTAGTGTGTCTCTGGACTTGTGGAGTCATGCAGAACTCAGCATTTTGGGTCCGGTTCCCTGGCTACATTCTCGACTGGACCAACTGCAAAGACACGGTGGCAAAGTGGTTCTTGTACTTACCCAAGCTGCAAGGAGGAAAGCAGAAGAGTGGGGAGCAAAATCCTGGGAGAAGTTTACAACAACAGACAGCAGATCCAGCTCAAATTGTGTTGATGTATTTAGTGCGTCTTTGAGCTGTGTCCTCGCAGACTACTTACAAGGTCGAGCAGGCGAGCGCTTTATGTTGGTGCAGTTTGAATCTCTTCCCCCTGAAGGAGTTTGCCAGCCTCTTCCAGAACTGTTTCGGGGTCTGCATGTCTACAGCTTGCCATCTCAAAGCCTGGGGTTTCTCACAGAACTGGCAGGTGCAAGGCAGATGGCTAGGTCTTCATCCAGACGAAAGAGGGCTCATGGACTCAGAATGGCATCTCGAGCATTGGCCAGAGGTTTGTCTGGGTTCACAGCTGGGACCGCAGTGTTGAGACTGCCCCAAAGCTGTGTCGGAACAGTGGAAGATGCCACAGAGATGGTGCCACTTCAGCCTTACATCATCACACCTCCCTCCAGTCCCACCATCAACCCCAAAGTCAGTCAGATGGACTGGGTCTGACAGAACCTTTGTAGAAATTATCTGAACTGTTTGTCTTTCCATTGCAAAAGGTTTTACATCGCAAAATTGGTAACCAAATGTTGTTTCTGCCTCGATCTGTGTGCTTTTTGTTCATATTTGAAAATAAATAAAATGATATAAGTGAAAAATGTTTTAAAGCAAAACATATGTGCTGATCCCAAAGACCTCCCTGTGTAAAATAGCATTTTCTTAATTGCTCTCTAATTTTCATTACAGGCGCACGTTTTAGTTTGATAAAATATTTGAGCTTGCAATGTTTTCCAAATTACCATAGTTTACACGTTCATAATAATAATATTACTACTGAGCTCAAATTTACTTTATTTATTTTGTTTAACCTTCAAGTAGTTTTTAGAGAGACCTGAGCAAGAACATATTGGACAGATGAAATTGTTTGTGTGAGTTTTTTCATTTTTTCTTATAAATAGTCTTTGTACATTGTAATATTGTAATAATTAAGCTTTGGTGTTGTCGCTCTGTGATTGGCCACAGAGTCATAGTCGTTATATAGTTTATTATTTATTGTAAGGCTCTCCTGCTCACTGATTGGTGGATACAGAAATCCCAGCGGGGATGAGGATGGGCGGTGACAGCCTTCTGCCACTGAATTGGTCAGAGCAGCTGCAGGATTCATTCATTCTTTTCAGGACCCAAGCTCGATATATGCTAGATTTTAGATATTACTATACGTGTAATTACAATGAGATGTTAAAAGTTTGAATATAGGAATGAGACAAACGTGAAAGTCATTGATTTCTGCAGTCAGCAGTCGAAAGGGGAGCGACGCAGTGTCTTTAGCATAAGGTAACTTTGCATCACGCATCTAGTGTGTTAGCATGTGGTTATCGTAGCGAACGGTGCAGACATGTCTATGTTCTTCTTGTATAACGTGCATGGCTTATTATAGTAGTTTAACTGATGCTATGTTTAGAAAGAATCACTCTTTATTATCGCGTTAGCTAGCTTCATGATGTTAGCTAATGTTTTGGTGCTGATGCTGCTAAACCGGAAGTAGCATCCCTTGTCTGAAAATGAAGCAGCCCTTTAGAGTCAATGAACCATCGCTTCAAATAAATATATTATGGCCCACGTTTAATAATCAGTATATTGCAATTATGACAGACATTTGTATGGATAATGAGTTCTGTTTATCACAGCACCATGTGGTGGGACTGGTCACTGCTGCCTGCTCTCGCACTTCTCTCTGAGCTCTCTGCTGTCATGGTCCAGACTGCACCATGTCAGACCTGTCGAAAACTCACTGACAGCTTTATTCAGGTGAGGAGTGTTTTCATGTTTTATTGTTGTTTTTCAAATGAATATTATATTTGTGATAACCGAGCATCATCTTTTTCTTAGGGTTTGGAGAGAACAGCCAATAAAAATTTTGGTGGTGGGAATACTGCATGGGAAGAGGAGAAACTTGCAAAATATGAACGCAGGTAAAGGCCTGAATAAAACGTTCTTTTAGTATCAATTATAAAAACATGATTAGTTTGTGTAAGCTCTCAGTCGTACAGGGATAGGTCAAAGCAAAGGAAGGTTTCTCACCCATCATCTGTACTTCTTAGCAGGTTTTCCCGACGTATTCCCGATGATATTAGATTAATTGTATCATATTTTGCAGCGAGACCCGATTGCTGGAAATTGTTGAAGCTGCTTGTGAGAAGACAGATTTTGAATGTAATAAGCTTCTGGAGCAGATCGAGGACCAAGTCGAGACATGGTGGTTTCACAGGTGATTTCAAATATAAAAAATGTGATTCTTCATCACACTGTTGAAAAATATCTATACTTTCTTTGGTGCATGCAGCAGAACAGACTTTAGGAGAGATGTTATCCCTGCGGGTTCAGCATCCACACTGAACACTGTTTATGTGGGGTTTTAATCCTGGGGAACATGGTTGAGATTGTAATAATAATAATAATATTTTTTTTACTATTTACGATTTTCTGTATCAGTCTCTTTTCTATGCAATGCCGTGGCTAGTGATGACTTGAATTTCTTAAACAAAATAAAAAATCATATCTTTCTATTTATGAAAACACATTTTCAAAAAGACGTGTTCCCTTTTTATAACAACATCTGTCTTGTAGGCAAGAAGAGGCACCAGATGTGTTTGAATGGCTTTGCATAGAACAGCTAAGACTCTGTTGTCCACCGGGCCACTTCGGACCTGAATGCAAAGGTTTCTATTCAATGAAAGTCAAAATATCTTAAATCTGTAAATGTTGTTGGTAATTGTTCCACATTGTCTAATCGATATGCAGAGTGTCCATCTGGCCCAGGCGGGATCTGCGGAGGCCTGGGCCGCTGTGAGGGAGAGGGCACTCGACTCGGGGATGGAGACTGTGTTTGTGACCCTGGATACTCGGGCCTCCTGTGTCAGAGCTGTGCTGACGGCTATTTCAGAGAGAAGAGTTCAAACAACAGTGACGGGGCCTGTGCAGGTAGGTCATTCGAAAGAAAATGGAACTGTGAAAAATGTTATTCTTAATGTACGTTTTGTTGCTGTTCTTTAGCTTGCTTCCACTCATGCAAGAAATGTTCTGGACCACAAGATTATAAATGTCTTGATTGTAAACCTGGGTGGATTCTTCATGACAACAAGTGTGTAGGTGAGTGACTGAAGGTCTTATTAAAAATACCATGGAGGAAAAAAAAGCTAAGGCGCATATTGTTTCTAGATGTGGATGAATGTGGAACTGTGTTGGCCCGCTGCCCCACCAACACTTACTGCCATAACACCGATGGATCCTATGATTGCAGAGGTTTGTGAACAACTGTGATTATACATTTTTAAAAAGTGCATTAAGTGAACTCATTCAATCTAGTAAAATCCATCTACTGTTTGATTTTTACCTTACAGAGCTTAATTTTTGTGTTTCTTTTGCGCTTTTTAATTGCATTGTTGTGTATTTTAGAAATAACAATGCATGAGTAAAAATTGTTACGATCGAAATGAAAAGAAACTACACTGAGGAGCCGTTATCACATCCTCAGCTTTGAACAGGAAGTCAAATAACCCATTTCAAATCAATACTATCGTTACAATCTGCCGTTTAATAGCAAAGATATCTTATGGATGTCTTGTTGTATTTCTGTTGCACCTAAAGTTATTACTGGGTTAAAAAGTATTATTTAGCAGTATGCATTGTTTTTATTTTCTCCTGTCAGGTTGTGACCAGGCCTGTGTTGGCTGCATGGGGAGTGGACCAGCTCGATGTAAAAAATGTGCACGTGGTTACAGACTGAAAGGTGCTAAGTGCCTCGGTAAGTGGCCCGTGAGAATCCAGTAGGTTTTACTGGTTTATTAGTAAGATCACAGAAGCCGGATTAAAGAACAATAGGAATAACATGAGCAAACAAACAGGGGAAATTAAGTAGAAAAGTTAAAAAGCTGTATTTCCGTCACTAATCTGGCTTAACCCTTTAATGTTCACTCCTTGAAGAAAGCAATGTATTTGTTTTATTTTTTTGGGATTATCTAAGATGTAGGACGCTAATAAAACTTTTCGCACATGGTTTTTCATTATAGTCCTTTACCAAAAGTTGGAGATGCAGTTTGATGTCAGGGTTCCTAAAAACAGGAGTTAGATTTCAGGTAGATGTAGTGACTCAAAAAGTGATCCACTAAATGGTTGAGGAAACCATTAAAGGGTTGTATGAATTGAAGCATTTAGTTAATCTATTATTACTCTCAGGGAAAAGTGGCTGATTTCGATGCTGTTGAAATGCAGTGCACTGTGTGATTGGCAGTAGGGGTTTCAGAGTGGCTGTAATCTGCCAATGAGACAAACTGTTTCTGATTTCTGTTGTTGTGGCAGATGTGGATGAATGTAGTGAGCGAGCCATAGCGTGCCCAGGGTTAAACGAGGCCTGTATTAATGAAGAGGGATCCTTTCACTGTGAATGCGCTGATGGCTTCATCAGAAGAGACAGCATTTGTGTTGAGAACAAGCCTGCAAGTAAGTGGGTTTATTATTAACAGAAAACCTCGAAACGTTTCCATTGTGTTTGTTTGTCCTTTGTGTTTTTGGCTCTAGTGTGTCACCATATTAATTTTTAAAACTCAATTTTTAGATTATTGAGGAGACTCCCAACAGCTTCCTAGCATTGAGAAATATCAAGTATCAAATGTTAAGACACGGCTCTATATTTTGTGTTAAATTATTTTTAGGTTAAAGTTGCCATCTCTTTCATAACATGCAGCATGCAAAGGATGTAAGTGACTTTGAACTCTGGCTTCATCAAATCCTTTCATTCCTCAGCTGATCCAGACAAGGGACTCTTTGATGACATGACTGATGATGAGGTCCAGGTGCTGCAGCAGATGTTCTTTGGAATCGTCATCTGTGCTCTGGCCACTTTGGCCGCCAAAGGAGACATGGTTTTCACTGCCATATTTATCGGAGGAGTCGCTGCTATGGCTGGATACTGGCTCACAGAGAAGGGCGATGCCATGTTGGAAGACCTTTTAAAGGGACAATAGAGTCTGGATTCTATAAAGAAAAGACAAATACTGCTGATGAATGTGAAAAAGACAGCATCCTGGCATGGCGATCTCCCTGCAATGCTTTTTATTATGCAGGGACTCATTTGGAGTTCACTCAAAGGGCTTGAAGTGTAATTTATTCATGGGAAACCTGTTCTGTACGTACAGGATGCACTGCACTGATGCGCTCATGTGGTTGTTCAACATTTTTTTGTGAAAACTTTTTCAAAAATGCTTCCATCCATTTTAAAGCCATCTTTTTTTTGTCTGTTATTTAAGAATATAAATGTAGATGCATGAATTATGTTTGAGTTTATACAGAATACATGATAGTTTTACAAACTGCATTAGCATGATGAAGACCCCAACAACAAACCTGGAAACTGTTTAGAAGGTATGGAGAAAACAAACACTGAAATCTTGTCTTGTTGACTTTTTATATTCAATTTGACCAATTTAATTTTAATGTGCAATTTGATGGTGATTTACTGTTTATCACATCTACTGTTTTGTTATTTATTCAAGTGTTTGCTTTACAATTAAACATCATATTAATTTAATTAATCTCTTTGTTTCCCAGTTCCATTTAGGCCAGTCTATACAATTTTTCCATAAACATGTGTGCTGAAAAAAATTAAGTGAAAATGATATTGAAACCTTAAAACCATATCTGGCAATGGATTCAGATTCAGAAAAGTATTGATCCCAAAAGGGGAAATTCATTTGCCGCAATCCAAGAGCAGTTCACACAGACTGCCATCGCACTGAGTGCGATCACAGCAGAGTAAGGTATAAAAGCATCATCAGACAATAAAAAGTTTGTTTCACCAACAGCAGCAAAAAGCACGAAAGGATTGGGAAACACGACAATGGGACAAGCATGACTATCTTGTTTTAAATGACAGAATTCTTATTATTCTTATGTTCATATTGTGCCATGTTTTTGCTGTGTATTTTTACAGTGCACACATATTATTTATAAAGTTAATATTATATTGCACAAGTCCTTAGGCCAGGGGTGTCCAAACCTTTTTCATCAAGGGGCCGTACAGCTGAGGGCACTGAACTGTTGAAAACATAGGATCAATGCTTTTTTTATGTAGTGTCACACTTTTTATTCAGTTTTAAATCATCAACAACAAGCATTGTGTAATACAGACTTTATTATTAATGTTATAACGGTGAAGGTTTAAACATTTTAATTAAACCACTTTTGGGCCATTAAATTTGTCAATAAATTTGTAATCAATCAAACATTTATTTAAACATCTAAAGAATTTCAATGGCAAAACAGCAAAAATCAGAAGCAATGGTTCTGGTTCAGGTTCTGGTTCAATATGAGAGAGTGGTTCCATTCACACATTAGTACATGTTCTATGGACCCTATCAGATGAAGTCTTTTGTATCCAGCCAGGTAGATCACATTCACAAGTTTCTGAATACTTCATTCAAAGCAAAAAGTTTCCTGTTTGTTATTGTGTGCCTAAAAATACATGATACATTACTTCGTTCTGAGACTGAGCTTTTGTCACTGCACATTTCAGTCAACAGGGAAATGGGCATGTCTCTAGTCTGCCCAACAGAACTTCTTAAATAAGAGCTTTGAATTGAAAAAGGTTTAAGGGCAGTATTTTCCCTCTGGGCCATGGTTTGGAGGTGAGCTTTCTTAAACAGGGTTATAATGCAATCTGTCTGATACTCTCTCTAAATAAATGACAGGTTTTCACAGTTGGGAGTAAGATGGGAGATGTTTTGGGTCTGAACGTGGAGCCTATTTGAGAGTGCCACTCCAGTTAATGGGGTTGAGTCTCAGCAGCTCCCTCTCCTTCAGAACCTCCTGGGAACGTGTTAGTGCTCTGTCCCTCCAGCTCTGCTCCATTAGCTGCACAATGAAACCCAGGGCAGAGCAAATACACGTTATAATGCACACTCCTGCACAGCCTCCCTCAAATCTACTCAGTATCAAAATCGCCTAAAAGAAAGAACTTGTATTAAAGCTGGGGTACCTGACTTTCAACGGCCAACAAAAACCCATCTAGTTTCTGACTCTCAAAACAGTTTGGTTCTTTGGTTTTCACACTCTGTCACATCTTTAGGTCAGATTTTTCAGACACTAAATCCACTCTCAGCCTAAACTGTCAAATAGCGATGCAGATGGCTCTTTTTTATCCACACAGTAAAACATTTTTGAATAAGATGAAGCAGCATTACTTTGACAAGCCTCTATTCGATGACAGACAAAATGTATTACTTTAGAATTTTATTTCAGGTATCCCAGCTTTAAATATGCACAGAATAGACGTAACTTCTTACGGGTCTGTATTTTAGGTAAAGTTGAAGTGTACCCGTTTGTTCTCGTCCCTAAAAGCCGTCATAGCTTGTCTGTGCTGAATCTTTTGCTCTTTTTCTTCGAACAAATCCAGGCGATCCTTTTCACTCAAATACTCAGCTTCTTTCGCTCTGTCAGTAAATTGGAGCCTCCGAGCTACATGTTTATCTTCCATCTGCTTTTTTAAGTGGTTGCGGATTTCTTTCCTGGAAGAAAAAGAAAGTAGTGATACCCTTCCATTATTGACAACATTATTATTGAAGGAATAGGCAAAAATTGAATAAAAAAGGAAAAATTGAAAACATCTACCTGTACTCCTCCCTCTCAATGCTGGTTCCGTAAAAGGGTTTTCGCCACACTTGATGGAATCTGTCAATATTTATAGAAATGGGTGAAAACAGTGTGTGTTTGTGCATGAATATGTGTGTGCATGTGCGTGTGTGTGTATACATTTTACTATGAATACCTGTAATGTTCTTTCCTCTGCATTATCAACGCCCTCTGGTGGTTGTGGTGGTGAACAGCAGGGGTCTCCAGACAAACAGTGCGCTTTTGGACAGAAGGTGGATGCAAAGGGTCCAGTCTTGGAATAGGCTTAGGGGAGAAACTGCACTTAGTCCAAAACATTGTGTCACCTATTAAATGTATAAATAAGTCAAACCCAATATTATTTCACTTACACGTTTGCTTGCCCATGTGGCACATTCTGATAACAGGGGAAATGTCACAGAGCTTGTTAGAGTAGGATGTCTTGCAGGAGACGAGGGCGAAGGAAGGCAGACTGGTGTGGAAGCTATGACAGCTGTACAATTATGCAAATATACGTCAATTGTATTCTTCATAGGTTAAAATATATAATCAAAATATTTTATTTTTTGATAAATATTAAATATTTATCAAAAAATAACCAAACAAAAAACACACAAGCACACAATTTTATTCAGCCAGTCTACAGAGATTTCTATTCAGAATTTGTAGAGAAAACATGTTTCATCTCACGAAGTTTCATTGCCAGGTTAGACGAGTCCCGCTCCTGAGAAAAAAACAATCTTCCTTAAATCTGCAGTGATTGTATTCCAGGTTGATGAGTTAAACACTAAAAACTAAACTAACTAAAATATCAATAGAACATAAAAATTACTGGAGCTGTTCTAATGCTGGTTAAAGATTAAACTATGACAAGCCTGTTTGCAATGGCAACAGTCTCCTTGGGAATCGAGTTACCCCCAACTAAAAAGAAAGGGAGTATACAGCAGGCACACATCACTGCACAACAAAAGACCTTATTAGCCTCACACCGGAACGTGATATTATTAAGTCTAACGTGCATTCCACAGGGCCACGTAAAGAAAACTCAAAGTAAACCATTTTTTATATTATTTATTTATTTACACTCCTCGAACATAGTGATGTGAACCAAAAATCCATACAAGTAGAACATTTATACTGCCTATGTGGTTTCTTACTTTTTTTATTAAAAGAACATAGAGACACAATAACTTCAGCAGGACGTTTTCCTTATAACGTTAAATTAACAATAAATGAAATGTAGGTGTCAACAACGAGAAGCTGTGTGGCTGCATGGTTTAAACCAGGGTTAGGAGATTATTTTCTTTGGGAGGGGGGGGTCACATTGGGGTATGGCCGAACAGACATATGTAAAGGAGAAAAAGAGTGGGAGAGCCAAATTAGCCTGTGTTTTCTTTGTGTTTGTGAATAGCTTATCTGTATCATCTGTGGCTTTTTTGTTTTGACATTTCCATCAAGAAGGCAGGCTGAGCTAATTATTTTATTGATAATTGGTTTTAATATTCTTATTTGGTTTTGGATGTGACCAAAACTCGAACAAATGTTGAGAAGCTATAGTGTATTGTATTGTATCCCCATTTCCCCACAGTGGGACAAATAAAGGAGCTTGTATCTTATGTTAAGGCTGAGTAATGTAGACTGATTTACAGATTAATGTTTTGGACAAATGATTACTGTGAACGGGGCCGGATTGAGTCCACAGTTTGCCCCGGGTCTGGTTTGAACAGCACCTGGCAGCTTTTAAAACATTCAACTGCACTGCAAGACTCAAAGTGCTTTAGAAGGGAAACATAATCATAAACAGATAAAACATAAATAATCACAGACATTAAAAACAGTGTTCAGTACATTTTCAGGAAGCCAGTACAGAGACCTAAGCATAGAACTAATGTTAATCATTCTTTCTGGACAGTTTCACGGATAAGAATCTCCAAATCCGCTTTAGACAGTACCTTTTTGATTCTGGAAATATTGTTTGGATGGTAAAAAGCTGTGGGTGTTAAGATTTGATGTGGCTGTTAAAATGTAATGATTGAGTCTATCATTACCCCAAGATTTCTGATGCCTAACCCTTGATTTAAAGTTTTTAGGTAGAGATACTGGGGGTGACTGGAGGGGTCCAGATAATCATTTCAGTTCAGACTTGACAAGACCTTTAAAAGTAACTTTATAATGCAAGTCAACTGCACTCCATCGCTCCTTCAAAAAACATGATAAAAAGTGTTTGATAGTATTGCAATTTTAACAAACCATGTTAATTCAAATACCGAGTGCTTCCTGGTTCTCCCATAACCAGGCATGATATTTATTTAACATGTGATCCTTAGGTGTCACCTTTGTAAAAACAAAAACAGAAAAAAATAGTACAAATGTGCAAATTGAGGGGCTCATATTATAAAAATGTACTTACGTCTTTCCACTCCTCCACGCAGAAGATTCTGAACGAGTCGTTGCCATATTTACCAATACCATGCAATTCAATGGGGTAGCGCCACTGTTTGGTGAGATATTCATCTATGTAAAAGCAAAAAAGAAAAGATTTTAGTTAAAAAAAAATAATAATAAAAAAAATTGTAATTTATGCGTCTAATAATGTTGCCTTTTTAAATCCTAATTGGAATTTCACAACAAAATCACCTGAAAAGCGAATGATTGTCTTGGCTCTGAGTTGATAAAGACCGAGCGGTTTCATCATTTCAGATATGGGGTTCCAGTCTGCTTCTCGTGTGACCTCAGCTGTAGGGTAACTCTCAAAGAACTGCCAGAGCACCGGTATCGCCAACTTGCCTGGAAGAGTGATGATGCAGTATTTTAATAAAACAATGCCAGAATAGTTAAAATTGCAATATGCATTTTTGTATCGATAACTAAGTATGGAGGTATAAAATAATACACTAATCCACATGAACAGCTTTGATAAATTACAAGTATCTCATTTTAGATTCCAGTTTGTGAAATTAAAAAATCCAGGCAGGAAGATTCTGGCAACAAAATGGTAGATTGGAAATGTACTGTATGCTATTACTTTATGTGGTCCTTTGAACTTTTATATGGTCCCTTTAACACAGTAACACCTCACCACTTGTCTTATTCAGAAATATGGTTGCGACCAAGAGCTTCCAAGGGTCGTGAAAAAGAGTTTCTTGGACAAGGTTGAATGGAGATCGAGGTGGTGTCCATTTCTTGAAAACTTTCCTTCTTGGTGATCTCGGCCCTATGAATAAAGAAACAAATATAGATTCTCAGTTGAAGTCAACACTTATATTTTAATGTCATTTAGAATTACAGTCTCTGATGTTTGCCTTGCTGAAATACGGACTAGTTTTCCTGTTGTCTTGCGACTTCCTTGATTCTGCATGGATATAAAAAAACACATACAATGGTACAGTGGAAATCTGTTAGACGGCACTCTAACAGCCATGCTTACTATTTTGAGAATCTCTCTCAGGCGTCTTACTCCCGACTGGGATGTGAGGCGATAACACCTGCTCCAGTGTCTCATCATTGCTGCTCTTCACTGTCTCCAGCTCTGAAATAACATTCTCATCACCTTCTCTGTGAAGCAGAGCCACATCTTGCTCATTGTCACTGTCACTCACAGGTCTCACATGCAGAGAGGGGACCGAGGGATTCAAGCATGTGGTGTCTTTGTCTTTTAAACCCGTCACCATCAACAGCTTTTCTTTCAGTAAACCAGGTCTTAATGGCAATTTTACATCATCCTCAAAAGTTGTAACACCAACATCCTTTCCCAAAGATGCTTCTGGTACGCCTGAACCAGCAATGATGTCATAGTTCTTGCTTATTGATTTTTTTAAAAGAGCAGAGGATACAGTTGAATCTATTCCTCTAGCTTCATCTGGTGACGTCTTCATTTTCTTTTTACAATCTTCATGGTTCCTTCTACTTTCTTTCCTTTTTATTATTGAAACAGACTTTTTAGCCCTTTTTTCAGTTTGTGAAAAATCGAACATGCTTATGTCAAAACTCCTCTCTGTGTTTTTCTGCAGAAAAGCTTCTAAAGAAGTCTTGGAGCGAAACTTCTGCCCACTGGGACTGCAATGAACATTGACATTTCTATTAGAGATTACCAACAAATGTAGGGATAATATTCATAGAAAGATACCTTATGATATACACATCAGTTTTCCCAGCAGTTTTCCCTGTTTTCCTTTGCTTGACCTCTCTGTTCCATCCAGGAGGCAGCAAAGAGGAGGCAGGGGGCGAATGATCCACATCTTGTTCGTTCATGTTTTGGACACTGAACAACTAGAAAATCCGAAACAATATAGAATTATCATACTTTCAGAAAAGGCTGGGGTACCTGGCTTTCATATCCCAGAAAAGTGGCCTACCTCATTTAGCCAATCAGTTTACAGCTCACAGTAACTCAAAAGGCAATGTCTTACTAAGAATGCAAAATATCTTTTCTAAGACTAGATTTTGTCGTCTGATACTTAATGTTCTCAACATTTTACTTTTGCACGATTCCTTCTGTTGATAAACCAAATGCACTATTCATGTTTTGAAAAAAGAAGTTGGGTACCCCGGCTTTAAGATCAGGCTAGTAGACATACACAACTTCGACGAGATTTGGTAAATGAAATTAAAAGTTCTGGTGAAAATAAAAACTCTGAAAACAAATGTATTAAACCAAGAACATTAATAATCATAACAAATATTTACCTTGTTTGTATTGCAAATCCATAGAACACCGTTCATACATCAATGCTTCTTCTCTTCGCCTAAAGTCCATAACACAGCTCCACACTGCATCAAAACAGGAAGTCCACGTTTCTGAGCATGCGCAGTGCGTTCAAAATGCCCTGGTAAGGTATTCTACAACATTGAGGGGATTCTTCTGCAATAACGCGAAACTGCCAAAATATGCTCTAAACGTTTTCTCTCGTGTTATTTGAATGCGTGAGAATGAGAGCCGTGCTGGCCTGGAAGGAGTCTGTGCGGGACCAGTGGTGAGGCTTCATGTCTGCTGTGGTTGTACCGTAGTAACCGCGGTTGCTATGTAAACTAAAGTTAGCCGAATATAGCTAGCTGCTGTTAGCATGTGTGTCATTACAGTCTGTGGTCATTGCTGTCACTTAACTTAAGAATCCTGAAATGCACTTTCTTTTATGTGGGGAAACCAGGCTTTGAAGTGATATGCGTCTCATAATCATAGATAAAACGATACTTTATTTTCCTGAAAATCTTTGCATGGGCTGATGTCGCCCACATTATGTTTTGTTATATAATTATCAGCTAAAAGTTGTAAACAACAGTTATTTTACTGTATAACCTTAAGTTACCAGTCAGGCTACTAACTAGGTATTGCCAAGAACCTATACGATACACAATTGGATGGACCAATATGTGTATTTTTTGTGTCAACTGTTGATTCTCTGATCTGTGTTGGTGATTTCAATGGTTTTGTTAAGTAATCTGAGAGGTCTGCTGTTGTGAATTAGGTATATACCAGGCCACTCAAGAATAAATTGTATTGTATCTACTAGGAAGTAGGACTGGGCGGTATAAACGGTATAAGCGGTAGACGGTATAAATTTGGCCCACGGTAGAGATTTTTGTTATACCGGCATATTGCGATAGGTCATTATGTCATCAAATTGCGCAGGCTCTGACGCCAGCAGAAAGCACCAAAACAAACCGGCATTCAGCAGCATTAGCCTAGCACTATTAGCCTAGCACACACCACTGGAAACAACGAACAACAGCACGGCTTTCACACCGTGTTTCTGTCTCTGTATTGTTGTCACAGCGGCCCCAGCAGAGGTAAATACACACACAGCAATCACAGTTTACATGTCTACCTTTCGGCCAATGAGTGTCAAAGGGGCGTAGGCTCGAAGCGCCATCGTGAGCCGAAATAGATCCATGCTTGTGCCGTGTCCGCATCATCTCAGAAGTTTTGTAAAGTTAGCGTCCGATTCAGACTTCCGCGGTCAATAGATCACAAAAGCTACTTTGTTAAACAAAATTAATTGTGCCAAAATGAGCATTTACATCAATTGTTCAAATCAAATGCGCTGTTTTAATGCAGATAAATCCATTGAATCATCCAGTTCACAGCAAGCGCTTAGGGAGCGTCAACAAATGGCAAGACTAGCTTTGTAAACGAACAATAGCTTTTACTGAAGCCATGCATACGCACTAAACTCTGACACTATAAATAATGACCATGTCTAACTGCTACAGATATTATATAATATATTTTATATTTTTATATTATTTAAAATTGCTTTCACAGTTAATGGTCTTTACTGTAACATACATAAATAATGTATGTTACAGCATTTGTCTCTCACCTGATTTTCAAACTCAAAAAATATATATCAGATTCTAATGTATAGATAAGTAACAATCTTGACTATTTTATGCAAGAACCTGCTAAACCTATATTGAAATTCACACACCAAATTATACCGTGATGTATACCGTCTACCGTCTGTGACCCAAATCATACCGCGATATGAATTTTAGGCCATATCGCCCACCCCTACTAGGAAGACAAGATGAATCTTCCTAAACTACAAACAGGTGTCTCTTTACACCAAAATTCTATTGGTACATGAAGATACTATGGATGTATGAATCATAAAGATACTCAAATAAGACAATGAAAAATGGGGGTTTATTTTGGTTTTATCCTTTTTTAGAACAAATAAAACGTTTTACAACTGTTTTACAACTACTTTAGCTTAGACAACAATCATAGAACTTTCAGAACTGTTCATGTAAAACAGTATTTGATTCTTTGCAGTGTGTATGATCTTGCTTTCAAGCCAGATGGCACCCAGCTCATTGTTGCTGCAGGAAAGCGAGTTCTTGTAAGAAATTGTCTTTTAAATTAACTCAAACCAAACTATAATTAACCAATGGCATTATTATATATTCATATTTGGAATATTTTTTTCAGGTTTTTGATGCTGTGGATGGAACAATTAATCAACCGCTAAAAGGACACAAAGATACTGTCTACTGTGTTGCTTACGCCAAAGATGGTATAAACACTTTTTAAAACATATTTGAATCCTGCTTCTATAATGTAGTGAGACTGTCATCTTTCACAGGCAAGAGGTTTGCCTCGGGATCTGCAGATAAAAGCATTATTATCTGGACATCAAAACTTGAGGGCATTTTGAAATATACGTAAGAAGTTGAACTCTTTCTGTCTTTTTTCTCCACATCTATATCTTGATCTTTTACTGTATCTTCACAGGCATAATGACTCAATCCAGTGCCTTGCTTATAACCCTGTCACTCACCAACTGGCGTCCTGTTCCACTGGTGACTTTGGTAAATTAGGATCTTTGTTATCTTTACTTATTTCGACATATGCAAATTAATTTCAAATGCTACTTTATATTTCAGGCCTGTGGTCACCAGAGCAAAAATCTGTGAATAAACATAAAGTAAACAGCAAAATTACATGCTGTGGGTAAGTAGTGTTTCTGTGCCTGAGGATTTGGGGATTTTATAACTCACATAAAGTCATACATAAACATTGTATTTTTTATTTCTTTATCTAGGTGGACAAATGATGGACAGTATCTAGCTCTTGGTATGATGAATGGAGTCATAAGCATTCGCAATAAGAATGGAGAAGAGAAGGTCAAGATTGAGCGTCCAGGAGGCTCTTCATCTCCCATCTGGTCTATAGCCTGGAATCCCTCCAAGTTTGTCCTAATTATTCATTTATATTCACTGCCAGTGCTCGAAACTGCTCTGCCATCATCATCATCAGAAATGCAATTGTGCCTATTTCAAATTTGGACTGAAGGGGGCAGTATCAAACAATGTAAAGAAGACTTTTGGGTGTAGCCAGTAACATAAAATGAAAAAGAAAAAAAGAACAAAATAACAGCTAAATGTAACTAAACTCATCAAGGGTTGATGTTCTTTTTGTGATATTTTTCTCAGAGATGAGCACAATGACATCTTGGCTGTTGCAGACTGGGGCCAGAAGCTGTCCTTCTATCAGCTCAGTGGAAAACAGGTTATTATCAACATGCATACAATAATTAATCAATATTTATGTTATATTAATGTGATTAACAGGTTGAAATATGATATTTTATAAAACAACTCATCAAATCTGACAACAGTAAATTCTTTATTCTGCTTCCAATATTAAAGTGTGTAACAAACTCACACAATGAAAGGAAGGGATCCCGCTAAGTTTTAACAGTACTTTTACGAGACTTCCTCCTAAATAACAGCCTCTTGCTTTAAGTAATGACAGACAAATGTGCACAGGCAAAGTAAAAGATTATTTTCCTATGCGCTACAGTGCATTGTCTGCTAGGCTGTTTTAGGTGAGTCAAAACAAATACTTTTTGTTCATTTGTGTGTGTATTGTTTGTATTGTATGTTTTTAATGTGAAACACTTTGTGACACTGGTTTGTGAAAAGTACTATATACACTAAATAAACATATTCTACCATAGACACTATGGCTGCTACATACTGAAATGACTTAACTATAAATAATAGAAATTGAGTTAAAACAAAGGAAGGTATTAACGACAATGATGATCTTACATTCAGAGTTCTTTGTTGAGTCAATGAGAATGACAGATCTCTCTTCCCTCCTTAGATTGGAAAGGACAGGACCCTGAACTATGACCCATGTTGCCTGAGTTACTTCTCCAAAGGAGAGTACATAGTGATGGGAGGCTCTGACAAACAGGTGTCTCTTTACACCAAAGATGGTGTTCGCCTGGGGCCCATCGGAGAGCAGAGCTCGTGGGTGTGGACGTGTGGGGTCAAACCTGACCAGGGCATGAACTATGTGGTAGGTCTCATCCCATCCTCATACTGTTGCCTCTTAACAAGAAGGTCCTAGGGTTGACTCCAGGGCGGCATGGACCCTTTCTGAGTGGAGTTTGCATGTTATCCCTGTGTCTGTGTAGGGTTTCTTCGGGTGCTCCAGTTCCCCGACCACCAATAACTTGTGCAAAAGGCTTGTTTCCTCTAAGACAAGTATTCCTCAACAAAAAAAACCCTCTAAATTATTTCTGAGACTTTCCTGTTTTAATGATGGTCAATAAATAAATAAAAGATGGACATGTATTTGTCATCACTGCATCTCAGTCTGGATACAAACAAATAGTTCTAAAATCAACATTTACGAGCTAATGAGTGTTTGCAAGTCTCACACTTTCATTGTGTGATTGCATTACTAGCAGGAAGACTTTCTCACTCCTATGTTTTTTTTCAAAGTGTTAATAAAAGCTCTGATACATTGTTTTTCCTCTTCTTTAGGTGTTGGGCTGCCAAGATGGAACGATCTCCTGCTATCACCTTATATTCAGCACCGTGCATGGCCTTTATAAAGATCGCTATGCTTACAGAGACAACATGACCGATGTCATTGTGCAGCATCTTATCACTGACCAAAAAGGTATATTTTTGTCGTCATTGTTTGCGCAATCAAAATATAAATTAAACCTCCTTTGGGAATAACAAGCTTGAATAAAATACTAATCAATAAAACAGCAAGCGGTTTAATGCCTTATAAAGTTAAAGTCCTCTGTCCTGCATTGATGATACGTTCGCAGAGTGAAGGGGGTCACATACAGTTAATCAGAAGTAATGTGCTATCTGACAGTGAGAGGTTAAAAGAGTAGATCATGGCTTAATTAACAACAAGCACTTGATGGTAATAAATTTAGCCTTTATTGAGATCTGGCAAGAAGTTTGAAAAATGTCCCCTGATGAGACCTTTAAGGTGCTAGTTATAAACAGACAGGGTCAAAAAGTTTTGTTCTGTGTTCCTCATCTTCATTTTTATTTAATTTAAAACCGGCTCAGTGATCATAGATATACAGTATATATTGGCTATCTTCTACATATCATGATAATTGTGGCAAAGCTGTTGTGTGTTAATAACCTTTTCCTAAAACACTGCTCACCCTTTGCTTTCAGTGAGAATCAGATGTCGCGAATTGGTTAAAAAAATTGCCATCTACAGAAACCGCCTCGCCATCCAGCTCCCAGAGAAGATCTTCATCTACGAGCTTTACTCGGACGACTCCACAGACATGCATTACCGCATCAAGGAGAAAATCGGGAGGAAGTTTGAATGCAACTTGTTGGTGGTCTGCTCTCAACACATCATCTTGTGCCAGGTGCAGCCCAGATGAAATACAACACGCAGAGTCACAGACACAAATGAATTATTGACGCTCAAGAATGTTCAATCATAAATCATACATACAGCCCTAATCCTCCTTTGTCTCCTCTAAATGCCTATAGTATTAGCTGTTCATTACATTATATTTTTTAGCTCTTGATGAATTGCTCTTGACTTAAAACACTATAGCAAGATAAATACCACATTTCCCTTTCCCAAACAAAGTGAGAAGAGATGTTATCAAAAATTAGCCAGTTCTCCAGATGTCAATGCCTATTTGGAGAAGAAGATCCAGCTGTAGAGTGGTATGCAGGCTCCTCTTTCTCAGCGCTGTTCAAACAAGATAAAGTTCGACAGTCGGCTGAAGGCTAGGACTGTTGAACCTGTCAGGCTCTCTGGGGCTTTTCCTACTCTGCTTGTCTGTATGTATTAGGCAGCAGGAGCCGTTCTAACATTGGTTGCTTTATTTTAAAAGTAGGCTTGTGTTTCTTCTGTCTCTATTGGATCTAGATAAGATTCAAATGCAAACTAGAGAATATGACCACATGTGTATATAACATCACACAACATCTCTATGACAGCACAACTTGTCAAGTAGCATTGGAGTCATGCTATAATATGAATTAGAAATATTGTGTTTTGCCCAAGACCAAGGGTTCCACGATAAGCTTGAAAGAAACTTGCAGTCCATAATGCAGTGAAAGTGACAGCGGTAATAGTTTGTGGTATCAAATCATGTCAAATTGTGCCTTTGAGTTGGTCATTATTATGTATTATGTCTTCGATCAGTAGTCAACAAAATATAAGAAACATTTTAAATCCAGAGATTGACAATTTACAGACTGTACCATTTTTACTGAAATATTTTTCAAATAATGTGCGTCCTAACCTCCACTCTAGGAACCACTTTCCTATTTGGATATTCACGGTTCTTAATTCTATTAGCAAATTAGTTTTGGACATCTAATACTTGTAGATTCACATTTAAAAGTTCATTTATTTTTGTAAGGTAACTTTAAATGTGAAACCAAAATGATATAGACTCATTGCATCCAAAGTGACATATGCCATATGTCCCAGTCGGAACAGGGCCTTTCTGAGTGGAGTTTGCATGTTCTCCCCGTGTCTGCGTAGGTTTCCTCCGGGTACTCCGGTTTCCCCTACCACTAAAAACATGTACAATAGGTCTGTCATGCACCTCCTGTACTGGCGATCCCTCCCATCTCTGTGGAGTGAGAGACAAATGTCTATCAGCTCCTTCGACCACCACCAACCTCTTGACTTTTTCTAGGCATTGTGGGTTAAGTGTCTTGCCTAAGGACACAACGGCAGTTTGGCACTTCACAGCGGTAACCACCCCATTGCAGTACCTGGTCTCCCATCACAGTACTAACCCTAACCCTGCACAGCTTCAGAGTCTGATATGATCTGGCTTTTGCATGCAAGTAATGCCACAAATAGGCAAGGTAGGGTCTTGCCTAAGGACACAACAACAGCAGACATCAGTGGGAGTCGGTGGAGAAGGTCTTGTGGTGGGAATTTAACCCACAAACTTCTGGCCGAAAGGCCAATGCTCTAACAACTGAACTGTCGCTTCAATTGTTGTAAATATGTGATCGGCAAAGTAGCTGAATACACTTTTATGTATCGTACATTATTCAATGCCATGGTAAAATACGACATGCTGTTTGGGGCCATCTAATCACATGCATGAATGAGCTCTGATACAGAATAGAGTCCAGACTTAAACAGTGTGTCGTTTGACCCTGTGTCGTGTCGTGCAGGAGAAGCGGCTGCAGTGCTTGTCGTTCACCAGCGTCAGAGAAAAAGAATGGGTGATGGAATCTCTGATCCGCTACATCAAAGTGATTGGTGGTCCACAAGCCAGAGAGGGCCTGCTCGTCGGGCTTAAGAATGGAGCTGTGAGTGTGGGGGAATTTGAACAAAGACTTGGTTTTCTTCTTAGAAAGTTTATATAAAAATATATATATACATTTTGTTTAAACTTTTTCTGATTCAGATTTTGAAGATATTTGTTGACAACCCATTCCCCATCACATTACTGAAGTTGTCTACTTCAGTGCGGTGCCTGGACATGAGCACCTCACGCAATAAACTGGCTGTAGTGGATGAACACAACACTCTTCTGGTTTATGACATCAATAGCAAAGAACTACTTTTTCAGGTTTGTGTCACAGTTGTTATTGCTCGGTTATGAATGCCTTGTATGTGCATGTAAATATGTTTGTGCTGCTTTGTGTTCCCGGTGACTTTTTAATCCTTTGTTTACCCATCCTTTGCTCCTGCAGGAGCCTAATGCTAACAGCGTGGCATGGAACACCCAGTGTGAGGACATGTTGTGCTTCTCTGGCAATGGGTATCTCAACATCAAGGCCAGCAACTTCCCAGTCCACCAGCAGAAGATGCAGGGCTTTGTGGTTGGCTACAATGGCTCTAAGATCTTTTGCCTCCATGTTTTCTCCATGTCTGCAGTGGAAGTGCCTCAGGTACAACACACAATAAAACACATTAGAATATAAGGCAATTTGAGAAAATCTGCCAGTATTGTTTAGATTATTTTTCTGTCATATACTGTACTTATGGAAAATGAAATTCTTTAAGTTAGAGCTCAGCAAAAGCTTCAGATGTCTCTACATATTAATAAAATATTATATTAAATTAAATTATACTTTTAAATTATGCATATAACGAATGCCTTTAGTTTGTTGATAGAATACAATGCAACAATACTTGCATGCTAAAACTGTAGCGTAGCCCTATGGATGTTTTTCAAATCAAGTTAAACATGAAAATCAAAAACTCCAATTAAATTTAGTCGACCCCATCTTGAGGGAATTTTGTTTTTTTTCATCATCTCAGATTATCATTGGACATTATCATTATTATTAATGACTACGGTAATTGAATGCAATCCTTCTTACTTGGTTGTGTTGTGTTTCTCCCACTGTCAGTCAGCCCCCATGTACCAGTATCTTGAGAAGAAGATGTTTAAGGAGGCCTATCAGATCGCCTGTCTGGGTGTGACAGACAGTGACTGGAGAGATTTGGCCACCGAAGCCCTGGAGGGGCTTGACTTTGATACCGCTAAAAAGGTCAGTGGATGTGCACAAATCATACTGATCATTGCTGATTACCTCGAGCTGCAGACAGCGGGATGGAGAAAGACTAGGCCAGAGATTTGAAACTTGGATATTTGAACATTTCATTTACACGATTCTGAATCATCATTACTATTATTTTTGCTTAATTCTAACGTTGTTGTTTCTTAATTCCAGGCCTTCATTCGAATAAGAGACCTGCGATACCTGGAGCTCATTAACAGTATTGAGGTAAAATATATATAAGGTGCACATACAATTATTTTCTTTTTATTCATAGTTATGGATTAAACTGCTCATAGTTCCATAGTTAATTTGGGCAGGTAGCTTGATGTGAAATAAAGTGTAAATGTTTTTTGTGAGGTGAGAAAAGTAATGCTCACTGGAACAGTAATGTATTATTGTTGAGGTTGATGACTTGAGCTTGTTGTGGAAGTGTTCCTCTCCATTAGCACTGCTGTTTTCTTTATACACACTGGTCTTCAGGAGCGGAAGAAGCGCGGCGAGAGCGACAATGAGCTGTTTCTGGCAGACGTCTGTGCCAACCAGGGGAAATTCCACGAGGCGGCCAACCTCTACAAACGCAGCAACCAGGAACCTAAGGCCCTGCGCATGTACACAGACCTGCGCATGTTTGATTTCGCTAAGGTACGACAGGGTTTATTATCCAAACTCAACTTCTTTGAGATTTTAACCATGTTGGAACATTGTCCTCTCATTAAAAACAGACCTGGAGTCGTTTGTAACTCCACCCCTCCTGTTTAAAAGTTCCCGTTGCAGTCCTGCAATAGTTTGATGTTATTGTACCAATTCAGTTCAATTTATTTTTGTATAACCCTTAATCACAATAGCAGTCGTCTCAATGGAATTTACAAAGATGTAGATTCACCAACAACAGATCAGAGAATCAAACAGTTGGAACTCAGGAAAGCCATAGTAGCCATTGGTCCTCAGGCAGATGGCCTGTATTATAAGAATACATATATTTTCTACTGAAGATATCATTTCACATATTTAAACTTGAAATGACAAAGAAGGGGCCAAAAATTGTGTGTAATATTTAAAAAAAATAAAAAATAAACATAACCTCAGCATCTGTATGGACAAAGGGATTTGGAAAAAAAAAACATTGCATGTTACGAGGCTATACAACATGTGTTTTTCCTCACCGTGTTCTCAGATGCCAAGTTGGGGCCCTCCGAGGAGTTTACAAAGTCTGCCCGCCCCCCCACTTCCCATAATGCAGTCTTTCATCTCCTGAGTCCTGATTTATCATTGAAATAGGCATGTTTGTTTTTCTTTTGATCAGGAAACATTCTACAGAAATGGTTCATGAGGAAACATGAAGAAAATTACAAATTAATTACATTCTGTCAATAACACAAATTTACTCCTTGATACCCGTTACCCTCCTAATTACCCGTGTATGGGTCTAGTTCTTGCAATGAAGTCAGTAATCTGTTTTTATTTATATTGTATTTTTCACAGACTGGGAGATACTTTCCTGAAACCCCTGTTACCATGTGCTGTTGTAATTTCATTTATACATTGTACACACGCATCATCACTCATACCCTATACTTAGCAATATTTCTACAACAACAAATTATGTTGTCCTCATTTACAATACATGCACTGTCTTCTTACACTGTCCTTTGTTTGCGTGAGAAAACACTTGTATTGTTCATATAAATGTACAATCCCAAATCCACCAAATACTCTCAGGGTTAGTTCGAGTGTGTGTACCAGAGATATTCATGTGGTCATAACCACATCGGCTTGCACACACACAAGTTGTTTGCAATGTTTAGAATGAACTGGACACCGGAGGCAAAAGCCCTGTGGTTTCTGTGACTTCCTTTTTGTCTCCCTCGACCCAATGTTTATGACTGTCCAAACTAAACTTCCTTATACACTACCTCTGCTGCTGAATCATATCACTTTGGACTATCTCTGTTCTCACGCTACATTAAAACCACATGGTCAGTGTCCCATATGTCCATCCGCTCTCACAGAAACTTATATTCCCAGAGTCAAAGGACCACTCTTGAATGCTCACTGGGAATGTTCCGATACAAGTTCTTGATACAGATATTTGACTGATACCAATACCAGTTCACCACGCATACAGGTGAAACTCGGACAACTGTTCGAAAGTCCATTTACTTCTTTATCAACTTACCATGAGATACTAATGATGGACTCGCGAAGTGAGATATAATAGGCCTTTGTTATAATGTTGTTGTAGGTAAAAGTTGGGAAATTATTGTTTAAAAGTCCATTTACAGAACGTATTTCAATGTACCTGGAGGGAACCTACACAGACACAGGGAAAACATGCAAACCCAACACAGAAAGGCTCGATCTGGAGGTGTAATAAACCCAGGACCTTCTTGCTCTAACCAACAAGCGCTAACGACTGCACCATTTGTAATGATTCTCTATCATATTAGTTTCACATTTTAAGTTGGAACACAGAAATATATGTACTTTTGAACAAGATTATTAGTATCACCTGTGTTTGGTATTTTGTATTAATAATATCAATAATAATAACACAAAATAATAATGATAATAATACAAATAGTTCTGTAGTCTGCATGGGTGGGTGGATGACCTGCATTTGATGGTAATTTTTATTTGACCATCAATCAAAATTCTTTTTACATTTATAATTTGGTAATATTTGTTTTTTGAGAATTTTATAAATATATCCTGAGGCCTTTTGGCTAAGTGATTGTAAGTGGCACCTCAGGGAAGTGCAAATACTGATTAATTGAGTGATTGATCGATGAGTGTGTTTCTTTCCTCTTTTACAGGATTATGTTGGCGGGACAGACCCAAAGAGCTCGCGGGACCTGATGGCCAAACAGGCAGACTGGGCCAAGAGCAGTAAGGAGCCTCGGGCTGCAGCGGAGATGTACCTGACTGCTGGAGAACACCTCAAAGCCATCGAGATCATTGGAGAGAACGGCTGGGCCGATATGTGCGTTTTGTTTTATTCAGCCGTTTTATTCATTTAAACATTTAAATGAATGCAATTGAGGATGTGAATGCACACCAATTTAAGATCCCCAAACTATAATTATTCAAATCACAGCACATTACATCCATTAGCTAATAAAACTGAGCGAGTGGGATGAGGCAACATTTTATGAGCATGTGCAAAACTAGATACGCACCAACTTAAGCCATTCAACTTTTTACAACCGTGAACTGATCTGGCTTATACCCGGAACATATGTTTCTTTCCCTGAAGATAAATAATAAAAGATACATTCTGACATGTTGAGTGAAGGCAGAGCCATAGGTGATAAAGTAAAGGGAACGTATTACGTTTTATAGAAATTGCCTGAGGTAAGGGAAAATCTGTTATTTGTTTTTGTTTTAACTTGGGAAAATGTATAAACTGTCTATAATCTGCAGAGGACAAATGCACTAGGAAAATCTAGTTATTATTTTGTTTGTTTTGGCGCTCACAAATATTTATTTATGTCTTTTTATTTCTTTCATTTAATCACATTCATCACATTTTCACCTACTGTACAGATAATATACACATACAATTCTTCATTGTGAGATCAATTAAGCTTATCTTATCATACATACATATAAGCAATATGTTGTGCTTAAGTTTATTATTGTAGGAACATTATAAGGTACACCAAGCCTCATTTATGAAAGTGAAGCTCAACTGCGATTTAACAATTTCAACATGAACGTTTGGTAGGCTCACGTTGAGGTTTTGGGGCGTTTTTGCTGATTTCAAACAATTGACAGAGACGGCCTGAACAGGAAAACTACTCTTTAACACATTATAATTTGAGCACCGATATGTTTGAGTCAAAATGCAGTTACATTTCCTCATTTACAATAGTCAGAATCACAGAAACACACCACATGATCAGTGTCTGCAGTCCAGCACAGAGGCACACGGTCAAACAGCCTCCTGTCCTCCCTTCTGAGTTTGATTCTGTCTTTCACAATCTGGACAGTTACTGTCCCATATGGGCGAGGTCCGGTTCTGTGCCTTTGACGCCCAGTTCCTAAGTGTCCCTGTAGCGCGGCTGCAGTGTGGGGAAATGAGAGCTGCTCCCCACAGCCTGTGGTTCAATAGAGTAGTTCCTCTTCAGTGCATTCCTCCTGACAAACGCAGAGCTCGGGGCTCAGCCTCTGCTCTGTCCCTCCACTCTCCCACTCGTCCCCTTGAGCCCGGCCTGAAGCTGAGCTGTTCGCCTGGGTCTGTCTGTGGCCTTTGGATTCACTAACATTGCATTCTTTTTTTGTCTAAAGTAAACTAAATTTTTTGTATTCATTAATTTTTATTCACTGAATGTATTTATTATTACTTATGATTCCCTGCTTTGATCAAATATACCCAGTGTATTCCATGAGTGCCTGTTGAAATAACCATGAATATTCATGAATATTATGGGTGTTATTCATATGCTGATGCTGGTTTCACGTTGCATTTATCATCAGCTACAGTATCTACAGTTGGATCAGAGGTCAACACGATCATTCATAAACACCACGCTCACTTTGCCATACAGGCACGATTTTGAAGTGAGGTCAGCCAGCAATGATGGTACAGGAGGCCGATTGTCTCTTCCTTTCGTTTCACCTTTAGAGCATCATTAAACAACACATGTACGGAATCAATTATGTGAGTAAGGAGTAAACAGCAACAGCACATGGCCATGTGGTAATATATTTGCAAATATATTCACAACTTTATTTACAATTGTATAAGCTTGAAATGGAGAGGAAAGAAGAAAAAAAATTGTGACGCTCCAAAAAACCTCTATACAGAGCCACATTCTCAATTTTTCTTTGTATAATTAATTCCACTTTCTTTGTTTATATGTCTCCATTCAGGCTAATAGACTTAGCTCGGAAGTTGGACAAAGCGGAACGCGAGCCCTTGGCGAAGTGTGCACACTATTTCAAAATGCTCCAGCACCACGGCTTCGCCTCGGAGACCTACTCAAAGATGGGAGACTTGCAGGCTCTGGTGCAGCTGCATGTGGAGACCCGGCACTGGGATGAGGTCTGACACAGTTCTGCACACCTGCTCCACTCATCATGGCGGATATAGGGCCTCCTGAGACAATGATATAAATATTAGCTGTATCTTCAGTGGTAAAAAACTCTGAAGTTTAGAAAGTATAAGTCACATTGCAAACTGCTTTATTGCTATTCTCAGGTTTTATTTCGCAATGATACGCAGAAAAGTAAAGCTACATGTGACTGTGTGGTTCTCAAAAGAAGCCCACCCCCAGTCTTCAGTACTCAAAAGTACTGTAGTCAGTCTTTAGACCTATTGTTGCTGGGGGGGAAAACAAACAATGGCTAAGGACAAAGATTATTATGTTCTTATTCTCATGGAGAATACAAGCCCTGAGAACAGGCCGAGTCACAGAGCTGACCATATGGATGCTATTTACTGCACCCAGTGTTTGATAAATAACAGTATTTCATTAAAGGCTTCTGAGTCAAAGACATGGGGCAATCATCCGTGTTCGGTATGAAATGTGTGTATTTCTTGGCCCAGACATGGCTATAGGACATTTAGTATTATCCATCACTGTGACAGGTCTGCAGCTTGTGTCCGCTGGCCACTCCACTGACTCCTTTACCCTGTCATTCAAACTGCTGAAGGACAGAACCTGAGGGGAGAGTGAAATATATTCTATTCAATTCCATCATCTGTATAACGGCTTGACGTTTACAGCACATTTAACCGTACAACCAAATATGGTCAAATTGGGGGCGACAGTAGCTCAGTTGGTAGAGCATTGGCCTTAAGCCCAGAAGGTCGTGGGTTCAATTCCCACCTCTGCACCTTCTCTACCGACTCCCACTGATGACTGCTGTCGTTGTGTCCTTGGGCAAGACACTTAACCCCACTTTGCCCAAAGCCCCCACTGAAAGATCAAGGCTATGCTCACACTCAGAGAGCAGCCGTCCTCCTGTGGACTCACCACCTGCAGAGGGTCAGTGAGGAGCTGGTGCTATGAGACTTGGGTGGCATCTCTGACTGCCACCCCCCTGACCCAGAAATGGATTAAAGGGTAGAAAATGGATGGATGGATGGATAATTCCTCAGTGGTGAAACACTGTAGGATGCCTCTCCATGCATCTGTCTCTAGTAGGTTAGAGACAGACTACTGTAACTGCCTGTTCACCAGTCTCTCCAAACAAGCTGCACAACAGCTGGAGTATATTCAAAACACTGCAGATTGAACCAGGAAGTATGATTACTTTAGTCCAATTCTCCGGTCTCTGCACTGGCTCCCCTCAGAGTATAGACTTTTTTCAAAAATGTTCTAGTTTTATGTGTTTCACCTGTAGTCCCAGGCTCAAAAACAGTCTGGTTCTATCTATACATTTTTTTAACCTTTGTCACATCATTAGATCATTGTTTGTGCAGCCAATCAGTTCTTAGCTTAAAGAGTCATATAGGGACTCCCAGGGCTCTTTCAATAATGCAGAATGCACAATATTTATCAACAGTCTCTTTTGGGACTAAACAATATATTAGTTGGCTTTAATTCTTCCTCTGTTTTTGCAGGCTTTCTCAATGGTGGAGAAACACCCACAGTTTAAGAATAATGTTTATGTACCATATGCTCAATGGTTGGCAGAAAACGATCGCTTTGAGGAGGCCCAGAATGGTGAGTGACTTTTTTGTTTTGCTCATTTCAAATTTTTCACAATTATTTTTCTAACAATCTGATATACACAAAGAACATGTGATAAATGTGAGTGCACTCTATATACATTTAATGGGGGCAATAATGCACAACCACAATGCGCAAAAATCTTTGAACCCTGCGGCCTATTTAGCGATGCGGCCAGTGTATGTTTTTCATTGTGTTAGATCATGGGTCTAACACAATATGTTGATATGGGTGAGAGCCTGAGATTTGATACTGTCATTATAAAGGGTACTTTTTTTGGATCACATATTTGTTAATACTGCATACATCATTTATTCATTGACATTAGTTGTGAGCATTTGAATAATTTGTTCTGAAATATTCACTAAATATGTTCCTTTCTAAATCCTTTGGGAAGCTACCTGAAGGGGGTGGCGAGGTTGGAGATCCCTGAGTTAGATTGTCCCCTGTGGTACATGAAAAGATTTGCACACTGCTCTATCAAACTGTAGGTTAGATTTATGTTTATGTTTTTGTGAGTAGCACAGAGAAAGCTGACACAAGGAAATGCAGGGCAATACACATGGCTTGTTTTTGTATCAGATTATGGCTATTGTCAGGGCAGAGGAGTTATTATTTTGAACTATTGTCAAAATAGACCAGTTAAAACATCTATCAGTTGTCAGTATTACATCACAACATGAAAAGCTGTGCCCTATAAATGTCGCCTTTATATGAACAAAATGTACTTAAGTGTCCAATCTAGCTGGTGCGGGTTATATACAGATACACTTAATAGTCCAGGAAGTACTGTATTTCCCACATAAACCTTCGTACATGTGGAAATGTTGAAGCAGCTCTAGACCCAGGCTTTTTTCTCTGCTTCCTCGAGATCTTCTGTATCCACTATAAAACATGATCGTCTTTGCTGGAGAGAGCAGAGGAGAGCTGCTTGTTAGCGAAATGACAGGCATGTATGGCAGTAATCACCCGCACTACAAGCCGGCCTGATGATGATTACCAAATGTAACCATAGTTATAATCAGCTCATAGATTTATAATTATGATCTCAGCGTGCAGATTTCCTCCACTCCCTCTGCCTGTCTCGACATGTAATACAAGACCTAACAGGGTTCATTGTGTTAGGGACTTCTATTACCCATGTATGATTGTGTGTTGTATGTTATTATCAACAATAATTTGACTTGAAAGATTTTGTCTTGACCTTCAACTTTGCACAATTGCCCCACTGATTATTAAAGTGGGGGTACATCTCTTTTTGCTCCATAAATACATTGTGTTGGTTCCTACAGGGCGAGTCTTGTTTAAGTAACACTGTGAACAAATCAGACCCCAACATGCTGACTGTTAGCTGATTGGCTGAATGAGGGTGGTCCTCTCTTTTCAGTTTTCTGTCTGAAAAAGCTGATCTAAAGCTGTGATGAGGTCATATATACTGTACATGCATTTTAGCTGTATTTAGAGCTAGGAACGAGTTACATGGATTTTATTGCGTCGTTATATTTTGTGGTTTCAAAGTTAGGTACTCATGTTTGGAGTTCATACACATATTCACACACATCCTGTCTTTGTGTGGATTTATATGTCACGTTTGGCTTGGTGAAACGAGTATGTAGTCCCAATTATTCTAATGTTAGGACTTTTTTCATATAGTGGAGTAAGCTTATTATTATGTGGCAGTAATGAGAGCTGACCCCTGCTGTTTGCCGGGCCTGGGTCATCGGAGGGGGTTGACTCCCTGATGCTGTTTCTAATTACCTTCTGATGGAAACATGTGCATGAGACCTTTTCAAACCAGATGACGCACACACCCAAACATACCCAAACTTTTGTCTTTGGGTTTCTCAGGGTCCAAATGTGCAATAAAGTTTGCTAATGTAATTTTCTTTATCACAAAATGCCATAGTCTTCAATGAGTATCTAATTCATGTCAGACTACCCATTCTGATCATAATATGGTCATATATCTAAGACTCAAACTTCTTTCTTCCTGGTTGAAGGTGGGCTGCAGCTGTGACATGGGTAGAGAATGTCACCATGGTAACATTACATTAGAGTAAACAAGGGTCTTTTTTAAACAGTAGTCATTCAATGATATGTAGAAATCAGTGAATGTTACCATATTTAAATTGTTGAGTTAATGTGTAAACTGTGGGATAATTGCTTTTTCAGCGTATATTCTCAGAAAAAAACCTCCTATATATTTCAAAACATTTCATTCAACTTTTTCCTCCATAAACTGTCACTTATGTTGTGTGTAACTTAAAGCAGACCACAATATGCCATCTTCATCTTACTAGAAAACACATATTTTGCATACTGAGAGCTGATTGGCTGAGTGAGATATGGAACTAAAGATGTGACTGCGGCCCAGTGATAGAAACTGTTTTGAGAGCTAGAAACTTGTTACATGGATTTTATTACATTGTTATTTTTCTGTGGTTTCAAAACTTTAACGCTCTAACTGTGTATAAAACTACAATAAAAAAATAACAAAATCAAAAAAATAGATCTCTTGTTGAACTTTAGCTTTTGTATTCAAGTAATAGTGGATTTTTCTTTTTTTTGACTGGCAGTGCTTTAATTCATTTTCCTGTATAATACATATTCTTTCTTGCTCTGTCAGCATTTCACAAGGCGGGGCTACAAAACGAGGCGGTGAAAGTCCTGGAGCAGCTTACCCACAATGCAGTGGTGGAGAACAGGTTCAGTGATGCTGGCTATTATTACTGGATGCTCTCCATGCAGTGCCTGGACATCGCTCGAGGTAAGGAAACAACATCAACAACTGCAAAGTACCAGACGGAAACACGTGTGAAAACTGTCAGAGTGAAAGGTTGTTTTGCTCCTCAGAAAGTGAAGACCAGTGCAGTGAGATGCTGAGGATGTTTGATCGATTCCAACACCTGGCAGAACTCTATCACGTCTATAGATCTATTCAACGCTACACCGTGAGTCATTCCCACATTTTCTATTGACACATTGGAGAATTGAGGCAGAAATGTGTAAACCGGTGTATACTGTTTTATTGTTCTGTATTGTACCTCAGTATTACTTTGTAATTCACATTTAAATTTTTTGTGCAAAAAGTAAAACAAATCATAAACTACTTATATTATACATATTCTTATATTTTAGAATGCAAAACATTTTCCTAGGTAGAAAATAGGTGGTGAAATAAGTAAAAAGTTGGTAGAGCATTGGTCTTTGGACCAAATGGTCGTGGGTTTGAGCCCACCACGATCCATGTCACCTGCTCATACTGATGTCTGCTGTCGTTGTGTCCCTGGGCAAGACACGTAACCCCACATTGTCTGAAGCCCCCGCTGAAAGACCAAGGCCATCTCGTCGATGTCAGAGAAGCCATCCCGTGGCGGTTCCCGTGGACCCACCACCTGTAGGAGGATCAGCGAGGGGCTGGTGCTATGAGACTTGGGTGGCAGCTCTGATAGCCACCCCCCAACCCAGAAATGGAATAATAAAGGGGAAGATAATGACATGACATGACATGACAATTTCTCCAAATATTACAATTATTTTCTGCAGCCACAGCCATCAGAACATCATTTCATCTGCAAAATCTCCAAAATCTGCTTATGAGAAATACTTAAAAGGCTGCTCTGAGTGTGATGTCATAGTGGTACAATGACATCATACTAGAGACTGAGATAGAGTTTTTAGACAGAAGGGGCAGACTTACATGTTTGCGTCAGAAGTTCCCCTGATTACTGTGGATGGAGCTAAAACAAATCTATTTAATTTTTTGGGTTAGGGAACAATGTTGCAAACTTTATACTATAAAAATTGTTTTTTTTGTTGACAAATTGTTATAATCCTTCCTTGCAAGTTCACTTCTTGGTCTTGTGATATTGTGTATATTTGACAAACTATAAATGACACTATCACAACTATGCCAGCAAATACATATTTCCATCAACTGAATGGAACAAAAAAAACATCTACTATTTTCAATCCCCATTATCATTGACACAGTGGATTACCTGCCCTCATTACGTCTCCAATGACCCATCCTACAAACCCAAATCACAATCATTATTACTATTGTTCCTTCAGTCCTTACACTTCACAAATAAACGCAATTGGATCCGGGGCGAGTTAAGGGTGTCCTGGCCTGTGTCTGTCTGCTCTGTTTGTTTTTCCACGTTTGGACTGAGCTGCGGTCACACCCAGAGCTATAGACCAGGGGTGGCCAACCAGTCACAGACTAAGAGCCAATTTTTTTGCTGTGTTACAGCAAAGAGCCACATCATACAAATGTGCACTACATAAACATCACCCCATCCCTTACACACGCACACACGCGCGTGCACACACACACACACCGCTGCTCAGACAGATTTATTGTAAATGTCATCAACATGATAATGACAGAAATTGACTCGTACAGCACTAAAGGGCTGGACTCGACTCTCCCCGGTTTGCGGGCGCTTCCACCGCTCGCTTTAACCGCTCCCCGGTACTTTTTATTAATGGTTTGGCCCTGGTTCTAACCGGGCGAGTTGATACCAGAACAATATCACGTCAGCGAACATCAATTATGATTCCGCAATGAAAAAAGCAAGTTTCAAACCAGTGTTCAGCAGAAACACAACTGTCTTTATCGAACCATGATTCACTCTCTGACTGCGTTTAGCAAAAGATATAGATTTGACACATAACACCAACACCACTTTTGCTGATTCAGAACCACAGACACATGTTCAGTATAAGACCAGATACTTTTGCATTTGATTGAAGACAGACACTCACCAGGCAGAGTTGAGGCTTATCTCCTGGTGTTAGCTGGTTTTAGCCGATGTCCGTAAATTTAATCCATTTGGTCAAACCACCTCCAGACTTTTCGGTTTTGCCTCTACTTCTGCTGCTGTGATCTTTCATTTCACGGTTGTCAGCTTTTTAACTTTTCTCTGCATTGTCATGTTCGTGGGAATCATTCTGCTCCGTCCTTAGCGCTAGCTCCACAAACACCTTCTGGTTTCTGGTGGAACCATCGAGCTCACGCTGGTGTCCTCTCTTCAAACTGAGGAAGGTGTTGCCCTCATCCAGCGACCAAGGAACTGTTTTCCGTACGGACGTCATGGGTCGAGGCAACGTGTTGTTTGTTATGATATTTGCAACAGCTGAGGCTGAAGAGTGATTGACAGCGCATCTGACCAATCAGAATTGACGTTCGCCGACGTCAGATTGTTTTGGCGGCCTGGCTAGTGGAGTGGAGTCCGCCTTTACTATGGGTCAGAACTACATAGAGAATGAAAGGCAGCGCCACCACCGAGGCGTTTTTGACGCTTGTCGTGTGAAAGCCCGAGAGCCGCACGGAACCAGCCAAAGAGCCGCATGCGGCTCACGAGCCGCGGGTTGGCCACCCCTGCTATAGACAGACATCATCGTGATTCACAGCAGAGCATAAAACCTCTGCATTTGAGCTTAACTTTCCTGGACACTGGCTTATACGCACTGTTTGATTGATCACGTTAAGGTCATGAAGTGGTAGTCGCGTCTGCAGTAAATTGAAATATGAAACTAGACATACAGTAGATAAAATGCACTGCTTTTGAAACGATATCTTCTGTCTTTAAGTTAATATCTGTCTGTTTGCATTTACAGGATGAACCCTTCAGTTCTCACATGCCAGAAACTCTATTCAACATTTGCCGGTTTCTCTTGAACAATCTCACCAAAGAAATACCTCCAGGCATTTCCAAAGTGTATCCTTTTCTACACGCGAGCGAACTCTGGTCCAACAGCTTGACAACAGTTAAGTTGGAAAGTGGCGTTGTCGATTCTGGCCGTGCTGAGAAAAAGAAGCGACGTGATGACAGAGAGGAGGTCTTGCCAAGTGGAGACAGATTCTCTCTGATCCAAAAACAAATGCTTTGATTAGACAAGTTTGTTGTGACATATGCATACAAACTCTAAACAATATGCTTAATTTAATCAGGCAGAACCCCAAAGACAAAAATAATATGGAAAGTAACTGCAAATTAAAAAGATTGACAATAGGAGAGCTCTGTGCTGGGTGGAAATCATTTGCAGTTCTTATGAGTTTTGCCTTTTACTTTGTGTCTCCTCTTCAAATGTTTCTTTACGTGTGCATTTTATCATTATCATTCTCTTTCAGATCTGGTATTTGTGCGTTTAAACTTTTTTGTAAAACTATTGGACAAAATTGGCACAAATAGATACGTTTTTTTCTCCACAGAAAATATTTTGTAAAAGCACCTTTTGTGGGGAAAAAACTGTCTGTTATGTGTCATCTTCTTCTTTTCAAAATTGAAAATGAACGGTATATAAAATGTCCTGTGAGTCCATAAATATATTGATGTTTCCCAACGTGGGGTTATACAGTGGTATAACAGACTACTTAGAGTAGTCATCAAAACTTAGTGTGTGACTGTGGCTTGTAAGTTTAAAGATAATTCTCTCAAGGAAATAAGCACATAATTGAATGTATTCTAAACACAATTATTATTATAATTATTAGTTTTGGTTCAGTCCAAGCATATCGTTTTTTTTCGGATAAATTGCAAACTGTAGGTCAAAATCATAACAAATAGTTTTAAAGAAACTTTCATGAAAGAGTTATGGAAAACTCTCAATTTACCGGTCAATCTTCGTTCCCTCCCTCACCTATGGTCATGAGCTTTGGGTAATGACCGAAAGAACAAGATCGCGGATACAGTACAAGCGGTCGAAATGAGCTTCCTCCGCAGAGTGGCTGGGCGCTCCCTTAGAGATAGGGTGAGGAGCTCAGTCACACGGGAGGAGCTCGGAGTAGAGCCGCTGCTTCTCCACGTCGAGAGGAACCAGTTGAGGTGGCTCGGGCATCTGTTCCGGATGCCTCCTGGACGCCTCCCTGGGGAGGTGTTCCGGGCACGTCCCACCGGGAGGAGGCCCCGCGGAAGACCTAGGACACGCTGGAGAGACTATGTCTCTCAGCTGGCCTGGGAACGCCTTGGGGTCCCCCCGGACGAGCTGGAGGAAGTGTGTGTGGATAGGGAAGTCTGGGCGTCTCTGCTTAGACTGCTGCCCCCGCGACCCGGCAACGGATAAAGCGGAAGAAAATGGATGGATGGATTATGGAAAACTTGGTACAACTGTAAAGCCTAAAAACAGTTGTGAGTGAAGTGAGTTTCAAAATTCTGTATGACCCCTGGAATATAACACCCTCCCAACAGGGGGTACTCATGCCCTGTCCACTCTGGCGAGGGGGTATACTGGAATAAAAAGGTTGGGAACCACTCTTTGGACTGAGAGAGGCCTGGTGCTTTGTTCAGCTTTGTAAAGCTTCTCATGCAATCATTTCATCAATTTACTAAGGATTATATTTAAATGTTTCAGGGAGTTAAAATATGAATCCCTAAAATTTCTCATTCTTTTCCTTACCTCTTTGTCTGACATGACTATGGAGCAACCATTTTTAAAAAGAGAAAATTCCGCTGAACACCTGCTGTATCCTATAGCTACGGCTGCTCCAAAAACTCTAAACTTAGATTTATAGACTCCGAGATGAACAATTAAACACTATGTCACGGAATAGCTGCACATACAATAGCAGGACATGCATTTATCAGGAGCTGAACAGAACTGGGTGTGTGGGAGGAACTGGGAGTGTAGAGTGGAGAGGAGAGGAGACAAGAGCGGCCGTTACGCTGAAGTGATTGAGGAGTGCCAAGGTGGAGATCCTGCAGCTGCTGATGTTGACGTTATAAGAGGCGAACACTCCAGTCCTCCTTCTGTGGCTACTTACTATAGCTCTTTGCTCTTACACACAAAATGCATTAAAACACAGCCATCCAGAAGTTACTGGAGCTCTCCGTGTGTGTTTGGTATGTAGGGCTCTGTGCTGCAGCCTCAGCAAAGATATTTACTCCATACTCATTAAGCACACCAGGGAATGTACTTTTTTCTTTCTAATGTGACAATGATGAAGTCTCACGATCCTAAAAATACTGAACTAGATCTACCGTAGATTTTGTAATCCATTTGAGGCAGATGGTTTGCTTTGGTGGCAATCCTAAAATAAAATAAGCAGCAACAAGAAACAGATTTGGGTCTCTATCGTTCTGATTTTTTCCCACTAGGTTTTTGAGTCGTTCCTTGCTGATACCGGAGGGTCTAAGGCCAGTGATAATCTGGAACATTTAAGGACATTTATGGACATTAGTCATCTACCCCTTATGGACTAATGGCTTCTATGTGTTTGTTATCATTGCATTTCCTGTGTTCAAACTGTTTGATTCTCTGAGGAAGCGTTGCGGAATCGACAACTTTGTAACGGGCCCCGAGACGACTACTGTTAGGATTTAGGGCAATACAAAAAAAATTTGAATTGAAAGGAATTATTAAAAGGTTTTGCTCCAACATATAGCATTGTTTAGAGGTTATTTTTCTGGTAGGGTCCACTCCTAAAACCATTTCCATGTACTGTAGGTGGAAAATGTAATGTTCCTATAAGGCTTTGATTATAGTTTTAATGCTTAACATGTAATGGAACTCTTACATGTGACATCATCTGCCCACCACACTGATATTGCTTTGGCTGGTATGTTATGACACCTCTCTCCTTTGTTGGTTTTTTTTCTGCTAGAACTCCCAAACTTTTCAGGCTGGGTCTCCTCTTATCCAATCCACTTTGTGTATTTAGCATATTTCATAAACATAAAGTTTCCAAAGTGCTGCACAATAACAGACTAAAACTTGGCTAGCACAATAAATCAATAGTAAAATGTATGAAGAATCTTAAACAAATAAGAGAAAACCATATATATATAAAGCCATGTGTGTGTGTATATATATATAACAAGAAAACAAAAGTTGACCAACCCCTTGACCCCACGCACAGAAACACCTTCTATGCGTTGGCGAAGCAGAGCAGAAAACTGGGCGCCTACAAACTGGCCCGGTACTCGTACGAGAAGCTCCAGGAGTTGCACGTCCCGTCTCGGTTTCAGCACTCGGTGGAAGTGGGCAGCCTGACCATCCGGGCCAAACCCTTCCACGACAGCGAGGTGTGTTCCTAGATTTGTATTTGTGTGTTATCAGTATGTCGTACGGATGTTGGTGCCACACAGTCCCCGACGCTGCAGGTGGACGAAGTCATGTTTTATAATTGTCTTTACTCTCTGTGCAAGTGTTTGAAGTGTGTCAATTCCTGAGCTCCTAATACATACCCCCTGGTGATTAACCATTGACTGATTTTTTTAATCCTTCATAGCATCTGTAAAATAGCCACTAAAACATTCATTCTTCCAGAGTATGCCGACCTGTACTCAAGCACAGAGCCACAACTGTCAGTCAGCCCTAGGGCATTTGTGGCACGGAAATCCTAACCATTACTGAGCGTGGACCACGTGTGTAAGAGAATGAATAATGCAACATAGGAGTGTCTGGTTATAGGGTTGAGTCAAAATGAGGACCATAAATGATATTAAAGATTGTTGTCGTGGCTTCAGGACCTGACTGAGGGCATGATGTGTTACCGCTGCTCCACCAACAACCCCCTGCTCAACAACCAGGGCAGTGTGTGTATCAACTGTAGACAACCTTTCATCTATTCTGCCTCCTCGTATGGTCAGTCACACACACACACACACAGACACACACACACACACACACACACACAGACAATGCACGCTAATGTCTTTCTTTCCTGCTGCTGCCAGACAGTACAACGAACAATGAAAACTAACTAACTCTACCGACCTGACCTCTAATGTCGTGCTATCATGAACTAATCAGGGCGACAGAAGCTCAGTTGGTAGAGCATTGGCCTTTGAGCCAGAAGGTCATGGGTTCGAGCCCACCTCAAGACTTTCACCATTGACTTTTCACCCACTGTCTGCTGTCGTTGTGTCCTTAGGCAAGACACTTCACCCCCATTGCCTAGAATGAGTCTGGTGTGTGTGTGAATGGTTGGTGGTGGTTGAAGGGGCCGATGGCACAGACTGGTTGCCTCGCTTCTGTCAGTGGCCCCAGGGCAGCTGTGGCTACAGTAGTAGTTTATCACCACTGTGTTTGGAGTGAAAGAATAATGACACATGTGAAGCGTCTTTGAGTGTCCAAAAAATCGCTATATAAAACTGATGCATTATTATTATTATTATTATTATTATTATTAATCAGAATGTGCAATATGTGTGCACTGTGTCCCATACCCTCATTCTGCTAACATGTACAGATGTAAACATACAAGACATTTTTATAATTCTTTATTATGCTAAAGTCAGAGATTTTGCTTCTTTTTTAAGTTGGAAATTATAGATTGCTTCCTTGTTATGCTAAAGCTAAAGATTATATGATATATTATTATATTTCGAGTTATTTAGTATAGAGTTATTGTTCATTCATCTTGTGCTCCTCCTTCCTATACTGTGCAACACTGACATTTCCTCACTGTGGGGCAAATAAAGGATTTCTTCATTTTAATTTTAAAATGTGTTGTTTCCTGCAGAGGTGTTGCCGCTCGTGCAGTTTTACCTGGAGGGGGGCATTTCAGACGAGGAGGCGGTCTCTCTCATTGACCTGGAAGTCCCTCGCTCAGATCAGAGGGACACCCAGTGGACCGGTGCGGACAGTAGCGGAGGTATCCTTTGATCACCTGCGACAAATGCCTCACGCGCACAATAACAGATGGTCCACATGCTGAGTTTATGAATTATTACCTCACATTCTGCCAATCCCAGGAGTGGCCGACTCAAAGGCTAGAGTAGCAAAAGGTTTTACTTCAGTAACAGCGTTCACAGGTATAAAAACACAAATAAAGTTCACATTTCAAACCTCACCTGGTTGGTCACTACAGTATGTTAGAGAACCAGTTTTTAATGTAGCTTGAATTATTTGTTATGGCTACTTTCAGTTACTCGAGTAATTCCTCATTACCATCCAACTAACACATACTTTGATCACCCTCAATATGAAACATGGGTTGCTCTTTCTTGTGACAGCCCCGAGAAGCAGTTTGGACCGCTCTGGCCTGGATTCTTTGCCAGTGGGTAAGCTGTCAGAGCTAAGTCATCTTAGCTCTAGAGTTAATAGGGTTAGTGAGGCTCTCCTGTCTCATCTTAATGACTGTAACCCTTGGAGTCGTAGCCGCTGCCGCCGAGCAGGGATTAACCTGCATTAGCCCAGGAGACTCAAGGCCACTGGAGGCTGCTCTGTTTTAACACATTTATCTGACAGACAGGGAGAAAGTGATTGACAGTTTCAATCTTTTCAATCTTGAAAGGGTCTTGGTGGCACATATGTAACGCAAATAGGATTTCCTTAAAAGAAAAAGCAAATGATTAAATATTTATGTTGTCCTCTTTTTCTTAACTGACAACAATTAGAGCCTCAGTCTTTAAAAATAGATGATGGCTTCAGCGAGGCCGAGGATGACCCTTTCACGGCCAAAATGACCTTTGAGGTAAGAAAAGAGCGCAGTAAATAATGTTATACGCCTCCATCTGGGCAGAGTACAATGTTCACTGTGTGTGTGTGTGTGTGTGTGTGTGTGTGTGTGTGTGTGTCCACATGTATATGTGTAGCAAGGGGGCTCAGAGTTCGTCCCGGTGAAGGTGAGCCGCTCGGTGCTGCGCTCCATGAGCAGACGGGACGTCCTGATCAAGCGCTGGAACAAACCTCTGAAATGGGAATATTTCCGCTCCCTGTTGCCCGATGTGAGCATCACCATGTGCCCCACCTGCTTCAAGGTAGATCTGTACAAACATCTGTGGAAACACTGCGACCTTCACTGAGATCAGACATAGTGACGAGTCTCTTCCTCTTCCTCAGATGTTCCACAGTGAAGACTACGAGCTGCTGGTGCTGCAGCACAACTGTTGCCCGTACTGCCGCAGACCCATCGATGAGCCAAACTGACTTTCACATCCTTCATAAACCTCATAAACCTCTGTCTTTAGTTTACCATTCAAAGACTAAACTTAAATCCCATGAAATGATGCTTTGTTGAGAAGCAGGAATAATGGAGGGCACTAATTCCTGGCGTGTTTGTCATTATAGAGTGAGAAAAGTGCGCTGTCAGACACTCTGACTGGATTATTGGGATTAGAAAGTCTAATGCACTCACTGATAACATCAACAGTTTTCTGAGAAGAAGGGTTCGATTTGTTTAATAAATTGTCATGACAATTGATCTGAAAAGTCAATACTTAGATTTATCATAATGCCATAGTTGTATTTATTGAATAGTTTTTTGTTACTGTACATACACTTCTGTCTATTGTGATGGCAATACTTTGACATATGCTTAAATAAATATTTTCTTAACGTTGGACTTGGACTGACATTTCTGTGCTGTAGATGACAAACATGACTCACTCGTCTTTAATCCTAAAGTGGAAGTGCACGTAGTATGCGCCAGTGCTTCTGATTATTCTGAGAGTATGGGAGACTGTGCATTATGCAGTTAGTGGGATTAGGCTTTCCATGATGCTAATAAGTTGAACTGACCAAGACATTTCATATGTAGTTTATCCACTTTGAGTGCTTGACATCACAAGGAAATTGCTTTTCTTAAGTGTACGGCTTTTTCCTCTTCAGCATCTTTACATTTACATTTTCATGATAGATTTTTACTTTTACAGAAATCAATGATGATGTACTATGGTCAAGCATTATGACCACAACCTCTGACCTTCAGGATGCTTACCATAACACAAATCGGAAAGCTTTATGTGTGTGTGCGCGACTGCGCGTGCCTGTGCATGTGTGTGTGTGATTGTATGTGTGTGTGTGTGAGTGTCTGAGTGTGTGATTGTGTGTGTGAGATGCGAGGCACAGTTTCCTAATACCATCTATGCTAACACTTGACTTCGTAGAAGTCCCTAATCCGGCCTCCTGTTAAAAGGGTCTGCTCCCTCCTGGGGGCTGCACTGCACATCTCTATCGCCGGAGCCATCCATCCTTTTGCCATTTCCCCAGGAAGTGCGCGCCAGGACTGTGCTGGTTCAGTTGAAAAGACTCTGCTCTTTTCCTTCACTGTCAGCATCTTGGAGGACAGTTCAGTTCCTATCACCTGCGGCGATGAATGGCACAGAGGGGCCCAACTTCTACGTGCCCATGTCTAATAAGACTGGGGTGGTGCGCAGCCCATTCGAGTATCCGCAGTACTACCTGGCTGAGCCCTGGAAATACTCACTTTTAGCAGCCTACATGTTCTTTCTCATGATCACTGCCTTTCCCATCAACTTCCTCACTCTGATTGTCACAGTCAAACACAAGAAACTGCGGACGCCGCTGAATTATGTGCTGCTGAACCTGGCTGTGGCAGACCTCTTCATGGTTTTGGGTGGCTTTACTGTCACATTTTACACAGCTCTGCATGGGTACTTCGCGTTGGGGGCCACTGGGTGCAATGTAGAAGGATTCTTTGCGACGATGGGAGGTAAGAGCCTGAACCGTACATGTTTGAAATTCTAATCTTCCGCAACTGGAGATGCATTATACATGTAATGGACGAGACAAAAGCATTTGGTCTAATTGATCTCATCTTACAGGAGAGATTGCCCTGTGGTCACTTGTGGTTTTGGCCATTGAGCGCTACATTGTGGTTTGCAAGCCAATGGCCAACTTCCGCTTCGGAGAGAAGCATGCTATAGCCGGCCTGGCCTTCACCTGGATAATGGCTTTGACTTGTGCTGCCCCTCCCCTCCTCGGATGGTCCCGGTATATGCACCTCCTTTCAATCCTAAACACATGCACATATGATTTAACTATAATCAAAACCCGGGGGAATAGTTTTGCCAGCTTTGCATTGCTATAAAAAGCTGCAGACAACATGGTCATCATGCTATGGCTTGAGAAGGCTGTTATTAATGTGTTGGTTGGTTCAGGTACATCCCTGAGGGTATGCAGTGTTCCTGTGGGATCGACTACTACACTCCGAAGCCCGAGATCAACAACACCTCATTCGTCATCTATATGTTCATCCTGCACTTCTCTATTCCTCTTATCATCATTTTCTTCTGCTACGGTCGCCTTCTCTGCACTGTGCGCGCGGTAGGAAGCCCCTCTCTGCCTGATGCAATATTTATAACGGGGAATCTGATCCTTGTTTATCCTTGTTGGTAGATAAATAAATATATATACTTTACCTTGTTCCCCTTTCGCATGAAGGTTAGGGGCATCTCTAAGCACAGTCTCAGGAGATGTAAAGGATTTAGTGGCTCAAGGACACTTCAGAAGGGCAGAGCACAGCTTAGAGCCCAGCCCTCCAGCTGAAAGCCAGTCTGTCTGCTCCTGTGTCATCTTAATACCATCATCATTATCATTTATTATACATATCGCCACAACATGTTTGTGTGTTCTTTGTGTTAGTGTCATTAACATTGATGAATGATGCTCTGGTCTTGTTTTGAAATCAATAATGGGATATAACAAAGTTGCTTTTGTGATGACTATTACACCTGCTCCTGATCAATGCTAATGTCTAATGATAGAGCTGAGCATTGAGCTTTTGTCCTTGTTTGCATTTTTTCTTAACAAATGCATTTGACTGATTATTCATATTGTGCTGTTACCCATCTGATGAGTGGCAGGCCTGTCATCGGCAACTTCCTCCTTTTGAGTTGCCACCGATCATGGGGAAAAAAATAACAAAGTTTAAGCTGTTTTGGCTTTTGTTACAAATCATATTATTCATAGATTTTGTATTTTATTGATGATGAATAAAATAACTTTCAATGAGACTGGTATCGCCCAGGACATGAGACCAAGATGATCAGTATCTCTGATTGGCCTCAACAATCCTGTTCGTCACAACACATTTTTCAACACTGTAGTATATGCTCACAGTAAAGAAATGATAAGATGCTGAGATTTAGAAAAATGTCCTTTCTACTGAACAGACCGTCAAAAGATGAGGAGGAGTCTTTACTAGTTTTCCACCTTAAAGACACACAAAGAGAAATAATTCATGCGCTCACTTGATCTGTATTAAAAGACTTTATTAGTGGTGGCTCTTTACAAACACTAGCGTTCATCAGAGTCGTTCAAAAGCACTTTTGATTGCCTTTGATTCTAGCCACTATTTTATATAATGTTAAGTTGATTAAATCACAACAACAACAAAAATTTCTTTGTGAAACACAAATACATTTTGGCCCTCAGTCTATATTCATGTTCATTTTGACCCAACAAGTTCAGAAAACTGGGCTCCCTGGTCCAAAGTGGTATGTACTCTGTCTGATCCAGGGGCTAAGTCTAAATCATTAGTTTGTTAGTTTCTGGTGGAGTGGATGAGAATGACCTCTTGAGTAATAAAAAAGTAATAAAAGCTTTGAAAACGTGCTTCAGGCGGCAGCCCAGCAGCAGGAGTCGGAGACCACCCAGAGAGCAGAGCGAGAGGTGACCCGCATGGTGGTGGTGATGGTGCTCTCCTTCCTGGTGTGCTGGGTGCCCTACGCCACGGTGGCCTGGTACATCTTCGCCAACCAGGGGACCGAGTTTGGACCCGTCTTCATGACTGCTCCTGCTTTCTTTGCCAAAAGTTCAGCTCTGTACAATCCCATCATCTACATCGTCCTCAATAAACAGGTACATGCAGCAAGTGTGACAGCTTAATTATAAAACCAGACCATAAGACCATTTCAGTTACATAACATATGGCAAAAAGGACAATATTTTATAATTTCATTGTTCATAAGTACTGTTTTTTTAACTTTAAAGCTGGGGTACCTAACTTTTAATATACTAAAACAAATGAAACCAATAATCCTTTTTAGGCTCGTTCCTCTCTCTCTCAAAACACTAGTGGGCTCTGTCTCATCTAAAGGTCAGCTTTCTCAGACAGAAAAGTAAAGAGAGGACCACAGTCTCTCAGCAAGAAGGTCCTGTGTTTGTTTTCACCTCCTGACAGGGCCTGAGTGGAGTTTGCATGTTCTCCCTGTGCCTAGGTTCCATTTTAAAGATACAAATCCCTCATCTTGGGTAGTCCTGACCGAGTCGAGCATTGACATCTGTGGCTACACTGTGCCAACCACTGCTCCTGACGGGTTACCCCAGAGGCACTGCAGGATGGGTCAAATACAGAGGACATCCAAATACATCAAGTGTACCTTCAACTTTAATGAATCAAGCAAAGTAAAGGGACTTTCACGTCTCCACACCCTGTCCCTATTTTGTCAATTAGACAAAGTTAAACATTGGGTTATTTTTGTGAGTGTGTAATGTATTAGTTTGTGAGTTGGAAAATTACACAGACTTCAGTGGGTTGGATTAGATTAGACTAGATTCCTCCCTGACAGAACCTAAACATTACCCCATTTGTTTCATTCATGTCTAACTCCGCTCTCTACTTTACAGTTCAGAAATTGTATGATCACCACAGTCTGCTGCGGAAAAAACCCGTTCGGTGAAGAGGACGCTGGCACCACTGTTTCCAAGACCCAGACCTCTTCAGTGTCGTCCAGCCAGGTGACCCCGGCCTGAACCAGACTCCGGTCCAGGTCCCAGCACGTTCCCATCTGTCCGCAGCACATGGGGTCTCCTGTCCCACTGTCCGCTCCCGAAGCCTGGCAGCCCGGCGCTCTTTTGGCCAATCCTCTCCCGACACATTTGGTGGAACATACTGAAAAACCAGCATGCATATTTTCCATTCGTTTAATCATGGGAAGTGTTCAGTTGGCTTCAAAGAGTTTAACCTGGGAACATAAGGGGTGTAGTCCTGGTGCCCATCCAGCTGAACGCCATCCAAATCTCCCACTACAATCAGAACATAATCCCCTAATTCATCAAAGTCGTTTATTCTCGTTCTCGGTATTGTGCGCTCTAAACCACTTCTCTAGATTAAAATGTATTGGAACTCGAGCTTTAATTAAGTAGGGAACTTAAAAATGATGTAGATTTGGTATTGTTATTCAAGTATTTCAGTTTTTGTTTTATTATTGTGATTATAATAAACAAAACAAAGCTCAGCATAATTTATTTCATTACATCCACGACATATTTAAAGGTACTCTGTGTGATTTTTACAGTTGCTCCAAACGATAAAACATGTTAACCAATAACAAATGTGACCTTTTTAAGAATTTTTACCTCAGCCATGTTTTTAAATTGTGGTCATGGGCTTAGAATTTGACTTATAAATGTCCATGAGAGCTGGAGGACTCTTGTCAATGCGCCATCTTTAAATTCAGTGGTTGATAAGGGACAAAAAGGAGTTTGACCGGGAGTTGGGGACCATTGTAAAAGACGAAATATTGTCCTGCGAAGCTACCGTGGATTACAAGACATGAACTCAATGCTAGAGGGGAGTAAAAACTACACAGGGTATCTTTAACGTCAAGGAGCTGTGGTCAGTAGAGAATGTTGTCAGACTGTAGGAGTGAGTAGGTAGCTGGTAAGAAATAGTGGCAAAAAGGCTTGGAGAAATGCATTTGAAAAATAAATAAACGTATTGACGGTCCCTGCTGCTCATCGTCCAAATGTTATCCCTCTTCATTATCCTGGTGTTTGTCTTTAGAAATACAGCTATCACCAATACTAACTGACCATTATATGATGCCCGTTACTTTGGCAACCGCTTTGATTGACAGTATACAGGTCTTATGCTTGGTGCACTAATTTTCTGATTGGGGCCGTTCTCTGAAGTTTGAATGTTCTCCCCGTGTCCTCCTGGTGCTTTCCACTTTCTCCTCTCCACTATAATCATGTGCAACAGTTTGTGTTTGTGAGAAGATGGAAATGACCCAATCCACTCTGTCGCATTCAAATAAACAAATAAAAACGCACTGAAATCCAAATATGGAAACTAGTTTAAATGGTACGACCCACAACTGGCCAAACCGAGCCTCATCCTCTGTGGTCCTCTTCAGTTAACTAAATACGTGTTTTCTTCTTCTTCTTCATCTGCCGTGTGAAGGTTGTGGGTGATGTCACACTCACTAATGTCCAATCCGCTCTACGGTCTACGCAGATAGCTCCAAAAGGTCACCCGAAACTTGCCTTGTGTGAGATAGAGCTCGACTACTTTTATGGAGAAAGTGTAGAAAATGATGGATGTCAAAAAGGACAGGCTGGTGACAGAGTAAAACGAGAAAAGCCATTTACATCCAGTTATTACGAGAACAAAAGAACACGACTCAAATACCACCACTGGATCACATTATTACCTGTACCTGCTTGTAGTTCATACTTGGTAGTGATGTGTTTCTGTGTTTTAATTTCACAGAACAAAATGTCTTTCCCAAAAAATGTGTGGATAGAGATAAACTCGAACAGCGCCCCTAGTGGAGAAAGCAGCCTCCTACAACAGACTGTTCACTTGTTTACATGTTTGGAGCAGATGTTGGGAATTGATTTAGTATTGAATGTGGTATTGATTTTTTTCTCTTCTTTGCGTTTAGAACCTGCTTTGTAGAAGTTGTTTTGTGTTTGCTTCAATAAAAAGCCTAAACATTCACAAAACAACCTTTCCCTTTGGCCTCGACGAGTCTTTTTGAGAAGTTCCAGATGCTGCGGCTCTGTTGGTTTAGAGACGGCAGGACTGAGCGCTTAATGGTTTTCAAATGTTGTTAAAAAATTGCACTCCTTTAATGCATTTTGGACATGACGACAGCTCCGGCATTTAGCAAGAATACACAGACAGACAAGGGGTAGGTTAAAATCCTAAATACTATAATTTATTTCACAAACTTTTGACAAGTCATTTGGTGTCACAATACAGTCGCCCTCTCTTCCGGTTATATTGAACTCACATTATTTCCATATATGTAAAATTCCCTCTTTTTAACGTTTAATCCGTGATGATTTCTGGCTGTCTAAAATGGATTAGCACATGACTAATGCGGCTCGTCCCATTGAACCACATCTCATCCGACGGTTTCGGCGCGGGTTTCTGGTTTCTGCCCAAACACAATGATTGATTACTATTCATTTCCTCCTCCTCTGGTCCTCATCGTCAAACCTGCAAAGCACACTTAGATAAAAGAGAATACTGTGTAAAAGTCTTAGAGCAGCATGTCACGAAGGCTGTATCGGCGAAGGCGTGTTAAAAAAATGTACACACGCAAACGTACAAATGTGCACTTAAGGCCCATGCCAAGGCACGAGTCCTGTCCGGCAAAATGGAAGAGCTCAGACTAGGATACGGATCTAAAAGGCGACGTCAGGAAATGAAAAATAATGCGTGTGTACTCTCCCACGTCACAATTTGAAAAGTAACTCGCATTCAATCACTCAAAATGTTTGAAAATCGTTTAGAAAATTATTCAGAGGGTAAAAATAATCTACAGAAACACCATTCGTTACATTTGGTCCATGGCACATACTGCGTTTATCCGTAAAGTTGACGTCAAAACAAATGCATTTTAATGTTAACGTGAAAGCCACTTCTATAATGTCAAAGTCAGAAATGGATCAATAGGTTGTGTTCATGTGACATCACAATGTTCCAAAGAGCCTGTAGTTTACATTTGTGATGGAGGGCAGGTGAAAAATCTGTCATGGTAAATATGCTAACTGTCTAAAGTTTGTAGCTAATGTATTTGTAATTCCAAGGCCAATCCACTTTGATTTCATTATTTTCTCATTTTCAAGTGTCTAGAAGTGGTGACAATTTTAAAACAAATGCATGATGTTGGCCAGTAGAAAGGGCTTCCAGACGTAACAGTGTTTTGTCAGATCCATCAAATATTTCTCTATTTATTTCTAATATTGCTTCTGTCCCATAGAGTTGTCTTGGCACCTGCCCTCCAACTACACACAACATAATACAACATGTACACAACCTATACAGTCTCTCTCCTCGGCAAAAATCGGCAGATTTGCCGATTTACCAAAACCAATAGCGAGAGAGAATTTGATTATGTCCAATCAGGAAGCACGTGGATAGAGCGTGGGCGGGCCTAACCTGTGCTTGGATTCATTCATTATCTCTCTTCCAAAATTTAACTGACATCCACTTAAAACTAAAACGATTGAGTGAAATGACACTGATCTACGCTGATATTTAAGATTTGGTCCTTGGCACGTACGGCAGTCACGTTTATCATCAAAATAAATCACGAAAATATGCATACCTTTCTTGACATTGCTAAAACTTTTGCACAGTATTAGATTTTAAAGCACCTATGGAAATTAAAATCTTCAGCAGTCACACCTGAGAACAATGCAGGTTTTAGGAGGCGGGAGGAGCTTGTCAAGGTCCTTCTCTGATCCTGGCGGACCACTTCAAAGTGTTTTAGCACATCTATAAATATTGCTATGGACATTATATTACAGTACAGTGCATCATTGGCTCAATCCCTTTAAGAAGGGCTCAGTGCGTTTGGCCACCAGGGCTTTAGGTCCCAGCAACGCTAAAGACATCCAGAAATAGCATCTTCAAACTCCGCTGATTTTGACAGTCAAGCAAAACCGGGCATTTTATCTGCTACTTTCACTGGAAAAGATTTGGCAAAATAAATGACTCCCCGTATGTGGAAATGCCTTACACCTCGTTGATGCTCCAGAGGCAGTTTTTATATGTATGTCCTTCCGCTGCTTTTCACACATTAAAGTATGTGATGGTGGAGAGCTGGGAATAATAATGACACTTAGAAAAAGCTAATCCCTCAGTGGCCAACATTCCCAAGAATCCGCTCAGCGAGGAGGAGGAGGAGGAGGAGGAGGAGGAGGACGACGGTCTTAGTGCGGGGAGACCGGGACTTTTCAGGCCTCGCTGCTGCACTCGTAGATGTTGTCCTCCACTAAAGCGATGACCTGCTCGAACTTGTGGTGCAGCTGCGTGCGGCGAGTGGTCGGGTTTGCCTCCAGCGCTGTCACAACCTGGATCAAGCAAAAAGAATGTGTTTACTGAGTGATCGAAGCGAGGAGAAGGAACAGTATCACTACAATCCCGTGTGCAGATCTATGAAGTGACATTTGAGATCACAACATTAAAGCTTTATTCTTCAACTGTGGAGTCACTCAGTCAGTCCATTTCTAAAACACAGTCTATGGTTGGACAAAACTGATGCATATGTATTTCCAACTCCTCTCACTTATTAGTGGAGGGGGGGACTATTTGATACAGTAAAAAAATTAAATTGATACCGAAGAGAAAAGTATATTGTGATATTTAATAAACAATTATCTGTTTCACTTTTGTATTTTCCCTGAGTTCACTCTGGTAATTGTGCTGGGTGCTCACCATTCATGTGGGAGGTCACCTATTCACAGAATAATTATGTCTTGTCTTGTAATAATCCTGAATGTTCAAGGATAACGTTTTTGCACTTCAGTTAAAGTGCAGACCATAAAAAATGTGATATTTCAAATGAGAATTTTGTAATGACTTTGAATAATGAGTGACATGAATCGCACTATATCACAGAATGGAATTGCAATACTTATAATTGCCAACTCTATCACTCTCACAACACAACACGAAGCACACACGCAGACAAGACACAGGCCACTCTCTGACCCTGGACCCATCTCCTCACTCCCATCACTCCCATCACATCTGTGCTGAGGGCATCACTCTCTTTCCTCTACATACTTGGATGGAATGTAGATGTTTTAAACCAGAGTCAAGCAAAGCAATCAGGACAGTTGAGCAAAGAGCTTTCCTTAGACAAAACCATAATAAAAATTCAAACACCCTGCAGTCCGCGAAAAAGCTAAAATCACTGAACAAAGTATGTATAACTGCAGAGGTGGTCAGAGGAGCCAGGTAAGAGCATAGAATTTACTCTTAAGTGCACAAAATTGCTCTAAAAACAAAACAGTGTGTAAATAACTGTAGCATGACCCTCTGTGACGAGTGTGTTTTGCATGTTAGGTCCCCTTTAACTGCGGGAAGCCTGCACAGACAACCATTCACTGGCTTTCACTATGAGAAATGTCAAAGTCAAATTCTTTTGCCTTTGACACTTCAAACGTGGCATCCTCCCAAAGGGTAAAAATCAGCCATGGGAAAAAGGACAAAAAAAAACCTTGGAGTAAGCCTGACGCAACAACACAAAACAATGGGTACTTCAGTGTCTGCCGAGCATTCAAGCATCGAGAAGAGTGGGTGAACGCGCTGCAGCCTCTTGCCTTCTTCACGCATGCCTCCACACCACAAAGGCTCTTCACCACTTATTTACCGAACCCACATCGGTTGTGTTTTTCAAGCCCAATAGTTGTCATAGTGTCAGTTGGATTTATGGGCTCTTAGCGGCGGCGTGCTACCGGGGGGGAAGAGAGCTGAGCCGAGGCAGGGAGAATAGGCAATCAGCGCCCATTCACACAGCCCTGTGAATCAGGCTCTAAGCCCCTGGCCCGTGTCTGTACAGTAGTCTGACAGAGGAAGGCAGCTAAATGCTATTATCATGAGGGCTCTCTATTAAGGCACCGTCACCACTGACTAAGCCTCTCTGGAGGATACTCACAGAAGCAAGGGGCACAAGACTCAGGGGGAGGGGCAGGAGCTGGGTCAGAGCTGGGACTTGACATTAAGCAGCTCTGGCTCTCACATGCTATTCAGAATGATTTTACTCTGGTAGTGATGTATTTCAAGTGTATGTACAAAAGACATAAACAGAACACAACATATATAAGACATGAGAGTCTATATCTGAGCCACACTGGGGGAAATTTCAGAGCTTTAGCCGTAATACACTGTTTGAAAATGGGTTGGATGCATTGACTGTATATAGATGGACAATGCTAACCCACTAGCTCAATGAAGCCCAAAAGGGAAGTGCTCGTGGATGAAGTTTTGCGCCGACTCACTCTGGCTCCTACATTGAAAAGCAAACTCCTCCAGCTCAACTGTTTGTGTTACACTTAAAACATTCTGTGTTTTAGCGCTCTCTTTGATCCTGGTGTTTATATTGCGATATTAACCGTGTAAATACAGATACTGACCAATCAGGAGCCTTCTGTCGGCAAATTCTCCCGCTCAAATAGACTGTTTGAGCTCTTTCTCATCGGCCTTTTCTATGTGAAGACTAACAATAACTGGGTGATGTCAACACGAGTCTATGGTTGGACAAAATACGTTCTTACTGATTTCCAACTCCTCTCACACGTACAACACAACACAAAGCACATACACACTCACTCAAACAAGACACAGGCCCAAACACTCTCTGACCCCTCTCCCATCACTTGCTCTATGCTGAGAGCATTAATGTCTTGCCTCTATACACTCATACTTATTTTTTTATAGAGATTTCTGAACTGAATCATTTGTGAACATGTTTTAAATGAATTAGGAAAAAAACGAATAAACTCCTTGCACTGAGATACACATTGATTTTGCAGTAACTCTAGTTGTAATTGTATAACGTGTCATGGTGCGTGCGGACTTGCTGTTTTAGTACCTGCTTTTATTTTAATAAATTAGTCCTCTTTGTGCATTTTGAGTTCGACTTCATGTTGAGTAGATAATCTGCTCTGCCCTGATGTGTTCCACTTGTGAGTAAGTAAGTAAGTAAGTAAGTAAGTAAGTGTGTGTATATCCAGTATTTCCAGTACCCTGTCCTCATGATGTGAGTGTGTATTGGGGACTTGTTTAGATTTTTTTTGCTCATTATTTAGCTGTCTTGCATTATGGGTCCTCCTTGGTTTTCATCAAAGTGACCAATAAAAGTGACTAAAAAACAAAGAAGCAGTTTAGAAATGTCTTAGGGTGGTATTGTGGTTGAAGTGGTGAGGTGATGAGGTAAATGTAATTCACATAAAATGTAACTCAAATCTATGTGCTTTATGGTGTTCTGAGCATTTTTCTAATCAGGGAAAAGAAATAGCAGTAGCTAAGACAACAGACGCAAATGTCATTCAACCCCTTCAGGGGCGGTGGTATTAACAAGCGTGTGTCTGTGGCGCCTACAACCATACAGAAGCATCACAAAACCAAATCTTCACACAGAGTAAATAAGTAAGTAATGTGTTTTTATATAGCGCATTTTTACAGACCAAAGTCACCCAAAGTGCTTTACAGTGTACAGAGTGTAGATATTGAGAACCATCAATTCAAAGTAAGTAAAGTCAATATTTTTCTATGTCTAAAACAGGTCTTCCATGCCGTCTACTCTGGTTCTGGATGTAAAAAACCCTAATAATAGTGCGGAGACAGAATAGATGCTAATTATCTACATGGTAACTACTATCCACAGCGCGGTTGTTCTCAGCCCAATTAAAACATAAAAATCAGCTAAAATTAAACAACTTAATATTCTGAAAGTTTCACACTTCAAATATAAGTGCAGGTGTTTGGGGCATTACTCACCACATCGCTGATCATCCTTCAACAAGCTTTCAATCTCCATAATTCTGCAATTATGTCTTAAGTGGCATTCAAAGGGCGCGTTCACACTTTGGTTTGGACTAAGTACACTTCAGCAGCGGATGTAAAAGTCCTTATTATGCCACTGTTCTGATTCAAGCAACGAGCCCGAGTAAAAGGCTTTATACCTTCACAAAGTGTATTTATGTCTTCTACAAGTGAACCAATAATCTGCGTTTATGTGACATCACAACACTACCAAGAGGTTAAAATGGTGGTATAGGGCAGCTTAAAATGTCTCCTGGTAACTATAGAAATGATCAAAAGTCAGATTTCTTACTGCCATGTGTCTCAGTACATGGTCTGATTATAATCTAATAAAAGGTGTCAAGAACTGGTCACAATATTTAAAAAAAAAAGGCTGGTCGGATTTAAGAATAATATGGGGGATTTGTGAATCTAACCAGAATCTTGAGTTGAATGTAGGCAAACTTAGCTTTTTTTCTCCACTGTCTATGTCTACATTTGGGTCATGGCAACAGTTAGTTAAATATGCAGAGTTTTGGCAAAAAAGTAGTCTCTTTCCTCTGTTTTTTGTGTGTGTAGAGGACAAAATAATATGTTTGCTAGTCATGAATGTGTGAATGTTGTGACCAGCAGTGCAGTTGTGTGTTTAAACTTTACAACTGCACGGCTACTCAACAATTAATCTTTTTTTACATCCACGCATCACTCTAAAACCAACTTTAAAAGTGGTCACAATATCAAAAACAAAACAAAAAACGTTGATCGGACTTAAGAATAATATGGCGGATTTGTGAATCTAAACAGAATCATAAAAATGATCTGGGAAAACATTTAAGTATAAAATGTTTCAACATTTACTTAAAATTAGCCTTTTTCCCATAAAATTGTATTGGCACCCGCCCACCAAAAGAAATAATATTCTTCAAAATGAACGCAACTATTTGTTTATTCCAAAACATTGCCCTGAACCTGAATCATCATTTTGTAACTTCTCTTCAAATCTACTGAAGTAAATCTAAACACACAGGTTAAAAAAGGGGTCATTAAAAGAGTGAGAAAGATCTTGGGATTACTGTAGGCTACAGAGGAGAAGAAAAAAATAATTGATGGAGGGCTTGTGCGTTACCATTGAACCAGCTCCTGTACCTGTGTGAAATCTGAGCTGAAAGTCACGCTCCGACGCCCTGATAAAACTTTACTGGGCTGTGGGTGCGGGCCGAGGTGTCGCGAGTGAAAGACCAGTTTAAACACATCACTGTATCACATATTGGATCAGATTTCCAATTGATAAAACTTACCTGGTTTCTGTATCTCTTGGCATATTTGTAGATCTCTGTCACGGCCAGATTGGTGTTGAATTCGTTTCTGTACTTCTGCAAGAGAAAGTTCAATAGAAAGTTACATTTTGTCATCTGAACGTCTTTTTCTCGAGAAGTAAGTTAGCTGCAGAAATATATTTTGTCATCCAAAAAAGTTTCACAAAGTTTGAAGTTTGTTCTGGCACAGCTCTGGCGATGAGACTGACTTAAATGACTAACAATTTGCATATTTATTTCTTAGAGTAATGGACCAGTAGCACCTGTTTGCCCACAATGAAAATAATATAGATCATTTTAGGTTACAGCAATCAATGGATTTACTATTGGGAAGAATTCTTACTATTTAACCCTTTAGATGCTGCTACTACTACTACTACTACTACTATTACTACTACCACTACCACTACTACTATTACTACTACTACTACTATTACTACTACTACTGCACTCCTACATGTACACATTTGTGCCTCTGCTCATCACTACATGCTCCACCGGTGGCATTCAAAAGAGCCTCACATTCTCGCACTAATGCTTTCAGCTCGTGCAGCAACCCGCCTCCTCCCCACCACCTCTACGGTAGGACATCCACTCTTTATCACTTCCACCACTAACAGTGGGTTTTACTTTCATATTCTCTATTTAATTTCCCCTTGCAAACGTTATGCTTTTGGCCATGGTGTATAATTATGGGGTATACGTCTCATGGGTATAAGTCTAATCATGTTACTAATGTACTTTTCTTTATTTCTCCTATTGATTTGAGCAGTCTTCTATCTCTGATACAGTTTCAGAGCTCCCCTTTTTGTTTGTTTCACATAAAATGTCTATAAAAACTTGCCTAAAGGGCTAACTAATATTTGCATTTCAACATCCATATCCAAATCAATCAGCCAAACCCATCCCTATCCAGAAGCAACAAAATACATTTAATCTAAAAGGTGGTAAATGTAACGTCCACTCACCCTGGACTCCTCGGCCAAGTGTGCGTTCATCTCCTGCTCGCTCAGAGGTGGCATCTCCTGGATCTGGTTGTAATACCACTGCACCCTCTTCTTGTACTCGGGGATCTCCTTGGCGTACAGCAGCTTGTTGGTGGGTGAGTCCTAAAGGAAGAGTATTGAATGAATTTTAGATTTGATGAAGTATCCTCCCAGGGGTGGACATTAACTCATCAGTAATCATTATTCCATCAGGTGGAAATTAAGACAATCATTATGGAGACGGAAAGATGTAAAAGATTTGTGCTTGTGCCAGAAATGAAGTGATAAGGACACACATTTTGTATCGTTTTGTTGATCGTTGCCACAGTGTCAGCTGTTTTTTTATTATTTTATATTCAGTGTATGTGTATTTTATATTACATTGTATCGTGCTTTTTATTCTGTCGGTGCACACAGAGTACCTTTTTTTTGCAAATGTATTCCAATGTAGTTTTTATACTGCACATGGCCAATAAATGAATCTGAATCTGAATCTGAATCTGAATGGATGCTTTTTTATATCTTAAATACATTTCAAATCTCAGTATGTGGATGGCAGAGATGGGAGCAATAACATGTCGACCTCAGCAGTATATAAATCACTTTATATTTATATAAAGTGATTTATATACTGCGGCACGGTGGCTGAGTGGATAGCACTCTCGCCTCTCAGCAAGAAGGTCCTGGGTTCGAATCCCGGCCGGACCAGGGCCTTTCTGAGTGGAGTTTGCATGTTCTCCCCGTGTCTGCGTAGGTTTCCTCCGGGTACTCCGGTTTCCCCTACCACTAAAAATATGTCCAATAGTTCTGGCATGCGCCTCCTGTACTGGCGACCCCGCTCCCATCTGTGTGGAGTGAGAGACAAATGCCCAAAATTAACAATTGTAAACCGCTTTGAGACTCAGATCTGCAGTGAAAAGGCGGTATATAAATACAAACTTACTTACTTACTTACTTACTTTATACCATGGTCAGTGAGTGATTCCAATGCATTCTACTGTTATAATATACTGTTTAAATCTCATGGTAAATTACAGGGCCATATCACCCCAGAGGCAACACACACACATTATAAAAAAGTTATTGTAGTTTTGAAGGTCAATCGTTTTGTAAAAATCTTTGAATGTAGGCAAACTTAGCTTTTTTTCTCCACTGTCTGTGTCTACATTCGGGTCATGGCAACAGTTAGTTAAATATGCAGAGTTTTGGCAAAAAAATAGTCCCTTTCCTCTGTTTGGTGTGCGTGTAGAGGACAAAATAATATGTTTTCTAGTTATGAATGTGTGCGTGTTGTGACCAGCAGTGCAGTTGTGTGTTTAAACTTTACAACTGCACGGCTACTCAACGATTAATCTTTTTTACGTCCATGAATCACTCTAAAAACAACTTTGAAGGTGTAAATGACAAGGGAAAACAACTATAGCATAGTCAAAACCTGCGAAAAGTCCATTTTGCATAGAAGTTGAAATTGTAATTTTAGAAAAAGTGGAGAAAAAGTTGCAGAGTAAACTACATGTAAAAGAGATGCTATCACCAGATCATTATTGGGTCTAAACTCAAACCAATCCACATTTACATTACGCCTAAAAACTGGTGTGAAACTGCAAACACTCCTTCACAATTCTGTACTAAATCTCAACCCATAAAAAGATTCAGGAAGTGAACTTTCTGTAAAGTCATGCATGAGTTGACTAATGACCACAAGTGCTAGACAAAGTGTTACCGTAGCTGCTTAGCTTCCATTGTGCCCTTTTTCTAATTTAATTACCAAACCTCAGTGGAGTTGAAAGAGGCCTGAACTGTTATTCTCTATTATGATGATTTATGGATCATATTAGAATATTAGCACTTTATTGCCTCTGGGGTTTGGAAAGTACTGATTCCAACCTTTTCTAGAGACTTTTTGTCTTTTCCCCTCCTCTCTCATCCAGGCGAGTACAATCACCCCACATTTGACATCAATCCTTGCCTCTTGCTTTACGCGTTTTATTTCTTCACCTTGCGCTAATATTGTTCCATCAACAACAACTTGTTTTTAGCTCCATTCACTCCATTTAGAGATAGCCTGACTCTCTCACATCTGGCAAAAAACAGCACAAACACGTCCCCTTTAATCTGAATGCACCTTTCTCAAACTGACCCATGTGATGTTTTTCGACATTTGAATCACTGAAATAAATAGCCTCCTCCACCGTGTGATAATTTGTTGATATTTGACTATTTCAACATTTTTTCAAAGACTCTCACACAATGCGAGGTGTGGACGGCATCCTTTGAAAAACTCAGAGTCAGGCTGAATGAATAAACACACCTCGGTCACACTCTCTACTTTCACTTAAAGCTCTGCGGCTTATTCAGGCGGAACAGGCGAGTGGGGAGGCTAAGAGGTTGTGGGCATATTTCTGCTTTAAAGGGACTGTAATGTTGACTGTGGATAGGTGTGTGTGGAGGGGGAAAACTAGGACACGGGAGAGAGTAGACGGGCAGCCTCAGCTCTCAGCATACCCCAATGTGCTTACAGCGTAAATATTCCTCCGTGTCACGAGTTATTTCTGTCACCTATATTGTGTGTACGGAGCACGCCTGTCTTTGTCTGCGGCTGTTAATGGTGGCGAGAATGCAAAAAAGTACCAGAGTTGCCAGATATGAATAAATATGAAGTAACAGTTTAGTACAAAAGAAGATCATGGGGAGAACAGAGAATATGTTTGTGTAACATAGAGAGATAGATAGAATAGAAGGATACATTGATAGACAGGCAGATACTAAAAGGCCCATGGGAGAAATACAAGAAGCAACAGACAACGCAGCCTCAAACAGATGTATGTTATTAAGAATTAATCAGACAAACGCCTGTGTGTGTGTTTAAATTGACTGAAAATGTCTTAGCCAAAAGTGGTGCAGCAACCTCTCCCATTCTCAGGTTGCCAGATATGCAGACGAATCCAGGACCAAATAGACAAGAGCTTTGTCAACAACAAATCCATAACCAACACCTTTTTCACAAAGGCCCTGATAGAAATCTTAATTTAGTCCTTCTTTTGTCATGAATAATTTGAGAATCATAACAAGACCCTTTTTAGTTCTGCGGCCACATGTTACTTTACCAGTGAGATTAGCTTGATGCGGTGAGTTCTGGCAACCCGGATCACAGACTTTCTGATTGGTAAAACGGGGGCGGGCGGGACATTAAAATTAAATCAACAATGTTAATATTCCGGCTGAACTACTGATAGCAATTACAGAAGTATTGGAAAAGAGCATGATTTAATAATACCTTTTGGCAGATTAGGGCTTGAAAATCTTACATACTGCTACTTTAAACCTGGTCTGTAGAATTGTTTTTCTTAGTATCAGTAATAAAAGTCTTGTAAAAGTTAAATGTTGTGAACACATACAGTAAGAACACAACAGTCTTTATCTTATCAGAAAACATGTTAGCCCTGCAAGTCACTGTTTGTTGCTTTGGGCTGAGAGCTGATTGGCTGAGTGCGGGTGGTCTTCTCGTTCTCACTTTTCTGTTTGAAAAAAGTTTATCTAAAGATGTGGCAGAAACCAAGAGTACATACATGTGAAAACTAGTGATAAAAAGTTAGATGGATACTATTACAGAGTTCCATATTTTGTGGTTTAAAAGTTAGCTACCAAAGATTTAAATATGATTTCCATTTGTCCTTTACTCATTTACAGCAATCTCACGCTGCTACTGGAAAGCTCCTTTTTAACCAAATGTGCCCTGGGGCAGAAGGACACAGCTGTGATGCTATATACCAAGCCAAACACCTCCCTGACCGCTACCAAGATAATGTCCATTCATCACACTGTCACGCTGACTTTGCCCGGTGATTCTGTAAAGTATATACCCAAGAACACAATCATCAATTTATTGTTTGACATCCTTTGATATATATATTGTGAATGCAATTTCAAGTTTTTGTGCATTAGTTTTGGATAAACCTAACGCCCTTTTGTCCATGGAAGTGGATGTCTACTTCACTGTGGTTCTTCTATGTATATTTACACACATATATTACCAAATAAAAAAAACATATATTACTTTTGTACAATGGAATATGATAGGTTAGCAGAAAGTATCACAGAAACTGGCTCCGGTGCTGGCTCTATGTCACATTCAGTGTTGATTTTAAGATTCTGATGCTTGTTTTTGATTGGTTAAATGGTTTAGCCCATGTTTATCAGACAGAGCTGTTATCTCTGCATGTCTCAGTATGTCAGGTCAGTGAGGTCAGAAAACCAGCTTTTGTTGATCGTGCCCATGTTGTCTAAAAACACAAGGAAACGAGATGATTGATGCCTTGGCTTTTAACACCAACTAAGTTCTACCGTTTTACATTGCGCATATATTAGTGTGTATTTCATGATAATTTATGATAACTGTTGTGTTCACTTATTTGTTTCTGTTACGTATGTGAAGTTGTATCATGTATGTGATGTTGTATACAAAAAAAAGCTGACATTGACTAAGAAATATTGTGTGGCAAATGGCATTTATTCAAGGTTTTTTTAATTTACTTACTCTGGGAAAGTTCTGGTAAGCATATCCTTTTCACACTGGGTTTTTGTAAAGGTTCTGAGGACAGGGGAGGATCCAGAACAGTCCATTTTTAAAATTCCTGTGAACATTGTTTTTTATCTGCGTCATATTTTACCAATGACCAATTACCAATAACGGTTTGATTTTCTATTATGACCCATAACTGTTTGAATCATCTATTATGCTATTGACAAAGTTTTTCAATAACTGGTGTTGTGATTTCGCTCTGTACAAAAATAAATTGATCCGAAATGTGTTTGGAAGCAGTAATGGAAGCAGTAGTGACCGTGCCCCCCTCTCTGCCCTGGTGCACTTCCCTTTATCTGCGGCTGATGCCAGGATGCAGAGGCACAGTCCCTTCTCTCTTCCTGCCCACAAGGTCACTTCCTGCTGTCGGCCCATCTGCCTGCTGGCCCCTGTGACCCCCCTGACCCCAGCAGTAACTCCGCGGCGCCTTTGTCTCGATCTGGGCCAGTGTCGCCTCATGTCCCGTCTTCCCCGCTGTCACCCCCTGCCCCACCAGCCTATCCCACAACCGTCATTCTGAGGTGATGACTAGTTTGTTATGTCTCCTTCTGTTGGAATAGCGCTGCTGATGTGATGACTGGAAAGCTGCTGAACAGTACAACTTCAGTTTTTCTTTTCTGACGCACCGTTCAGCATAAACCGGGATGACCCCATGTGTTATTCATGGGATTCAGCTTCCTGTTACATGCATCATTATTTTAGGATAACATATTTATCATGAAGCTAAGACATTTTGTGAGAATAATTCTATACTGACTTTCACTGTAAAATAAAACAACATTCAAGGTAATAAATAAAGTGTTTTTTTGTTTTTTTTATCTTGAATTGAGTACAAGATTTGCAATTTTCAAGATTGTTGTACATTTTCTTGTCTTTATAAAAAACAAGACATTTCTGATTGCCCCATTGGCACAGTGTTTTAAGACAGTCCAAATTAACTGAAATTTACATAGTTTGTGTGAGCTACAGGGAGTATTCAAAACAAAGAAATGTTGCTCGCCCAAGCACGGAACTGAAGCACAGGTGACGGGTGAGCAGCCTTCCTTTGTTTGAAAATGACATAATTTTTCGTCAACTTTGGCACAAAACATGGGTGAGATTTTTGTGCAGCCGAACACACCACAGATCTCAAACCTCGGTTCCCATTCACGCCTGGACGCTCATAGTATAGTAGCACCTTATATATAATAGTCTTGAAGTCTTGTCTGCTCTATTGTTATGCTGTATATGACCAACACGCGTGGAACAAACATAGTAAGCATTTTAGCAATATCAACTGAAAACAACTTAAACACCCTGAAAAGCTCCTATTAAAAATGTCACAGGTGAAATTTGAATTTCTAAGGAATTGTTCAAAAGTCTATTTACTTAAATAACCATGTGAAACGAATACAGACTCATTACAGGCAAAGTGAGTTTATTTGTTATAATTGACTCACAGATCGTAAAAAATCCAAATAGTGGCTTACTGTATGTCGCTTTGCATGTAATGATTTATTGGTTTCAGATTTTAAATATAATTACAGAAATATATGAACTTTTGAACAATCTTCTAATTTAGTTGCGAGTTTCACCTGTACGTCCATTTCAAAGTTAATACGAGCACTCTTCACCCAAACCCTAATATCACAAAAAACAGTTGCTGATAAAATCCACTAACTACTGTGAGATCTTAATGAAAAGATCAGAAGGGATCAAAGATGGATGGACGTTAAATCAGTTTCAAAAACAATAATTTGCGCTGAAATTCCAAATCCTTGGACTGAGTCTCACCACAGAACAACCACAGCGGGCCGTCACATTAAAGCTGAAGTCTAAAACCGGGGCCATATATATGTATATATATATATATATATATACTGCATTTAATGAGTATTACTGCTGTGGCTGCTCGACCCCCAAACTATCCGGAGTTGTCAGTCTCACGGTGAAAGAGAAGCTTGGTGGTGCGGCCTCTCTGGGGATGAAGGCGGGTGTATAGAGCCGGTGTCTCAGGGTCAGTGTTAGATGAATGAGTTGGATCGGTGAGAGCGGTAAAGGACATTGACATTCAGCCGAACACTGCCGGAGCCAGACACAGGCGTATGCACAAAAGACATCCCCATGTGCTCACGACCTTGGATCACTGCTCCGAAATAACACGACAGTCCGAGCCGTTTGGGACATTATCGAGTCCAGACGAGTTGGAAATGGAAAAAGAAATATTTGAGCAGCAGTGGTGTCAAATGGAAAAAGATTCGCGACATGTTATCCCCCCATTTGTAAAAGTTAAATTTGTTACATTTTGAGTCTCATTGGGGAGAGCTGCAAACTTTAATGCTGACAGTAGATGTCATTGAGCAGGACTTTTCACCTATCTTGTCTCCACTTTCTGCATTAGGAACTAAATGTGGCACAGCAGCGGTCGCAAAGGACGTCGGCACAGTATGGCTACAGGCCCCCTGGCATGGAGCTTTTATCCAACAGTACATGTAGAAATGCTAAGATACAAAAATATGATTAATTTGGCTTTCAAATATCTCCACAAATAACATTCACGATAAGCCATTAATCCTCACTAAATGATTACCACAAATTCATTAAAGCTGGGGTACATAGATTTCAAGCCACAACAATTAAACTTTTTGAGAGAGAAACTAGTTGGATGAATTTTATTACAGTTTTCACTACACTAGTTTTCACATTCATGTATTTTTGCCTCTTTAACATGGTTAACCCTTTAATGGTTCACTTTTTGAGTAACATTATCTCTTTGAAGCTTGGAGCTGAAATCTCCCTCATTGGGGAAATCTCTATCACTTGATTCTTGGTAACCTTGCCTGCAAGCTGAATTCTCGCGGTATTTGTGAGTTCACAAACACTCGAGAATACATCTTGTACCGCTCCCGCTTACACTTTTCGAGTCGAACCACTGGGTGTGCGAGCCAATCACGCGCCAGTCTGGGGGTTTAGGGCGGGATATCCGGGTTTGACGAAAGCAAGAAGTGCCGGGCCGAAGCAAAACAAACATGGCTACGCAGGAGGACGGACGCAAAGTCAGTTTTAGCAGAATCTCCAATTTCTTTTTTGAAAGATGAACAGCGAGAGGCGCTTTGTGCATTTCTGGACGGCAAAGATGTTTGTGCATTTTTACCTACGTAAGTCAAACCTTGGTAGGCGGGCACACAGCGTCACTTCGCCCAATCAGCTTCAAGTATTCTGCTGCTTACCCCTCCTTTCCCCGAAAGGATTCTCCGGGAGAAATCCCAGATTGATATCGCGGAGAACGCGTTAGAGTTCTACACAATCATCAATCTGGCTCTTGCCAGGTTAGATTCTTGGCACTTATACCATCAAACTGCATCTCACATATTTGGTAAAGGCCTGTATTTGTTTTATTAGTGCTCCTACATCTTAGAAAATCTAAAGAATAAAGAGAAAATCCATTGCTCTATTAAAGGAGTGGACATTGAAGGGTTAAATTATGTTTTTCAGGCAAAAGAATGAACATGAGAGGACCACCCTCACTCAGACAATCAGCTCTCAGTCCAAAGCATCAAATAGTGTCTGACACGAGACTTTCTATTGAGCGCTCTTCATGATTAAACATCATAATTTGTGGGTTATGGTTTATTTCACTTTTACCTCTTTTTAGGGCAAACAACATGTATTATATATCTTATGGCCCCTTGTTAAACATTGTTGTTATAAAACATTGAAACTAGTTCCTCTCTCTCAAAACATTTGGTTCAATCTCAATAGTTTTGGTCTTTATCTCTTCTTCATCTTTGATCAGTTTGTTTCATACAAAAAGATGGGAAAAGAGAGGACCAGCCTCAGCCAATCAGCTTTCAATATGTAATTAATGTTTTCTAATAAGATGAAGACAGCATGGTGTGGCCTGATTTGTCCACACAATGTTAGACAAGACTTTCTGGTGGGACAAAACCTCAGCTTAACCAAACGTTTACTTGAAACAGTGAGGTGCCATTGAGTACCTGGACTGAACTTCCCTTATGTGGCCTGCAGCCAGGAAGTCGGGGCATAACTTTGTCAGTCAATCTAAGCAGGTGGTTTCTATTTGCAGCCAGTATTTGTTTTGTAGATGAGATGATTGGCAGGTTTGGCTCACCTTGCCGAGCTGCAGGTCAGATATGGAGCAGGCGTCTATAAAGGCCTGAGCGATGACAGACAGGCAGGCATCCATGTGGTCCGTCTTGTCAATGTCAAAGACGAACTGTGGATTCTTCAGGATGTTCACCCAAAAGCGCAGAGGTAAACTACGGACGCAGGAACAATGATACAGGTGATTAACCGCTGCCTTCCTCTGCGCGACGAGCTAACCAGACTTCCATAGTATATTTAGTTTGAAGTTTGTACCTGTTGGTTTTCCAGATGTGCAGGGTGTCAGGGTCCGTTATCCCTCGTTTGTCGGCCTGCTCCTCGAGGAAGTCAAAGAAGTATTTGACGGCAAGAGGTGGGCGATCCGGGGGGATGCTGAGGATGGCCTGGAAGAGGTCATCCAAGAACTTCTGCAGTGTTCCCTGTGGAGCAGACAGCGGAGAGTAGAGAGTAATGCGTGATGTGGGAAAGGACTGAAGGCTGCTGGACTGGCTTTGAACTGCTCCATGAGAGAAAATTTAGAAGCAATAAACGCACAGCAGACTATCATGGCACACTAGAGAATGAGTGGCCGTATTCTGAAGAATGTGTCTGTCTGCACAATTCTTCACTTGTAAAGCCTTTGTGATCCTGGTATGTGAAAAGTGCTAGTACGATTTCTTACCACGGTGGATAATGTATTACTCTGGCCTGTACTTTAAACAAATGCTTTAAAGAAATCAGTATCATGCACGGCTTTATTCCCATGGAGCGACTTCACTACATATCACCCCAAAAAGGGACAAAAAATAAATACTAAATGGCTTTGTCTTAAAACACGATTTGCAAAGATAGTTTTTAGTATTTATTACCTTTTCTTTTATCATGTTTTTTGGAGAAACAGATTCAAAATTATGTTTTTTAAATAATTCATGTCAGAAATCTATTCTTATTTTAAAGGTTTTACAGTGAAAGGTGTCAACAGCTACCAACTTTAAAAAAAACTATTCTGAAACTAAAACTATTCGTAAACTACATGAGTACAACCATTTGAAGATTCTGTCCTTTTTAATGATTGAATTTCTAGGTTTTACACAACTTTCACGAGTAAATACATGAAAAAAAATAACTTCAAAATATTAGACAAGAATATTCATTCCTGCAGCAAATGCGCATCCAGAATAAATAAAGGCTTTTATTTATTTATTTATTTGATGGAGAAAAGTGTGCACTATGCCCATGTGGCACACTACAACATTTTTAGCCAAAGCTAATTTGCAATGTAGATACATACTTCACAGCTCACAGTCTAGACACAGCTGTGGGCCTGCACCTCATTGGCTCCTTCAAACTCTTTGAAGATGACCATTTATGTTTTGTTTTTATTCATAGTAATAAATTGGTCAGTCACTGGGTCCTCATGGTCAGTCATTGCCGATTGTAATATCCACTAAGCATCGCTCGTGACATGTGTCTTTGAGAGTCCAAATGAGCCCTGTATAAACCTGTGTATTGTTATTATGTTGCGTACAGGTATCCAATAAGCAAAGACATTAAATCAGCTGCTAACAAAGTATGCATTGGTGAAATATATGCAATACTAAACAGCAAAAAGAATATAGCAGAGAGAATAAGCAAAGGTCAGAGGAGGCGCTATGATATTTAAGATCTGCCCTTTGGGGTCCGTACCTTGGTGGACAGGAGGCGTGTCAAGTAGATCTCCGGCAGCACTTTCTTGTGGTGACTTTGTCTGTGTTTCTTCCTATTCTCCTGGAGCTCGTCGTGAGCAAGCACCTAAAACACCAAAAGGTCATCACACATGTTTAAGCAGAGAAACCAACCGTGAGCGCACAACAGTCGCCGTGCACTGGAAGTCAAAAAGGGGGGTTTTGTCTTTGCTTTAACCCTGACACCTACACAGGGGACAGGCCTCATTAAAGAAGAAATATCATGCATTATTTCTGGCCTTTAAATATGATAGCAAGACTACTTACTTGGTCATTTCATGTTTAAGACAGTGAGATAATATTGTGAGATAATATCTTAAATATAGGGCTTAATAAGTATGATGGATAATCAGTCTGTCTGTAATTCCCTTTTCTACCACCAGAGGGATGGGTATAATTTTCACTTTGGTGTTCCCATACGTCCTCCATTACAGGACCTGTCCTGCTTAACTTCTGACAGGATTAGGCTTTGACATGAAGGTAGCACCACAATTGACAACTTGTCGAGGTGAATACTACACAATTGTAGTGTTTTCAACCAACCTAATTTGTCACCGCCAACTGATGCAGATATAGTGGACAAATAGCCAATATCGGTTTAGACAAGTAGATAACATTCTTTCCAACTAATGTGTTTTTTAAGTGAATTTAGCTTAAAATCTACTCTATGAAAATGAATAAGATAAAAGAACATAAGACATAGATTGGGGCTGCATAAAGGTAAAAATCTGAAAATTCCATTGACCTAATTCAATGTACAAATGAAAACTAATATATATATCAAGCTTTGAATATGTCACTTTGCGTGTAATGACTCAAGTTGTTTTTACAGAAATAAATACACTTTTGAACGGTATTATATTACCTGTAGTGTTGTATCTAAAATGACATCAAAATTGGACTTTTTGAAGCTAATCGATTCGTGGACATAACTAAAACACCCAAAGTCCACGTTTATTCCGTTGGTAATAGACATTGACCAATTTCCCTTTGCAGCTGTTTGAGCAGTGGGATGGAGGACAGCTACCCATTATCCTTTATTCCTCAATTTTAAGCTTTATAGAAAATTCACATCATTTAGGGGCAGAAAAATGAATGGTATTTGACACAAAACATTACTTCCCACAGCCCTGAGATAACCTGTATATTATCATGCATCTGGCAGGTGTAGCGGAGGTGAGGATAAAAACCACACAAAGTCCCCCTCAAACTTGCAGTAAAAAAGGAACCAAAAAACTAACTATTCACCCGGCAAATTGTATTCCAAAGAACTCATTATTCTGAAGTCAAAGGGCCCATATCTTTTCTGACGTTTATAAAAGAGCTTAAGCAGCATTAGCGCTGTCATGTCCTCTCAGCAGCTTTCCTTCTCACCTCCGCTCACCTCATTTTTCTCTCCTGACTGACTCGAACAGCCTGCACCTGAAAAAGGCCCAGGATGTACACCCCCAGAGCAGCTCATATACAGACAATGTGTTCTGTATCGTTCAGTTGCCCCCCCCCCCCCCAACATCAAAAGTGGGACAGACCTTTGTAGCTCCATAATGATTTTTAATGATTATTATGAACTCACATTGATGGTGAGAAGTTAAAACAGGCTGTGGCATGTGATACAGGTGAAATTCTGAAAGTTAGAATGTCATTTAAAGGTAATTTATTTCTGTAATGAGAAACCATTATATGTTATAGAGTCATTAGATGCAAAGTGACATATGCCAAATCTTTGCAGAGTCATTTTGAAGATAGACTGTAAGCCATAATCATCAAAATGATCATTTTCAAGCTGTGAGTCAATTATCAACAATATATTAAATTAAGGCTTGGTATCTCAGTCTGTGTAATGAGTCTATCATATATTAGTTTCACGTCATACTGTAGGTTGAATCACAGAAGTAAACTTTAGAACGACGGAAATACTTTTCATTGAGTGATCGTTCAATTTAAAAAAACAAAAAATGGCCTTTCAATTGACAATAACCTTACTTCAATTAGTCCAGGCGTGGTTCAATACAAGCTCACGTTGACATTATTTTTTTTCATACAAATCTGGCAGAAAATTATGTCCAAAACCAAATTAAAGAATAGTAATTCTTCAAAATACCTTGGTATAAAAGTTTAGTTAGTAAACATGTAAACATGTCCCTTCATTCTGGAATATTCCCAAAGGCCCTGAAAACTGCAGTCATCAGGCCCCTGCTAAAAAAGAGCAGCCTGGATGCTACGGTACTTAACAACTATCGTCCCATCTCAAATTTACCATTTATGAGGAAAGCCCTTGAGAAAGTTGTCTACCTACAGCTTACTAGATTTCTTATAATTAACAACTCATTTGATATGTTTCAGTCCGGCTTTAGACCCCACCACAGCACTGAGACTGCTCTTGTCAAGGTTACAAACGATATCCGGCTGAACACTGACGCAGGCAAAGTCTCAATCTTAATCTTGTTAGATCTGAGTGCTGCCTTTGACACCGTCGACCATGAGATCCTCTTACAGAGACTAGAGGACTGGGTTGGAGTCGCTGGCACCGCCCTAAGTTGGTTTAGGTCTTACCTTGAAGACAGGAAGTACTTTGTGGAGATTGGAGACTGTGTCTCAGATCATATGGCCCTGACCTGTGGAGTTACCACAGGGGTCGATCCTGGGACCTCTTCTGTTCAATCTCTACATGCTGCCGTTAGGTCAGTTAATACGCAGAAACGAAGTGTCCTATCATAACTATGCAGACGACACTCAGATCTATGTCTCACTGACTGCAGGAGAACATGGACCAGTGGACTCACTCCTTCACTGTATCCAACAGATCAGTGAGTGGATGCAAAACAACTTCCTTCAGCTAAACGCAGACAAAACTGAAATGATTGTCTTTGGTCCCCAGAAACAAAGAGAGAGCGTCATCTGTCACCTACAGTCTCTCTCCCTAAAACCTTCAAACAAGGTCAGAAATCTAGGGGTAATACTGGACTCAGACTTAAATTTTAATAGCCACATCAAATCAGTAACATCAGCAGCTTTTTACCATCTAAAAAACATTGCCAGGATCAAAAACATAGTGTCTAAAGCAGACTTGGAGATTCTTATCCATGCATTTGTCTCCAGTAGGTTAGACTACTGCAATGGCCTGCTCACAGGTCTGTCCAAACAGGCTGTAAAACAGCTGCAGTACATTCAAAATGCAGCAGCTCGAGTCCTGACTAGAACCAGGAAGTACGACCACATTAGTCCGGTCCTCAGGTCTCTGCACTGGCTTCCTGTGGCTCAGAGAATAGACTTTAAAACAGCTCTGCTTGTGTACAAGTCTCTCCATGGCCTCGCACCAAAATATATTAGTGACATGTTAGTCCCATATGAACCAGCCCGGACTCTGAGGAGCACAGGGACTGGACTCCTGTTAGTGTCCAGAGTCAGAACTAAACATGGGGAGGCTGCTTTTCAGATTCATGCTGCTAAAATCTGGAACAGTCTTCCTGAAGATGTGAGACAGGCCTCCTCTCTGACAATGTTTAAAACCAGGTTAAAGACGGTTCTGTTTAGCTGTGCATACAACTGAGGGATTTTATATTTTTATCTTTTTTTTTTTAATGTACTGTGATTATTTATGATTTTAATGCTTTCTTGTTCTGTTCAGCACTTTGAATTGCCTTGTGTATGAATTGTGCTATACAAATAAACTTGCCTTGCCTTGCCTTGCCTAGTTTTAAAACATTATTTTTCTCCCATTCAATATGGCGGTTCAGCTAATAACAATTTTCTCCCAATGTATTTTTCAAACCTTTACAATGCAAGTTTATGTTATTTATATTTACATCCATCTGCTTATTTTCAGGAAAGGGAAATCATATAAACACATTCTTCATTTATTTGTGAAGGGTTATTCCAAAATGTGGGAACGATAAAACTAATAATAACTTCCCATTCCATATGACACACAACAGTCTTTCTCATTCTTACACTATACACATTTTAGTCTTTCAATTTAGACCCAAACCCTGTGAATATGCAACACTTGGAGGATATCTCCTATTCAAAGAAATGATTGGATGTTGAAATCATTAGAGAGCTTCTTTGGACCGAGAAAAACTACTCATTTGAAGTGAGGTCCTTCAAGCATGTAATTAGAAGAAAACACCTATGATGATTGCATGTTGTACTCACCAAGTGCACATACTTCTCCGTATCCAGATCCTTCACTGAAAAACAAACCCAATATAACGTGTCAAACAATGTGCAATCAGCGAGGTGGGGACCAAAGGGACGCGAGGGGGCAGAGGTGCATTTGACAAGAGGGGGAAAGAAAAAAAAACACAGCCGGAGATTGACAAGTGAGCAGAGAAAGGAGATAGGGAGAGAGTGATTTGATGCAGCGGGGAGAGTGTGGAGGGTTTGGAGATTAGCAGACGCAGACGCACAGGCCATGAGTGCTTCTGGAGCCACTGTAATGAGATGGTAATGCTCAGCCACTGTTTGCAAATGGCATTAAACTGAGCTGGTTTACATGTGATACTAAACATAAACACGTTCAGTGGCAGAGCACATAGATGGAAGGGCTATACTTTAGTGTGGTTGAAAAACAATGTTAAAACTAGATTTGGATCCGAAGGGAAAGGCTTGTTATTTGAATGATTTCAATACCGTGACGGCAACAAAAACATACAGCTGACAATAGAATAACATTTCCTGTTTTTTTTTCCTCATTTTATGTTATTCTATTTTTTTCCGAAATGTCCATGTGTCTATGTAGAGCAGGTGTATTCAGCCTGTTTTGGCACCAAGGTCCCCACATCAATTTGATCTAGTCCACAGCCTAGCATACACATAGGAATTGATAAAACATATAAGCTTGAGCCATTTATGAACCTGGTCGTAACATCAAGGAGAAGCTTATTACTAAAATGCGAATCAGTTTAATCGTACAAGTCTTGCACTATTTTTAATCCTTTTTTTTTTTTTTTGAGATCTCTGAATCTGTTAGTTGCTGTACTATATGTAATAACACTGATATCGTGTTTAGAATAATTTTGTGAGACAAAAAAGAACGGATAAAAAAGGCACATCGCCCCCCTCCAGTCTAGCCCTTAAGAATAGCCCCCTCAATAGTTTATTTATTTAGTAACAAAAAATTGAGTTTTGACTTTCCAGGTAAAGGCAAATTATGAAGATCTTAGAAAATCAAAAAAATCCAAGGCACTCGTGGTCAAGAGTTTAGAGAGTTTACAAAGATAAGATAAGATATACTTTATTGATCTCACAAAGGAGAAATTTACACTTGATCTATTTTCAATTGTTAAAGTCACTGCCAACAACACGACTCCAGTAAAGATAAATGGAATGAAATAATTTGGAGAAAACTATAAAATTCAAACCTACATACAGCCCATAAAACAAAATCAAATCATAGACCACCATCATGAAGCTAAAACTAAAGATTAAACTGTCGTATTGTGACAAACGTATACCTTTTGTACAATACCTACCAACGTGTGATACTATAGCATGGGGGTCTAGGCATTTTTAACCACTCTAATCCATTCTGTGTTATAACTAAGCCTGAATAATCAAGTTGTGACCTGAACTGCCCCTAATAATGTCACTTATAATTGGTCAAGATAGACAGAAGATATAGAAGCATAACACATCAAAAACACAGCACTCTCCCACATTTAACTGCATTGAATTATGTGTGTATGAGGTCACTAATGGACAAAATGTATGTATTTCAGCACAAAAACGCAATTATTAAACGTCATTATCTTCTCAACAATATTGTTCTAGACCCCAATAGTCTCGGGCAAAGTATTGGCTTCTAACTTGAGGATCAGTCACATTGCCTGTAGAAAATTGGTTCAATTTTCCTTTCAGGGGCAGCTGTTTATAGAAATGAACAGTGTGTTGAGTCTGAAAATGTCATAATAGAGATAACTGAGGTGTTTCTTCTCACCTTAAATGAACCACATGTGCTTTTTGCTGGTTTTATTAAGTTCATACTGTTACAATTCTAAACTTTCCCCCCCGAAAACCAGCTGGATTTCACTAAAGAAACTGGCAACCCAAATGAGAGACTTATGTGATTCTGGTCACTGACTCAAAAATAATGATATATAAATGAATCAATCCATATTAAAGCTGTGGTACCAAACTTTCTGTTGGGGCAAAGACGTAAAATGTTGTCAACAAATCAATCCATAATATTCTATTGTCAGAAAACACTCGCACAGGATCCAAAAGAGCCCTGTGTGTCACGATTTGGGTCAGGGCTGATTGTCTGAGTGAGGGTGGTCATCTCTTTTTCATTTTTTGTCTGAAAAATCTGAACTAAAGATGTGATAGAGCATTTGTGAGCTGGTGGTAAACTAGTGATACAACCACCCTTGAAAATTAGGTGAAAAAGCTCATTTGAAAATTAGGTAGCCCAGCTTTAACATTTTGATAAGAACAGCTACCTGTGTTTATGATGTGAATATGTTTACCTCATGTTTGGGGACAGCCATATTTATACGATGAGATAAACTTTTTAACTGTTTGCACATTACCTGTCTATTTGCACTCCCTGACTGATCTTAATGAAGCTAATTGTGACATGTACATTTCTCCATTGTGAGATCAATAAAGTTAGATCTTAACTTATATACAACGTACACACCTCACAGGTCAGGCTATGTATACATGCGGTATACACAGATACGTATATACTGTATATATTTGTATACCATGCACCGCAAAGGCTCAAATCCTCACAGGGCACAACACATGTGTAGGCAAACATGCAGAGCAGATTACTGAACAAAGCAATAGGAAACAATGGCAGATTCTTGTTCAGGCTTCACACAGCTACTCATGTGCTCTCATTACAGACAGCTCTGCCAGAGACGCTCCAACCCAGCGGGCCTCGGTCCAGCCCCTCAGCACTCATCTCAGGCCGGACACTGTTTCACATTAGCCAGGGAGCACTACAGGCGCATAACACCCCTTGATGCTTTGAAGCCAGTGCCAGGTTTGAGTCCATAAGCCTATTCCTGGCACTGGGTGAATGGCTTTGATGGACATAGACGGTGCAGGATACAGCTCTGGTCTAGTACTGATTAAATAAAACAGGGAAGCAAAACCCACCAGAGTACCAAGAAATTATGAAAGATTCTTTGTGAATGGGTGAACTCTGAGCAAGTTGAATTCTAGTGTCGAGTGTTTAGAGGCTACTGTGTTCTAAAGTCGTATGTTGTAATTTAGGCTTTGATGCAAGCGCCAAGGAAGTCTGTCAATATAAACATTCTAAATTCCAAAATGGAGAAGAGAGGTAAGAGAGGAATACAACTTTGTGCGGAGTTTGTTCAGTAACATCTCGTAGTACTGAAACTTAATTTTACTTTTACTGTTTTAGAACTATTTACTATTGCAAACAACATCTTGATACAAGCTCTTGCAAAATGTGGTGCTCTAAAAATATTATAACAGTGTCTTAGATGAGCCCTTTAATGACAGGCTGCTTTCTTAAAAAAGACAGAAGACCATTTAGCTTGTATAGCACAATGCATACAAGAACTGCAGTTAAATGTACTCAACAGCAGTCGAGACAGGTGTAGTGATTGTTGTTACGGCAAAATCAAAATCAAAGATCAAATCACAAAGATATTTCACAAGTAGAAAGTGACAGGGTATTTTTACTTTTATTGTATAATCTATATCTCAGACCCAAAGTCCATTTAATTGCTTGTTAGACAATAAGATGTTCACAGTACGCAAAGGCCACTTTTCTCAAGCCGAGGATTCAGCCACACAGCAGAACGAGCCTCCCCTTTGGGTTGCCAGTTTCCTTGGTAAAATTCAGCTGGTTTCATCCTCACCTATAGTACAGCAGCTGCAGCACATGAAGGATCAGAGCTACAAGAGAGTATGTGTGTTCTGATCTACATGCAGGTAACAAATGGTTTAAGTCACATTTCACACCAGTAAGCGCAAAAACTACATAAAAATCCAATCTCCATTTGACTTAAAACACAGCAGTAAAATTGTTAAACTCTCACTGAAAGTTCCTGGATCATGTCTCTATCTGAGAAAGACATGGAGTGCTTTCTAATCCCGAAACCGCTTTGCACTTCTATCTATTCGACCTCAGCGGTTTAAGCTCAACAACTCAAGCTCGATATTCAGAATTAGCCCAACAAAAATGTGTGTGAACAGAAATGAAGTTAAACCCCGTCTTGGAAAGAGGCTGTGATGAGTCAACACAAGAAAAAGCTGAGAAAAGTTACATATTTTTTTCTTGTCACACAATTACCGCGTGTCTATGATTCTATTAACATGCAGCTCGACTATGTAACCAGCTGTCAACAAGATCAACAAGCCATTTTTGCATTCGCAGTCTGGACATTGGGCCGAGTTAAGTGGCATTTTTCCCTAGCAGCTGACATTTGCTAATGGAATACATCTATAACGCTGAGAAGGAGCCTGGTGGCAGCTCTATGTGTGGTGATTTATTAGCCCCGATGTGATCTTTGTGTTTTGGGGCGCGGGGGGGCAGGCTTGTTTACATAGATGTATCATGTTCTGCTGATGAACGGGCCGTGTGCGTCTCGATGCAGTGATGGAGCAGGCGGTTCTGTTATTCCAAGGGCGGCCTGGGCGTGTGTGACAAAGTGACTGCTGTGGTGTTTATATGCAAAGGTTGTTGGACGTACCTCGGCCAAGCGTGTTTTCTTTCTTGTCTTTCAAGCTCATGGCTAGTGACGCGCCCTCTGGGATCTGCAAAGGGGAGGAGAGAGGGAGAGGGGGAGAGCAGGGGGGCAAAGGTTAGCCGGGGAATATCACATCAAATGGCCTCTAGGGGGGGCCGTGATGAGAGTCACACATGTTTGGTCGATCGGTGTAAATCGACAGGGGGCCGACTCGGATTGTTGACGCGCTGTTGTGGTGAAATGGATTGGGCAGGCGTACACAAATTGTTTTGTTAAGATGTGGTCTTGATTTAGTATCATTTCAGTATTAAAGCTGGTTAGGGTTACTTTTAATGTAATACATGTTATTTGTCCCAACAGAAAAAGTAAACTATTGTGAACAAATCAGACCAGATCCTTTCAGAAATAACATATTATCTTTTGCGAACCCTGTGAGTCACTATTTGATGCTTCAGGCTGAGAGCTGATTGGTTGAGCAAGAGTGGCTTTCTCTTCTTCACTTTTCAGTCTGAAAAAGATGATCTAAAGATGTGAAAGAGGCCAAAAAATGGTTACAAACTGGTGATAAATTCAAACTGTTTTGAGAGCGAGAAACTAGTCAAATGTGTTTCATTACATTGATCAATTTGTTGTAGTTTAAACGTTAGGTCCCCCAGATTTACTGATATTGGCTGAATCCTTAAAGGTGCATTGGGATACTTCTGCTTCCCAATTGTTGCCATAGTTACTTTGCTCACAATGTCCCACAGTTTAATCACAATATCTTCAACGTTTAATGGCAAACCGGTAGCACAGCCAAGTGAAGTCCCTTTTAAAACGGTTGGTTTTTATTTTAGTAATATTATTTTCATGTTTGCAGCTAATGCACTCTGCTTGACACCAGGAAAAAAAGTTGAGCGTGAACAGCTAATGGATATCAAATTTGTTGGTGAGTTGCCTAAATTGTTTTTGCCCTTTTGAAAACAGCAAATATCAGGTCAGGGATTCTAAGTGGTAGAATTGCTCCTGGTGCAAAGACCAATCCCCAGTTGGATTTTATTAGACACAAATATGATGATATAACTTCTTTTAGTTTACCTTTATTATGATAAAGTTGGAGATTTTACACTTCTTTCTCTATTATGCTTAAGTTGGATATTTGTGTTTCATTTTGGCATAGCGTTATTGTTCAATTAAACTTATAATAATAATAATAATTGAACTGTCCTGTAATTGGTGATGCACTGAAATCTCCCCACTGTGGGAAAATAAAGGATCTCTTAGTCTTTATCTTTATCTATCTATTGTGGTGTTGTTTTATCAATCAATCAATCAATCATGTATTTGTATAGCACAATTCGTGTTCAAGGCAATTCAAAGTGTTCCAAAAGAAAAAAAAACACAAATCAAAATGCATTAAAAAAGTTAGTAATTATACAAGTTTTAATTTGTTTGCATTTGTCCTGACTTACACTGTGCTAAGGAAAGTCAACCGGAGCCCATGAGCTGAAGCGGCCAATGGGGGGAGAGCGATTAGTGCTGAGGGATACATATGTTTGTCCATCGGCAGGAGACAAACTTGGCTCATTAAAGTTGAGACTTGGTGAAATGGATTGAGCAGCCTCTTCCAGTGAACCCCGGTCTGTTACACGCTGCGCCTCATCGCCTTCACAGCTCCGGCCCCAAGGAGAGGCTTAAACTAAACACAGCACTTAGCGAGAACAGGTAATGGGGCAACGGTCAGAGGTCAGCTAATGTCTGTTTATCCATGTGCAGATGAACGGGGACATATGCAAACACACGTAATGATGTCCACAAAGGAAAGCCAAAAACATAACACTAGGAGGGAGTTTATTTTTCCTCATGAGTCCAAATTAGTTGTAATTTTTATTGCTGATTAAGGGATTGGCCATATGGTTTTAGAATAATACTGACTAATGCAATGTAAATATGATATGTTTTTGGGTTTGATGTCTATGATTACAGGAATCGCCAAAACGCTCTGAAGGAGAGAAGTTGGCTGCTTGACTTCATTTCAATATACTGTGGAACAAACTCTGTTGATTTAACCTTTTTTTGAAGAAAAGAGTAAACTTATACTGCATTGTCCCCGCAGGGAAATTTGTCCTCTGCTTTTGACCGATGCCGCAATGCCACGGGGACCAATCTCCAGATGTTGATGGTCAGGAGCAAAGCTAAAGGATTTTACCTCTTGTACACGTTTATAGTGGTAGGGGAAACTGGAGCACCCGGAGGAAATCTAAACAGATGTAGAGAGAAGCCTCTGTTCTCTTTAAATCTATCAGGAGAGACTTGAGGAGAGTGCAACAAATATGACTAGACATGGATAAGTTTTACAAGCATTAATTGTTTTTTTTAGCACAATAGCAAAACATTTTTGCATGTGTCATACGTTTTAAATTTTATCTAAATCTAAATCTTCATTATAACCAAAGGAACCATGTAAATAAACAGCAGGAGGCTCCCCACTAGGACAAGCCCACACACATTCAGAACAGACACACAAAAAACTGTTATAATATCTGCTGATATTTTGACGCAAAAGAAAGCACTGGGGCCTCACTTTATATATTATGCTTTGTCAAACCAGTTTGAGGACTTCACAAAGAGTCAACTGGCCTAATATTGAGTCATAATGTTGAATTTTATACCCCATCTGGAGCTTTCAGAGAATCTATGATATTGATTTTAATTTGCACCAACTAGCATTAACTGAAGTATAAATAGATGTTTGTAGGCTATTGTCTGGCATGTCAGAGATTATAGACTGGTCTGGAGCTCGCACAAAGCGCCAGTGAAAGTGGAGCCAGCCCACCCACAGAGGACACCATTTACAAGGAGTTCTCACCTTAAGCCTCCCGCTGCTGCTGTTAGATTGTCAGGATATACAGACACAACAGATGACAGAGACACACGTACGTACACACACACACTTACGTACGTACAGACACACACACACACATATATTCACACCTGGTAATGGAAGACGGTGTTCAGCTTCTTCCTGCTATCTTCCATCACTGAGGAGTTGTCCAGGTCTTGCAGAAGTCGACTGTTGCTACCGGAGTCGAACCACTCTGATAGACGGGCAGAAAAGTGAGACAAAATGAGAATGTGAGAGCTGGTGTTTCACTAACTCATACAATTGTTCTTGAAAGTTCACACACCCAACCAGAGATGTCATTGTTTTGGCCATATTTTGGACATTATGCATGCAAACACTATTATTCTTTTCTCTCATACTGGTTGTGTGCAGCACTATATGTCAGGATTAAACCACCTATACCATGGTCATAACACTCATAACATGTATAAATATATTGTCCTCTAAACTTTCAAAGTGAAAGAGTGCGTTAACATTCATAATAAACTTTCAAGCACAGATGAATGGAAAAATGAATAAATATTGATAACAAAAATAAAAATAAAAACAGAAATAGCATACATCAAAAACAAAAGTTGATTTCAAAAAGATGAAAATATTCTAGCAATGTGGTTTGTGATTTCTAATATTAACTTGATAACAAATATTCTTTTTGTTCCTTTTGGCAAACAAATGGAGTTTGATTCTTCAAACATAGTGTGGTGTTATTTGAAGGTCATTTGACGGGAAATTCCCAAAACAAATTTGGTGGGAATTTCCATGAAGCCTAGTGTAAGAATTAACCATGTCTCACCAAAGATCATTTAGACAAAAGGAGTGGGAGGATTTGTTTTGATTTGTATCAGAAGTTTCTGATATTGCCATGGATGTAGACTAAATAAAATACAAGTCTGGTTTGGATGAGGGAACATGATGGAAATGTAAAAGATGAGAAAAATACAAAAAATATTGCTACTATTATTGACCTTTATTCAACCAGGAAAGTCCCAAAAATATTTGAGAATCTATTCAGGGGAGTCCTGGCCCCAGAGTGAGGGAAGCTATTGTACATGGTTTTAGTGGTATGGGAAACCGGAGCACCTGGAGGAAACATATAGACACGAGTCCAAGCAACCAAGAAAAGCCCTGTCTGGAGGTCAAATCAAACTCAGGACCGTCTAGCTAAAAAGTGAGAGTTGCCAACTTTTTCAGCCACCTTTCCGCCCAAAAGCTCAAAACGGACCATTTCTAATAAGTCAATAATATGTGTCCTTTAACAATGACATACTTATATTCATGAACTTTCCACCCACTACCTATCAACATAACTGGATTTGGGAGTGGCAGGAAAAGAACATTGGCTTATCCCTTGCAATTGATTTTTACTTTGACCTTAGCGACTGAAACAAATGGATAATGGAAATGATATTATAATTTCCTCAAAAGAGTTTCATCTTAAATTTGAAACTAAGTAGAGAGAAACAAAGAAGAGCAGTCGGGCACTAACTGTCTGCGCCGCGAACTGTGGAAATATTCCCTGGCCATTAATCAAATCAGCTCTGGGGCTCCACGGATTTTGAAAGCAATAACTCTTTGTGATTATGACTGTACACCCTCCTCAATGTATTCTGTCATTTATTATATTGCTGCCTGGGGTTAGTTGAGCTTCATGAGGGGGAATTGACCTTTTGCGAAAGAAGATTACTATATCTCATACAAGGTGGCTGGATGGGAAGGATGAAAATAATCAGCCAAAATGTCCTCTGCCTCTTACCCAAGTCCACGTCCTCTGCTCGAGGCCACTGTGAGAATGGCAGGTTTTTATAAAAGGCCTCTATGATTTTTTCCTTCACTTGGCAGATTGTGTCTGTGTTCATGACCCTGACGCACAGAGAGTCCATGCCGCAGCCTTGGAAGGATACATTGATGTTCTGCAAAACAAGACAAAAGCAAAGCAAAAGTAAATATCAACAATCATGGAACTGGCAGTCCTGTATTAAGGTTAAACTTTAGCCCCAGGGCAAAAAGTTTGGATGGAGCCAGGCTAATGTTAACCGCCAGAGGTCAAATGGTCCTACAGGTTTGTTCGCAATTAGTGTGTATGAAATCGGAAAACATTAACTCAAGATTTGGCATGAATAAACTTCCGAGATAGTAAGAAGAGCCAGTGTATGGGCAGGGCAGTTTAAGTTTTTATTTTATTTAATATTTTTTATTTAACCATTATTTAACCAGGATAAAATCCCAATGAGTTTAAAAACCTCTAGATGTACATTTCTAGCTGTATACAGGGTCTGTGGTCACTATTCTACTTTTCTTCATATCCTTCAATCCTTCCTCTGCTGAACACCTGAACCCTTGTGTATCACCTTCACTGGCCGCAATTAAACAGTGCCTCAAAGTATCTGCATGAAGCTGCTGTTCGTGCAGCAACCTACCTCCTCATCTTCACGTTTCACCAGTGAAAGAAAAACTTTTCATGTTGTTGGCGCAACCTCCACCACCGCCAGGGTCTAGACCCAATTCTTCCCCCAAATGTCATGCAGAAAGGCGGCCAAACCTTCATTTTTTCTAAAATGCAGTGAATCCCTTTGTACCATATCATAGTCTAAGTGTCTTCCTAGATCAAAACATATTTATCAAGTCATTACAGTTCAAATTACAAGGATCGGTTTAACAAGTCCGCACACTTATTTATTCAGTTCTGCCATATCACTCTGCACTCTGCCCCCTTATGTGACATTAGGAGAAAATAGAAATTGCTGACATCACCTTAAAGCAAAAATGTACAGGCAATATTGCTGAACTTTACACATATAAGCCATTCGGGGGAAAAATAAACAACAAAGTAAGAAAGACAGTAGGTGTGTTGCTGTGGCAGTGGTCAGAGGAGCCAAGGGGAGTGAGACAAGTCGATTTCACATCTTATGTCCCCTTTAATAAGATAAGATAAGATAAGATTGCTTTATTTATCTCACAGAGGAGAAATTTACATGTCACATTTGGCATGGATAGAGACACTCAGATTGTGCAAAGGGAGGAAATGTGCAAACATGTTACATGCATGTTACATAATAACAGTACTATAATGAAATAAAGCATAACACAGTTGGCATATTTTCATGTTGTTTCGCTGTTTGAAATGAGAAGAAAAAGAATAAATTGTACACTCCATTAGAGTGTAATAGGCCTAATAATACCTATCACTGATCTTGGATTCTGCAGAATAGTCCTAATAGTCAGTTTTATGGCCCATTAGGACGGTTACATGAATAATCGCTGTGTCTGGCACTGGCTGTTCAAGGTCAGTGAGTGAGTGTGGTGCTGACCTGCGGCTTGGCCTCAATATTCTCTCGCAGAAGCCATTCCTCGTTCAGGGTGTAGCGCGCCTTCCCTGTGATGGCGTCTATCGAGCCCTTGTTGATCTGCTGCTTGATTGCACAGAGCAGCAGGAAGAAAGGCTCGCCCACTGTTTCCTGCACGATGTGGACAAGAAGAAGCAAAGGAATTTATGGGATAATGCTAAAGCCAGAGACTGAAGAATTTGCCATAATATTAAGATTAAGTACAACTTTTTAGTAAGATGGCAAATTTAAGTTTACTATATTGAAAATTTAAATGGTTTTCCTCAGGGAAGCTGTTTCCCAAGTCTGGATCACTGTGTGTGTCCCATTACTGATCAAAATACATACACAAGTATAATGGATAACAAATTATCACCCCATATAATTGACACACAATTAATTTTTTCAACATCAAACATGCAAATACAGACACACTGACACAAAGAACAAAACACCACTAGCAAAATCTTTAAATCAACCCGTATATCTAAAAACTTGATACAAATCACAAAATGCTTATAATGTGGACAATTTTTGAGTCCCCTCTGCAGTGGCATTATTCTCTTTGCAGATTACACTTGATATGCAATATAATAGTTACATTTTTTTTGTTTTTATGCACCCATAACAACCTTTTCAACTTAAACGAATTAGGATATTGTGCTCACCTTGAGGTAGCTATACATGCATATAGACATCCAATTGGTCAACATTTTCTCCACGACAGACTCCGTTCTACGAAGCATAAGTTTTGGATTTTTGGAGGCCGAGGCATCGATCAAATCCACGAGCAGATCCTTCATGATGCTGGTGTAGTACTCCAGTTTACCATGAAGGGCAATAGTGAGCAGGGACGCCAGGCTGCATCTGGAATGTGTGAGAAAGAGAGAAAGAGAGAGAGAGGGAAAGAGCGAGAGAGAATTATGTGACCATTGAGAGAAAACACGCTCTCACAAACATACCCTGACAGCGTGTGGTCAGTGGAGATTTAAAAATAACAGCAGCCCTGAGTCGTCCCGGTTGCACCTGTGACAGAAGCCAAAAACAGCTCTGATGTAATGCAGGGAGCGAGTGGGCGAGGCGGGTCCAGAGGTGCAGGGGATTTCCCGCACAAAGTCCCTACTAATCCACGGCAAACAGACTGCATCAATCAGGAAGTGCTGACTCCTGGGATGCGACGAGGATGTGGCCTTCAGATGGGAATTTTTTTCTTTGGATCACCGCGATGACACAATGAATAGGCTGACGATGTTTACTTCAGGGCTGTGTGCAGTAGGCTTTGTTGCTTTTAATAACATGTTATGTCGACTTTGCACTCACTGACTCGTTTCATATTCACTGGTATTCTAGATTTAAAGAAGACAAAACATGATTTTTCCAGCAGCATACAGTTAATCCATTACACTTGTGGCTCATTACGTCTTTAGAGCATTGTAAACATCAAACAATAGCCTCATTCCCACTCCGCAAAAAACACGGGCTTATGAGAACACGGGCATGAACATGTTAATATGGCTCCATGTGGATGATAAACTTTGGGTAGTACATTATGATCTGGTTCCCTGTGGTCCTGGGTGCACAGCTGTGTCACTTTAGACTCATTTTGAAAGTCAAAAGTTTGTTAGAACCCTTTTATTTTTATTCATGTCCCCGTCCTTCCTGTGGTGAAAAGCCGACAAGGTCTAAACAACGCCGACCTTTCCCACTGTTGTCCACGTTTCAACACTTGTTTAACAACACAGTGCCATCAAATACAAATTATACCAAAAAGTAGAGAATTTATTCAATGAGCTTTTAGTCTATTTCTCACCTGTCCCGTACAGCAAAGTCCTTCTGCTGCTCCAGCGCGTGGACGAATGTGACGAGAAAGTGCTTATTGTTGAGGAGAGTGGAGAACATAGTGATGCCCTCCTCTATGTTAGGTTTGGTTGTCTCGTTACACTGAAAAAAGGAGACATAGATATATATATATTTACACTGAAACAAATTAAAGAATTTATAGGACAAGAAAACTCAACAATTACTCTAGTAGTCATCTTAGACTTGGCCCAAAGTTGTACAAAACTGATATCATATCTAGGGTAACTGAATTTCAAAGAGTAATAGGACAAATTATCCACAATAGTCATTTGACCTGTCACTAATTCTCAAGAAAACCTTAGTAGCTGTAAGTCAGTCAAATAGTGACTTGCAAGTGTCTTTCAGTGATGACCACAATGATAGAAGTGAGATTTTTGATTCTTGAACATAAACTTTAAGTGGGACTAGAACAGGAATAAATCAAGGTCAAATTAGAAAATTAAAATGCATATATAAAACAAGAATAAAATACTTTTTATATAGGAAAATGGGCCTTTCCGGGAGAGGAAAACTCTGGGGTGTGATGTTGAGTGACTACAAGAAAGCGCGTACTATAAATCTACACAAAACCGACCTGGGTGCTCTGGTTTCTGCTACGACTAAAAACATGTGTGATCAGAAGAAAATCCTCCATCAACACCTGGAGATGGGTCTCCAGGTCCTGCACTGGGGCGACCACTGCTCCAGACACAGGCCCTAGTGGCATTGCAGGATGGGTCAAATGCAGAGAACACATTTCCCTACAGGGATCATTAAGTTTGCGTAAACCTAAACCACCTATTCAAACTGAGTCATTAAAACAGAAACCAGCAGAAGAAGCTTGTGCAGACGGGCACCACCAGTCACACCCACTCCACCCGTGCATTAAACACCTGCTGGGTCCTCCTAATCTCCTTCATGCCAGTGCATTATTCATTTCTCCATCACACGCTGCGTTAGACCCCTTACTATTGTGGTCGGTCTCTACTGCATCACTGCATCTCCTTCTTTGGGTCCTCCACAATTGTCTCTAAATGTGCAGAGTCGACTTAATGAGAATGGTCTATCTATGGCGCGACTAAGCAGAGGTGGTGATGAAGACTTCCCCCTGGACCGCGGCCATATGGTGCGGTTTTGGAGGCTGACAGAAGGAGAGCAGGGGTGTGTAGTAAGATAAATGCCCGCCTGCGAGATTTATTTGCTGTGACCTGGAAAACACTTCCTGGGAAGACGATGTGGATCCAAAGCACTTCATCACTGTTAGACAAGCTCCCCCGGCTGCCGACCTAAAACAGGCACCCGCAATCGTTACGTTCTCCCGTGCGCAACCTCGCGTGCGCACATGCCTTCCCCTTTGTTGGCCGTTTCGGCACAGAGGTGTGTGAAAGTGCATGGCCTTTTACCGCCTTTCATTTAGGCCGTCGTTTATATTTCCGTGAGAAGGAGTTGAGTTGGAGATTGATGCTGAATTTTTCCGTGGGAAGTGTGTGTCAACAGCTGTCAGCAACTTAGCGGGCAGCGAGGTGTTAGACAAGCAGGTTTCAGAAAGTCTCACTCAAGAGAAACCACAACACGACATGCAAAAGCAGCATAGTGCTAACACTTGTATTTCTAAAAAAATTCCAACAAAGATAGTGAGTAGTGGGTAGTGCATTACTAACAACCACGCCTGTTTGAAATATAGTTTTGGTTTATTGATAATCATTTATCCTGCAATAATACTTCATGAAAAAAAAAGAATACTGTATATTTCAATCTTAAAAATACAGATTTCCCCCCGCTCCCATCTCTGTGTGGAGTGAGAGGACAAATGCCCACAATTGTAAACCGCTTGTTGACTCTGGTCTGGGAAAGGCGGTATATACATAAAGATTACTTACTTAATCATGAATAGACAGATAGTTTGATGTAATCTCACAAGAAGCTGAATGTTATGACCTGAGTAACAGACTAAAATAATTGTAGTTATGTTATCAAACATTTTCATGATATTGATGAAAAAAATCAAAATCAAAATAAAAAAAAATCACAAATTAATATCAAATAGGCTGCGTTCATGTGACATCACCTCATCCTAAAGAGCCAAAAATAGTAGTGGAGGGCAGCTGAAAAATCTTGGTAACTATGGTAACTGTCAAAAGTATCTACTTTATATGTCATTCCTGGGCCAACCCACATGAAACAACGTTTTTTGTCAGTACATATCAACTATGGACTAATTATTTTCTCATGAAGGTGTCAAGAAGCAGTGACAATATTCAAAACACATATGCAAAATGTTGGCATATAAGATAATATGGCAGGTTTGTGAATATAATCTCTACCAAATAATGATCTGGGATAATATTTTGACATTTTCTTCTTTCCCGTAGACTTGCAACTGAAATAGAAATCTAAAAGTAATTGGCATTGTAGTAGTAGTAGTAGTACAGTAGTATAGTATATCATATCTGACCCATATATGACCCACATCTCTGTCAGTATTTTGTGCTTTTGACTGAAATAAAGGCATTGAGTTAACTGTGTGTGTGTGCAGCCTCCACGCTAAGTCCTAAGACTGAAGAGCTCATAAGCAGAAGTGCACAATGCGCTTTCCCCAAACTTCTTAACGACACAGAACCTGACAAGCCTCAGTGTGACCCAGTTCAGAGACAAAAGGAGTTAAAACAAAAAGTTTCCAAATTAAGGCAGTCTGGCTTAACCGCTCACCTGCCAGTCCTGCAGCAGTGGATGCGTCTCTGGGATAGTTTTAGGCTTCAGCGAATCGTTCTCGTACATGGGAAGAACCAGGGTCTTCTCATAATCCAGCGACATCTGAAAAAGAGGCGCACAGGTTAACGATATGGATGCACCATGAGATGGAGCTGAAACTGATATTTGACTAATTTGGAAATGGGAAAGACTGCGATTGTTGATGACCTATTCACAATAATACAAAATGGGTCAATATGTGTAAGATGCTGTGTTTACAATGATTTCAATGTCATAATAAAATGTGTGCTTCTGGTTGAGAAATTGTGGTTTTCTCAATTTAAGTGTAAAGACAGTTTACACTAATGGCACTTTAATACATTTCACATATAATGCCAACCAGACAATGGAGCTGCATAATATTTACATTTACAGTGCAACAAAAGCAATCATGTTATATTGTATTGATCTTTATGAAAATGTACACTGTAAACTTTGTATTCGGGAACGCAAAGTGTTAACCATTAGACCACCGATTCGCGCAAAGCAGCAAATTTTGCATCACACATAAACTTATCAGCTGTCTCAATTGTTCAAAGGCGTCCCGATTTAAATCCTCGTTTTAGTCTTTGTTTTGTCATTAATTATTTGAGAGTCATAACAAGACCTTTTTTAGTTATGCGGCCACATGTTATTTTACCACTGAGATTAGTGAGCTGCGCGGAGTTCTGGCAACTCGATCACTGACTTACATGACACTTCCTGATTGGCGAAACAGCGGACAGCAGGACATCAAAATCAAAACAATAACAACTTTTACGGGTCGTAAAAGTAATTTTGATATTCAACTATCTCGGCTGAACTACTGTTATCAGTTAAAGATGTATTCGAAAAGAGCATGATTTAATAACGCCTTTTGAAATATGGGGGACATTTAATGATGCCTTGACATGCAAATATTACATACTGCTACTTTAAATCCAAATGCAAAAGCTGTGGTAATGTTAACCCTATAGGTGCCTACATTGTCCCCGAAATTTGACGTGACGTGAGCCCGACAAAAGCAGAAGCCTTGAAACTTGAAGACTACTAAACAATTAGGTAAAACATTATAGAAAAATATTTTATGTTCTAGAAAGCATGGATTCAGCTGCTACTTTGGCGTCAAAAGGGTTCACACATATTCTCCCTAAATTTAGCATCATATTTTTGCACCCCTGTTTCTGAGACTTTGCTGCAGATTTACGGACTGGAACAGAATGGCTGGATTTCGTGTGACTGACCATGAAAAGGAAACATGAGTGCGTGACACTGACAGTCATGAGCTGTAATGGTTTTGCAGGAAAATTGACTTAAAGCCAAAAAGAAGCACTCAACTCAATCTGTCATTTCAGGGCAGTTACTTTTGGCTCGTTTTCAAACTGGTCCTTCACACTTTTTTGTCAGCAAGTAATTGGCTGGGAGACGGGCTACTGTGAAAAAACAATGGCATGTGCAGAACAGCAGACGAATGGAAATGATGGTAACAACAATACTGGTAATTTAAGTTGACTAAATTTGGATTTTTATGTTATTTTCTCTATATCACTGCTGCGGCTTGTTAGTTGCTTTCAGGGTTTAAATAGGAGACAAGCTATATTAAACTTATAGTATGATAAATCCTTTTTTTAGTAATTGTGCGTCTCCTGCCTGGCCAGTATTGTACCATAGGTAAATAAGATGCATGCATAAGATGAAAATCCGGAAGTCTTGTGAGCCCATCAAAAAAGAAAAATATGAATGAAAAAAACATTCTTACTGTATGTCTGCTGTATAGTGACACTTAGAGAAGCCATTTAGTAGGATTTAAATCTCAACCTTGATGTAAAATGTGGTAATAAAAGAAAGGTCAGCCCATTTCCATATTCAATCCTGCCATACTGCTCTGTGCCCTGCCCCTTTACGAGACATCAGTATAAAGATGGGCATATCAAAGGCTATAGACAAATCAGAAAAATGACTGCACAAAACTGCTGAATCATCCATTTGTCTCATATTCAGAAAGGAAAATCTAAGAACAAAGTAAGCACTGAGGGCGCAAGGTGGCCCAATGGTTAGAACTAATGCCTCACATCAAGAAAGTCTTGGGTTAAATTATTGATGTTACAACTCAATGTTTTATTTTATTTCCCTTCGTCTGTTATTCTGCACATGTAAACGTTTTTAGTGGTAGGGCAGCCCAGAGCAAGCTTTACAAAGTTATTGTAAAGTTAGCGCGACATCGCTCTGTGAAGTTAAAACAATGGGTGTGATGAGGTCAGTGGAGTGATAAGAAAAACAATAACAATCTACAACATGTTAAAAAGCAGTATTGATTGTATGAATGTCCCCTTTAATTATTTCTTTAAGTTTTATGCTACATGTTAGCATCATTAGTATAAGGTGTCATCTTTTGACAGCCATTATTTAGCCCTAAAATTTGCAATATACGCAATTCAGTTAGAAATGCGTTGGCGGATTAAACATTTAGCATCCAAGTGCATCTGACTCATTTTCTCCAAGACAATTTGCTTGCTCCCTCAGAAGAGCATTGGCTTCTAGCAGCTTTTGAGCTCCTGAGCACTCCTAGCCTCTCCTTCTAACACGATTATTATTTTTTTCTTATTGTACATGGTATACGTTGTTTGAAAACGTGACCTGAGAGAATAACATGAAAATAAATGAACTACTACTACTTCTTTAAAGCTCATACTTTTCTTGTTGATGCTGTCTCCTTTCAACAATAACAAAAACTCTGTTCAGTTCATAATATCTATGCTTTAAAGCTGTTTTTATACTCAAATAGTAGTTGACGCAGATCACTTGAGTAATAGTATTCCATTACCGGTCCCCTGTGACTTCTGCATTGTCTTTTTGCTGTGTTTGCGGAAAACTTTGGCGAGACAATACCGAGGCTGCAACAGTAGAATTTATGCTTCTCTCCACTCTGCCTTTCAACACTCTCCTCACTCGTTTCCTTCACGACCAGAAAACAGAGCCCAGTGTCCAACAAAACAAGTGAAGTCATGTGCCATTGCTCAAGGATGTTCATTTTCACAACAAGGGGACGGGCGTGTGAGAAAAGACTGTTTAGACAAATCAAGGGAGAGTTTAGTTGTCGCTGTGCCCGACATTGTTCTGTCTGCATCAAACGCAGGTCTGTGGTTCAGAGACAAAAACACTCGCTCTCAGCTGCGTTCTCTTTGTTTTGCCTTCTGGTTTGTACCTTCTGCTGTCGTCACAGTTGAGCGTCTGCCTCATGGACTGTAGTGACTTCCAGCAGTCGCATACGTTGATGTTGAGAACCCACGCGACGGCTTCAAACTGAAGTAAATTATGGTGAAAATGACTATGAGTTTACACTAGCTGTCATTTTGGAGGGATTGTGGTCTTGTGTCTCTCAACAAGTTATGTTTTTATAATCTGTAATTGTATGTAAATGTATGTAACTTTTGTCCAGGACTCCCTTGAAAAAGAGGTTCCTAATCTCAATGGGACTTTCCTGGATAAAAAAAAGAAGTATGACTGTAGAGACTGAAATACTTAAAGCAGGGGAACCAAACTTGTTTCCTTCCATTAACAAGACATGTATTTGTTCTATTAGTGTTGCTATTCACACTCTTGGCAGAAAGATGATTGGCTGAGTTAGGGTGGTCCTCTTTTTTCACTTTTCTGTCAGATAAAGCTGATCTAAAAACAATAATACAATACAGCAACAAAAACAAACTGTTTTATACATCGTAATGTTGTCATATTCTGGAGGATCAAGCGATTACTAATGAATTTAATCTCACAAAACATAGTTGCCTTCTATTGTCAACGCTACAGTTGTTCAATATTTTTTGGTTTTACTTGGATTAAACCAAAACTGGACCAAAGGAAAAAAAGTGCAGTAGTCAGTTTTACAAGTTAATGTTTTGACAAATCATTCCGAATAATTTTTAGTGGTTGTTTTCCAGACAGGAAATGTTTTAAATGAGGCCATGGTGACACATATTAAGTTACAAACCGTATTAGTTTTTGACTATCATTTAAAGCAACAGACCACCAGATTCTGGGGACAACATAGAAACGTGAATGGGGTTGAATATGGCAATTTTATTACATAGTTACATTTTTTTAGTAGTTTGAAAATGTAGTATAAACTACATTGAATGCAACTGCCAAAATAAAAAGAGATCCTTTAATCGTCCCTCAGCGGGGAAATTTCAGCAACTGCATCAGATACATATAAATTTATGTATCTGTCTACATACACATCACAGCAGACACCATTCCTGAGCCACCTCTCCTCCATGTACACAGGCTTAAGCCTGCTGGATATAGTCATTAGTGGTTAGCCTTCCATTGTGTCTGCATTACTGTAAAAAAAAAACCTTCAGCCGTCCGCAGACAGGTTTTACCTCCAGGCAAGATCACCCATCACAAAAGTGCTTACCTACAGAGAACGCATTAGCCCGACTGCAGGGGGCTATAAGTCCACAGTGTGTTCTCAAAGTTACAAGGTGAATTTCTTTGCGACCGATTAGCGTCACTGGGAAATGTAAAATTGCCGTGTGTTTGTCGGTAAGAAATATGAAAACTCCCCATTGAGGAAAAATACCAGTGTCAGTGTGGTGAGATGTGATGAGATAGGAGACAAAAGCATCTTCCTCACCTTGGGGAAGAACGTGCGGGTGACAAACTGTTTGTACTCCAGGAATGGGATGCCCTGGCTGCGATTCAGCTCTTTGGTCAGGTCTGTCATGTCTGTCTGCAGCTCGGCGAAACCTGGCAACGAAAATGATCAAAATCGGTCAGCTAAAACATTATGGCCATCTGCTTAATATGTTGCCTTGAGGCTGGGCGAACAAAACATATTTTTCAGGAATTCTACTATAGCAAATATGAGATGATACAATAGGTCTGTACATGTAAAGTTACTAACTATGTGTTTCATTTTATGTATTTGTAATGTGTTTTGTCATATGTTTTGATATTTTGTATCTTGTATGCATCCAGAAATCTAATTCCATAGAATCTTTTGGCCAGATTTGGGAAAGGGCCAATTTGTTTTTTTTTTCAGCCAATATGATGTTATTTGCTACATTGAAAACCAATTTGATCGTGTATACACTTCCAAATGCAAAAAAAAAAACAGACTATGCTTCTTTTTACAGCTAGGGTGCCTAACTTTCAAATACCCAAAATATCAATTAAATTAAATGTATTCAATGGAATTTACTATTGTATACCCTTTAAATCACAACATTATCTCGGGGGACTTAACAAAAAGTTGAATTTGAAAACATGAAATCAGAGAATCATTCAGTTCAAACAGATAAATGAATGTAGTTTCACCTGAGAAATTGCCAAACACTCCTTTATGGGCAATACTGATCTGAGAGTGAAGTCAAAGTGGCACAATGACATCATACAGGACTGAGACAGGACATTTTGGACAAAAGAAGCAGAGTTACATTTTAGGTGCTAGATGTTCCTCATATTAGCGTGCATGGGAACGCTAATGGGAAAACAAGGGTCAATGATGTAACGTAACAAATGATTAAAGTAGATCCGTATTATGACATTTAAACTTAAAAGAATTGGTAATACTTATTTGATGGTTTAGTGTATGCTGTCTACTCGCTTCACCCAACCCCCATGCTTGTGCATACTTTAAACACTTTTGATCAAAATCCTGGACTCTGCAGCCTTCAACCCTTGTAAAAAGAAAAGTATTCTGAAATTCTTGCTCAATTTTAACTTCCTCTGTCACTCCGAGGACACTTTGTTCTCTCGTGCCCAACACTGTACGTCCCAATCTTTGCTAAGTGGATGTTCCCTGTCGTCGCTTTGTCTGTCAGTACTCCAGATTGGTTTATTTCTACCAATGGTCCCCAGTGGTTTGTTTTTATTTGTGGGTCCATGGCCTGCTTTTATCTGGTCTGGGACAAAAGCATTACATTTCCTCATGATGTGAAAAGCATGTGCCTGTCTTCTGATTACAGAGGAAGAGATTTCAGATCTGCAGACGCACAATTGTATCATTTCATTTTCCGGATCCCCTCGGTAGGTTCTGGTTGAAATGCTAAATAGTACGCCAAATGCAGACGGCCTGTGATCTATCTCCTTCCTCTTCTGCTGCCAGTCGCTCCAATTGCGGTCCAATACAACACAAATATTTATCGCAGGACAATGCGGCAGGAGTGAAGCCAAATCCGGAATGAAGCCGTCTTCCAAAACAAAACATGGGTCCAGGCTGAGGTTTAGAGGGAGAGGGTGAGAATGTTTCCAGACACATGAATCTGCATGCAAATCTCGACTCACTATGTTGCTCTAATTAGACACAAGAGATCACTACATGGTAATACTGCTGAATGAGAGACGTTTTTGGGTTGCATCAGGCCGGTGTGTGGACTGAAGCTGGACGCAAGAGGCTGGATCACAGTGTTAGGCAAGAATGAAATATTATGTTTGCAGATGAGTCAATTAAACCATCCTTTGAAGACCATGATCAGTCATTTGTATTAAAGCATGGTTTTCTGCCATTTGTTTTATATTTACACTGGAGCTCTCAGAATTATGAAACTACTAGAACTTTCAGAGCAGTCATTTTGACCACTCCCATTCAAATCAATGACATTCTGAAAAGTGAGTGAGTTTACTAAGGCTGGCTCCAGCCGGACTTTAGCCCCACCTAAAGTTTGGCTGGAGCCAGGCTAGACTCAAGCATCAGTTTTATTGAAATTTAAGTTTGTAAAAAGGCAAACTGGCAGCAAGTAAACAGTATGTTGCTATGGTTACTTGCGCTTAGTCTTCTCTACGTCTCTCCTCAAACTTTAAGATTAAAGATAATTTCATAACAAAAGAATGACGTAGAAAGTAACTTCATGTAGGAGCAGAAAAGTCACAAAGTTGTGAAGCTCAAAAATGAACATGAGCTGAGTAGTTACACCTTCAAATTGACTGCTCTGCAGTGTTAAGTATAAAAATATGGTGAAACAAGTTTGAAGGGTTAACATTCATTCCCGCTCGTACCTCCCTAAATTCCCACCAGCTTATTCTTCAACAGATGTTAAAGTGACCAGCTTCAGACACAGCCATGTGATTGTAAAAGATAATATTTAAATATATACATTCTTTGTATTGCCATTGTAAAAAACAGGAAGTCACAAACTAGGAATTTGCTTTGACTCAAGGTGCAAAGTAGAGTTACAATTACAGCACACTACAAGGACTGAGACAGGAAACAGAAGTGTCTGATATGGAGGGGACTAAAAACACCTTCGGGTCTGTGTTTGATGATGTTGTAACATGGTAAAAAGTTGATTTTACGTACAATGTCTACAGTTCAGAAGTTTCCACAATAGGTGGAAGGGGACCTGTCACATCAAACTGTCTCGTCAAATAAAATCCAGTGGCCAAAAAACACATTTAATTAACAAGCTTTTAGCATAATCTGTGACACCCGGCTCATTCTTATTCATTAAGTACATCTGAATTCTCAATATTGATTTAAAACCACCGTAATAAAAGAAAGAGTTTATATTCGCTCCCGTCTGATGTCAATGAAATGTAGTCATATCGAAGGCTCGGCTCGACTGCAAATCAACTCAGCAAACAGCGGTTCTGATTTAAGGAAGAATGCATGTGGAACGTTGGCAAATCATCCATGTACAGCTGTTTCTGAAAAATTGTCGAACAAAGTAAAGTAGTGGTCACAGGAGTTAGCAGAGAACAGTGGTGACTCAGGCGTAAATGGAAAGAGCGTACTCAAACGTATAAATTATGAATCTTTTCAGTGTGTAAATGACAAGGCAAATTTGACTACAGTAGAACATGGTCAGATGTTTGTTTAAATATGTTAAAGGGACTGTATGTAAAAGTTTTAGTACAAAATGACCACTTTACCATTTCAAAGCCTTTTTTCAGCCTTTTACTACATTGTTCCCTCCTCAAAAACAGACTTCCAGTTGTTTTAGATCCATGGGTATGTGTTTTTACGTCACTGCTGTTCAATAATACACACTGTCCTGTTCAAATGATAATAAAATCCATGCTAATATCAGGAACTTATGGAACAAACATGTAGCTGTTTTATGTCTTTTTACAACAAATGTTTTGGCAAATCATTTTCAAGTTTGGAAAGAAAACCCCAAATCAACTTCAACTCCCTCTGGTGGTTGCATAAGGAGTTACAGGTGAAAAGCATTTTTTTCCCCGTCTTAATTTCTCAATATATTTTCTACTTAAGATTATATTTCATCTTGATCATGCTCTTTTTAATGGCAAAGAAGATCGTACATAATGTCCCTTTAACAAACAGAAAAAATCCCACAAACAGGCCCTTCACTATTGTATATGTTAGAATACAAGTTTTCTAAGCGTCTATTTTGAAAGTTTATCGAGCTCTTTCACGTTCGCTTCTGGCACTGTACTGGCTTTCATCACTCCCGGGGTTATTTATCTATTGAATCACCCGTCACTTCACACTTTTGATTAGCTTCGAAGGCCTTGAACACACCTCGGTGAATGCCAAAGTCCTCCCATCCCTGCAAACTGGAACACATCTATTGCCAATCTGCTCCTTTTACTCCCCTTTTATCACCTCTTAGCTCCGGGGCAGAGCAGTATACGCCGCTGTTTTGCCCACACTCACCCTGAACTCAAGCCACAAATCTATCTCTGTCCCCCGACTAAATAACCTCGGCCTCCCACGCTCGGCGCTCCTATCTCCCCCTCTCCTTCATTCCTCTTCCCCTATCCGCTGCCCTATCTCCGCTCCATAAATCTGGCCCTTCTCGGATGCAGAGTGGCCTTCACGGCACTTTGCTTTAATGCCCAAGAAGACATGCAGGAGAAGTGGAAGTACTACACGCCAGCGCTCACACCTGCGGGTCCGGCGGAGGGCCTGCGTGTTGCAAATTTAATTGGAGTTGTAGCAAACGTTCAAATCAATTATAACATCGTTAGCAGGAAAACGCACAGAGAAGAGAGTGGTGGAGAAGAGCTATTTAACTGCATGTTTTGCTCTCAGTGGTCTTGAATGAGTCAGTTACAATGATCTTAATGCATTATAGGAAGTATCAACATATCCTTAAGAGAAAATAAATGTGAAAATTCCTGAACTGTCACAAAAGTACAGTTGTGCATTGTAAAAGCTTTGCAAAATGAAATCCCTTTAGTTACAATATATATTCATACATTTTTAAAAACAATAACACACAAATTGTTGAGATGGGCATTCAGAGAACATTTTAAATTAATTAATTCAATGTGGCCCTTTACCTGGAATGTCCCACAGTATGGCATTATTATTGGGAAGATGAAAAAGTTTTTCAAAAGCTAAGCGCCAGTTAGTCCCACCCACACCAGTTCCTGATTGGATTAGTTCAAACTATTCTCCTCCAGCAAATCTTACTGGTGATGACTATTCCTAGGGGAGGGATCGTTTTAAATAGATTTTAAATTATGAACAGTAATCGATTTAGATGATACTACATACAACATTTGTATTATTTTCTAAATGAAATTCCATTGAAGTGGCAGGCATCACCTTTAAACTTTGCATCTATTGACAAGCAAGTACCTTCACTCGGCTGGGCTACAAGTCATATCTGCAGGCAGGCGAGACGAGTCGAAGAATATGGGTTTTTGAGCAGTAAAAACATCTGCAATTGAATAGTTTGATATCATACTGAGTAACATTTCAATCAAAGCAAATCGAGTAACAATCAGCTAAGCACAGTGTACCTTCAATTGCCATATCTAATGAACCCTTTTCCAATTTGATGTTAGTTGGTTCAATGATTATACTTTTATTCCTCATCGATGCGAATGCAGAGGGCCTTTTGTGCCTGGAGAAATCTCAAGGATTTGATTAAAAGGAACCAAAGTGGATGTGTATAGAATTTCTTATAGGTCCAAGACGACGGCGCAACAGATCTGATATGAAGAGGCTATTGGAGCTGAGTCTGCCTGTGACGGATCATTTGTCAGGTGCGATGTTTTATGAGTCACGCTTACTAGACACAAATCTATCAACAGTGGCAGATCCCTCCCTCCGCACTCTCTCAACCACATCACAACAAAGAAACACATTTGGTCGATATTAGCTTGACAACGCCACATCATTCCAGATCCAAGCAGACTTTGATAGTAAATACTCCCAAAGAATAAGGAGATTTTGTTTGTAGGACGCCAACGTGAGTGCTTTTGCCTTTTGTTTTGAGTTGCGTACCTTTACGGATCTCTTCTCTGATCTGGGACTCCATCTCTTCCATTTGGAGTAGGGTTTTCTGCCAGTAGCGCTCTGCCCTCCGGCTTTTTGTGCAATATACCACGAGCGCTGAGAGGAAAACAAAGAGACGTGAGGAAAAAGATATTATACAGTAGCAACTTCAAAGGAATGAAAACACAGCGTCTCGTAGCATGAGGGGCTCTGCGGCGGCAGCAGTGACATAATAATTAGACTTAGATAAACGCTATTGATCCTCATGGGAAACCGCTTGGAGGATTTGGGCAGCTGGACATTTATTTCATGTAGTTACACCATATGTTTTAAGAGTGATGTCGTAGCAGTTTGGCGTCTTCCCAGCAGATTGTGTCCTTGTGTCATATTTGAACATATACAGATAAATATAGTATTGATTATTAATGTTTATAATGCATTGTGTGATTGTTTCCATCTTGTTTTGAGTTGCCTTGTGTATGAACTGTGCTATCCAAATAAACTTGCCTTGCCTATTTACTATTCTAAGAATCTAAGAATTCTAATCACAACCAAGTGTGTTGGGCCTAAGAAGTACTGTAGTTATAAAAGGAAACATCCTGGAGCAACACTCTACAACAATATGTATATTATATCATTTAGACAAAGCAGTAAAATGCTTTGTCTCGAGGGTTTTCCATCGAAGAACAAGTTTTGAAAGTAGAGATCTGGACCAAGTTTTCAGCATTTTTCACTTCTGATCTGAGGAAAATTATTCTGGTCCGGATAACAACTTTTGAAACTTGTATTAGCTATTGAACAAATGCAGAGTGACTGTTGGAGGCCAATGGTAAACAATATTATTGATGCTAACAAAGTGGAGAGAAACGAGAAGCAGTGGAGGGGGGTGCCAAGGGAACCACTACACCAACAACATGCAGATACAAAAAACTAAAATACATTTTTGTCAACACCATGTGAGAAGTGAGGGTGCCAAATAGAGTTAGCCATTCTTAGCTAATTAAGAACATTGCATATGTGTAAGAGACCAGGATGGATGCTATGCTAAGATGTTACTCACAGAACAAGATTGCACACACAGGTTGAACAGACTTTTAGTTTTGCTGGGTGTTTCCATTTAGATTATGTCTCATACAATTTATACTTTTTGTATAATGTCTCATATAGTTCATAAGCGCTTTCATACATTTGAAGCATTTAGCATTTTACTTTGGACTAGAGCAGAGAAATGGTTCGAACCAAGTGGCTACTCCACCTTGTGACCCGTCCTGCTCCACCCAGAGGCTACTCCATCTCTTCTGCTGTGACCTGAAGGACTGATTATTACTATTGTTAGCTTTTTAGAATGATCAATTTTACATTTTATTTTCGCTGCTACTGGACACCTGAATTTCTCCTACGGGGATCAATAATGAATCTATCTATCTATCTATATAAATAGTCCAGTCACATGCCATTTTGAATGTTTTACTCCCATCCACATGTTGCTTTTTTCTGAGTAGTCAACCGTAAACTGTGCAATTAATTTGCCAAAAAGAATGAACCAATTATTTCACAAAACCAGGTGCAGTTACAGTATCTTTTTGATCTCATTTGTGTTGTCTTCCATTGTTTACAACATCATATCATTATGGATCAATCAAATACAATAGCTTTGCGTACTATCAGGGAGAATCATGTGCTGGAAACTAGTTAAGCCTTGCCTTTTTGACCTGTATTGTTAGACAGGCTCCAATGTACAATGCTGATATATTGAAAACAGATGCTTGATGGCCCTTCAACAATAGGAAATGGTGCAAATCCACTCAATCCCTTCCGCACAGTCGTCCACCTGCTCCTAACGGCCTGCTCTCAGAGATGACAGTCCCAGTCAGACAGAGGCAGACAGGCAGGCCACAGAGAACACAGGCTCTTTGTGAAGATGAAGCAACCGGGGGACACTCTTTTATCTGCTGCACATCTGGGGCATCCATCGCAACAGCAGCCGCGCAGCCATACATCATAAACGGGGAGCAGGGGTATAAAGATACAGTGAAAGAAAGGATTTTCAAAACAGCCCTGCGTTCACAACTGAAATTGACTGCTGGAAAAAAGTTGCCAGTTTGATTAAAGAGCAGATAATAAAGTTAAAGATTTCAGATGATAAAAACTTTGAATGTGTTTTATTCATCTGTCATCCCTCGTGATATACTGTAGATACGATCTATTTTATATTCGTATAAATATGGTTGGAAAGGCAGCTTCTGAAAAATATAAACAACTAAAAACATTTAAACTATTTCTTAGATTATGAAAAAATGAACGGCATACCGATTACTACTTCAGACAGCACGAGGCACTATTAAGACATTTACCAGTACCCATAAACAAAATTACTATTTAAGGGTACTTTCAGTTCTATGGGTGCTATCATTTACTCCACTGTGTCTTGGTAAACCTTCATTATTACAAATAAATGAGTTACACATTGTGAATTAAATTATAGAAGTAAACCGACTTTTGAACAATATTTTAATCTTCCAAGTTTCACAAATATGAATACACTAATATTAATACACATAGAATATTAATTCACATTCCTTGTCTTCTAGTAATTTCCTTGTGCTTAAAATTAGATTGAGGGTCCTTGGTTGTCACGAACATGCATTCCATTTTGATTGAGACATGTTTTTCACTGAGCTGCTGTGTGAAGCTAACTCACCAACAGTGCAGAGCAAAAGCAGGACACAACACACCACGATGGACACGACGATGGCCAGCTCGCTCCCTCCCTGCTGCACTATGGCGATGGTGTGATGGAAGTAACCCACCTGGATCTGCAAAGAGACAGAGGGGAAAAAACTCACATTTGAACCATTGCATCCCATTTATTAAGCTCATCTTCAAAAGTGTGATTTAGTGGCCACATTTAGACCCCGTTGTACTTATAGTAGAAAGAATAGCGTGCAACAGAAAATGGGCAGGTCTTAATGGAAACAAGTGCATGGTATCTACACTCACATAAATTCTAATGGACGCAGGTGCAGGCACGCTCACAAAAAAGGAGAAAAAAACATGCGGCAGAAGGATTTGAAAAATGGCCTTGCGCGTCGAATGAGCAAGAAGAGCCACACAGTAACCCAGATGCGCTGAGAAAAGGACACACACTTCCCCTTCTGATTAGTCAGCAGGGCCTCTGTGCAGCAGCAGCACCACAGCAGCGCCTTACCCAATCCCAACTTCATGAAAAAGACGGAGAGATGAAAAGCCCCCAATCCTCAAACCAAATCCCTCTTTACATTGGTCCGACTCAGGGGGAGAAGCTGCAGTAGCCTCGCTAGACTCCGTGGCTCTTTCATTTGCACTCTTTGTGATGGCTATATTTATTTAATATATTTACTAAAATGTTATGAAGCGGAATGTCACGTAGAGGTGGTGTAAATGTTACAATTCAGATTTCATGTTTTGTACATGTGTTACATACAAGGCAGTTGGTTCAATAGTGCACTTTATTCTGTGCGTCTAGTTTTATACCATTTATTTGCCATTTGCAGAAACCGTACAGACGTACATACAAAAACACAATACAAATAAACAAACATATATTTGTCTGCATTTCCTTTATTCCTGAATTCATCTTTCTTTGAACTAGGTCTGATTATTCTTTCAATGAATCGATTAGTTGATGATAACGCTAAAGCAGGTTTGAGTGTAAAAAGTATATAGTGAAAGTGTATATTTCATGCCTAGTGCATCGGTGCCCAAACCTTTTAGTAAGTGGACCACTTTAGTTCACCAGACTTGTCCATATTGATTCATGTTGACAGAGCTGAATGACAAATGTTTGCTATCTCACCAGAAACATTAGCCTTTGATACCGGATTTTGAGACACAATCAAAAACAAATGTCAGTATGTACAAATAAAGCCAACGGCTGGATGAAACTGTGAACTTAATAACCTCATTGGCTACTCAGGGATAGCAAGGCAAAGAGCCAGGTTGAAAGCATAATCTTTACCGCTGTAAGTAACGGGCAGTCCCAAAGTAGGACAAACAAAACATTTAAGCAAATTCTTTTTTTCATGTGATTGTTCCTTTGTTTGAGCCTTACAATCACATCTCTCAGCACATTCAGGTCCTGGAGTCTGTTTAGAGAGCAATGAACTATTAATTAATTAGTAAAATAGTTGTTGATTCTTGGAATAGCTCAATTAGTTGCAATTACAGCTCTAATTTGAAGCCATTATGAGTTTATTTAAAACAAAACAAAAACTAAACTAAACAGGAGACTTGAATAAGACCTGCTTCTGTCTATTTCCAAGCAATAACCTATATCAATTAATAAGTATAATACCTGTTTTGAATCATCAATATTAAACAATATTCTGTACTCCGTCTCAGTGCACAATGTGGTCACTACAAAGAACCACAAGAATTGCTAGAAACATTTTTGAGTGTGGAAATGACGACATGACCAGAATACTTTAAAAGGCTGTGATAACGGTGCAGGTTACTGTATGTCCCCATTATAAAAGTTCTCAGTGTTACAATGAAATTATGTGTAAAATGTAGAATGTTGCAGTATATGATAGCAGTAGTAGTGGAAATACAGTACATGGGGATTTTTACCACAATCTTTCACATCTTTCTCTCACAAGTACTATCCCTGTTACTACTTCACCGCTACAACTACCACAACACTTCCACTATTAAAGTCATGTGTGCTTCCATGTTTAATTGATTTTCCAAAACCAGATGAGCCTTGAAAGACGAGTGTAATGGAGGGGAAAATGCCATTGTTCCCAGTTCCTGTTTCTCTTTGGTTAAAAAAAACAGTGCTTCCTCTCCTTGGATCACTTCAGAGCTGAGCACAAACATGCTATAGTATAAATAGAAGTGGCACACACAGAGTAAGCAAGGAAACAAATGGCCGTGAGCAATGCATCGGCTCAACGCATTTATTGAAATGATACAAGCGCTCGTGCACTTTGAAAAACATCCTCTGTGATTGGAGAGGTAGCAATATAATGTAATGACCTACTCTACTGTATACCCAGGGCCCCTACTTTAGAAAGTTAGTGTTAAAGTAGCAGTAGTTGTAAAGATGTCGCTTCAAAAGTTTCCAGTGCAAAATTTATTAAAGCCCATTACCCATAGTGCAATTGACTATCAACGGATTCTTCTTACAACAAATACTACTGCTATGGGACTGTCACATTAGAACATTTCAAAGCAGGATTTATTACCTTGATGTTTTTGCTTGCTTGAAACTGTGTGTATATGACATTAAAGGAGTAAGAGGTGACGGTAGCCCTGCCACAGTAACTCTATCCACTTAGTAGTCAAAATAAAACTATAAATATTGAGCCTCAATCTTTATAATCTGTACAGTTTCTTTTAATTAGTTGGCGATGTTCATTTTTAGCAGTATAAGATTCATTATAACTGAAAAACGTTGTTAAATTGTAACTACTATTGAACGTTGGTGTGGTCGTTTTCATCCTTTTATTAATCCATTTCTGGATTGGGGGGGTGACAATCAAGGCTGCCACCCAATCTTCATAGCACCAGTCCCTCGCTGATCCTCCTGCAGGTGGTGGGTCCACAGGAAGACGCCGGCTGCCAGTGACAACGCAGCCTTGGTCTTTCAGCAGGGGCTTCAGGCCAGTGGGGTTTAAGAGTCTGGCCCAGAGGACCTGCCTTCACTCTAGCCTCCTTCTTTCTGTGCCTCTGCTAATCCACTTTAGCAAGCTGCATTTAAACAGTTCCTAACATTATCTTTACTCAGCTTGTGCCTCAACACAAAACCTCCACCTTTAAACGTGAGACAACCACTTTACGTTTTTGGCTCATCAAGTCAGCTTCTACCACCACCCAGGAGTTTCATGTTCATAATCTTTGTTCAAATTCCCTTCTGCATATGACTATCAAGAAATAACCAATTTACTCCATGGAACTGCAGCGCACATCAGATACATCCTTTAGTCTGCGTCTGTCCAGATTGTATCATTCAAAAGCCTGAGCTGCAAAAGAACAACTCACTAGACATAAACATTCAATCCTCTCCAGCTGAAATCATTTTGTATAAGAAAGCAGGAAGCAATCTCTCAGTTTTTTCAAAGAAAATGTAAGATGATACATAATTGAACCTCATATATTGTTCAAGCTATAATTATAGAACAATAAGTGAATATAGTGATTATTGTGATCAGGACAAACACTCTGCTACTACACCACAAAAGCAGAGCAAGCATGTTTGATAATATTCTGAAACCACTGTGAATGAGAAACAAAAAAATCCACTCACAGCTGTTGACCTAGCCCTCTTAAGCCACTGCTAATTACCTGCATGTTTGTGTAGTGCTGGTCATAAAATAGTGAGATGGAGGGTTAGAAGCAGCCACAGGTAAGAACCATAAAAAATAACGGTGGCATAAAAGCTTTGCTGCTATTTTGGCATCTAAAAGGGGAATGCATTCTGAAGTAGTTACAAGTCAGCGAGCATGCACATAAAGTTGTGAACATGTATTTCCAGCTCCAGAGAGGTACTCTTATTTAAATATAGATGAAGGCTTCTCAGCTAATAACAAGTCACTTGAATGGACAACTGCATCTGGCACACAGGCTAAGGAAAGGACTTTGTTATATAGGACTGTGTGAATTATCAAAGTTATGCTGCATGAAATTGATGTCTGCCCTAATAGATAGTTTGACCTTGCCAATGTAAAAGCATATTTAGAAGCAGGAGGGATCAATGTGACTGTGCTTTTGAGTGATATTGTAATTGTCTAGTGTGCGACTATGGCTTCCTCATGCGTGTGCTGTATAATGCGACATCCAATAAATCTATTAATATACCTTTTCACTGCTCAATAAGGCTGGGTCCTGAAAGAATGGTGCTATAAGCTAAACAGACCGTAGCACATCTGTAATTAGCATTTGCCCCATGTGGGAAAATCATTACTATGTTGGTTTACGTTTGACTATGTGTACATACCATGTTCCTGTCATTGTGTGGCTGTTAACATTTAGAATTAGCATATATCAGTGGATTCTATTAAAACAGCGCTATCTGAAAACATGAAGTCGATTATTACTTATTTTTAAAAAGCAGTAATAACATGCTAAATTGGAGCATTGTATATTTGAGTATTTTTCTCAGTTGTTTGACCCAATTCCACTTTTTTGTGAAAATGCAATGAAGAGCTTATAGAATTGTATCTTGAAGCACCCCCCCCCTCCTCCTCAGATGGTCCTGCGTCCCACTTTGAGAACCACTGTCATACAGTACAGGTGAATTTCTATCTAGTCAATTTATTTCTGTAATTCCATTATTATTGTTTATATTAATTGAACCACAGGATTGAAGTAAAACTAAATTAAATAAATGACTGCAATTGAATGAATGTCTTACTTAGAAATAATGCATTTGTACAAGATGTCTTTTCCACCATATCTCCAAAGGTAATTTATCCCTATCGTTCAGCTGTCTGCGCCAATATTAATCCATTCCAACTATATTTGGATAAAAAGACAAAGCAACACATTAGGCCTTTAATTGGGAGCATTAATTACAATCTAGAAGGCTGTGAAGTGTGCAGTCCCATTGGCGATAGTAGCATCTGTATGATAGGTGCGGCTGCCATTGAAGAAAGCAGGCTGATGAATGCATTAGGTAAACATTCCACTGTTCGTCTGTGGCATTGTGGCACTCATGATGAATCACCACTCCGCTAAGTGCTGAGTCATGCTTTACAACTACAAATCATTTATAATGCATAGAAAGAGGGACACACGCATCACTGAATATGCATAGGCCTATACGAGCACCGTTCGAATGAGCTCTGCAGATGCTGAGGTTTCTGACCAAATGTCTGGACCGGTGGTGAGAGACAGGCCGAGGTTTTGCTTCAATTACCCGGGTCAATTTGTGAATATTCCCACCTCTGCACCTTCTCCACCGACTCCCACTGATGACTGCTGTCGTTGTGTCCTTGGGCAAGACACTTAACCCCACTTTGCCCAAAAAGCCCCCACTGAAAGATCAAGGCTATGCTCACACTCAGAGAGCAGCCGTCCTCCTGTGGACTCACCACCTGCAGAGGGTCAGTGAGGGGCTGGTGCTATGAGACTTGGGTGGCATCTCTGATTGCCACCCCCCTGACCCAGAAATGGATTAAAGGGTAGAAGATGGATGGAATTTGTGAATATTTCCAACGAGGGCCTTCATAAAGTGCCCATTGTGAGTGTTGCGGCGGAAGTCATATTAATCAGGACCTCATAGGACCACATGAGACTAGTCCAAGACAGGATCCAGACTGACAGACTGGAGTGCATTGTAAATTGTTCCCAAAAGATAGATATTACGGGGGGGTTAGGAGGGAGACAGAATTTCCACGAGACAAGATGAAGGACGAGATTGGGTCCACGAGAACGAGTCAAGCAGAGATGTTGCCATAATTTATGTTGGAGAGAGAGAGAGAGGGACATTGGATTGGTCCATTCAAGTGAAATTGCTCATAATTTAGAAAGTTTCAAAATACATAATTGATGCATTTAGAGACTATATTATTTGAAACCCAGCCAATTCAAGTGAAATGTATATAAAGGACTGAAATTTCTCCAATTTCACATGTTTGCCTAAATCTGTGAAAACTGAATATGAATCTAAATGTCGTAAACCACTCAGATCTCACTCAGCCCTGTTAGATTAGGAAACAATAACTTTTGCTTCCATCAGTGGTTCAAAATTTCTGATTTCAGTTTGTGAGCCCTTTTTTCCATTCTTCAGAGCCTAGAGTGCAGATTGCCATCCTGAGCCATAGACACATGTCATTGGATTAAAAAAATGCTTCAGGTAAACACAGCATTTGGGATACTGGATTCAGATCCAAATTTAAATCTGATTGAGATAGGTGGGTTATACCGACTGTTATTCTGATCGGTGTGTGCATGCAGACACTTTTGTGGTTGGCTAACTTGAGATACCCTTCTGTCCACTGCTGATTTCCGCAGACAATAAAACAGTCTATAATTAGATAATAAATGGTGGTATACGTAACTTAACAAAAAAAAGAGCTGGTTTTACAGAATGCCATCGATCATGGGGTATAATGTTACTCAAATACATGCATGGTGGAAAAAAACAGTCTATTTCAATGACTTGTGTTCTTCAGTCCTATTGATGCTATTTAGTGGTGCGCACTCACTGTGACGGGCAGCTCGCTCTCGCTGGTGCTGAGCAGTTCGTTGATGGTGCAGTGGAACAGCTGGTCGTTATGAAAGCTGATGTTACAGGGATAAGGGCCAATCATCACAGAGCACTCCTCCGGTACAAGATCCAGACCGTTCGGCCCTTTCTGTGCCAAAAGAGACAAAACAAAAGGAGCAGGCTGTGAATAGACATCTCCATATAGAAATACACAGCAGTGAGATTAGTATATTACTGTAATAAAACGTGTATTGTGATTTCTGTGGTTATATCTGTTTGCGTTAGGACTACAATCATTCTTTTATGATTATAGAATGCTTTTCTTATCCACTGTGAAACATTTGTAATGGACTCAATTGCCACATACTGTAAAAGCAAAATCATCCAAAAACACCCAGTAATTTGGCATATTTGACCCTGCAGCTATACTGTTATAATAGTGGTCCCTGGAATGCAATAGGAGGAATTGTTTGGAAGATTTCCGCTGCCATGGGAACCCTGCACCAGAAAACATACAAAACATTTGATCATGCAGCTCTGTAGACACAGCCATGGTCCAAAGTAAAGGTACTCTTACAGCCACTGGGTCAAATGATTAAATAACTTTTTTCCTCACCTAAAAAATCACATAATGCACCTTTGAATGTACAATAATTCACAACAAATACATCTAGAGGTTGTGATGAAGAAGTGCTAGTGTATGAAGAAGTGTATTTATGGTTTGAGTTCAATTATTGATCTTGGGTGGGAAGGGTATCAGGGTGAAGCACTCTGCATCCCTAATTCCAGAACCCAATTATTACCCAATTATTATTATGTGTGCGATCCCCTATACTTCCACATTGTCTCCGGCAACAGTGCAACTAAAGGATCCTCAAACAAATTTAGAGATGACAGAGGGAGTATGAATATCTTCACTTTGACTTTCCAATCAAACTCATTCCACTGCTGCCTATTAATACCTCTGTTATGTTCATTTTAACACATGTCCCAGCAGGTTCAATCTTGGTCCTGGGCAAACCCGCTGCATCTCCACTGGTTTGGCTCAAGTTTAGCTTAAAGCAGCAAACATTCCCTCTGTGTCGCTCTCACATGACCGGGGAAATTTCTCCAAACAAACCCTTGACAGTCATCGCCGCTGCTGCCCAAAATAACATTCTCAGGGTCTTTTCACAAGATATGACTCCAACTCTGTCTCCTATCCAAACCACACAACACTGTCAGACTTCTTACTAATATCAAAAGGAAACATGTTGACCATATTTAGAGTGAACACTGTGTAAGTCTGAACAATAAACTTATCACTGTGCACACTGCCTCAGGCCCATGGTGGCTGAGAATAAAGTATAATGACCTTGTCTGAACCAATTCATTCGACTGGAAAAAAGGGAAACATACTAATCTTATTTGTGTTATAAATTTATATCTCATTTAACGTTTTACCCAGACAAGATTGAGTGTTTTTTATTGCTTTTTTATGAGTGTTTTTGCGACTTGGCCTTGATCTATCTCTCTAGTTGTATCTATCTAAGAACGTCTGTTTTTTGTCTTGGCTGATGCTACGGACCACGTACTGCTTTGGTTTGTGCATTATTTATGAGCGTTGGTGCATATTCAGGGCGGCGCAATAGCACTCTCACATCTCAGCTAAAAGGTCCCGGGTTCGAATCCCGGTCGGAACAGTCTGTGCGCTCTGATTTACCCTACCAACTGAAAATATGAAAAATAGGTAAATTCGTCTAGCTCCAATTCTCTAACACCTGGAGATGGGTCCCCAGGGGGCTGTACTATGGGGACCACTGCTACTTCTGACAGAGGCCCTAGTGGCATTGCAGGATGGGTCAAATTCACATTGCTAGAGAATACATGCATGCAGATCATTCCCACAGTAAATCAATAAATGAAAGGAATGTCTTCAAAAGTCCTCATTTTCATCCAACAACAATTCTTTGCAAAATACAGACCTTTTTTCTGATCCTGCTCTGACTGCTAAACCACAAAGCACTGCTAAAATCGTTAAAACATGCTGACTACATTGGGTTATATCACTTATTTGTCTGCTTTGCGGTAAGCCTAAACATGGAAAATCACTGTGGCGAGACAAAACCCAAAAATAATGGTCTGAAAATCATGAAAGTTGTAAACACAATTGCTACACAAACACAAACCAGGAAGCGGGCCTATAAACAGACGCGCAAGTTTACATTAGAGATTTCTGCCATCACTGGACTGTTATTCTTTCCTAATAAGATTGACTGACCCGAGGTGTTGTTCGTTAGTTGAATGATTACGCTTGCGATGCCATTTGGACCGCGCAGATTTATTCTATTAAAACTTTGTACCGACTTTGTTTCTGTTGCCAGCTAAACAGGGGAAATGAATAGCAATAGAATGAGGTAAGCTGTATGTAATTCTAATTTCCTTTCGACATAACAAATGCAAGGCGAGGAATGTGGCTGTGTGTGTGTGTGTGTGTGTGTGTGTGTGTATGTGTGTATGTGTGCGTGTTTATTCCCTGTGTGCTTCCGCGCTTTGATTGCTGCCTCAGGGCTGTGTCCTGTCCCGACTGCAGGATGCCACCCCCTGGGCCTCTGTCAACAGACGCTCCCCAGCTCAAAGACAACACTGACATATGCAAAAATGTAGCAGCCACATGATTTCTTTCTGTATTTTGTTTAAGGGAAGTTGCAAAAGCTGCCGGAGTGGAGTCTTTTGCAACGGGTTTGTGAGTGTGATTTCTGGTCTTTGAATGTATGCCTTGCGATCTTCAAAGTGGTTTATATCTTGCTTACGGGAAATGTCAGGTTCATAAATATTTGGATTTTAAAAGTCTCAAATTTCTGGCTCCCTGTTTTAATAATAATAATAATAATAAATCAAGTTTTTTGGACTTTCTACCAAACACATACAAAAATGACACAATTAGGGAAATGCGAGCTGGAACAGGTGGGTTTCTGGAGTGAGTGCGAGTTCCAAAGAGTGTGGGCAGCTGAATGCAAAATCACTGTCTTTATTTCAATTCCATTGTGGAGCAAAGACTTGGTTTAACAGCCGACTTTCAGCTTTAATTTGAGGACATTTCCATCCAAATTGAGGAAATGATGAAGGAATTACAAGCGTTTGTATGTGTGCCTTCCACTTATGGAGGAGCCAAAAGCAATAAGACCTAATAGACAGCTGAGGTCTAACTATTATTCTACAGCAAATATTAACAGTGAGGCGTATTCCAAGAGAAATGACTGTTTTAAATGTATTTATATAATAATTCTGTGTTATGTTAGTTTCACATTATTTGGTATAAGATAGACTTTATTGATCTCACACTGGAGAAATGCACATGTCACATTGGACATAGATAGAATCACTCAGAAGTGTGCAAACATGTTAAAAATGAAAAATGTAGTCTGGCAATTAAAGAAAGAGTGGCAATAGCAGTGCAGGTTTTCAGTCCTAGTGAAAACCTGCATTCCAAGAGAAATGACTGTTTTAAATGTATTTATATAATAATTCTGTGTTATGTTAGTTTCACATTATTTGGTATAAGATAGACTTTATTGATCTCACACTGGAGAAATGCATATGTCACATTGGGCATAGATAGAATCACTCAGAATTGTGCAAACATGTTAAAAATGAAAAATATAGTCTGGCAATTAAAGAAAGAGTGGCAATCGTAGTGCAGGTTTTCAGTCCTAGTGCATGAGTGACTTAAAGTGACTTATTGTACCTAATATGGCCTTTAAACGGTATTATTATTGCAATCCAAATTTCCCCTGAATTCAGTCAACATTATGAACATTGTGTTGATGTCCTAATTATTACGGACTTGAATGGATAATGTAAAGTTGAAACAGTTATTGGGTTTGAGCAATACTTCTGAGGCGGTGCATGGACAGGTATCTGTACCACTTGGAACACAATTAGAATCCCTTTGCAACCACAGAAAAGCTGAGCCAAAATAAAAAATAAAAATGATTTGGGTCAAGAACACTCAAGAGCCTCTTTGTAGTTTCAAATACATTCCCTCTCATGAATCACAGTACACCTCTCCCAGGTCTGGAACAAGTAAAATCCGCCATCATCAAAGAAAAACAGGAAGCAGCCTTGTTGGACTCTGGGTTAGCCATGGAACAAGGCTTTAGTTACAGGACACATGTTAGCCACGGTTCATTTTATAATATAGGGTAATTGTTGATGTTAAAGAGAACATAACATGCTTCCCGTAATTTTTTTTTTTCATTTTACTAACGTTGTGATATTTATTACTGTCCAGTTGTTGTGATATTTCCTTTTTTATCATCATTTTGTTCATATCATTTGATTTGTTTTGTTTAATGTATTCCATTTTTTTCATGTTTACATTTTCTAGCATTTGATAATAAACAGAAGCATGAGACTGACCATTTTTAAACACCCTATCTTCACTAAATAAGATATAAATGTACAAATAGTGTGTGGTTTTGTTGAACGAACGTCGAGCCCAAAGCTTTTTTTTCTTATCGAATCAGTCGGAAAAAAACTTTGTTGATATTGATTCATGCCTGTAAGGTTTTTGTTGTTTGGAGAGGACATTTTTGGTTGTCTTGAATTGCCGTTGTCATTTGTCATTGGTTGTCAGGGCTTGAAACAAATCAAATCAAACAACCAAAAAGTACGTATATGGCATTGAATCACATCATACTGAGGGTGCGTTGTATCTGAGTATTTACAGGCAAACTCCAACAGATATAGATACAGAAAGTAGCATATAAAAAACTGTACAAATGAACTATAATGAACACTGCCAACCTGATCTCTTATGTGATATATCAGAAAGTGCAATAACCACATGTGTCACTGTCACTATACTGAGTCACTCAGAGCCTCGTGCTGCTAATGTACAGATGTAATCATACTGCTGCTAACATGTACAGATGTAAACATACTGCTGCTCACATGTACAGATGTAAACATACTGCTGCTAACATGTACAGATGTAAACATACTGCTGCTCACATGTACAGATGTAAACATACTGCTGCTAACATGTACAGATGTAAACATACTGCTGCTAACATGTACAGATGTAAACATACTGCGGCTAACATGTACAGATGTAAACATACTGCTGCTAACATGTACAGATGTAAACATACTGCTGCTAATATGTACAGATGTAAACATACTGCTGCTAACATGTACAGATGTAAACATACTGCTGCTAATGTCCAGATGTAAACATACTGCTGCTAATGTCCAGATGTAAACATACTGCTGCTAATGTCCAGATGTAAACATACTGCTGCTAACATGTACAGATGTAAACATACTGCTGCTAACATGTACAGAAGTAAACATACTGCTGCTAACATGTACAGATGTAAACATACTGCTGCTAACATGTACAGAAGTAAAAATACTGCTGCTAACATGTACAGATGAAAACATACTGCTGCTAACATGTACAGATGTAATCATACTGCTGCTAACATGTACAGATGTAAACATACTACTGCAAATGTACAGATGTAAACATACTGCTGCTAATATATACAGATGGTAACATATAACTTCATATTTCTTGCTCTAGAATACACAGTACTTTATATTTGCTTCTTATTTTGCCAATTGTAGAAATATTATAATTCTTTAAAATGTTAAAGATAGACATTTTATACTTGTTCCTTGATGCTGGAGTTAAAGATTTTGTTAATTAGTAAAGTAATTGTTCATTTATCTTGTGCTGTGTGCTCCTCATTCCTACTGATCTATAACTTGTGCTGCAACCCTGAAATTTCCTCACTGTGGGACGAATAAAGGATCTCCTCATCTTAAAATGAATACAACAACAACAACAATAACATGGACAAAAGCTGAGAAAAATGTGGCCCTTTTAAACAGCAATCTCCCACAAGCCAGACTGCACCCTACTTATGCTTTCATTACATCATGAGGCTTCAACCAACTAATCTATCAAAGTTCAAACCCAAACCCAATTCCACACAGAGAAAAAAAAACAATAGCTAACAGAGGCTCATGTTAGCACGCCGCGGTCTGCATGTACTACACGCTTTCGCAGCCAGCAGCTCCTAAAGGGTAACGAATGTGTACAGACAGGTGCTTAGATCAGCCAAAACGTAGGAACACAGACCACCCTTTGAGCTGTCGTCCCCCTTGAGCCCCCCTCGTGGACCCCCGACAGAAAAAACAACGCATTTGGAGACGCCGCAGCCTTTGATGTGGTTACGTGCCCCTGCTTTATGTGCGTATGAATAAAGAAAAGCAGAGAGAGAAGCTCGTCTGGCTGCTCGCAGTGGGGGGGAAACATGGCGTGGTGACAGAGCTCCCCGCGAACATGGAAACACAATGATTTTAAAAGGTGAGAACAAACACAATTCGTTGGAAGGAGGAAAAAATGTGTAAAACGACCAATGTGTAAGTTGAAAATTGTAAGCACGAATAGATTTGCATCAAGGATATTCACAGAAGATAATAAAAAGGTGTTGGACTGCTGTGTATTAAATGTTCATTGTTTTGTTTGTTGTTTCTCAGATTTGCTTTACATTATTCACACTGTTTTTGTTTCTCCAAGTCTCTATGGGGTCTCAACCTTTTCACTCTGGGATCCCAAAAATATGTGCTATTGTGCTGGTGTTATTACTGTGCCCCATTGTAAATAGTAAATAAAGCTATAAATATATTGAAATTGTATCAACACATGTTTAAACTTTGTCTAATGCTGCCTTGCTTGCATGTACTGTATGTGTGTAGCTACAAATGTGTGCAAAGGATTGTAAATAGTGGAAACCAATTATGAATATAATAATCCATCCATCCATCCATTTTCTTCCCATTAATCCATTTCTGGGTCGGGAGGGTGGCAGTCAGAGCTGCACCCAGTACATGGAGCACCAGCACCTCGCTGATCCTCCTGCAGGTGGTGAGTCCACAGGAGCCTTGATTATTCAGCAGGGGCTTCAGGCAAAGTAGGGTTAAGTGTCTTGCCCAAGGACACAACGACAGCAGTCATCAGTGGGAGTCGTGAAGTATGTCTTATGGTGGGCTCGAACCCTCAACCTTCAGGCTCTAAGGTCAATGCTCTACCAACTGAGCCAATATAACAATATTATATGAAGATAACAATTTCAGCTCAAATTAATGAATACAATGAACTTTGAATTATATCATCATTTATAGTTAGCTGACCTAGTTTCTTGCATTATGTGTCAAATAAATAGGATGAAAAGATGTTAGAATTGTGTCTTGACACTAATGAGGTAACAGTAAAGATAGTTAAACATGTGTTAGGGCTGACTGTAAAAATACAGTAGGACTATATGTTGCCCTCTGATTGATTCACTGTGATTTGAAATGATTTGAATTTGGGAAGTGGTTGATATGAGTTTCCTCTGTAGAGTGGCTGGGCAAATGGGAGGAGCTTGGCGTAGAGCCGCTGCTTCTCTATGAGGAACCAGATGAGGAGGCTCAGGCATTTGATGCCTCCCTGGGAATGTCCCATCGGGAGGAGACCCCAGGAAAGGACACACCCAGGGCACATTGGAGGGAATCTCTCTTAGCTGGTCTGGGAACGCCTTGGGATTCTCCTGGATGAGCTGGAGGTGGTGTCTCAGCTCAGGTTACTGCCCCACTGAACCCGGCAACGGATTGAGTGGAAGAAAATGGATGGATGGGGTTGAGTGTTAGATGATAAGATAATTTAAGATGAAATAAAATTTACTTTATCAATCTCACAATGGAGGAATTCAAGTTTGATGAATAAGCAACAAGGCATGCTGGGTATTCTGCTTCCGCGCTCCTTATGACAACAGCAGAGAGCAAAACATACATGTATTTCACACAGACATTATGTGAGGCCAAAAGTCCTATTTCCAATGTTTGGGGATAAGTTATCAAGATGTGTGTTTCCAATTTACTGATGTTTGCGAACAAAATGAATCCAAACAAAAATATAATCTACTGTAGTATTTGTGTAAGATCGGACCAGGCTCTTTCTAGATCAAAACCAGAGCTGAATAAAAAAACGTGAATGTAATGGAGAGCTCACAGTGTGCAGCCATAACGTGCATCTTGTTTTACATAGCTCTAATTACATTATACATCATGTTTTTAATGTGTTTAACAACTGAAATGGTACGTCAACCGTCTGTGCAAAGAAGTCGGCTCATTTTTAACTTTGTGTTACATACAGCTAATTAGGCGTCTCCTTCTGACATGGTCCGGAGGAAATGTTGGTGCGGAGCTAAAAATAACCGTATGGATGTTTGTGGATTAGGCTCAGTAGATTAGAGTGATTACACAGCCGTACATCAATATCAATAGCAATTCATACGCAGCTCCAATTAAAATATTGATGAGTATAAACACAGTGTAGGAATTACAGGAGCTTCAATAAATTATCATCTGGGGTATAATTTGTGAATTTCTATGCTCTGTGCAGTGTCCCGGCAACTGTCGTGTTTTTAAACCTGGTAACCTTGAAATGAACTGTGCATGTATGTATGCTGCAAAATCGATGCCATATTTGATTTGACATTGCAAACCAGATTTAGATACAGAAATGAATATACAAACATTACCTTACTGTACATATAGTTCTGGTTTAGCTGAGTAGTTTAATTTAAAGCTTGTATGTTAAAAGAGATTGTAACTTTTGGCTGGTAATGTACGATCATGTGTCCAATCACAGAACAGGGAGGGACGGTGGGACAATGACAACTCACTTTTCCAAAGACAGAAGCTTGTTGTTGTTTAGAGAGCCAACATGATGCTGTTTATTGCCTCTAGGCTACAAAAAATCCTAAACTCCTAACAACAATTAGCCGCTACTCTCTTCTAGTTCTAAAGTAATGTGGCCAATGTGTAATTTTTATTATGGTGGAGTTGGGCTGTTGTCAGTCAGGCTGTAATAATTGACTTGTTATTTGGCTCCATCAAGTTTTAGTAGCTATAGGACACTTGTTTTTATTGTCAATAGATTGGTAAATGAATACAGACATGAAAGCTAACGGTTAAGCTGTTATACCTTGTCATGAATTCATGTTGTGACCAGTTAAAACAGGCGTCTTTCTGCAACATTACAACATTGCTACATGCAGCTTGCTATATATGTGGACAACAATGATGTGGTGCGGCTTATATCCGGGTGCGCCTTAGAGCCTGAATTTCTATTTATACACCATTGTTAAAAGCTATGAAAAGTCAGATTTGCATGTTATGTTCCTTTATGATTTGGTTTTGTGTCAACATTTTTCCTCTAAATTACTGCATTCATGAAAACTGCACCTTTTGCACTCACAATCATGTACTAATGCAGGCCTATGCATTAATATAATATACACCAAAACATTCAAGACAAGTATCCTGTTCTTGCATTTTGAATACTAATCCCATTTTTTCTTCATAAAGACATGCCAACGACTATTTCCTAAGGTGAATCCACACTCATCTCAGTGAGTGGCCTGCGCTCGTGTTCTCTGGTCCCACTCACATTAATGATGAGTGTCAGCGGCTCTCCGGGGTGGTGTTTAATCAGCTTCTCCTTGTTGGCTGTGAAGAACTGCGGGTCCTCCACGTACTCCAACAGGAAGTGACCTTTAAGAACATTGCTCTCGCCTTCCTCCTCTCCCTCCTCATCCTCCTCCTCCTCCCCGCTGTCGGATGGAGCAGGACTGTCCCCTGTGTAGAGCACTCGGTTCAGGTAGAACTGCACTGAGGTCTGCTGGGACTGCAGCGCGGGCGGTGATGGGCAGGTGATCAGGGACGAGGAGACCACTGTGCAAGACTGAGAAAGCATTGGAGTCATGTTAGGTGTGCTTTAAGGCCATAGGAATTCTATAATTACAGCCAAGAAGATTTAACGACACACAATATGAGAGATTTTAAGGTAAACAACAATATAACCAGAGCTACTCATTTTCAAGGAGTGAAAAGAGGAAGTGCCTATATCATTAGTATTCAGACACATGAAAGTATGGCCACTGGCAAAAGCAGGGAGGATTACCCCTGCACCAGCCAATCAGCTCTCAGCCCCAGAGTAATATAGTACTGATGCACGTGGCTTTTTGTTTTGCATTAGATAAAACGTTTTTGTTTCTTTATAATACACTTTCTGTTGTTTTTTTTTTTCATTTTGAGATTCTGCTCGTATTCCATACAGTCGTTATTGGAGTATGTTATTGGAGGCAAGTAAGCCACCTGGTCAAGTTAAAGCGAACATTTTTACCATATTGATCCTCACAATGAAAACATGGAACTTTGGAGAAAATGTAAAGCAAAAAGACTGAGCAAGGTGTACGCCCAGAAAAGCGAAAAATGCAAAAAGCATCTGTTCTAGGTCGGATATTTTAATTGTCTATAGGATAATTGAGTGATAATTCTTCATATGAGAATATATCATTTGTAATATGTGATGAACTTTATGCTTTTGTATACATTCACCAAAATCTAATACAATTACATTTAGGCAATGCAAGTTTATTTGTATTGCATAATTCATACACACGTTAACTTAAAGTACTTAACAAAACAAGATATTTAGAGGATACCTGTGACTGTTGCTGTAAAAGTCATTTATGTTTTAGAACAAATTATTTACAGAACAATATTTCCTTCTTCGAAACTATGTTGTGGATTTCCTAAGAAGATGAATGTGGTCAGAGCATTTTCCCATCGGGATTGGGATAATTAAGAGATCCTTTATTCGTCCCACAGTGGGGAAATTTCAGTGTTGCATCACAAGTTATAGAATAGTAGGAAAGAGGAGCACCCGGCACAGGTTAAGTGAACAATAGCTAAACTAATAATAGGGGAAACTAGTTTGTTCTCTCATACTGTATAGCATAATTCAGCCTTTACAGTTGGAAAAATGACTCACTGATGTTCCAATGGCCAGCACCTGCATGGAGACGCTCTGCACCAGATCAAACCCCTGGCCGCTGACGCTGATGGTCCTGCCACCACTGGACACATCAGAGAGAAACAGTCACATCTGGGCCAGCTCTAAAATGTGACAATTGCACTCACTGATATGCAAATGCTTTGGAGCACGGCGAGTGAAAGAGGAGCCGATAATAATGCAAAACAGTCTGTGTGTAGAGAAAATCCAAACACATCACAGCCACTCACACACATACAGTCCACACAGAAACTACACAAGGACTGACGCACAAGGACCGACACACAATGATTGACACACAAGGACCAACAAACAATGACACACGGCACTAACGAGCGACAATGGCCCAAAAGTATATCCGCTAGTTTGTTAGTTTTTTAATAGAACCGTATAATGTTCCCTGACTTCAGCGGTGTGTTCTCGTGTCAATTGCAACACAATTATTTCATCATTCTGAAAACCAGGAACATAGCTCAAGATTGTGTCAAAAAATGTCGAACAAGCCTAATGTTAAAACTCGGCAACACCAACACTAATCCTGGTATTGAACATTGGATATTACGTTGTGCTGTTGAAACCACAATTGGAAAACATTCTGCAATAAGTGAACAGTGATTTGAAGGTTGGAAAAATCTATATTCAGTCCAAGGAAGCTTTTACGAAAAAACTACACAAGATGTAGTACCTTTTTTTGCAAATGTATTCCAATGTAGTTTTTATACTGCGCATGGCCAATAAATGAATCTGAATCTGAGATGTGATTTAAAAGTAGCGGTTTTTTTTTGATAAAATAAAACTTTTAAAATGAGAGTGTTTATATATATATATGAGAGTGTATATATATATATATATATATATATATAACAAAAAAACAAAAAAAACACTTTTTATTTTTTTTCAAAATCGATACATGGCAAATGCATATCGATAATCGAATCGCGGGAGAAAGTATCGCGATATATCGAAAAATCGATATATCGTCACACCCCTAAATATATATATATATATATATTACTTTACAGAACTGTACATTGCTGTATTTAATTTTTTAATCAAACTAGTCGGTCTAAAGCAGTTTTGTTCAATCAATAGTTTTCGCAGGCATATATTTTTGGTCTGGTTCTTTCAAAAATAAAAGTGAAGAAGAGAGGACCACACTCACTCAACTAATGAGCTCTCAGCCCAAAGCATCAAATAGTGACTCACAGGGATATCTCATACGATTCAGATTTTTCAGACCTTTTAAATTAGGTGTGACATGTCCATGTTGATTCATGTTAGTATCTAAGTATTTCAACTCTTTCCTTTTACAAGACATTGTAGGATATGGTTAAAGAAGCAAGGTACCCAGTAAAAACTTTAAGTGGAGTATGTGGGTGTTAAATATTTCTTAATTACTGATATATTCTCCTGTGGACTCACCACCTGCAGGAGGATCAGTGAGGGGTTGGTGCTCTGTGAACTGGGTGCAGCTCTGACTGCCGCCCCAGACCCAGAAATGGATACTATAACACTATCCTTTGTACATTTACACAATAATTGTATGCAAAAGGACAAGAATGTATCCCAAGTATTGAGAAAACATTTGAATACACATATTAAGTATATTCTGCAACTGATGTATCCTCTAACACTGTGCGGCCAAAGTATGTACTGTATTTGATCAGGGACAATAGACAATGGTCCTCCGCTCCCTATGGACCAATGCCTCCCATGTGTTTGTTATTATTGCATTCAAACCGTTTGTGATTTGTGTTTGTGTGCGAATCAACAACTTTGTAAAGTCCTCTAAGACGGCTGCTGTGGTGATTTAGGGCTCTACAAGAATACATTGAATTAAATTGAACATTAAAATGGACAATAAGCATAAGTCAAAGAATCTAATTACAATAAAACAAGTCATATTTCATTTGCAATAATAAATGAATACAATAAAAAAAAAAATTACCAACATACACACGCACACACACAGCATTATAGCAGTACCTCAGATAGCTCTTGGTGGGGTGGATGTTGCTGATGGTGGGGTTCTTCTCATAAGTGTAGGTGGTGCTGACCCCCTCAAACTGACACGGGAAGTTCTCAAACTCCACACACACCAGCGTGGCGTCTGCGTGCGCCTGCATCGCTGCAGGCATTGTGCACTCAATGATATCGTCTGTTTTCCTGCAGAATGGAATAAACAGCTCAACCACAAATCTTGTGATGTCTGCGAGGGCTAAAAGCGAGTGTGCCAACCGTCTTTGAACTTAGAAGTTCAAGAGTCCCAAACATGCAAACACCAATCAGGTCATATACTGTACATATGTTTAAAGCCCTAAAATTTACATGTCTTCAATATTGAGCATTATTTATGTTTTTTCTCTGAAATATGACCTTGAGAATAATCACGTAATGTTGAAGTTAAAATATATAAAGTACTTGCTGGACTATAAGCAGCTCTTTGAACCCTGCAGCCTATTTATCTTCTCAGCCAATTATGTATTTTCATTTTGATGGAGCTCCCCCAGGAGTGCAGGGAGGGGGGCAGCTCAACTGGGTGTAGATCACCAGAGCTGATTATGTAGCACACATTCCTGCTTCGAGGTGTGTTTATGTGAACAGCAAAGAGGCACAACAATGTCTTTATGTGACTCGGGCTATAGTCAGAACAGAGTTTCTGCTTTTATTATATTGTTTTAGCATGAATGTTATTATCAATATTGGATTTACCAAAGTGCTTTGATCAGACAGAATAAAGAGAACCCATGTGGTGAAGAGCTCCTAATGGACTCACTCAGTGATGATGCACTCGTCCGTGTGGTTGACTGTGACTCGGACGACGGACCCGATGTCCAGATGTTCCCCTCTGATGGTCACTCTGGTGCCCCCAGCTCGAGAGCCTTTCACTGGGCTCATGGACAGCAGCTTTGGGGCCTGGACACACATAGTCCAACATTCATATCAACACATCCAGGGGCGTTAGGTGAAGATGACACCAAACACGGACTCTCGGTTTTCACACATCAAATAAATTAGTTTGAGATCTTCCTTTCCTCAATTGGCTCAGAGAGTCGCTGACTACAACAGCAAATTAGCAAAGAAAACTGTGAAGACGACCCACGCTGCAGTATGCTGAGGCGTTACTGCAGCCAACTGTCTTGTGCCGTAGTGACAAGGCCTATTCTCTTTAGATGCTTCTCTCTGGATCAGAGTCTGAGGACAAGGGAGGCTCCTGGACATTTCAACAATTCCTGCTTTAATTCTAATCTGCAAATTGGCAAATCAACAATGTTGTAGCCTTTCCAAAAAACTGCTGTTGTGATTTTGGGCTGTACAAAAACAGGTTTGATCTGATTTGATAATAAATACATACTGTTTATCTGTGTGTTACAGCTGGTTCTCAAACTGTGCCTTGAAGACTTCTTTTTTAGACATTTTATTTCTGAAAAATGATAATTTAAGAGCCATCGTATTTTATCTGTTGGTGCTTGGAGAACAGCAGCTCTAATACACGTAAACAAGGCCCTAAGGTGCAGATAAAAATCACTATTTATCTCCGTAGCTCTTGGCATCAGCATTCCTGGCCCTTCCCTGGTTCTCGAGCCTCCTCCAGGGGAAGCCCTGATCCGTACTGACAGGATCCACTTCCTCTGAGGAGACGGGCCATTGTATGTGGCCGTGTGGAGGAGGCAGATGTTTCCGGACCTTGGCTTAAGGAAGGGGGTGCAATAAAAAGAGCACATATCCTGTCTACAAATCGGTTTTCTGCAAGTATTTCCCCATTTAAGAAAACAACACGTTTTACTATAGTTCTTTGTAATGCACATATAAATCCTTTCCAATCCCACTCACTATCTCTGCTTTTATGTCATCGTGAAACATAACACGTTCATCTTAATACAATGCAGGGCATTAACTTAAGCAGAGCACATCTTTCACAGTAAAAAAACAGCTCCCAGTTCACTTTTAACAGCCTCTTTCATTGCACAAATCTCAAAAGGTGAATGTGAACGCCCGTGAGGGGTTCCCACAACCACGCAGCAGCGATTGTGTTTCTCTGGATTCACTTTTATCCTTCTGTTTTGAGGATTGTTTGGAGATCGGGGTGATTTCTCAAAGGGATGATTCAGAACGTCTGCAGAACCTCTCTCATCAGCAGCTGACGTGATCGGGCTCTGCAGAGTAATATTATGAACAACCTATTGTCGACTGTATCAAAGAACTTTTTATTTGGGTATTTCCACCGCTGCTTTTTCTTAATCCAACGGGAGACTGTCTGGGTCAGGGTCAAATAGCACACAAGTGGCCAGTAGGGCGACAGCCAAGATAACAGAAGAAATCACAGTGGTCTTATTGTCTTCTACCAGACTGATTCCCATGGCCACAGAAAAAAACAGACATATCTCATTTGGTTTTGTGTCTGAATCAAGTTTCTAAAACTGCTCCGGGAAATTCAAAATTCAGGAAAAAAAAGCTCCATCCAATAATAAAGCCTGGTTTGTGTTAAGCCAGTTAATGTGGATTGTATGGTTAATTTATGGTTTAGGACTATTTCACTTATTTGGCTCATAGCTGGGCCGCTGCTGCCAACCTTTGCATAGATTTTGCTCCACATTCTCGCTCAAATAGCCTGTTTTAGCTTGTACTAATTGGTCTCTTCCACATTAATGCTAACACTATGAGTGACATCAGCACTCTGTCAGTCCACTGCTGTAATATGCAGTCTACAGTGTGGTTAACAGACTGTAATTTAATAACTTTATGGTAATTGATTAGTTGGACAATTATACTTTCACTGAATAGATTAGTCGTTCAGATCTCAAAAGACCCATTAATATCTAACTTTTAATAACTTTGATGAAGAAAAAGAAGAGTTGTTCAAACACAAATGGTAGTTTGATTAACAATAAAACTGTTGCACAAACCCTGTGCTATTTTGCATTAATTAAAACAGTCAGAGTAGAAAACTTCTTCATGGCAAGTTTAGAGTTTGTGGATGTTCAAAAAGGATTATTTGTTACTGAACTGTTAATCCATTCATTTTCTTCCCCTCAATCCATTTCTGGGTCGGGGGTGGCAGTCAGAGCTGCACCCAGTACACAGAGCACCAGCACCTCACTGATCCTCCTGCAGGTGGTGAGTCCACAGAAGGCTTGATTATTCAGCAGGAGCTTCAGGCAAAGTGGGGTTAAGTGTCTTGCCCAAGGACACAACAACAGCAGTCATCAGTGGGAGTTGTGAAGTAGGTCTTGAGTTGGGCTCGAACCCATGACCTTAAGGCTCTAAGGCCAATGCTCTATCAACTGAGCCACTGTCGCCCCTGTTACTGAACTAGTTTTTTAAATTTCATTAACCCTTTAAGGACAAGAATTAGTAAGAAATTGGAAATGAAACAGACAAAAGATGGAGCCTTGAAACTTTAAAAGAGATAGAGGTCTACTAACATCTAAAAACAGAAATGGATATATGAAAACGATGTAAGATAAATAAGAAAAATAGGAAAACGTTAGTGTAAATCCTGGTCGCTGTATATACACTGTTCCGGATTAGATTATTTAAATGTATTGATTCATGTCAAACCTATAAATACATTAAACAATAATAATACATATAAACAGGAACAAAATACACATACATCAATCCAAGAGCTTGTGTCTTCATTCTGTTTCTTGGCATCTAAAACTTATTTTATTTATTTTACTTATTTAACTTATTTTCCGCCTGATAGTTATATTTAAATATACACTTATGCACTGGTTGAATAAGCTCTTGTGATTGTTAAGTTTGTTTTCAGATTCATGCCCTAGTTTGGGTTTAATTATTTGTCGTTTTAAGTCTATTTCAAAATCACCTTTAAGGAAAACATGAATTTTACAGTCCAGAAAACCCAAACACTGCTGATGATTGTTGTTATCTTAGTATCACACCCCACGCAATCACTCATGACTTATTTATCTCATACCATGAATCCACGGCACCAAAAGTAGCAGACCTTCAAACAAGGGCCATATTTGTTTTTGCTGGCAGCGGAGTGACAACAGTGCTCAGTTTCATTGCACATGACCGTTTGAAGATTCCCACACACTTTGCATTCCTCACAATCATAAAATGCATCTGTTAACACTTAAGCCCCAGTGGGGAACGGGGAACAAGAGGAACAGGGGAAACTCAGACGACAGACAAAGGAGAGATAGAGGAATTTCTATGGGACTTACGAGATATGAGAAAGTCTCGCGGGAGGTCCCCACCGCGCTGTGGTTCACCTTCACTTGGACAAGATCTGTCATCTCAGCGAGGGCCGGTCCAGTCACACACACCAGTCTGAGGAGAAACATGAGCAGTATGAGAGCAGGCTGGAACATAATATCTGAGGAGTGCTTTTTATTGATAAATGACTGCGAAAATGAGAGCAAAATGTTGATGGAAGATGCAGGCCTATTGTTACAGCTACAGGGTCGAGGTACATAGAAACTTGATACTAATTTTAGCAAGTATTGATACAAAAACAGGGTTAGATTTCCTGAGCAGATGTGCAAAAATTGACTCATTTAATTTGAATATTCTGGAGAAGTAAAACAGTATTTTTTACTAATATTGACATTTATACAATAGCCTTTTTTAATGTTTGTATCATAATGTATGAGGTATCAGAGGGCATAATCATCTAGTGCTAAAATAACAAATAATTGTCTAAAAAAAAAAGGTAAACAAAATCATCAATGCGGTATCAAAATGGCTATATTCCGATTCTTCTATTCGCTTAGGCAAACCAAATTGTCTGGGGATATATCTGGATTTACAAAGACAATAATCAGAACACAAATACTAAGATCATTAAATCATACATTTCTATGACCAAAATGGTGAGTGAATGAGCACTTCCCTATTGGCTACATAAAGCAAGTAAGTTTAAAAGTCAAATTGTGCTTGTGTTTTATTCATGTAACTAATCATGATGTATTATTGAAAGCAGCTCTTAGTATCAAAACGAATGCGCTGTGTGCTGGGTCTAATCAAGCATTTTTATTGGCGCGCAATGAGGAAGTAATGCAGTTAGCAGTTGTTGTGACCTCTCAAAGTTGTGAATCGCAAATCCATTAGGAAAATTATGAATAGTTTATCGTCATCACTACACTCTGACTGAAGCTGGACAATCTAACTTTATGTTTCTGTCGTTTGTCCCACCAGAAATAGTTGTGGCTACGATACATTTTGTGTACAAATCAGTCACTGAGACCTCTCTTATTCTGTCTGAAAAAGGCTGATCTAAAGATTGGACAGAGATCAAATTTACTTGTAAATAGATAGATACTTAATACCCAGAAGGAGAAAAGGTGTCCAGTCGCAGCAAAAAACATGAAAATGAATAAATGATAAAACAATATAATTACATTTTTCATTGATACAACAATAAAACCAAATTGTTTACAAAGCCAGGGAGGGAAAGCCATGCTATTCATTGTAAAGTTAGGTCCTCCTGCTTTAAAAATGAGGCAACAATCTGAATTCTGTCATAAAGAGATTTCCAGTCAAGTTCAAGTACATTGGTGAGTTTTACAAACCACATTTTGAAGGGATAACATGCATTTCCAAGTCCACCATTGTGTTGCCTCATTACTGTCAGCGCTGAACAGATCCAGACATACACCTGTTCTAAATAAATGTGCCCTTCTTCTCTGGACTCATTTTAGTTGAGGCTCCTCGTTTGAACAAAGGAGAGAAATGATGAAACAGTATGTAAAGACGTTCACCGCTACAACGGTCCCTTTGATTATTGGTGTGAACTGTAATGTTTTTTGAATGTGCAAAGAATCATTTTCACATACACTTTCCACATACTTTTAACTCACAATCTTCTCACCAAGGAAAATTCTTCATTACTTTATGCCCTTCCCAATTTTTTCAAGGTCTCACATGTCTTGTCTTGAGTATTTCAAAAGAGAGCTACAAACTAGGCCTGCACAATACGATATTTGGCAAATGCTATAATTGACAGAACGTGTCCAATGTCACCTTAATTTATCTAAAAACATGTATTTATGATTTTCATTACTATGATGTATTCGTCTTGGTTTTGATGTCTTGTGGAAATTTATGATACCAGTGGCCCATGATCATAGATACAACTCAATATACTGTATATCTAAAACAGGACTGATAACATTGTGTATCGCTTTACATGACTTCAGTGTATATTTGGACACAACAAAAGCCCTGCAGGCTCCCCTCAGACCGCATATGAAGTAACATGAAGCAATGTTTATACGTTGAACAAAAATTACTCCTGCAACGTTTGCCGGACCATTCCATTATCACAGAATTGAATAGTTCACAGAAAATCAGTGAGTGCGTTGCAGGTGTTGTTGTTATCAGGTGGGAGGGGATAACTCCTTTCGCAGATTGAAACGATTGGATCTGAGTTTGCCGTGACGGATGTAATGCACCTGATGTGAGTGAGACGTTTAGCCTAGCTTTAGCCATCCCCTTTGCTACTATTGGAGCTCAGGGGGAGTAGAGCCACAACATCTTTGCCAGAAATGACATTTGTTAAAAATACCTCTTGTTCCAGGTTTTGGAGCCAAACCAGAACAGATTACTTTACTATCATTCGCCGCCGTTGCCAAACTACAAAAAGCTAACTCGACGCAAACTCTTGACGTCACTGACACCTACCTATACCGCTCATTGGTCAGATGGGATACAGAGGTAACTGCAGCCACAGGGACAAGACCCAGATATACTTGTAAGAAAAAAATAATTGGCCAGAGTTGACGGATGGCTAAGCTAAAGCTAGGATACCTAACTACCATAACAATAGTAATCTCACACTTTCTTATGCATGTATTATTAGCCTCTGTCATATCTTTTATTAGGGAGGAACAACCCCTTGAGATGAATCATCTCGTTTCCGAGTGGGTCCTCAAAATCAAATTCAAATAATATTCAATTCAATTCAATATCAGTAATATAAAATAGTGACTCAAGTATGTAAAAGATAACATATCTTAGACATATAAAGTCCGTACTGTATGTGATGATTCTTCACATGGTACTTTATACTTTTGGTTGGAACAAACTGTCCTATTTATGATACAAAAAGTGAAGTACCTTAGCTTTAAAATGCCAGACCTCGATCATGGTGTGATGGGTGGAGCAAGGCCCGCCTCCTCAAACAGCCCAACAAAGACTCCTAATTAATCACAGGAAATTAAGCTCATAAGCTAATTCATCACAGCGCATTACATTTACATAGGATCCAATAATGCACGGCCTCTGATATTAGAAGATGGAAAGTTCAAAGGGCCTCACACCAGCTGCGGTCGGGCACAGAGGAGATTATAGAGCGCGCTTTCACCTCAGGCTCTTATTAAGACCGCTGTCATCGGAGCGCAGAGCAGCGGTCTACGGGGACGTCCCAGTGTAATGGCGGCGCGCTGAGACAAAGGCGGGTAACTGTTCAAGAGCAGGATCCAACCAGAGGGGAAGAATAACCTTTCTCACATGAACCACGTGCAAGCTCGACACCCCGGCTTTATTTAGTCAGGTGTTTAGTTATAAATTCTCTGCCGGCGATACAGTGATTGACAGAGGGGATTGTGGGTGAATTTACATAAGCATAGCAGCCAGGTTTTAATGTGAGAGAAGGCGGTGATAAGGAGAGCTGCAGGGAGATACTGGGTTTGACTGCAGGTCAGTGAGGGACCTGTATGAAACACTGGTGTGTGTATTTTAATTATATGCTGAGACTGAAATGAGTATTTTCAGGCAGAGACAGCAGATGTATTGTTACCAAAGAATAATAGTGCTTTTATTGCAGGCGCATCGGATTCCAAGCATACAATTAGTGACAAGAATGTATATTATGCAGATTGTAAATGAAAGTAGTGTTTAGTCATGTTGTTCTCTCATCAAAAAATCTCTTTTTTTGTACCTCGGTCCAAACTAATTCTGTTTTAGGAACTTCTGGCACAAATAGGCCAAATCACTTCCACTTTTATCTAATAATCTTATTTCAAACTTGTTAAGCACAGCCACTTTTTGCCATTTAAAACAAAGATTTTTATTCTAACGTTGTTTTTTAATTCGTTTTTCATATTTTGAGTCCAATTAGCACCTTTACAACTCTGTTTTCTAATAGACCTCACCATGTTGGATTTAAAAGGAAATATAGCAGAATGTCATTTTCCACTTCTACTATGAAAAGACAGTGACAGTATTAATCAACCATATATTGCACACACATTGCTGCCCCTGCGTCCTGATAAAGCGGGAGAAATATTCTCAACTTATCATTATACATATAAATTGTATAATTATTTAGCCACTACTAAAATGGCTAAATAGAATAAACAGGTTCATTGACCTTATTAAGACTGCAGAACCGAGAAGACAGTCACAGGGACATTTCTCCTTTCTATATTCCTGTTTTTTTAACGACTGGTTGGCATTTTGTAAGATCTGAATGGTTTGCATTCAATCACAGGAGAAGGACTCAAAATCATTTCAAACAAATTTTAGAGCATGAAGGAGGAGAGATAACTGTGGAAACGCTTACAATCAATATTATGGATGGACAAACACACAGAAACAGACAGACACACAAACAGATACACACACAGACACACAGCGACACAAAGACACACAGAGGCACAGCAAGACGGACAGACAGACAGGCGCACACACACACAGAAAGGCACACAGAGAGACACACAGACAGACACACAGAGAGACAAATAGACCGACACACAGAGAAACAAATTGACAGACAGACACACAGAGACACAGAAAGGCATACACGCAGACAGGCAGACACACGCACACACAAACAGACAGGCAGACACACACAAACACAGAGAGAGAGACACACACAGACAGACAGACAGACAGACACACACACACAGAGAGACAAATAGACAGACAGACAGAGAGGTAGGTGAAACCGGAGCACCTGGAGGAAACCCACTCAGTACCCAAGATTTTTTTTCTTATGTATATAAAAGACGAATTTAGAAAATGTTTAAAACTCCTAAAAATCATTTTGTATAAGACTACAATTAGTCTTCACAGCTACAGTAAAACCTTTATCTATTTAGAGTTGAGCAGTTTTTCTCAGCTCTCTCCAGATTAAATTCCATCCAGATGCTGAATATGATGTTTGTGAAGGCTTATACAGAGTGTTTTCTTTTGGCTTGCGCGAAAATATGGATTAAACACTGGTGAGTTGCACATCTCCAGTCCAGTAGAGCTAAAATATCAATAACCGATCACTCAAATAATGGTAAAAAGGTTGCTTTGACAAAAGTAAGGTCTTGTGATTAAAA